CCGTTCGGCTCGGAACATCGTACACCCGTGTCTTGGCATTGGACTTCACTTTCGCGTCTCCCCGTCTCCCCATCCTCTTCCTCTTCCTCTTCCTCTTCCTCTTCCTTCTCCTCCTCCTCTTCCCCGTCATCTTCCTCTTCCTCCTCATCCTCATCATGCAACAACATCATTTTCTTCCTTGACGGCCGTGAGATGCTTCCCGCTTCCGACGTGCACGGGCCTATCAGCCAGCGGCTTACCGGTCTGCTGATGCTGTGTGACAATTATTGTCGTTGCTCACCTCAGACTCAGCGTTCGGAAGCGCCCACCACCGCTCACCCTTCTGCGTAACATCACTGCAGCCTCAAGAACGGCAACGGCAACGAATGCGACCTCCAACGGAGACTTGCATCCGGTCTCCGAAGTGCCAGCTTTGCGGTTGAGCTCGGTGAGGTGAAGCCGAGGCCACATCACGTACACCGTCAGGTCACTCCCCGGCCGGTCGAAGCTTACGTGCGCCAACGTATATCGTTTAGTCCGACGTATTGGGGAGAGAGATCATTAATGCAAGCCTTCATGCGGAATACTCGGAAAGAGCTCCAGGGGTCCCCAAGTTGGCCCAATGAATGAATGTAAGCAGACGGCGATTCCGTTGGGGTAGTGTTCACCACCTTCAGAACCACGCAAAGCTGGGCTGTCGAGAGCTGCAAGCCTGGTTCAGTCACTTTCATGTGTGGCAACATACATTCCAGCGCCTCCCTGCTCAGCTTTGCCTCATCATTTGCACGGGAAGTCGACTCCTGCCAAGATCACGCGTTTCTCTCGGCCATGCTGCTTTCCGCCTGGAAGAGTTCCGCTGGAAGGCTGCAGCCTGGAAGTTCAGCCCTTCACGGGATAGAACAGTGCATTGACTGTGACCGGTCGATAGACTCTCTTGTCAGGGCCTCTCGAGGTTCGATTGGATCCTGGATCGTGCTGAGCTTTCCGAGCTGTTGTTACGCCACCGAGGATGCCAGGGTCCCTGTTGCATCGACATCGGATGGCTTCGTTCCTGCGAATAGAGCTCAAGTCTCGTGAGAAGTAGACATCTGACTCAGTTTGCTGGACGGCCTCCCTTCCCTTGTATAAGCACCGTAAACTTGCTCAAATTCTCTTAAACTCTCTCATTGACATTTCACCAACCAGCGTTGCTTTTGCCGTCATGGGTTTCTTGAACTCATGCTGGGATGTTCTCCTTCAAGTTGCAAGTTATGGACAGAGTTTAGGGGACACTCTCGGACATAACCAGCAGCAACCTCTGAATCTTCCTACTCACCATGGAGACCATCACGACGTTCTCGCCACCTCTGGAGTCTCTTTCAAGGTCCAAGGCAGCGACTTCACGTGCAACTACCCACGGATGACAGGTTACCGAGCATGTAATACAGCTGAAGACCGTACATGCTGGCTCCGGGGACCAAGAGGAAGGAACGACATATACGATATCCACACGCCTTGTCAGTCTTGTACTCAAGCTCGTTGATGCGTTTGCTGACGATGGGTAGATGACATGCCTGGAGATGAGTTTACCCCGGACGGAATTGAGCGAGAAGTAGGTTGAGACATCCTACTAGCATCACACCCCTCGCTGATCAAAGCAGTACTGGCTTGAAGTTAGCGTCGATCCGGTGAGTATGAACCATGAACTCCCATGGTCCACCTTCTCATCTTCTTAGATTGCTCCGGATGGCTACTTGAAGTCTCTTGGCCAAGTGTTCAACCATACGTATCCCGGCCCACATCTCGAGGCTTGCTGGGGCGATACATTGGTAGGATAGACCCCGTCTCCTCCGCCTACATGGAACTGATACGTGATCAGGTCGTGCATGTGACAAATAAGATTCCAAACTTGGGCACTACTATCCACTGGCACGGTATCCGCCAGCTTAACACAACTCAACAGGATGGTGTCAATGGAGTAACTCAGTGTGAGTATGCGATTCTAGATACACCCCGGACACCGATTGACTGATCCTCTAGGCCCAATTGCCTACAACAAAACTTACACGTATCGATTCCGCGCAGACCAGTACGGTCACACTTGGTGTAAGTCGTAACGATATCCTGACCGCTTCTGGAACCAATAGCTTACCGCAGCCATAGACCACAGCCACTACCAGACTCAATACTCTGATGGCGTTGCTGGGCCACTCACGATCTACGGCCCCAGCTCCGCCAACTGGGACGAGACTTTCGAGCCCATCATGATGCAAGACTGGGTCCACGCCAATTCCTCCGACGCCTTTAAGCAAGAACTCGCAAGGGGCGTTCCCGTCGCCGACTCCCTCTTGCTCGGTGGCACTAACAGTTTTAAATGTTCCAATCTGGATCCATATTGCTGTCACTCTTGCCGAAACACAACTTGCCTGGCCGACCCTAGCGTTGACAAATCCTTCTGCTGCAATCTCGACGACGGCTGCTACAATGACTTGAACAATGCAACCTCACAGAAGAACGGCGGCAAGTTCACCAAGACGTTCAAGGAGGGCAAGAGGTACTTGTTGCAGCTCATCAACGCCTCGGCGGAATCCATGTTCCTCTTTTCGATCGATGAGCATGAGTTAATTGTCATCGAGGCCGACCTGGTACCAATCCAGCCTTATGTCACCAAGGACATCTTCGTTGCCATCGGTACGTGATCATGGTCTCTAATGCGAAAGTCATTGCTAACCCGAGGTAGGTCAGCGGTATCAGGTCATTGTTGTCGCCAAGCCAAATCACAAGTCACTCGACGGGAACTACTGGATGCGGACTAGAATCGCCTTAAACTGTGGCACCGTTGCACAAGATGAAGAGGAGACTGGTATCATCCGGTACAACGCTTCTAGCACAGCTACTCCAGCCACGTTGGCCAACAGCGACCGCGAAGCATGTCAAGACGAGCCCATGGAGAACCTCCGGCCCGTTGTGCCCTGGAACGTCACAAGCCTAGCCAACCACCGCAAGAATTTCACGTTCGAAGCCAACTTCGACGACGTCAGTTCCCACGGCGCTTTCCGATGGGAGCTCAAAGACAAACCTCTCTTCCTGGACTACTCTCGCCCCAGCATCCTCCACCTGGACAACGAAACACGCTTCGACGACGCCTTCCAGGCCGTGGTAAACTACACCAACCACGAGTGGAACAACGGCTTCGTCTACCTGGTCATTACCGGTAACAACATTCTCCACGTCCCCGGAAAGCAGAACATCCCCGCCGCGCACCCGATCCATCTGCACGGACACGACTTTGTCATCTTGGCGCAGGTCGATAAGAGTTGGGACGGCACCATCCCGCCTAATGAACAGTGGAATCCCACGCGTAGGGATACCGCTCTACTGTATGCGGGTGGATACCTCGCGCTTGCTTTCAAGCTCGATAATCCCGGCGTGTGGCTTGTGTAAGTCCTTCTTTTCTCCTCTCCTGTACCACCCGGTTGAGAGTGAGAGAGAGAGAGAGAGCTGGTGCTGCTCGTGCTGACTTCGACCTAGACATTGCCACATCGCATGGCACGCTTCCTCCGGCTTGGCACTGCAGATCATCGAACGTCAAGACGAAATCGTCGGCAGCATCGGCATCGGCTCTCTGCAAGCCACGAAGGACACGTGCGCCGGATGGGATCGGATGGATTTGCAGTTTCATCAGGACGATTCTGGGATTTGAGAGCAAGGCGCAGATACTGTTTTCGTTGGTGAAGCAGACTTTGGTGAATGGACGCGCGTTGGAGTCTGGACGGCTGGGCTTTACGTATATCATTTGGGGACTCATGACGCTTTTAGAGTCTTGTCAGGTGCTACGTAGACAGTGTCGATGGAGGAGTTATCTCAGTAGCTGCTTTCGGTCATGTAGTCCTGTCAGCCCTAATGTTTCCATGGCAAACGCTCACACCCTCGAAATCTGCCAGTTGTTGCTAAAACATAATAAGATCAACTTGAGTCTGCTTTCACAATTCAGAGCCTACAGACTGCGTTCACGGGAAATGCCAAGCCGTGAATCACACTAACTCTCACTTCTTGCCCTGCGACCGTCATCACCACACGGAATCTACCAACCCTCCGCCACCTTCCAACATCGCGTGTAGATCATGGAGCGTTCGGTACGCGAATCTGAGATTTGTGCCTACAGCTCCCCATTTCAATGTTTCATTTTCGCTGAGTTTAAATACTTACCAGTAGCTCCACGGCAACTTCTTCGTAGAGGAGATGGTGACGACGGCGGCGCTCGAACTGACCAAATCAGGAGAAGAGATAACTCTCCCGCTCCAGCCGTTGACCTCTTGTTCCTAGTTGCTAACCATGGAGAACAGACCGGAGGACCTGCGGTAGAGCGAGTGCATGGAATTACGGAACTGCTCGAGCATATCTTGTACTTGCTTCCACATCGCGAGCTACACCTCGACGCACCCTTGGCCTTGGCCTGGCAAAGAATGGAAGAAACACCATCGAGAGCTCAGCCAAGCTGCAGTCCGGACGCTTTTCCTCCTCCGCTACTGCCCGAGTCCATCGCCATACCGAAACTAAGATTGCAGATCTTCCTCGAATTCGATTGTACGAGTCTCACGGTCTCTGGTCTCAATTTCGCGGGTCTGCGAAGATCACTGCGAGATTGTGATGAACTCTCCTAAACTGCAGAAAGGTGATTTTCATCGCGATGGTACCTAGAGACAGGCGCCCTAAGACTGCAAGGGACTCCGTGACAAGAGTTCAATTGCGGAGAAAACCCAGGTTCCGCTTTATCTGGTAGATGAAGCTCAAGGCATTCTTCGAGACATTCATAGCTCGCCTGCGTAGCGATCTGATGTCCAGGTTCCGAAAAGCTACACTGGAGACAAAAACGGCCATTATCTGAACGAAACCCCCACAGGATGCAAGGTATTTTCCACCACTCGGGAGTCTGTCAGGCTTGGAAAGCCGGAGGAGGTATGCATTTACTTTTACGGTACGCCGATGTCTGTTGGAGTGGCGGCGGTATCCGGGATTGTGATGGGTCTGAATGCTTCGGAGCGGGCTCGGAGATGCGATCAGGAGTCTACAGTATTTCTTCAAATTGGAGAACAAGCTCCAAACCTGGCGAGTAGAGTCTAGGATCGTCTACCCGTGAAAGTGGTGATTGATACTGGGCCAGAGGATAAACGCAAGTTCGTCGTGTGATTGTCTGTTCGCCGGAAAAAATGTTCGGGAGCTGCTCGGTATAAATCGGGGTCGTGGACATCATGGCTACTCGATGTCGCTAATAAAGAACTCGGAGATCTAGTTGCAGACCTCCCTCCATTAAGCAGCTCAAAGTGGTCGATTGAAGACCGACGGCTACCTCTTGCGGCTAAGAGGAGGCTTCGCTGGGCGTGAGGGGTCTGAAGAGGCGCCGCGATGTCGTGAAGCTGCGTCTCCTTTGCGTTGATGAATGCCGCCTGGAAATTTACTCGCTGACATACGGGAAAATCCTTTCTCTGCACTTGCTTTGCAATCAGTGCGACCTTTCCTGAATGGATGGCAAGATACTGTGCCAGGCAAGCCGTGAGGTACTGAACATCGCGGCTAAGTTGCGTGAGTGTACACTGCCCTGGTGGTCGCTGTGTAGGTATGTGAAGTTTGTGATGAGGCATAGGATGAAGCGCCATTATATTTTGGAGTCTTGTAGAGTCCACGTGAGGATGAATCTTGACAGCCAGTCTGCTGGAACTGCTATCATATCCGCGGCGCAGAACCTATCGTGCCGAACTCCGCTGCATCGATCCGGCCAATAAAGCTCACAACCCTCTTTATCAAATCATTCCTAACATCTTCGGGGTTTTCGTTGTAATTGTGAGTAGCCTTGGGTACCACACCACCATTGCTCTCATCAACAGCACCTCCAGCATCTTTCACAACCTGCATCCAGCTCTGCACGAGTTTCTGCTTATCCACACTCTTCGGCACCGAGTCGTCATCTCCGCTGTACAAGATCAACAACGGTGTCCGGGACGTCAATCTCCCGAAGGTCTTCTTCAACCTCTCCGTAGGCAAATCCGAGGAGAAGTAATCATCCGCACCATCATGGTTCGGACCAGGGGAGGACACATCGACCCATCTCCGTGCCGTTATAGCCAGTCGTCCGAATACAGGTCTCGTAAGTCTATTCGGCAATGCATCCCTATCTTGTCCCTCGCGGCACATCTTCAAAGCCAGCTGGTCCGCTTCACGTCGGAAAGCTTCCGGAAGTTCATCCTCTATGGATTCGCGATCAGAGACCGGTGCTTGTAAGATGATCCCATCCACCTCTGGCCGCTTCTCCGCATTCGCCCCGACCAAGTATTCCATACAATCCTGACACCCGGTCGAATGTCCCATGATGACGATCTTCCCGCCGGGACGACGCTCTTTGAGATATGCGATGATCTTCCGCATGTCTTCTGCGTCTGTTGCGATGGAGTTGACGCCCCAGCTGAAGCCGGCGGACGAGAGGCTGCAGGTGACTAGACTCCATTCTAGCCCCAGGGACTGTGCGATTTCGAATGGGTATGAGACGCTCCCGAGCGTGTCGAACATGCCGCCGACCCATACTAGGGTGTTGATTTTGGCGCTTCGTACGAGAGGTTTGGTGGGTTCGAAGGCGGAGACATTGGGAGGGATGTAGTGTAAGACACCGGGGATGTTGGTCGCTTCTGGATACATTTCCATCGCTGGGAGATTGTTTTGGATGTGCTGGAGTTGTGGTGTTGGAATGATGGGAGGTGTGATGCATCACTTCGTCAGAGCTTCAAGCTTCGGGCTAGATCGCGGGTTCGGCGCACGTCCCCCGGCTCCATGTGACAAGCCAGTCTTGCTGGGCGGGTAAATACTAAGGTAGGTAGCGTTGCAGATTGAACAGCTTCGTAGACATGAGATGGACGACATTGGTCAGAGCATGATTAATATTCCTACATCTATGTACACATACTGTGAGTCGAGTATCCCATCCGTCTATTCAAACATTCCCATCCCTACGAATGTCCTACAATCGCCTCCCCCCTCTCAACTTCCTCCTCGATGCTCCCTTCTCCCTCCCCTTTCGTCCCCATTTCCTCCACCTTCCACTTCCCATCATTCTGGAACTGCTGCTTTTTGGCATTCCCAAGAACACAAACATACGCCTCCTCCCCCAAAATCTTCTCACTGATCTCCTCCGCCGCCTCCCGAACCTGCTTCGCATCAACATCAAGCAACCATTCCCTCCGTCTCTGCTCCATCTCAAAATCAACCCCACTCAGAAACCTCACCATTCCCTCCGCATTCACACTCTGCGGCGCATCCATCCGCTGAAAAGTTCCCAGCTTCGCCTCTTCCAATTCCCGATCCGTCCATTCCTTCTCAGCTGCCCACCTTCCAGCTTCCGAGTAGATCTTGAGCGTGTTTTCTGGATTCGGATCCCGGTAGGAATACATTCCAAAGATCCCTTCAATGCCTTTGGAATATGCGCCACCGCCGTAAGCGCCGCCCTTTTCGCGGATTTCGTGGTGTAGATGCCGGTGTGTGAGGAGTTTGGCGAGGATGGCATGGGGTGCGGTTTGGGGCGAGGTGTAAGGTCCCGTTGGGAGTGCGAGGCCGGAATAGGAGACTTGGTAGGGGAAATTGAACATTGTTCGATGGTGGGCGGCGTAGTCGGGAGCTTGTTCGTTTGAGTTGGAGGATTTAGGTGCTGGAAGGCTGAAAGTGGATGTCGTGGCGAGGAAGCTCTTCAGGGCAGCTTCGTTGGCACTGACAGCGTCAGCGCCGCATGTCAGGGCCACGCGCATGTGTCCGGCCTTCATGTTGGCGACTGCGATGGATTGAATGGTCTTGAGCTTGTTGATCAGCTCGGCCATCGCTTCGGGATTCTCTTCTGCAGCCGCGAGAGTCGTGATCATCCGGACTTGCGTTAGGCCCGCTGTCTGTTCACGTATTCTGGCCTCAGGCGAGACGCCGGCCTCCGCGTACTTCATGGCGTACGCGTGTCCACTACCTGCTACGCCATCGACAGCACCGTCCGCGTTAGTCCGTAACAGTTGTTGGACCATCTTCTGCGCGTTTACGCTGTCGAAGTCTGTCTCCAATAGCACTGTTTGAATGAGCTCGTACATTGCAGGTACGTTGCCGTCAAACGCAAATCCACTCAAGCTTAAGCCCTCTTCCGTCTGCTTGATGTCGAAGGGACTCGTCTTAGCGAAATGACCGAAGCCGATGCCGCCTGTCTTGAGCTTGATCAGGTCCTCAATCTCGCCCATCGGCTTATTCTTCGTGCCGATCCGCATCAGCGCGTCGCAGAAGAGCGGCACAAGCATCCTCAGCTCCGAAGGCAGGTCCTTGAACATGGCCAGGGCGCGGAAGTAGGTAAGACCATTGGTGGCAGTTTCTCGCCACTGTACCTTGACATTGTTGTCCTGAGTACTGTCCCGAACGTCGATCATCTTTGACTTGCGGGCGATGTCCGACACTCTCAAGGTTGGAAGGCTATCTAGGTTCTGGGTGGTGCCAGCATCCTGCTCTTTTACGAGTTCAAGTTCCCTCTCGCGAAGCTGCTTGTAGGCTTCCTGCTCACTCGGGTATTCCTCGACGGCCTCTGCGATCTTTGACTTCAATCTGCTCGCTTCTTCGGCTGCAATTTCGTCGCCGTATGTCTTGCTAGGTTCCATGGTAAATGACAGCGTGTTGTCAGTCATCAAGTGCTTCTTCAGCAGTCCCTCGAGGTAGCCTTTCTCGGCGTAGCTGGCCTTGAACGCGTCCAGCATCGGCTTAACGGCGACCGCGCTGAACGGATCTAGCCCATTGAACCACTTGCCCAGGATTCTCTGGACCGCATTCAGACCAAACTTGGCAGTCTTATGTTTCAAGCCTAACTCGAGCTGGTGAAGGTTACCCTCAATCTTGTGCTTGTCAAGCCCCTTTGCAACGACCTCCATGATCGTTCCAGTGATGGCCTCCTTCACCTTCGGGATGTCCTCTCCTTTCACGCCGTTCAAGCCGACCGAGAAGACGGCTTTTCGGCCCATGTCCAGGTAGCCCGTGTTCGGCGAGAAGTCGCTCCCAAGGCCAGACTCAATGAGAGACGCATACAGCGGACTTCCGTAACCATCGAGCAGGACGTTCAGCGCCAATCCCAAGGCAAACGATTCGTTCACATCGTTCGGATCGCCGGCGAGCCACGTGACCGAGGTCTTGAATTGCGAGTCCTGGGGAGTCAGAGGGTCGACCGGTCCCTTCACGCGTATCTCCTTTGGGCCGTCGTTCAGGTCGATGGCAGACTTGACATCATATTCCAAATCCCTCTTCTCGAATTTCGCCAGTTGCTCTCCCAAGAAACGAAGGTGGTCGTCGACGGACTGATCGCCGTATGTCATAATCTTGCTGTTGCTGGGATGGTAGTGATCTCTGTGGAAGTTCTTGAGCTGTTCGTACGTCAAATCTGTCATCTTCGCCGGGTCGCCTCCGCTGTTGTTCAAGCTCGGAAAGACGTGCTCCATGAAGCGAATGAAGTAGATGTATGTGGCGTCGCTCATTTGACCCTTCATCTCGTTGTAAACGACACCCTTGAAGACCAAGTCGCTTCCCGCTTCGTCTTTTGCTGGAGCTTTGGGGTTCTCTGGTCCAATTCGCCAACCTTCCTGTACGAAGTCCGATCTCTTCAAGAGTGGATGTAGAGTCGCATCGAGGTAGACGCCCATCAGATTCTTGAAATCTTGAGCGTTGGTTGTAGCGAATGGGTACATGGTGTGGTCGGGAGAGGTGAAGGCGTTCATGAAATTTTGAAGAGAGCGAGGAATCATCTTGAAGAACGGATCACGAACGGGGTACCTACCACCATCTATCAGCCTACATGTTCCTTAACATCCCCGCATCAAGCACCTACTTTTCCGATCCACATAACGTTGTGTGTTCTAGGATGTGCGGCACACCCGTTGCATCTGGCGGGTTCGTCTTGAAGCCGATGCTGAAGACATTGTTGGTATCATCTCTTGCCACGTGCAGATAGTCCGCTCCCGTCTTGTCGTGCTTGAAATGCAACGCGGACAGCTCCAACTCGGGGACGTGTTCGGATCGTTGGAGTGTGAAGCCATGCAGGTGGTCTCCTGCTTTGGGCAGAGCGTTGAGGTCGGTGACGGAGGCATATGATCGTCGCAGTCGTATTCGATGGTAAGGCGCAACGATGCGAGGCGAACGCCCCGCGATGCGCAATGAGGCGAGCATGTGAAGTCAAAGAGAGGGATGTTGTTGTTAGTGAATGAGATGTGAGTGAATGTTCCTCACGCCCTAGAGGCTATGTCATGCTGTGCACTAGGCCGGATCGGATCACTAGTGTCACGGGATGGCCCCAGGCCAATCACTGCCAGTGGAGGGTGAGTGTACGGCAACTGAGCACTTCCTGTGCTGCATGTCCGTCCACTCTGCATGCACCTCATCGCCTCCACCACCGCCGACGCCGCTGAATTTCTTCGATTCCGCCCCGACGCTCCTCCGCCGACACGCATATCGATCTTGCCGCTCTAGCTGCACCGGCGCCGAGGTATCATCCCTGGACTTCCGCCACAGGAGAGACTGCCGCGCCTGGACATCACTCCACCCTTTTCCACCGGCACGAGATCGCATACCAATTACGGTCCTCCTGACACCGCGCCTGCGACTATCTCTAGAGGAGGATCATCAACGCTGCTGTCTCATTCCGCGGGCGCTGTGACCTCACAGATGCCAAGCAGGAAGAGCGTGCAAAACCTGCCGTCGGATCACTCTTCCTCCAGACCGACGGCGACCTCTTGCGCGGCCACCTCATAGCTGCCTCCGAAAACCACGGCATCGCTTCTCTACCATACCATCAATCCCCAACTTCCGCGAACACCATCCCTTGACCGTCAGCATACCTACTGAAACAAACTTCCCCGATAACCCTGATGGCTGCAGTCGCAAACCAGCACCAGCAGCCACTTCCGGCCTCAAGCAATGCTCGCAACTCGCCCGCATCCACCGCCGAGTACTCTCGCGACTCCCCTCCGCAAGATGGAGGAATCGTTCCTCCACCGCCGCCGCCACTTCCCGCAAACGCTCCCGTACAACCCCCGGCAAAAGGCAAAGCGAAGGGCAAGAAGGGCGGGAACAGCTCTACAGATCCATCAGATGCGCAAAAAGCACTCCTGTCGAAGATTCACCAGCTCGAGGCAGCCAGCACCGAGGATGCGCATCAGAATGCCGAGATCGAGGCCGAGGTCAAGAAGGCGAATCGCGATCTCTCGCAACTGCTCAACACGCTCGAGCCGCACAACAGCAAGCTCGACATCCTGCAGCGGAAGTACAGCGAGCTACTGTCTGACATGAAGAGAGTGGAGCGAGAACATGTCAAGGCGAAGAAGAGGGGCGACCAGCTGCAGAAGGAGAAGGAGGAGATTGGAAAGGAGAGGACGCGGGAGAGAGGACTGAAGGAGAAGCTGGAGAAGCTGAGCAGGGAGTTGACCCGGGAGAACAAGAAGCTGAAGGACGACTACCGCGACCTGAAGGAGAATTCGGCCAACAGGAATGACGAGTTGCATCAGAAGCTGGAGAACCTCGTCCTCGACGTGAACGAGGTCGTCTCCGAGACGCGCGCGCCGGAGCGGCAGAGTCCCGAATTGGAGCAGGACCGGCTGTTCCGCGAGAAGTTCACGTCGTTTCTCCACCAATACGAGCTACGCGAGCTCCACTTCCAGTCGCTGCTGCGGACGAAGGAGCTGGAGATGCAGTATCAGATCGCGCAGCACGAGGCTCTCAAGAAGGCGCAGGCGAGCGAGTTGTCGAAGAGCCACCAGCTGACGCGGCAGGTCAGTACCTTCAGCCAGACGGAGAACGAGTTGCGCGGTCAGCTGAATGTGTACGTGGAGAAGTTCAAGCAGGTATGTGTGCGCTGCTGTCCGGCAATGGTGTGGCTGATTATAGTCTGTCCTGGTAACTGACTGACCCTCCAGCAGGTGGAAGACACACTGAACAACAGCAACGACCTGTTTCTCACTTTCCGGAAGGAGATGGAGGAGATGTCCAAGAAGACTAAGCGTCTGGAGAAGGAGAATCTCAACCTGACCCGCAAGCAGGAAGCGACGAATAAGAACATCTTCCAGATGGCCGAGGAGCGATCGCAGAGCCAGCAGACGATCGATCGGCTGACGAGAGAGAACGAGAAGCTGAAGAAGCTGTGCCGGGCCATGCAGTCGCAAGGCTACGGTGGAGCGAATATGCAAGGACTACAGCCCCATCACGGTGGGGATGCGCATGGTGGCGCAGACGAGTTTGACGAAGGCTTGGAGGGCGAGACGGAGAGTGAGTACGAGGATGAGGAGTACGACGAGGACGAGGAGGGCGAGTACGACGACGACGACACGGAGGAAGAGGCGATGCTAGAGGTCATCGAGCCGCCGCGGAGAACGTACGGTCCGCCTCCTCCACCTCCCGTCGAGCCGGCCGAGTTGGTGAATGGCAAGATGAACGGAGTCAACGGAATGAAGCACTAAAAGGCCATGAGGGCACCGACGCATTCGAGGGCCAAGAAGACGTCGTACGTACATTCTGCCTGTGTGGCTGTCGTTGTTGATTGAAGTTCTGTACAGTGAAATCGAACGTCTTGCAGGGGAAGAACAAGCATCTGACCTTTTCCTCTCCTTTTCCCTCCATCTCCGTCTCCATCACCATCAACATCTCTGAGCCTTGTCCCTTTGCTGCCTGAGGCCACGACACACGGCTTCGCCCGAAACTCTAAATCCTTCCTTCCCTACTTCCTCGCCTTCCACTTCTCGTCTCCTTCTTCCTCCTCCTCCTCTTCTTCCTCCTACAACGCGCTGCAGAACAGATTACACGCCCACCGCAGCACTCCGCCTGCAACGGAAACAGAAAAACCTCATCCGCGCGCCGCAAGGTTTCGTGTGTTGTTGTTCTTTCCTGTCTCTGCGAGGAGATTTGTCACTGTCGGTGAGGTCACTTACACCGGCGCAGAACGATGAATCAAAAAGGAAAGCTCGTCGGACTCCCCTTTTTTTTTGTGTGGATGCCGATGGGTGGTTTTGTTTTTTTTTGGAACTGCAGACTATTTCAGACCCGCTTTGTTCTTTGACCCTAGAGGCTCATGGGTGGCGGACTAGAGGATTGCAGACATACATATATACATACATGGCGAATCAAGATTTGGATTGCAGGTGGCCGGGCGGCTGGCGGTGGTGGTGAGGGCTGGTGGTATTGTAGCGGGAGGCGTTGGATGGTGGTGGTGAACAGAAATTGGGAGTGTACGTTAATTGCAGTTACAGTTACAGTTTTAGCGCTGTCAGCGGAGGTATACCGTTCCAAGATTCGCTTCACCAAGCCATCTCTCCCTTTGAAAATGCGTATACGTATCTAATCTGTGAGAGAGAATCTTGAATCCGTGTGTATTGTAAGGTAAGAAATCTGCAAGAGAGAGAGAGAGAGAGAGAGAGAGAGAGAGCCACAAAAGAATTCATATTGGAATTCGTAGCGTTTTGCGCGCCGTGCTTTTGCTCCGTTAACTTAATGCTAGAAAATCCAATCCAATCCAAATACACCCCGGATGCCTTCCCGCTAAGGTATACATGATGCTCATTAGATGTAATGTCTTCAGTTGGCGCTGAAAAGATGATGAAGGATGCCGCTACGCCGCTGCTCGAGATAGACTCACTACGGCAACTCTTTGGAGGGGGTTGCAAGAACTTCTCTCTCGCTTTCTTTCATCCTGCCATTTCGTAGATGTGACTGGCTGGTCGATTCAGATTTCGCTGCTCCCTCTCTTTTTCCCCCTCTCTCTCCCTCTCCTTTTCCCTCTCTCTCTCCCTCTCCCTCTCCTTCTCCTTCTCCTTCTCCTTTTCTCTCTCCTTCTCCCTCTCCCGCTTCCTCTCCTTCCTCGGACTGCCTACCAGTGGCGAATACATCGCCGACAGACTGCCCCTCGGCGTCGCCCAGCCCACCGGGGAAGCCGGCGTACTACTACTCGCCGCCGGCCTCTCCTCCCTCCTCTCCTCCCCACCGGCAGGATGCCACGAATACCCCCTCGCAAACCCCGCCAACCGCTCCATCACCTGCTCCGATGGAACCTCGCCGAGAAAGACATGATGCCCCACGACAAAGGCAAACGACTCCCCCGTCGGCTGCACGACGAGACAATGCAGATTGCCGACGCCGAAGCGCTGCCCGTCGTGGAACTCCCCATCGAAGTGCCGGCTCCACCCGGCGTCGTGGATCTGATACTGCCGCGCGAACATGCGCTTGACGCCGGCGATGGACTTGCCCGTGCAGATGCGCGGCGCGTTGCCGAGCTGCGTGCGCAGGTACCAGGCGGCGGTGCGGCAGTGCGGGCGGTGGACGTGGGTTTCCAGGATGCGGGTGACGCGGTAGGCGTGCTCGCGGACGACGCGCAGGAGGCCGTCGGCGGCGGTGGTGCGGATGCCCGTGTGTGGCGGGGGCGCGGCGTCGAGGACGGGGTCGATGATGATGGCCGTCTTGGTGGAGGGGTCGGCCACGATCCACTGCCAGGTGCCCGTCGAGGCCTCGAAGATGGTGTGCACGTGTGGCTCCGACGACGAGCTGGAGCTTTCTTGGTGCGGCACGACTTCGGGGATGTATGCGGACGGAGGTCTTGTCTCCCTGGGTGTCGCGGGGGATGGGGGCGTGGATTCCAATGGTGCTTCTCCTTCTTCTTCTTCTTCTTGTCGTTGTTGTTGTTGTTGTTGTTGATCCCCCATGATGACGATGGTGACGATGATGCAGATGGCCAGAGATCCCGGAGTGTCGTCTGGGGATTTTTCCCTTCTTCTTCTTCTTCTTCTTCTTCTTCTTCCTCGAACCAGAAATCTACCTATCGAGTCGAACAAACAACAAAATCCCCTCTACTCCACAGCCATTTTTCCTCTCCCTCCAACGTCGAAGCACAGAAGCAGATGCACGGGATGGATAGATGGATGTCAATGTTCAAGGCCACAAAAAGAAGACGTGTTTGCACGACAGACACCGGATCAGAGGACGCGCCTCCCTCTCCCTTTTTCCCCCAGCCCAGCCCAGCCCAGCGCATGATGATTTCTCCTTGGTGTCACCGCGCTGAAACAAACCCCCGTCCGATCTGAGAAGTTCGGCGAAGGGTGCGCGACCGGGATCTTTCGGCGTCCCACCAGGACCAATCGTCGCCCCTGACTCGCTCTTCATCACTTCTTTTCATCATCAGCGACGTGTTGTAAACGTGATACGGGTGTGAGATCTTGATACTTTCGCTTCGCTTTGACACATATCTGACGGCTTTCTCATCATGTGGCATAACGACATTCCCCATATCTCGGTGACAGACGAGCCACATGCTTGGCGAAGAGGGCGATCGTGTGCTTGGCAGGTGTTGGGTGGGCATGCAATTGCATCTTGGCCATGCCAATGCCAACTTGGACGAAAGATGGGTCATCAAAGTGGCAAAGAAGGGAAATGACGGGTGTTTCGATCAAGTATACGATTTCAACACCCTGTGCTGACATCCAATGGCCAAAGCAGGCGCGGGGCGCGATAAGCTCAGACTGGAAAATCCCGGCTTGATTTATCTAACTGATCTTGTTACAAGAAAGCAAGAAGCAACGAACCTAGGCCTATGATACTACTTACTGCGACGGCTGATGATGATGATGATGATGATGATGATGATGATTGATGATTGATGACCACCATTGCGATCGATGCCTACCTGGAACCCCCCGCAAACCAAACGACCAAGGAAGAAAGCCAGACCGCAATCCTACCTTACCTTACAGATGATTACCTGAATTCCCCAATCCCACCTCCCAGTCCGAGGTTTCCGTTCATTCACAACCTCTCCTCTTCTGATAGTGTGATAGCCTCTTCCTACCTCGCAAACCCGCGGCTGGTAGACCTCTCCTTGGCCGGAATCAACCTCTTTTGAGAGTAACCGCACCGGGAGAAAACGAGCATATAAGGCGCTCCAGGGTAAACTTGCCCTGCAACAATACCGGCACAAGTCACGGAGAACTTGCTGCAGATCGATGGCCATGGTTTTCCTTTTTTCCTTCCGTCGTGCAAAAGAGAACGTACGCCCTTTTGGAAAACTGACTCCATACACACAACCAGACCATGCCAACCACACATTCCAACGCGCAAGGCATAAGACCAATAATCCCCTCGATGAAACGAAACGAAAATCTTTAAGCACGATTCTCAGCAGAGTAATGCTTCTTTTCAAATCAGAACGAAAAGAAAGAAAGAAAGAAAGAAAGAAAGAAAGAAAGAAAGAAAGAAAGAAAGAAAGAAAGAAAGAAAGAAAGAAAGAAAGAAAGAAAGAAAGAAAGAAAGAAAAGGCATGCATGAGATGAGATGAGAAATTGCCCATCATGACGACGACGAAGACGACGACGACGACGATGATACTTGCGGTGCGGGTTTTGGGGGATCTAAAAACACCTCTGCTCTGACTTGGATTGGATAGGAAAAAGCGTTGTTGTGCAAGTATGATAGGAGGCTGATCTATGTGGGATTTCATCCAAAAGAACAGGCGAGGTCAGGCGGGGAGACTAGGCTGTCGTTCTAACCGACGAATGGGATTCTTCACACATGTCGATTTGGACGACGATGAGGGGGGGGGGGGGGGGCAGAGATGTAGTCTTCCCGAACAGAGGTTCTTCTTATATATATTTTTTTTTCGGATCGATGGAAAATATCTTGAAGCTTTCCCCATTTTCTGTCGTCGCTATGGCGTGGTCTTCGGATGAATAAGGGTGGCTCTTTTTTCTTCTTGGTCAATGCGGTCTGTTTTTCAAATGGAGAAGCCTGACGTGCGAGAATTTTCGAATAGAATTCGAGGTCTCATGTGGTATTCGTACTGCGTGTGTGATGTATGAAGTTGTCTCTGGGGGAAAAGATCGCCACGGTGGAGCCTTATCTGAAAGGGATATCGCGTTGTTGATGGATCTCCGTCGTGCTAATTTTCTACTCATGAATTGTTAGCATGGTGTAAAGATCAGAAAACGAGGTGAGAAGGGATGCTAGGATGGCGCCTGTGGGTAAAAGGATGCTTTTCGAGGCGCTCGGGCTGTGTCGCCGAAGCCGAGCGGCTGGATCTATTGTGACCGCGTCTTCTTCTATCATCGGCCTACCGCATGCCGTCATGGATCACGACACACCCGACATTCTAATTGAACACGACCGTCTTGGTGCCGTTCAGGAAAACTCTCTTCTCCGACCACCACTTGACCGCAGCGGCGAGGGTCTGCGCCTCGACGTTGCTTCCTTCCTCCACCAGCTCCTTGGCCTGCATACTATGATCGACCCTCGCGACTCGCTGCTCAATGATGGGCCCTTCATCCAGATCCGAAGTCACGAAATGTGCCGTCGCTCCGGTGATCTTGACGCCTCGATCGTACGCCTGGTGATACGGCTTGGCACCCTTGAACGAAGGCAGGAAGGAATGATGGATGTTGATAATCTTGCCACTCATCGCCTCGCACAGGGTCGGGGAGAGGACTTGCATGTATCGCGCCAGCACGATGAGGTCGATGTTGTTCTGCTTGACCAGATCCAGGATTTGGGATTCTTGCGCGGCCTTGGTGTCCTTGGTCACGGGGAGATGGTGGAAGGGAATCCCGTAGCTCTTCGCCAGGGGCTCGAACTCCGGATGATTGGAAACGATGAGGGGGATCTCGATGTTGAGCTGCGATGTCTTGGCGCGGAAGAGGAGGTCGTTGAGGCAGTGGCCGATCTTGGAGACCATGATGAGGACTTTTGGTTTGTGGGATTGGGGGACGATGGCGTAGTCCATTCCGAGGTCGCCGGCCAATTCCTGAAAGGGCTGGGTGAGATGTTCGGTGGAGTCCGCATGACCGAAGTGCACTCTCATGAAGAACTTTTGGAGATCTGGGTCTGAGAATTGCTGCAGGTCCAAGATGTTCAGATTGTGCTTCGCCAGGAGTCCAGTGACGGTGTGAATGATTCCTGGCTTGTCCGGACATGACAGCGTGAGAATGTGGTCCTTGGACATGGCTATTGATGCTGTCTTCGGTGCCTTTGTTCCGAAACACAACCGCTGCGTCTTTCCGATCGTCCTGACACTGTTGTTGAAGATTGATGAGGTCCGAAGAATAGGACGTAGTACTGCAGCCATCAATGGGCCCTCTGAAGATGTTGTTGAAACTTGTCCTGTGGCAGTCGTCTGCTCTGCTTCACGACGTTTGGAATCCTGACCCGATGGTGCGCACGGACTGTAAATTTTCTGCCGCCCTCCCGCCGCCGCCTTCCCTGTTTGGGGTGTGGATGGAGTTTAAACTCCATCCAAGACATGAAGTCCAACAGAGAAGCCGACAGAGGAAAAAGACGCGGTGGAGTGCGCTGACAGAGACAGAGACGGAGACGGCGATGAGGTGACACGGAACTACTTTGTGGTACAAGTATCGGGGTAACATTCACTCCCCGCCCCGCCCGAGCATGTGAAAGTGGCGGGCGGGCGGTCTGGGCTCGCCTAAGCTTCCTCTTGCGGGCTATCTCGCATCATCTTGATGGGATGTGCTGATGTTTTCATTGAGAGTCTCGTCAACTTTCATTGATGTGGTGTAATGCAATGCATCCATAAGAGGGAGAGAGACATCAAATATTGAAGCCCTCCAATCAACATCGCGCCAGATCCTAGCGTTCCCTCCCGCCGCCAGCCACCGGAAGGACGCGGGATGCTCTTCCTTGCTCTTCACACCTTTCAGGCTTTCACCTCCTTTCACTCCGCCAAGCGAAACATCGACATCGGATCTTTACTATGTACTACTATGGATGATACCCACGAGTCGCCTGCTGAAAGCTAAGCTCGTACATGGCCGACCCGGATGCCGACGGCGCCCGGGCTCCACGTTACGATGGAGAGGACGTTAGCCCGACCACCGACCGCGAGCTGAGAGGATGGTACAGTACCGGCCTGGCCGCTGAGATCTTCGCCGTCTGCGGTGTCGGTGAGTGTCTATCCTCATCTTCTCGATCCGTCGGGTCTGCACTGATCACGCCTGCATAGGCTCTTTCGCCCCCGTCACGCTCGAGCAGTTCGCCCGCGAAAGCGGTGTCCTGCGCTCCGATGGCAAGACACCATGTATCACGCCGAAAGGCGATACCGTAAGACGTTTTGCACACGTGATTGCTCGAGCAGCAGGCTCAGGCGAGGATGAGAAGAATCAGTGCATCATCCGCCCGTTTGGGAGGGATATGGCCACGGCCAGTTTCGCCATGTACACCTTCTCCATCGCCGTCCTCGTGCAGGCGTTGGTGTTGATCTCGTTCAGTCCCGTTGCTGACTATGGTAGGCCATCTTCTTCCACTCCACAATAAGCCTGTCTTCCCTCTTGCTGATCCCGCGTGTAGGTCGCTACCGAAAACAGCTCCTTCTTGGCTTTGCTTTCACGGGATCCCTCTTCGCTCTGCTCATAGGGCTCGTGTCGCCCTCGGTGTATTTGCTCGCGTCTTTGGCTGTCATCATTGGAGTGGTTTGCCTCGGGTCGACCTTTGTGCTGCTAAACTCTTTCTTGCCTCTGCTGGCCGCCCGCCATCCGTCTGTCAACGACAAACATGCGAGCGGCTCCACGCCTCTGCAGACAATGTCCACCGGGCCTTCCAAAGGAGCCGATACGTCCCCTGAGCTTCGACTGTCCACCCACATCTCCTCCAAGGGGATTGGCTTGGGCTATGCCGCTGCTGTGTCAGTGCAGATTCTGAGCATCCTGTTGCTTGTGTTGCTCAAGAAGGCGCACTTCTCCGCAGAATCAACTCCACTTCGATTCGTGCTCCTCATGGTCGGCATCTTCTGGTTTGCACTGACGCTTCCGGGCGCATACTGGCTACGCGATCGACCGGGCCCTTCATTGAGAGTCGTTCATCCGTGGAAGTCGCGTCTGCCGGCCGTGTTACAGTACCTCGTCTTCGCTTGGAGCTCCGTATGGGGTACTGTCAAGACTGCCGCTAAGCTCCGACAAGCATGGGTCTTTTTGGTTGCTTGGTTCTTGCTGTCTGATGCTATTGCGACGGTGTCTGGGACTGCTATACTGTTCGCCCGAACGGAGCTCCACATGGGTACGATTGCCATTGCTCTTCTCTCCATTACAGCAACCACCTCGGGCATGGCAGGCGCATTTGTATGGCCGCGAATCTCCAAACGGTACGGATGGCAAACGAAGAAAACCATCCTCGCCTGCGTGCTCATGATGGAGATCATACCACTCTACGGACTGCTTGGCTTCATCCCCTTTGTCAAAGCGTGGGGCTTTCTTGGCCTGCAGCAGGCCTGGGAGATCTATCCACTGGGTTTCGTCCACGGGTTCGTTATGGGCGGTCTATCGTCCTACTGTCGCTCCTTCTATGGCGAGATGATTCCGCCAGGGTCCGAGGCTGCATTCTATGCTTTGTACGCCATTACTGATAAAGGTAGCTCCGCTGTTGGACCGGCTATCGTAGGTGCGATTGTGGATGCCATAGGGACCATTAGGCCCGCGTTTGGCTTTCTTGCAGTATTGATCGCGCTTCCTATGCCGCTCGTATATCTGATCGATGTCCAGAAAGGAAGGGCGGATGCCGCTGCACTTTCCAAGCACAATGGACATATCGCGGGAGAGCCTATCAGGATGCAAGAATACGACAGAGTTGGCCAAGAAGACGACGATGAGGGACTTCTAAGACGGAGCGTGGATGCAGACTTGGAGCGTTGAGAGTATCACGCGACTTCTCGTTGTGCTGCTGGAATGCGAAATCTCATCCAGCGCTGTTACCTAACGGATCCAACATTATAGCACAGCTGGAAAGCCGGTACTCAAGCACGATCCTATTCGGGGTGTCAACCTTTCTCGACATCCCCAGATTGCGTAGAAGTGACTTGCATCAAGAATGTCGCCATTGGGAGCCGCTGATGATGATTTCCCGAACCGTGAGCGCGACCAAACTCAAAGTCTTACCAGCAATTCGCAGAGCCATCAATGAAATCTACTCAGCAATTGGCTCCGCACAGTAATCCGGGCGATGGTACTCAACGGCTCCTGCACGCCTTCAATCTCCCTGCAATGCAATATGATCGAATAAAAGAGTCTTCATCTCCAGCGTCTGCCCTTGGACTTCCGACTTGACATACACACACACACACACACACACACACACACACACACACACAAGCACACACACACTCGTTTGTTCAGATTCTCATCCCTTCAATCCTCAAATCCACACATACCCTCTATCGCCACGATGAAGACCGTCGCCATCGCTACTCTCATCGGCCTTGTCGCCGCCCAGCAGGGCGTGACTCAGATCGGTTCGCAACACTGCCTGCCTGCAGAAAGCGATCTCGCAACGATAGACTGACGGGAAGGCAGGTGATGGTCAAGTTCAAGCCCCTGTGAGTGCTGCGAGTGCTGCGAGTGCTAGCTCGTCGGCCGGTGAGTCTCAGCATCTCTTCATGCGGGATGATCGCTGATATATCCGTGATAGCTACTGCTGTAGCTTCCTCGCGCGCAAGCAGCGCTGCTGCCTCTTCCGCCAGCTCTGTTCCTTCGATCTCTACTACTAGTGCTGCTGCTGCTGCTTCCTCGGCTGCTTCCGGCGCTCATGTCACGCAGATTGGTGGGTTCATGGCCCTTTGCCTTTGGGGGCATTGAGAGGGATCCACGCAGCTGATGTTCTTCCCGTAGGAGACGGACAGGTCCAGGCCCCTGGCCCGGCTGCTACTGCTGCTGCTTCAAGCTCTGGCTCCGGCGCAAGTGCCAGCTCAAGTGCCGCTGTCTCCCAGATTGGTAAGACTTTCTCATCTAATATGAATGACATTGGAGAGCTTCTGCTTACGGTTTGCTACAGGAGACGGGCAGGTTCAGGCCCCTGGCCCGGCTGCTACTGCTGCTTCAAGCTCCGGTGCGGGCTCAAGCTCTGGCTCGGGCTCGACTGCCGGCTCAAGTGCCGCTGTCTCCCAGATTGGTAAGACTTTCTTCATCAAACATGAATGAGATTGCAGAGCTTCTGCTTACGGTTTGCTATAGGCGACGGGCAGGTTCAGGCCCCTGGCCCGGCTGCTACTGCTACTGCTGCTGCTTCAAGCTCTGGCTCGACCGCCAGCGGTGCTGCCAGCTCGAGCGCCGTTGCCTCCCAGATTGGTAAGACTTTCTTCATCAAACATGAATGAGATTGCAGAGCTTCTGCTTACGTTTTGCTATAGGCGACGGGCAAGTTCAGGCCCCTGGCCCGGCTGCTACCTCTGCTGCAGCAAGCCCAGCTGCTTCTACTGCGCGCGCCAATGCCACCACCGCAGCCGGCGTCACCCCTTACACCGGCGCTGCCGCCAAGCTCGCCGCGGGCAGCTGCGCTCTCGTCGCTGCTGTCGTTGCCGTCTTCGCTTTGTAAGTAAGTAAGTAAGAAGCTGGAAGAAGAAGAAGAAGAAGAAGGAGGTGGGAAGATGGGGAGGGGGGGCCAAGGGTTACTTACTTCCTACCGCCTCCTCTTCCAAAAGTTGTGTATATTAGTTGGGGGTTTGTTTTGTTTGTTTGTTTGAAGTAGAAGAAGAATTAATTTTAGAAGGGAGAGGTTTCTCTTCCGGGCGTTGCGATTTTTCAATATTATTAGAATGTTTTCTTCTATATATACATATCTACATCTTGCTTTGGATTTTCGACGGTTTTGTTTGCCTCGAATGCTGCGACTTCATATTACGGACGAAGTATTGAGGCATGGAACGAGAATCCCTGCCTGCATGTGTCCGGCCGATTTCGGGTTCCGGCTTCGGATATCTAATCTACAGGATTGATCCATTTTTTTTTCCCGTCCTCTTGTTTTCCATCATCTCATCTCATCTCACGTTCTTGCTCGTCTTCATCATAAGGTATCGATCAATCATTTGCAGCACAACGCTTCGAGCCGGCAGTGTTGTTGTTGTTGTTGAAGAAGGTGCCGTTTTTGGCGAAGACTGGGTCGGGTCGGGTTGCCGGTGGTACAGGATCAACGTAAAGACGGCACGGCAGATTGGGAGCCGTCTAACCTTCTTTTCTTTTCCATTTCGTCTTCCTCGTTCTGCTGCATTATTTTCAATGATGATGATGATGATGATGACTTGTTGATATATCGCTGGAGTCTTGCTTCTCGTTTCCGATGATTTACAGTGTATAGCTCAGGCCATATTCATCCGAAGACAACGCCCGCATCTTTGGCTACTCGAACGGAGATGAGGCTATCCACGGGACTCGTGGTCGCCGCCAGCATCGTCAAGGCTCAAGGTCAAGACGCGGAGTCGAAGCGATTTTGCCATGGAGTGACGAAGCCGCTGGTCTCGGATGAGGCGCAACAACGCTCTGCGCTGATATACTGCTCATCATTGCTATCCGTTCCCGCCAGGGAGACGACTACGGTGACGGTGACGGTGACGGTGACGGTGACGGCGACGACTTCAGCACTTGGATCGGCGACGGCAGCTGCACCACCAACCCACTTTCCGCCCGTCTTCCATTCCTGCCTGTCCCAGCCCGAGGTCGTGCGCAGATTGGACGCCCAAAGACGACTTGCGAAGACCATCGTTCCCAAGCCGTCTGCCTTCCATGCCTACGGCTCCTGTGGACAGAAGTCGGCAGCTTGTAGCTGTATCCTTCCTTCTCTTACTTCTGCAGTCACAGAAACAGAGGTGAAAACGGCACATCCAGCTTCATCGACCGAGGCTTCTACTCCAACTGAAACAGCGAAGACCTTTGTGCTTCAATCCGAAGACGGGAGATTCGCCCGAGTCGACACTCGGAGTTCGCGTTCGAATCCGCTCCTCTTCCGTGCCGAGGCCAATGGCTTGTCCACACGATCTGCGACTGTCTTCACCTTGGACCCGGTTTGTGGACTCACAGCATCGGGCCCATTTACCATTCGCGGCCACCAAGCCATGCAGGCGACAAGGGCGGGGACGGACGCGGTCGTGTTCGAGCATCCCAACGCAGCTGGAACAGGATATACTCCACTCATGTGTGAAATTGCGGCCGTCACCACCCAACTGGTCTGCGCCAGCAATGGAGGCTCACCGCATTCCGGTTTCCTGGGGACGAACAGCGAATGGAACGTTGGCAAAGGCCATTGGAAAGATTTCGTGGTGTTTGCAAGACCCGCACTAGTAGAGAGCAGTGGGGCTCCCTCTGTCGTACCGGGTAATGCCTCCGTGGAGACGGATGTCTTTCTGCATGGCCCAGGGTCCCAAGAGGTCATCGGCTGAGTCGTCATCGGGCGATTGATCCAGTCTGGGCAGCGAATCGGCCCCCGCGGAAGAGGACTCGTACGGTCAGGAGCGATTTGTTCCATCTGGAAACATCGCTTTTTGCGAAGGGCGAGGAACTTTCGTCCCCGCTAAATTTTTGCTGCCCCTGACTTATGGGCGAGTCTGTGCACGAGGGCATAAGCGCCCTCGCTTGGTCGAGGTAGATATGCGCGTATGTACGCTGCTTCCGGGCCTCTGCGGAGAGCCTCCGTGCCCTCCCGTTGTCATTCACCCACCGACCAGCACATGCTTCTGGGCGTGAGTGCACAGACGGATTGTTCGACTTCACTGCCAACTGCAAGGATATACGTTTATGGATCTTGAGTCAGCAAGATCGATCCCGGAGACGTGTACCTCTCGACAAGTAAGACACTGTCAGGCCACCTTGCGAGACAACACATCGCTGGGCAACTGTTTGAACACTGGAGGGAAGATCCTACGCATCCTACGCTCTCTCGCCTTTCGCCTTTTTGTATCTCCGAACTCCGTTGGCATAGCTCCAGCCTGCCTGCTTCGGCCCATGATCGCTGCCGCTGAGATCTTTGAGATCCAACATCTCCTCGTCGTGGACCTCCTCGCACGCGGAGATGTGCTAGAGTAAGGCGGCTTGAGACATCAACAGGCAGCTATACCTATGCTCAGAGTTCCGAATAGCCGGGTTTGCAAGACTGTATACAGCGCGTACGGAAGTTCACACCATCCGCTTACTCCTGGAGCATCCGCAACGTGTACAGCTTGCTCGTGACTAAGCTCCAAAAGCCAAATTGCCCTAGATCGTAGAGACGAAATCTGAGGATGTCCAATGTGCAACAGACCGCCAAATTGCATTCACACATTGGGGAATAATTATGAATGCGAGATACGTATGTCTGGCCAGAGTCTTAGCGATGCTGCGGTTACAGCACGCTGGGACACCTTCAACTTCGTCCGGAACGCCAGGCTTAAGGGATCACCCTGCCTTTCTGGCACATTCCACGGAGGGGAACCCGACAGCTGCCTTGGGTTCTAGTTTGTTATTCGAGTATTACTAAGGAGACCCTACGACTTATACACATTCGCAGGAGACCTCGACCATGTTCAGAGGACGTTGGAGTCCGGCTTGCCCGTGTTCAGAGGCTCAGTGGAGAGATCGCTACCGGGAGCAGCCTGAGATCAGACTCACTCGTACATGCTTTTGTTGCCGTCGAGCCGGACTCGTGTCTGCTGCTTCTTATGCCGCCGGGAAGATGCAGCTGCAGAGAATCCGGTGCGTTGTTCTCGGCGCTCTGAAACAATCGCCGCGCTCCTACAAGAACAACCAATTCTTCGTCTGTAGCTGCTGACATCGGAATGAAGCCTTCGAGTCGCTGAATAGCCATGGCGACCGTTCTCCCACGATTCGACGCACGTCCAGGCGCAGACCGAGAAGACATCGAGCTTACTCACACGAATCCGACTTCACCTACAGGTTCCTCCACTGGCACGGAGAAGAGGACTGACGAGAAAGTTCACGTATCCTCCGAGGACATTCCTCCCCTCGGCGTCCCCAAGCACGAAAAGCGATTCTGGTTTCAGCGCTCGCAGGCGTTGGATAAAGATGCCATTGCCACCCAGCCTAGCGTCTACGACGACCCTGTCTCCGCGAAAGAATATCAGCCACGATCTGATTGGTAAGCTGAACCCGATGCCTTCCTTGTGGTGGTCTGCTTACACTGCTCTAGGGAAAATATCCATCGTTTCAATTCGTTGGCTCGGTGGACATGGCGCGAAGAAGCTGCGGTCGTTCGGAAGATCGATTGGCGCATTGTGCCCATCGTCTGCGCTCTGTACGTAGCGCTAGAGCTGGACAGGGCGAATCTCAGCCAAGCGAACTCTGATAATTTCCTGAGCGACATGGGGTTGACTACAAACGGTTTGGCACCTTCCCTTCACCGTTTGAATTTGGCCGTGGCTGATCTGTCACGCCAGACTATAATCTCGGCAACACCGTCTTCAAAGTGGCCTTCCTGTGTTCGGAGCTGCCCTCTCAGTGGTTAGCGAAGAGGGTAGGTCCCGACGTCTTCATTCCATTCCAAGTCACGGCTTGGAGTTTTGTGGCTGGCAGCCAATTCTGGCTATCGGGAAAGGCGAGTTTCTTCGTCTGTCGGGTACTCTTGGGCTGGTTTCAGGGAGGCTTTTCTCCTGGTGTAAGTTGGTCACTGGATACGGTCTCCATGCTTTCTGCTGACAATCGCGCGCTCAGGTGGTGCTGTATCTGTCGTACTGGCTGAAGCATGCCGAGATGACAATTCGCTTGAGTTTCATCTACACGGCAGAAAACCTCGCGGATATCGCATCCAGTTTCCTCGCTGTGGGGATTTTGGAAATGCGAGGGATTGGCGGACGTGCTGGATGGCGGTGGCTGTTCCTGATTGAGGTATAAACGACTATAACAACGCAAGATGGTCGGCACGGCTGATGCTCTTTTCAGGGACTACTGACTTTTGTCGTGGGTATCATTGCAGCGCTCTTACTGCCACCCTCCGCAAGCCAGACCACCGGTCTTTTCAGAGGCAAGAAGGGCTGGTTCACGGCCCGAGAAGAGGAGATCCTCGTGAACAGAATCATCCGAGAGGATCCTGCCAAGGGCACGATGCACAATCGGCAGGCCATCACGTTGAAGATGCTCTGGAACAGTCTCAAGGACTACGATCTGTGGTATGCCCCCGACTCCTACCACCAGGGCCGCGTCTACTTTCCTTTCCTGTGAGCTGATCTTGCTGCTATTAGGCCCATGTACCTCATCACCCTTCTGTCGCCCATTCCCACCGGCCCGCCGAATCAGTACTTCACCATCATCATGAAGAAGACGTTTAAATTCAGCACGACACAGACGAATCTCCTCACGATTCCGAAGGGCGTCTTACACAGTGGGTCTCCCCTCGATCGCATATCGCATTGCAAAGATCCAAAACTGCCCCCCAAAGATAGCTAACTTCCTCGAACCAGTAATTCTCATGCTCGTGATCTCGTATTCCTCGGAGCACTTTGGCGAGCGCACCTGGCATCTCACCATCGGCCACGTCTGGGAACTCCCCTTCCTGGTCTACCTGGTCTGCGGGAGCGTGAACAGAGCGAACAGATGGATCTACTGGACCTGCATGACGCTTCTCCTCGGTCATCCCAGCGCCAGTCCGGTGCTACATGCGTGGATTTCAAGGAACTCGAACGCGGTGCGCACGAGGGCTGTAGGCGCTGCGGTGTTCAGTATGTTCTATCAGCTCTCCGGGATCATCTCTTCGAACATCTATCAGAGGAGTAAGTGCCGAACATCCCCCCCTCCCCCCTTTCAAAACGGTGTGAGGCATATGCTGACGACGGATTGATTGGTGATGTGTAGAGGATTCGCCGAGTTTCCGGGCGGGGAATAAAGTGTTGCTCGCGATTGCTGTTCTGAATATCTTTACGTACATCGGGACGAAGGTCTATTATGTGAAGAGGAATCAGGCGCGCGAGAAGAAGTGGGAGCGCATGAGTAAGGAGGAACAGATTGAGTATCTGGAAAATACGAAGGATGAGGGGAATAAGAGGTTGGAATTCCGCTTGGCGCATTAGGGACGTCCCTCTCGACTACCTATCAGGAAGGATTTCTCGGTCAGATCGATTGATTCTGTGGTGCTGTTCGTCTGGCTGTCAATATGGCTGCTGTGGAAATATGCGAGAGGTGGTGAATTGTGGATGGATCAAGGGCATGTGCTGCCCAAGGCACACACGTGAGGACATGTGGGTCCGGGCACGTGAGGCCCACTTTTGGTCGGTGAATATGGCTGGACATGAGGACACTGCTACGACGACTGAATCCTCTGCTCTAAAGACTTCGGCCCTGCAACAACAGCTCTTGGATTTTTCTCAGCAACCAACATCGACCTCACGGCTGGATTTTCGACTTGCAACATCACTGCACCCAGCGTCAACTTTGCTCGATAAACTTCGACCAACAGCATCCACCAACAAGATGGAGCGGATATCATCTTACCAATCCTACCAGGAACTCCCACCAAGCTACAGCCGCGCCACTCGCAGCCCAACACGTCGCCGCAGCTCGACCAGTGCCGTCCGCCGAGTGGAATTCGAGTTGCAGATATGCAGCCTGGACAGCAGCCGCCGCGAGTCCTGGACGGAGCCCATCACTATCTCCCTCCGCTCCGACCTTGCGTGGGAGGACTACCAGAACACCCTCGAGGGCCTCTTCCGCCAACGCAGCTGCAACAAGAATAAATCCTTCACCTGGCGCACCTCGCTGTACTTCGCCAACGGACGCTTCCGACAGATCGACTCGCGCAACTGGGAGGAAGTCCTGCGCCAAATCATGAGCCTCGACTCACTGCCTCCCGGTTCGAAGGATTGGCCCACGCGCTTGGTGGCGAGGAGCAACATGATGACTTCGAGCAGATACGAAGAGCTCATGGATGGGTGTGCGCCGGAGGCTCCTGGCTGGGACGTGAATACCTGGAAAGACTACATGCTATGCGGTGGATGGTGTCTCGTTCCCTACGAGCGGGAATCTGCGTCTTCAGGTCTTCGTGCTGGCTTTCAGAGCCCAGAGCGCAGCCCGAGTCGCTCCAGAGGCCGCAGTCCCAAGCGCACCAGTACTTCTTCCCACCCTTTCACCTCCTCCTCCCAGCAGCGCCGCGAGAGTCCAGCCCGCGGCAGATCCCCGACCGTCAATATCGCCGCGCAGACTCGCCGTAACACCGAGATCAACACCCGCATGCCCTTCGACCCTCGCCGCGCTCCCCCAGTCAGAGTCCGAGACGTGAGCGCCGAGCGCAACATGTATCTCTCCCGCCGCGAACAGCGCCCTCGGGAGATCTCTCGTCGTGAAACGCAAGGCCTACAGAGCACGATGGCCGCCGCCAGCGCCGCTCGCCAGAGCAACACGCTTCCACATCCGAGTCTCCGCCGTGAAACCCAGGACGTGCAGAGCACGATGGAACGCACTACACTCCAGGGATCTACGCGAGAGCCGCGCCGTCAGAAGAGCCCTTGCCACGACACGGAGGCTAGAAGCCAGAGGAGCGGCACCCGTGGAGTCATGAGGCGGCGGCCGGGGGAGTTGGAGAAGTGGGATGGACGGGGCTATATGCCTTTCTTTTAGACTTCGAAAAGGGGACAGCGAGGAAAGCTGGGAATCACCGAAAGGACAGGATAGCACAACCAGCGTCACGCGAGTTTCTTGTTCTTTTGCTTTCTATGACTGCATGCAAAGGCGTTACGTTACAGAGAATGAATTTTTCCAGGCGGGGTTCTTTTTTCGGTTTATGAGATGATGAGCGAGCGTACGAGACTAGATAGAGGAGCAAAAGGGAGATGAGGACGCATGGGTTTCACGGCGATTGCGTCTGATTACTTCTTTCATCTTGAGATGCAGAGGCAGTCGGTCCGCGGCTTATTTCGCGGATAGAATGAGACTAGAGTGGATATCGCATGTCATGGAATCTGTTACGAAATTCCAATGATATATATTTTCTCTCTTTCTCGTCATTCTTTCTAGACTCGGTAACGATGCTCCTGGCCGGAATGCTGATGCCCTGCGGCAGGCGGCGCCAGAGCCAGAGCCAGAGCCGCGAGATATCTTCTCTATTCTATACCGGGCCTCCCTCCCGCTAAGAAAACGGAGATCATAGCTATGAAGACATATTGAGATGATGTCGGAAACCCTTTGTCGAGGTTCACGTCCGTACATAGGAAGGATTTCGGAGGGGATTGGAGAACGACTCGGGGACAGGCTTTTATTTCTAAAGGGAGCACTTCAATTCTGAAACGGATGACGAGGCTGGTCGGAGTGATGCGGGAAGGAAAGATTGGATTTTGATATGAGGGATGAGATTCAGGAAAGAGAACGGTATGGGAATTGGGACTGGCTCGTTTACGGGAATAAAAGCTGGAAATTCGAAGCCGCCGCGGCCGCCGCCATTGCTGGATTATATCTTCCTCGATAGAAAGGCTACCCGGTGGCCGAGGACGTATACTGTGCTGGCTAAACTGTCCAATCAGAGGGATTTCTGATAGTGATTCTCCCGCCAACGGCGTTGGATATCAAGCTTCTTGGTTTGGAAGAAGAAAAGAATAGAGATCTGTCGAATTGGCTGACTGTTAACATACACAAAAGCAATTTTCATCTATCACTAGATATATCTATCCGAGCATGAAACCAAACAGAACTATCTCATGCACGCCCTTAGAGTAGACTCTTCACCAGAACATCATGAATCCTTCCATCGCGAATGGCGCAATAGATAATCCCAATCCACTCTCCGATCGTCTTCTTGTCTTGCGTCTTGATTCGTGGTCCACGGGCATTCGGATCAGAGTACGTCGCATGCTCGACAAGTCCGAGATGTAACCGCACACCCAGATCATTCCTTACGAACCTGTACAACTTCTTGCCGCCGTTGCTAAGATACCGCGCCGTCGTCTCTGTAGCATGGGGCGGGAAGGTTTCGCGCACGGAGGAAATGCAGCTCAAGATGGTAGTTTTGCAGTCGTTGGAGAAGGCCGCGAGAGTGCTCATCGTCAACTCGGATGTGGTGCCAGCGACAACCTCGAGTTCCGAGGCCTTGGAGAGGATGACTGCCATCACTGAATCTGCCGTAGCTCGCGCCTGGTCTTCCAGGTCTTTGGTCTTGTGAGCAGATAAGCCCTTGTCGATGGCTTCCATAACAAGCTCCATGTAGTCGTGCCCTGGAAACAACTCGGCCAACGTCGTACATTTGAGACTTTCGCGAATGCGCTGCAGGTACTGCAACCGCATGACTTGCAGATCCAGCGCTTGGCAGACGGAATACAAATGCGCAGCGCACATGAGACTGACAATCTCAACGGCATCCATCGTATATCGAGCGCTGATGAGGGCCAGTGAGTTGACCGCTTGGTTGCTCATTTCAGCCGGCTGGACATGCGAGCTTACTGGGTTTGCGAGAAAGGCCAGCTCGGACATGTATGAAGCCATGTTGATGTCCACGCCCTTGAAAGTGAATGACACACTGGGATCGTCGAAGCAGAGATTCGGCGATAGACTGCCGTTCAGCGTGGGATTGATGAGCTCGGAGTTTTGGGCAAACAGGAGCTTGCCGAACATTTGAAGGCAAAGGCGCGTCTTTTCCGTGGCGGAAGTGACCGAAGTCGCCTGGAAATTGCCGCCGTGGTGGACTCGCTGGCCATTTGGATCAATGAGTGGGTTATCAGTGGTGGAATTGAGCTCAACTTCGAGCTGCTGGGCAGCAAGGCAGAGATCCTCGAGCTGAGGTGCGAGCCACTGGCCGGCCGTACGCAGGGCGTACCGATCTTGATAAAGACCGTCGGCACGGGAGCCTGAATGATGAGATCCAGCTAGTTTCGATCCCTCCAGGAAGCGACTCATGTTTGCTGCCGCCTCGATGTGACCTGGATGTGGCCTAGTCTCTGCGATAAAAGGGTGGTAGTTGTCCGCTGATCCACGCAGCGCTTCGGTACACATGCCAGTCAAAGCCTGTGTCAAGAGTGCCAAATACTGAGTTTCATGTAGTCCAAGCGTAGCAGCTGCACAGCTGACCGTCGTGCCGTTCATGATACCGAGACCTTCCTTGGGGCCGAGAGTAATTGGCTCAATCCGCGCTCGCTGCAGCGCCTGGTCCGAAGGCAGAATCTGCCTGCCCTTCTCCAACTGACAATCGACATAGATACCAGGATTTCCCTCCAGTGCGCCCGCGATGTATGACAGCGGAGTGAGATCTCCTGATGCAGAAATGGATCCACGCAGCGGAACGACGGGAATGAAGTCCAGATTCAGGAGCTTCAACAATGCGCCGATTACATCTCGACGGACAGCAGAATGGCCTTTCATCAAAGAGTTGCACCGAGCAAGCATTGCGCCCCGTACCATTGTCCTCGGAAGACTGTGTGCCTTCAACGAGAGGAGTAGATCTGACTTTTCGCAATTCCGTTGTTCCGTGTCTGTCGGCAGGATGATTCCAGAGTGGTGGTGCTGCAACAAGGCTTTCTGCAGGTTCACGAAACTGGAGGTCCTCGTATCGGCAGAGCCTCCAAATCCTGTGCTGATGCCGTAGACTGGCCTGCCTTGTTCCAGCAGATTGTTCAAGAAATCCACACTGGCGTCGATCTGTCTCAAGACTTGTTCTTCCGCTATCATCTCAGATTTTGCTCCGTGGCAAGAGACAGCAACTAGATCAGCAGGCGTGAGGTTCTCTCCACGGATCGTCACCAACGCGCCTGCTTTCCGGAGTTTTTGGACTTTCTTGTGATGTTCCGCAGTCCAATTGAAATGATTGCCATATTTCTGATTTGTAGACAGGTCGTTCGGGGTAGAGCCCAGTGTACCGCCGCCATTGCTCGTCTCGTTCTTCATCGTTGCTGCTCTGGGGCGTAGAGACTGGTCTCGTGGTGAAGCTGTTGACTCTGATTTATCCAAAGACGGGGTCGCAGGTTGTTTTCAAGACCGTGAGAACCAGGATACGCGCCAATGTGCTTTTTGTTGAGAGTGTCAGCTGTAACTGTGGGTGTCACAACGTATGCGTCTGACACAATGCGCGCGATATTCGCGAGATGTTTGATTTATTCGACGTCAAGGAACAAACGCCACGTCGGTTCATCAAACAGAAGTAGCCAACGTACCTTGCATCTCTTTCGGGCAGGTCGCATGATGATGTTTCCCCAGTGACACCACCAGGCGGCGGCAACCACTCTCCGGCTGAGGGCACGCTGGGAAGTTACATTGCTTGTTACACAAGAGCGCCTCTTGCTGGAGTAAGTCCCTCGAACTGCGGGTAAGTGTTTGCTGATAGTCATCGGTATCCCGGGCTCACGCGCATGTTAATACAGGCCCTTGCAGATTAGACCCATGCTGTGCATGTGTTAAACTTACAAGTCTTGCGACCCCGTGATGTCTGCCACGTTCTCAGACATTCTCGGGCACAATTCTGGCCTTGAGATACCCCTGCTGTTGTGTAGGCGCTAACACGAAGAAATCATGCACCATCTCTACAGTTTTGAAACTCATCTCATGCAGCTCGAAGGCGAAACGGCGGAGAACAGCGCCACGTGCGAGGTGCATTTCGGCACCCGATGCAAGATCTGCTGTCCTTTGTTGAAAGCGATCTGATATTCTGAACTCCTTCGTCCCCGGTGAAGAAGACTTCGGGATCAGGGAATACGCACGAGTCAGGGAGCACTAAATAGGGTGTAGAAGATATGGGAGTTTTCGATGGAATGATCCAGTCTTGGTACTCGAGTGGCTCCGAAGACATTGGAGGCAAGCGAGGATCCCTTAGGATAGGCGAAGGCCCTCTTGGATGTCGGCAGCAAGGTAGGGCGGCTTCTCAAGTCCAGACTAGGACGAGAGCATGGCCGGATCAGGCATTGCACGGCGAAACTCATCTTCCAACAATCTCATACATTCGTCGTCGGTAAGGAGATAGTAAAGAACTGTTGTCAGTGTTTTCGCAGTAAGGTAGTTTCGCTTCCAGCCCCATCTCTCCCTCATCGCATAGTCGTCGAAGATTGCGCTCGTGGGGAGGTAGATCGCTGTCGCTCAGAGCATGAAAGATTGTCTGATGACCAAATCGTCTGTCCACCTTGTTATCGCAACGCTCCCAAATCGGCTCTACAACTTCCTTCACGCTGTCCTGCCACATCAAGAATTGGCCCATGTTGGCAATGATTGGCCCGAATTTTCTCATGCATTTGGTTGATGTTCCGCGTTTCCAGCACGGCGTGGTAGTAGTATTCGTACCAGAGGATGCATGCTGCCAGCTTCGGTCTTGCGTATCCGGCCAATGTATGGAATCATAGGCGATGGAAGACGGTGACCAGACAATATATCGTGTACGAAACGATCTCCCCATAACCCGCGGTGTGGAGAATCGTTGCTCCCATCGCGTAATGCTTGTTGGACGTCGTCTCTGCTATCCAAACTTCATCGTTCAAAGGTCGAGGACGTTGATCAATGTATTGACAGGGCACAGTCCGTCGAAAGGCTGGTGGGAGTATCGTTTGCTCCGAGTCGTGGAGGAAAGTAAAATTGTGGTTCGGAACTGGGGCTCCGCATTCCCCCGCAGAGCGGCCCGGACCTTTTCGGGCCGGCGCGCGCCAGAGCGAGTCGGCATGCCGTCGGCTATTGCGATGCCGACTCATCCTCTGGACACAGGGACAATCTCCCAAGAACAACTTCTTCCATCAGTGTTGGTTACTGTTGCTTCTCCTTTGCATTGTCACTATTCGCCTTCTCGTTGAAGAGCGCAAATCTGATGCTCATGGCACGCACAGCCCAAGACAGCATTCGTACAAATCTGACCGAAAATTCTCGCCTCCAAAACACCATAGCAAGGCATTGATGGTTTGGAGTATCGTCAAAAACGAGTTGGGCATCTGTAGACGCGTCTGTCTATGTCGATGCCCAATGGAGAAGGACATCGGGCTCTCTACCGTCCCCTCAGATAAACGTTGAGACAGAGGTACTAGCCGCTTGCACTTCTCAACGCAACACACCAAATCGCCCCGGTTGATCTGGATGCAGAGCCGTGATGCCAGTAGCGAAACCTTTTCTGACTATTAATGCGTGCCCTCATCGACGCTTTCAGTCGACTCATCCATCTTTGACTATCAGTACGAAGATGGACGTTGATATCACGCCTTCCGGAAGGGCCAGTATCTTCTTCTTCCCAACGACCAGGTCGACCAAGATCGCCTCAATATGACATATCACAGATTCAAACTATCGCTAGAAGACGATCTTCGTCTGACCAAGCTGAAAGGTCCAGAGCAGATTCTGGATGTTGGCACAGGTACCGCAATCTGGGCCATGGAAATGGGCGGCCTCTTTCCGGACTGCAAGATCACCGGAACCCACCTCAGTCCTGTGCAACCATTTGGGTGCCTCCTAATGTCGAATTCGAAATATACGACGCTAGAGCTGACTGGGCCTTCGATCCCGACTATTTCGATTTCATTCATATGCGCGCCTATGGCCGGGAGCATACTGGACTGGCCCATCTCTCTTCGACAGCGTTACAGCTATTTGGGACCAGGAGGCAGACTGTAGATTGCAGAAGTGCGGGCAAACCTCTGGTCCCTGGATGATAGCAATGTTTCAAAAGAGAGCTATACTTACAAGTGGCTAATGGAGTGCAGAAGGGCCAAGAACCTTCTCGACCACATTGAGCCGCTCTTCCAGTGGGCTTACTATAAGCTATACTGCCAGTAGAATATGGACCGAGATTCCAATCACCACCGTGATTGGCGGATCTACCTTGCCCCCGACCTATTTAGGTACTGCCTCCGGATCTTCGCTAGTTGTGCCGACGGCCAAGTATGTATTGGGCGACTCCACGATCGTCAATACATCTAGAGGCTTCATACCTGACATCAGTCCAGACAGTAGTAGACGGCCGAGTTTTATTTGCGATTTCCTGGGATCTGGTATCATTCTGGGTCAACATATAGAGGGTCGAGTGGTTCTCAGCAGGGTGGTTTCTGGAGGGAGGCTGAAGTCTCTGTTAGTAGTAAAATTCGACTCTGTTTGGGAACTGATAGAACGCCGTACCGGTCTTCTCAATGCTACGTTGGGGTTTTCATGTACTGCCAGCAGCGCTTGTAGTAATTGTTTCCGGACTAGCGGAGACAACATCACGGGAAAAGAAGCTGTCTCACCCACTAGTCCCAAGAAGGAAGTTGCGGAGAGCCCCAGTAACGTCACCGGGTACAAGGATGAAGACCAACCTGACCGTCGGCTATTGAATCTCCAAAAAGTAATAGTCGCGTGCACGAGAATTGTTGTCACCACCAACCTACACAATCGCCCAGAGGAAGGAGAATCACCCAGGGAGAACCATAAAAAAACCGCAAGACATCATCACCGGATCTGAAGCCCACACGCCCAAATTGAAGCAAGCCATGGCCGTCGCCTCGGAAGCAATCACCAACATCCTCCACCAACTAATGGACGAATACGGCTCTCGCCTCAGCATCGACGGCGGCTCCGACGTCCTCGTAAGCGACCCTTCCCTCGCCAAATCCCTCCACGAAGCCACCGAACCCGTCCGAACCCCCTTCGGCCCCAAAATCACAATCACCGCCCGCTCAACCCCCGAAGCACCCCGAGACCTGCCCAATACCAGCGTCGTAGCAGCCGACGCCCTCCAGATGGACCACTACACGCACGCCGTCTTCGGCATCGACGCCGAAGACCCGAAATACATCCTCGAGGGCCTCAAGAAGATGCTGTACGGGATGCGGCCCAAGGGGTATGCGATTGTGATTTCGTTGAAGCATGAGACGAAGCGCGGGGAGAATGGCGAGGGGGGTACGGTGAGTTTGGAGGATAAGATGAAGTATCAGAGTAAAGGGAAGATTGACAATTTGAGTGATGTGCTTTATTATGCTGGGTTTGAGAGGGGACGGATTAGGAGTCTTGACAAGGTGGCGAAATTGAGTGATGGGAGGGAACAAGGGGCGGAGGTGATTTTGGCGATGAAATGGGATCAGTTGACTGCGTGAGGGAGAGAGAAAGCGCAGAGACGGCATTTCTTGAGGGGTGAAATTAGAACTTTTCTTGTTCTTTTGAATTTTGGAGAATGCATTACAGATCTGTCTGTTGGTATTGTTGCATTTGCCTGCTGATGCAGTCACGACGCTCAAAACGATTCACAGTCCTATCTTACAACCCTACCAACTTCCCCTGGCCTATACGACTATCGCAACTTCACAATCTTAGTACTCCCATCCATCCCATCATCCCAACCTAGGGTCTTCGTACGAGTCGTAAGAACCCTCTTCCCGCCCCAAGCCGTCCCGGGCCTCTGCACACTAACCAATTCCAACTCCCACAATTTCTCCGAATCCCCCACCAATTCCACCTGATCATTGTCCAGTCCAATTTCGACCTCGGTCCCTTGCATGCCAACTCCCATGCCCAGCGTACCAGGGATAGGCAAGAAATCCATGGCGAAGCTCCACATGTAGAAGATGAAGAAGAGAGCGACGAACCACTCGAAAACGACGGAGAGGTTCGTGAAGCCCGTGAGAGCCGTGCAGCCGAAGATCGCCGTGAGGCCGAGTTCGATGAGGATGAAACAGAGCTTGACGATGTAGGAGCGTCGGATGAGAGGATTGGAGGGGAACTTGAGGGAAATGCGGTGTTTCTCTAAACACATGAAGATTGCCGCAAGTAGGTAGCCTCCGATGAAGACTCCGATGGAAGGGTCGTGGACGTGGGTGTGGTTTCTTGCGTCCCAGATGGTGAGGTTCATGAGGCCCGCGGCGCCCATGAGTGTGAAGAAGGAGGCGAGGACGGACATGGTGCTGCCCCAGAAGCTACTGGCGTGGATGAGGAGGCCTTTGTGGCGGAGCCAGCGTTCGGTGAAGAAGGCAGCGCTGAAGCTGCAGACGGTGATTGCTGAGCCAGTGATGAAGAGCGGCTTGCCCCATTCGGAGGCACCGACGTCGGAGATGTAGGCTAGGGATTGCTTTGTCTGCATTTCAATGTAATGTGGTGAGCCTTTAAAGCACCATGTTATGAGCATCGTTAGAAGTGTTACTGCGGAGGCGTCGTTAGCTGGGCCTCCGAGGTACCATGATATATGGAGGGACAGAACTTACTCAGCCATGTGAGGCCAGCGAATATTGGTATCGTCCAGCAGGGTATTCCGAAAAGGCGTGGCGAGGCCTGGACTGAGTGTGAGAAGCCCACCATACTGAAGGCAGCACTAAGATCGATGCTGTGTCGTGTGCTCGCTCCTCAGAGCTCTTTGCTGCCAGTCTCAGCTCCGATGGCATCCAATCAACTCAGCAAAGAGCGTATCTCGTCATCCAGACCCCTCAAGCGGGTGTCTCTCCGTCGACTCTTTCTTGGTATCTTCAACGAGCGTGTTTGAATGAGCGTGTTTGAATGAGCGTGTTTGAATGAGCGTGGGTGAGCGAGCGTAAGTGACAACACAGTGCGAAAGGAAGCAAGAGAGAGCGAAGAAGAAGGAGAGGGGAGAAAGTAGGAGGTAGAGTCCAGCGGTACTTGCCAGTGGAGAACGGTCTCACAACATCTCACCATATCCATGAATTGATGTATCGTCGTGAAGATCGCATCCGGCGGCTGGTATTCAAACCACTTGCAAAGAGCGGCTCGGGGAAAGACGCTTGACATTGCACAACGGTGATCGGCAGCGGGTGAAGTTCTTGTTTGGCCGAGTGAGGTCGAATGTAGCAAGTAATACAGGGCGGAACAGCGGATGTGATGATACCGCGCCGCAATGGGTAGCAGGCGCTTCAGGCCGACCACGGTGTCGTCTATTGCAGCATGCGATTACCGTTGGCTGCGACTGAAGCCACGTGAGGAGAGATTCCTCGGTGCTGCGATGCTATTCGTCCGTCTCTTGTTCCGTTCATTTTGGCGTCTGGTGTTGGCCTGAAGATCACTCTTGGGCGTCTGGTAACGTCGATTGGCGCCCTCCAGTCAGCCGCTCCGTCGGAGAAACATTTCCCCGATATACTGTTGCTCGACCGCATTAGGCAACCTAGCGCCATCGATCCAGCCCCTGCATCGGGTAAGTCGGCATGCTTAGAACACTTCTCTTCCACTCGCTAACAATATTGTTTTCGTTTCCAGCGTGCAAGAGCCGGGTCCTGCAGTGGGAGCAGAGATAGTGGGTCATTCGTCTTCCCGAAAGACTTGCGCGATGGTATTGATTGAGGGAGCTGCGGTGGAGGTGGCGAAATAGGGGGAAGAATGCTGGGATATCGAATGCTGAGGCTGATTGGGGGCGACATTCTGCCCAGTGGTAGATGTTGATGGTGAGCGGTCCGTGTGATGAAGCTGATGGTGTTGTATTGACAGATGGCTTCCACAATGGTCTGCTTCTTACGTCTTGCGAGTAGAGGATAAGAGTGGGTTGAGTATGGAAGACTGACAACAATCCTAATAGATGGTATCACTCAGCTCGAGAAGTTACGGTGCTTCAGGTACCTTCCCGAGCAAGTATCTTCGTATCCGCTTACTCCAGAACAGACCCTGTGTACCCAGCGACCTTCTTTGTTCTCTTGGTGGTCTCTCACGGACAATGCGGATTAGCTGAGGTTCTTTGTCCCGCTGTCGAACAACAGAGTCGACGTGTCTGAGTCGAAAACAATGCAATTGTCCTTCGATGGCCAAGACATTGTGCTTGCGACTACATATACCAAGCTGGACCCTACGCATAGATCAAGACATACCAAACGACTTACATGTACTCATCCAGCTTGCCTTGATCCTCAACCCTGTCTACCCAACAGCTTTCGAGAACGTCTGGAACGTCGAAACCCAAGGCGTAATGGCTAGATTTCTCTCATCCCAGATTCGAAGACGAGGCGCCGAAGTCCAAATCGACGTACAACGACTCCTCCACATCGCCAACCGCTCACTCGCAAATATAGAAATCGACCTCATCTTCGTAGGAGAGGACGAAATCTTCCAAGACGAAATCAACGGCGAAATGTTCCATACCAATGCAATTCGTCAAGACCTCGAAGACCTGCTAGCTGATTTGCGCGCAGGGATCGCGGAAACTGATGATGCGAGAGCTTGTGCTGTCTGGGCTGCTATAATTCGGTACGATTCCCATGATGGGTTGTCTTCGGGTGAGAATCCAGGAAATACTTGTCCAGCGGATGTTTGGAGTGAGTATGTCAGGGAGACTTTCTGTAGGCCGGTCTGGGAGCAGGCGGCTAGTGTTGCTCCGGTGGAGTCGATTGATCCTCTTGAAAAGGTTGCAATTGTGGAACGGAGATGGAGCTGGGCTGGGATTCCTGCTATTAAGCATCGTGTTTGCCCTAATGTGGCTCGGCGGATGAGTTTCCAGGAGTAGTTTGGTCTGCTCAAAATATGTATTTGGTGGTAAGGACACAGAGTGAGTGAGTACTTTCCTTTACCATCAAATAACATTCACGCGAATGGAACTCGCTCCATCAAAATGCGCATCTCCATCCCCATAATTGCTTCCCATCATTTCTCAACGAACAACTCCTGGTCTCCATAGCCGCTTTACCCAACGGACTTCCCATTTCACAAAGCCATGTCCTCTGCTTTCATCCTGTTCCCATTGTCATCCCAACTCTTTGACCCAGCAAAGATCCCTTTGTCCATCAGTCTCGGGTGTCTATTGTAATAGAAACCACATAAAGTCCCCCAATCGGCCTGGACACCCGAGTTCTCATACTCCCATAACCGTAAGATCTTGCACCGAATCACTCACCCACCCACATCCGTGAAAACCAAATCCGTAGCCCTCGACAGTCACAGCGTTATCATCCACACCCACGCAAGCAAAAAGTAAGTCCCGTCCTCCCTGCCTCCACGATGGAACCACACCGCACCACGGAAATCCGCAATCTAATTTTCCAGATCCGCAAAGACCTCGTCCTAAGTGAAATCCGTCTGACTTTCTGCGAACGTCTCCCTGATCTCCACTCCAAAGAATTGCGAAAACGCGAGCGCAAACTCCACGATCTGGACCATTACCTTACCCTCCTGAAAGCTCTGGAAGAACAGGAAGAATTCAATCGTCAGGGGAGAGAGTTTGGGTATGTGTTTCGTGGTTCGGATCCTGCGGGGGGTTTGCCTCATAATATGAGGGATTCAAGGCCGGATGATGTTAGTCCTGGATACCGGCCGCATGCTACAGATAAGCTTGGTGCTGATCTTGTGCATGCGCGATTGTTTAGGGCCGTGAAGTGGAAGTTACCGGATAGGATGGTCACGATGGCGAAGATTGGACCAAGAGACGAGTGGGTTACTGAGACAGATATTTAGTAGTATAGATCCGGCTGTGACATGAACGGCATTGCAATGACCAGTGGAGCGACTTTGAGAAAGAAAAGAGGCTGTTTGATAATTAGGAAACTAAATTCATGTACTCACAAAATTGCGGTCATACCCAGATGGGCAAAGTTGAGATCGTCAGAGCTCATTTGGATCGCATAAAGAGTGTCCTTCCGTGAGATGAAGAAATCGTTGATACTGCCCTCAGATCGTATTTGGATTGAAAGAATTCCTCCAAACTGCTCAGAACACCGGTATCGACCTTCAGAAAACATCGCAGTGCGCAAGATCTGCATCAAAGCTTCATATTGTTGCACTCGATTTGGGCGATTTTGGTGCGTAGGAGGTGAACTTATTCGTCCTCGAGGCATGCTATCCAGGCAAGCACTGAAGTTGATAGGATGGCCTGCATCTCCGTCATTCCATGAGAGTGGCTAGATTCAGTGAATTGCATGTCTCGTGCGCGACGTACCAAGATACTCATACTCGACAGAGGGTTATACCAGGCTTGCGTGGGCTTTAGAGCCTCTGGACAGAGAACAAGAGTCTCCTCATATTCGGCTCCCACCACACGGGCAACTCTTTCGGATCCTTAGGTTTACCATCTGGAACGGGAAAGCATCCTTCCAGATCCAGAGTCCCACTGGCTTTCCACTTGGTATCGGTCACCTTGCCGACTTCATCGAACAGTCTCTGTAAGCTCGCGACGTCATGTCTCCAGCCCGTGGCACCAGCGTGTAGAGCCGGGTACTCTGCAGGGACAGTGCTGCCGGTCATTCGACCGACAATGCTTGCGTTACCGCGAGTGAACCTGGCGATGAGAGATGCTAGTTGTACCTGTTGTTTCCAGGGGAACAGATGAAGGATAGCCGAAGCATTTACGATGTCGAATTGCTCGTACAAGTCTTGAAAGTGTGCGGGAGGGGAGAGCATATCGCCGATGAGGAATGTGGCTTGCAGTGTTTTCTCATCGCAGAAGAGGTCATGGCCAGTAGTGACAAGTTGTTGTTCCAGTTCCAGACCGTAGAGGTGTTCAGACGGAACGCCGTCCGCGACAAGTTGTCTCCTGCGAATCTCGTCAGACTTTGCTCTGCCTGAACCGCTGGCTCGAGCCAATCATACATGTCCTGAGCGAAACAGCATCCTACATCCAGAAACGTCTGCCCTGATTTCAGTCGCTCCAAGATGCGTGGGTAGTCAGGATGGCTGAGGAGGGTGAGCGCCATGAATTTCCAATGCCCTATGCACGGGTACGGGCAGATGTCGAATGCTGCCCTCCGCTTCTCCAGACTTAGCAGTGCGACGCGGACGCGACGTTTGGTTCGCACGACGTACCACATGGTTGACGTGCGCCACGGTTTGATCTGCCGGAATGCCCGAGTAGTTCTCCAGGAGTCTCTGGAAGTCGGCGGGCAACTTGGTGACGTCGGGCAGGTAGTGGCGCATTGCCCGATCATCTTTGTCTTGGGCGGTAACACTCATCTTGATGAAGGTGTCGACAGGAGGTTGTTGAGGGTCGGAAAGAAGTCTACACTCATCTCTCCAGACTCAGCTTGGGCATCCAATCGCTGACGGGATCCACTGGAAGGAATGAAGGAGTCGGGTGAGATGCCATGCCGCATTGCCGGGAGTCTAAGCTGGCCTGGCTCCATTCATACAGCGCCTCGAGCCTTGACGACGCTTGAGGATATCCATACTGGGGATGATAAAGTGATAACAAGAGGTAGAAGAAGGGGGCAAAGAGGAGGCGGATGAAGAAGGTCGGATAGCGCGCCACGATAACCCCAACCCTAACCCTAAGCAATTGAGAACAGCTCCCCCCATCAAATGGCCATGAAACTTTGACGACTAGCTTGATGAGGCGCTACACTACACGTACCTTCGTTAGCGCTGCATCTCCTTCTCTCTCGCACCACCTTCGCCAGATTTAACATCATCACCATCATCATCAGAAACGCCGTGCAACACGTCAGCTCACACAGCTTCTCCGATAGCGGTCTTCTAATCTCGAGGTGGATGTGTGTTTCATAGGCGCCGCCGAATCATCATCACCGCCAACTTGAAGTCTGCGGTGCCTGTCTGCAGCAACCTACGAAGCTGGAGTGGCCCTCCCATTCCAGTAGTAGTGTAGCTCCACCACGATCAAGCCATGTCACACTGCATCCAAGAGCTCGCATGGACAGCTTGAACCTACACAGAGACTCGGCGTGCCCACGCTGCTGTTGATCGATTCCAATGCCGACGAGGCACCGCTGAGACATGCAAACATCATACCCAAACATTCGACCTGCAGAGAGCTCTCAGCATTATCAGCGCTGCTCCTGTCCACCGAGACTGAGGAGAAGCATGGAGTCTCATTGTCGAGGCTTTCCCCCCAGGCATGTCAATCCAAAGCTAACAAAACACACTTTGTAGCACGACCGGCACCCGACCACCCTATTGCACGATATCCAGTAGAGTTTGCCCCTACACCGAGCCGCTCGAGCTCCATCATGCGACACCTTGTCAAGACTTGCCGCAACGCGACGATCTAGTTGGGATGGCTACCGTGGTTTGGCCAACACCTCCGCTGTCGTTTACGCCTCTCTCTCCTCGAGCCGAGACAACATATAGCCATCGCCGTAGCCATGGTTCGATTGCGAGCACGTTGACTTATCGCGCACATGTCTCTAATATGTACGCTCGGAGCAGCACTTTGCTCATCACTACAAGGCATTGTCCCCTCAATACCTGGTGTGACTACAGTTCCCCTCCCCGTGGTAGATCTCGGATACAACTTGCAGCAAGCAACTTCCTATAACTTGCAATACGACCTCTACCTCTTCTACGACGTCCGATACGCCGCTCCACCGACCGGACCAAATCGTTTCAGAGCCCCTCAGGATCCCGTCACGAATCGATCGAGCGTGCAGACTGGTGGCTCACAGTGGGCGTGTCCCCAGGCAGTTCCCAAGTGGCAGTCTATCCCCAGTCAATTTTTCCCGCAATACGAGAACGGGACCACGAACTTCACCCAAGGCGAGTTCCAGGAGACGGACCCGCCTACCTCACCGCAATACGCCCGTGAGACAGAAGACTGTCTCTTTCTGGACCTGTACGTTCCGAGGTCAGTCTACCAAAATGCTGCCAAGCCAGGTGCTCCCAGCATACCGGTTGTCGTACAGATCTATGGAGGCGGATTCATCCAAGGCGCCAAGGACCTCAACCCGGGCGGGTGGTTTGTGAGGGACAAGGAACAGGGCGGCAATGGTATCATCGTGCGTACTCAACCTTGCGATGTGTCGCGAAGTCACTGACAGGCCTTTCGTGCAGTTCGTTAGTATCAACTACCGGCTGGGCGCCTTTGGATGGCTAGCAGGCTCAACACTCCAAAAGAACGGTGACGCCAATGCCGGGCTTCTTGACCAACACTTTGCCCTCCAATGGGTCCAGAAGTATGTCAGCAAGTTCGGAGGCGACCCCAACAATGTCACGGTGATTGGAGAGTCTGCTGGTGGAGGCTCGATCATGCATCAAATCACCGCATCTGGAGGTTCATCCAACGCACCAGCTTTCAATAAAGCCATCGTCCAGTCTCCTGGCTTCCATCCTATTGACCAGGATAGTGTGAACGAGGCTACTTTCCAGGCGTTCTTGGATCTGCTCAACGTCTCTACCATCGCTGATGCGCGTCAACTGTCTTTCGACGACGTTTACGCAGCAAATGCGAGACAGGTCGGCAATGCACCCTACGGACAGTTCGTGTACGGTCCTGCTGTCGATGGCACTTTCGTACCGGGTCTGCCAAGCCAGCTGCTCGAGGATGGGAAATTCCACAAGAACGTGACCGTCATGGTCGGACACAACGCTGACGAAGTAAGGTGCTAAGTGCTGACGAAGCAAGCTGCTAAGCGCCCTCCTTGTGATAGAAGACTGATTCTTGAAATAGGGTATCCTCTTCACCAACCCTTACGTCCAAAACGACACGGCCTTCCTCCAAGACGTGGGGAGCTGGATGCCGCCTCAGGCTGCGACGAACACCAGCCTGGCATACATCAACAGCACGCTGTACCCACCCGTCTTTGACGGCACTCACAATTACACCAACCAAATCGCTCGAACCGCATTCGCTATTTCGGAGCTGGTCTTTACTTGCAACACGTTCTATCTGGACAAGGTAAAACTCCCTTCCCATTCACTCAACATCCAAAGCAGAAAATTTCTCCAACTAACACCTCTCCCTCTCTTCTCTTCCAAAAACAGGCTTTCAATAACCAAACTCACGCATACCTCTTCGCCGTTCCCCCCGCTTACCACGGTCTCGATGTCGGGTATACATACTACACCGACCTGGAAACAACCGACCCTTCGACCCAAGTCGCGGTGAACATGCAGAGGTACTTCCTCCACTTTGTCAAGACGGGGAATCCCAACGGCGCGGATGAGATTTTCAACCCCTGGTCGGAATACGGCATCGCAGCGACGGAGGTGGTCTTCAACACGACTGGCAATCTGAGACTCCAGCGGGACGAGACGGCGAATGGGAGGTGTAACTGGTGGCAGGAGAATTTGTAAGTCTACAACGTATTGCTTTTTGCGTGGGGGAAAGATTCATCTCGCTAACTTGTGGTGGTGGGGATAATAGGTCGATGAGTAGTAGTGGTACGACGACTGCGGGATCTCCGGCTACGAATAATTCCGACGATTCGGACGATCAAACGCATCACTCTACTGCCAAGGGGCGTGGTGTTTCCAAGGCGGTTCCGGGATCGAGCGTTCTGGCCCTTTTGGTTTCTTTTCTGGTCCTGCTGGCTTGGTAGATTTTGACGAAGTAGTAGCGAACGAACGAGATTCAAGATTCTTCTTTTTTCTCCTTGCTTCTTCTTAGCGGCATTCGCGAAATCTTGTCTTGGGATCGGTCGGTCTAGAGATGACTTTAAGAATATCTTTGAGCAGTTTTTTTTTTTCATTACCTCACGCAAGATAGCTTGCGAATAGTTCTTCCCGAGCATTCTTTATGTTCGAATTGCATAGCCACAAGACTTACAATGCAGATCCCGCGCCGAGAAGAAAACAACGTGCGAAAGGGAGTCCGAATGAAAGAATTTCTCGACTTTGACGAAGTCGTAAGTAAGTAAAAAGAAAAGAGATGGCCTATTCTTGTCGTAGGGAGTCTTTTAAAATTGATATATAGACTTAGTAATATTGACATATCTTTTTGCGTCTTGCTAGCTAATAGTTACTAGCTATATATTAGTAGTATTAGTAGTAGTAGATACATATATAAGATATATTAGATATTTCATAAGATGTATTATATTACTACTAGATAATCGTTCCATCTGCGATTATAAGTTACGATAAAGACTTTATAATAGAGTATTAGTTTCAATTGTATCTAACTCTAAGTAGTTATCTTCCTCTTACTCCCTCTAACACTGCTTCAAAGTTGGAGATGGTTGATGCCTGAGGTATATTTAGAGCCGTATACCGTACGTACCTTAGATCAGCAATCGGCAGGGATGTTTCGGGAGATGGAAGCCAGAATGTTGGCAGAGCGGCATGATTCAGCATCCTCCATCCCATGAGACAGCCCTTCCTTCTACACTGCAGCGACAGAGAAAGACAACAAATCGATTGGATGGACGACGAGACGCGACGTCGCCCAACACACGCCCCAAACGACAACGAGTTGAGGTCACCAGCAGCCGAGCAACGCCGCGCCGCGCCGCGCCGCGCCGCGTGCACCCACCCATTACCATACTGTACCGTACCGTACGCACCGCACGACAGCTCGCACTCGCGTCGCAGCCAGCTCCGTACCCGTACCTTACCGTAGGGCTGACTGGACCCGAGTCCTCTCAGTACTGGACAATACAATACCGTGCTGGAGGTGGTATCCCGTACCCTCCCTCCCTCCCTTCGCTCTGGAGCACGTGCAACACCGCGCGCATCGGTATAAATGCCACCGGTCAAGACACAGGCCGAGCATGATGCCAACGAGCGCCGCACCAAGGCAAGACAACCCGGCCCTCCACTGAGAGCCGCATACCTTATATGCTAACGCAACCTCCGCCGCTCCAGCTCGCCAACTCCTACCAATCCCTCCTCAACGAATTCAATTCCGCAGACCTCACCACCGTCGGCAACTACCAACTCGGCCGGCTCATTGGCAAGGGCAGCTTCGGCAAGGTCTACCTGGCCCAGCATAAGCTCACCAATGCCTCCAAGGTAGTCCTCAAATCCGCCAAGAAGGACGACGCGAACCTCGCGAGGGAGATACACCACCACAGACAATTCGCACACCCACACATCGCGAGACTATACGAGGTCATAGTGACGGAGAGCCTGGTCTGGCTGGTCTTGGAATACTGTCCGGGAGATGAGCTGTACAACCACCTGCTCAAGCATGGGCGCATGTCCGCGGACAAGGTACAGAAGATATTCACACAGTTGGTCGGAGCAGTCAGTTATGTGCATGCGAAGGGATGTGTCCACCGAGACCTGAAGCTGGAGAACATCTTGCTGGACAAGCACGAGAACGTCAAGCTGGTCGATTTCGGCTTCACGAGAGAATACTCCGGCCCCGCGAGCTATCTGCAGACATGGTGTGGGACAATATGCTACAGTGCGCCGGAGATGCTCAAGGGCGAGAAGTATGCTGGAGAGAAGGTGGATGTCTGGAGTCTGGGCATCATCCTCTTTGCTCTACTCACCGGGGAGCTTCCCTTCGACGAAGACGACGACAACAAGACCAAGTCGCGCATAATCAAGGAAGAGCCCCAGTACCCGGAGGGTATGCCCGAGCAAGCCAAAGACCTGGTTCAGAAGCTGCTGTCCAAGCGACCGCTCTTGAGACCATCTCTGGGTGACATCTTGAAGCACCCCTGGCTAGGCGAATACGCGCCGCAGCTGCAGGAAATCCTCAAGGTCCAACAGCCAGCCCCCTTCTCGACGCACCTCGAGAAGGACGTCCTACAGCGAATGCGCTCTGCTGGTGTGGACATCGACATGGTCATCGAGCACGTGTTGGCGCAGAGATGCGACTCGCTCGCCGGCTGGTGGGCACTGCTGCTCGAGAAGGAACAGCGGAAGGAGAAGCGGCGCGAACGGAAGCGAAAGGAGCGGGAAGCTGAGGCCAAGTCGATACGCCGGTTGAGCGCTGCTAGCAGCAGACTCCTTGCGCAGAGCAACCTGGGCGAGATTCGAGAAGCCGCCGAGAATGTCCAAGAGTCGCCACGGTCTCGAGGTCGTCGACTGGAACGAGCCCACGGCAGTCTCAACGCGCTCCAGCCTCCCGATCTACCCAAGGTCACCGAGACCAAGACGCCTCCGCCAGAAGACCCGAAGCCAAGCAAGCCAACTGTCACCCGGAGCGACCAGGCCAGGTCAAGGAGCAGACCACCGCCACCACCTAAGGATTACAGCGGTGTCATGACACGACCTCGCACCCATCGTGCTTCATCTCGAGGCAGCCAGAGTATGCTTCGCGTTGTTACTGCCAACCCGGATCTACTCAGCCCTTCGTATGTGCCACCACCGCAACGGAACAAACGCAAGTTCTATCCGGAGCCTCTCCGACAGCAGCTAGCGTGGGTCAAGCACTTCTTCAAAGAAGGCACAATCAAGCGCAACAAGTCGCCATCCAAAGGAGAGAACAGCAAGGCTGAAACGACCGTCAGGAAGGTCCCAAACGGCAAAGCCGAAGAAGAGAAGGGTGACCTGAGGAATTTGCAACGTACATCGACGACACCAGCAGGGCTATTGCGGCAGAAAGGCGGAGGTCAGCAGAGGCCTCAGCTTCTGGAGAGCAAGAGCATGCCGATGAGGCCGCGGATCAATACAACGTCGTCCACTGGAAGTGGCGCGAGTATCAGAGCGGGAAAGCGTAGTAGTCTCAGTCCTGGCACCTTGACTCCGCACTCGTCGTACCGGAGGTCATCGGTAGGACTTCGTGGCAGAAAATCGACTTCATCCTCGGTGTCTTCCGTGCGCAGCACCTACAAAGGTGGACACCAGCACACTCACTCCAAGGCGTCGAGCACCTCAAGCACGTCCATTGCGTCGCCATCGGGTCTTTCCTCGGCGTCTGGGTCTCGCCTAGCCAAATCACCGCACCATTCTGTCAAGGTCTTGCCATCGACACCTGGGACCAGCGGTTTTCCGTCAGGCATTCGCTTCTCAAAGCGACCGCCTCCCTCAAACATTGGTGGCCTGCAGGGCCTCGGAGGATCAGAAGCCAAAAGCGCGTTTGGCTCAATACCTGCTCCATCTTCGCCCGGGGTGCCCGTTTTCGCTCGGAGGAAACGCTCCGTCTTCAAAGGCCCAATGAGTGGTTCGCCGCATGGACGCGGTGGCGGAGCTGGCGGAAGTCGGTCAGCAAGCGTGCAAGGTCGCCCTAGTGGGGAGATGATGCCCGGCGTTGAAGAGGAAGACGAAGAAGAACTGGAAGATGATGACGGAGACTACGAAGAAGTCGATCACTTTGGACCGGAACTTGTTGTCGCTACCAGCGACGCGGGCATGACTGGACGATCTGGAGGCGATACCGAACCCGCGAGTCCCCTGAGTCCATCACCTGGCCAAGAAGAAGAGGACCCCCTCGGACCTGGCGGGAATGCGGAAGCATTGAAGAGCTCGGGGGGTGTTCCGCTTACCGCTGAAGCGCTTGCGAAACTTGACACCGAAGAGGAAAGGAAGGATAAAGAAGGCATTCGGAGCTTGGAGATGGAAAAGGCTGCTGTGGGCGGAGCACCTTGAGTTTTGGTTTTGGTTTTGGTTTTGTGGGTATTTGCTGCGTTTTACGTTTGATACCTCCTGCCTTTTGAGTTTTTTTTTTTGGATTGCCTGGGCTTTTGTTCTGTCCGTTCAAGCAAGCAAGCCAGCCAGCAAGTGGTTTTTGGTCGATCACATACCCCCCTTTTTTTTTAAAACTGTACAGGTATACCACGGCGTCGGGTTGTCACAACTAGGGTAGTTGGACTGGCTCTTGGGGATTTGGGGGCAGGGTTGAACTCGATTGGGGTTGGAGCATGGAGCTTTAGTAGATGAGAGAGAGAGGAAGTCGGCCGTAATACAACGAGTGTTCTTGTGGTGCCCTTTCCGGGTCTCTTTTCCTTTCTCTCTGTGTTGGTATGTATGGATGGCGGGAGTTAGGGCTTGGCACATTCCTCGGCTTGCGCGAACAATGGCTTTATCCTGGCGGCGCAGCGTGGTATCGCGGATCCCGTCAACTCGAATACGCGGATGACGGGAAATCTCTTTCCTGCGCGCGATCGTGCGTGGAGAGAGAGAGAGAGAGAGACAATGAGACGGCGTCGTCGGAAACAATGCGCAAAGTTGCGTGCTGGCATGCCCTGCGCCGGATGCGGCAGTTGGGGTCTTGGAAAGCCGTCTAGACAAAGGAATTCTGCAAACAGCTTGCGCGGGCGACATGGCAGGGAAGAAAAATACCGATAAGCCCTCCCTCTGGGAGGATTCTTACCTTTCTTTCTGCTTGTTATTTCCATCACGCTTGAAACTCATTTTCTGGATCGAAGCGAAGACTGCAGTACGTTATGGCGCCGAAGAAGAAAGCTACCGGTGGAGGAGGAGGAGGAGGAGGAGGAGGGAGAAAGGGAGGGAAGAAAGGTGGAGGGGTAGAGAAGACGGCGGCGGCGGCGCCGCCTAAGAAAGCTGCGGCGAAGGGTAAGGGCAAGGGCACGGGCACGGGCACTGGATCTGGTGCTGTTGCTGCTGCTGCTGCTGCTGCTGCTGCTTCAAGTCGTGGAAATCCACCAGGCAGGATTGATACTCAGGCCCACGGGATTGGACGACGCACGCGTGGAGCTCGAGGGCATCGCGCTGGGGAGGGCGAGGAAGTCAGTCCTTTGGAGGTTCGCGATGTTGATAAGGTGTTGAGGGAGGGCAAGGAGGAGAAAGGGAAGGGGAAGGGTCGTGGTCGTGGTCGTGGTCGCAAGCAGCAGTCCGAGGAGACGGAAGATTCGCAATCTCAGAGGCCTGACGACGAAGCGACTGAGGGCGAGCAGCAAGCACAGGGCTCGGAGGTGCCGGCTACTGGAGCTGAACAGACTAGCTCGACGCCTCCAAGTGGGAAGCGACTGCGTGGCAACGCTGTTGATGATGCTGATGAGACTTCGCCGAAGAAGACGAAGAAGGGCAAAGGCCACGCTGGGACCGGAGAGGGTCCTGAGCAGGGAGGCTCGCAGCAGGCTGATGCGCCAGAAACTGCTGAAGGTGCTTGCGAGAAGCTTTCCAGACTCTTGAACGAGCGGACTCAATCACTCAACGCTGCGATCGAACGAGGCGAGTTGGCAGATGATCCTCTCGTCGAAGGCCCCGAGGAGGGCCAGAGAATCCACTCCTTGGCCGTGTGGCGTGCAATTGCTGCAGTGACAGAGGCCATCACGGAGCAAGGGAACGGCACGGAATTCTCTCTCCTCGACGGCATGAATTTCGGCTTCATGAGACGAGGAGAGCCAATGGGTCAAAATGTCGTGCGACCAGGGAACGAAGCTTTTATCCCCAGAATCGAACGGCATACTGTTCCACTGCGAGAAGGTCGCCCGGGCAACAATGCTGATTATGCTGATCATACATCTCTCCTTCACCTGCGGCGGGAAGAAGGGGCCAACTTCTCTCTGCAGCACTACGATACCGCAAACCGGTTCGATCATCATCGACGCGATTTGCAGACGTATGGAGACAGCATTCGGAATGGCCTCGCTACCGCCGGATGGAATCCTCGCGATCCGGCAGATATTGCAGCAGCCCAAGACGCAGGCAACCAAGGACGTCAGCGGTACAACTGGGAATGCAGCTACTACGCGGTGCTCTTCTCCTGGGCTCTGGCGCTAGGACTTGACGTTTCCAACTTCCACGGAGTCGACAACAACTACGGACTCTTTAGCCGTCGTCTGGTGCCCATGTTGGGACTTGCCCTGCAGGGCTTCCTGGACAGCGACACCATCGAAGCGTTCCTGAAATGCTACCGCTTCATCGCGCCCGACGCGCAGATCCCCCCCGAGCGAAGATTCGCTCGTACGGTGCCTTTCCGCGCCGCAGCGTCGCTGGAAACTCGTACCCGGCTGGAGCACGAAATCCGCCAGGCGGCAGAGGCGCTCGAAACGCAGATCCCCGCCACGCTCGGTCTGCTTCTGCAGGCTCTCGGGGAGCCCGAGGGGAATCTGCAGGACGGAGTCGGCTTTGACTATGTTCTGAGATATGTGGACCTTCAGCGACTCTCTGAGCCGCCACCTGGTGAGTCGCAGACTCCGAATTCGCGCGCAACAAATCTTCAAGTGGACCCGGATTCTGCTACGAGGGCACGGACTGCTGCGATGGGAGCTGGGCTCACCCGGGAGGATGTCCGGATTGGTCAGGCTGTGGCTGCTGGGCTTCAGGCTGACCATGCAGGGCGTCGGGGGAGTTCTGTTGGAGGGGACGGATCTGTCGATGAGGCAGGGAAGGCTGCTCAGAGCGGCGAAGCTGGGCTGGAAACTGCTACTCCTGGCCCGCCCAACACACCGGGAACTGACGCGGCTGGACCACTTCCTGGATCAGGTAACACAACTGTTGATAACGGCCCTGCTACTTTTGGCGGGAATACACGCTCAGAGTCACCACTGACGCGCCCGAGATTTTCAGAGGATATCATCGACGCCGACCTCCGCGCGAGGGCAAGACGGCAACCGGAATCCGGCGCACCAGCCGGCGGCTTTCGAGCATTCCTAGACGAATTGCCAGAGTCGACTCTCGTAGGGCCCCGAGGCCTCCTCGCGCAATGGCACGGCGCCATGTGGTTCTTCCGATGGCTACTGGAATGGCGTTCGTTCTTGATACGTGTACGCCAAGAGCAAGACGATCCATCAGCAAGCGCTCAAAACGCCGATATTGCCACCTTCATCCGCCAACAAGCCGAAGGGGAGCGCCAGTTCTTGGTCGGAGAGGGCCTCCTCCCTGCCGACAGAACTTTCAACGACGGCGGCGATAGCATGAGCGAGATTCAACGCGCACAGATGTTGTATCTGCATGTGCACGTCGAACAGCAGTACATTCGGGAGGCCGAAGAGTATATCCGCGCGCGAACGGCTGAACCGAGTTACTTTGAGCAGACTCTGTCTTGGATCTTCAATGGAGGCTGGCATCCGCTCGGGCTCACTGAAGATGAAGAAGATGAAGTTCAGCGCTTGCAGAACCTTTTCCGGCAGCGTCATAACTACGACGGAGACCCGCAGCATCCTGGTTTAGAAGCTCGCTTGACAAGGCTCGGAACGGCCATCAGGACGCTCTTCCCAGCGCAGAGGGATGTCATTCGCGCTGGTATCCCCGCAGAGCAGATCCAGGAAGTAGAGCGGGTTCTTCGAGTTCGGGATAATACGCTGGACCGGAGTCCTCGGATGTTTGTTGAGTATTGGGTGCATGCTCTGCGAGGGTTGATTCGGGCGCATGCGAATCGGGATCTCACTACCGATGCTGAGAGAGCAGCGGCTCGTGAGGCTTTTCTCCGGGAGTTGAGTGGTGCTCCTGAGCGACCGGATTTTCCTGAGCCTAGGATGCCGGCTGACCCTGATGATGGCAACGACGATGAGGATGATGATGATGATGATGGGGATGACGATAGGCCTCGGCCAAGGGGCAAAACCCTGCTCAGACCCCGTGCACACCCAAATCCTGCAGAGGAAGATGAAGATCTGTACGATGACAGTCAACGTGGAGGTCGCCGTTCCAACGGAGGAGCTGGGGGTAGTGGAGGTCCTGGGTCGGATCCTAGTCAAGGAGGCAGCAGTCAAGATCTGCCTTCTGGAGGATGGAGTGGCGGAGCCGCTATGCAAGAACTTCTCAACAACGGTGATGATCAGGGTGACTCCTCATCTTCTGTGCCGTCGGGAGGGTCAGACGAGCAGCAGGCCCCGGGTTCAGGGAGCAGATATCAGAACGCAAGCAACGCTCAGGACGACGAAGACGAGGAGGAGGAGGAGGAGGTGTTAGGCGTGCCCCAAGAATTTCTCGATCTGGTCGAGGAAGTTCGGATGGACTTCGGAGAGCCATCGGGCGAGGAACCTCTCGGAGAGCGGCTCGAGGCTCTGTGGACTGACCTGCAAGAGGCCGGTGTTCCTGACGATCGACAACTCTACATCTTGACCGGATGGATCGTGGCGCAAGAAGATCGACTGCAAGACGAAGGATCGGACAGCAATCGGGCCTCACTGCTCTATGCTGGCTTGCAAACTCGCGCAGGCCTCACGGAAGCAGAGCAAGATCGGCTGACATGGATCTTTGAGCAGCTCTATCGAGAAGATGCCCACGAACGCCTGCGCGAGCAGATACGATGGCTTGGGGACTTCCTTCGAGCGCCTGAAGACAGAACGCTACGTGTGGACGCTGTCATTGGATCCGGCACCATGGAAGAATCACGGGCGAGATATTTTGAAGAAGTTTTCTGGCACCTGGCAGAGCAGCGCGGACGCCGAGCGCTCGAAAATGTCCTTCCCGCGTGGTTCCCTCCAGTCGAGATCGCCCACGATGCACGCACGGCTACGCGCAATGCTGGTGAGAGTGCAGTCGTGGCTGACGGAGAGGCGGCACGGGCGGGCTTGCAGGAGCTTTTCCGTCGCCTGGAAGCAGCAGGACTTCCTCCGGGAGTACGAGCCCGTCTGAATGGATTCTTTAACGCTCAGGGCCCGCGAGAAGCAACGCGGCAGGAGTTGTGGCAACGGCAACGATTCGTCCGAGACCTTTTGAGATTCCATGGCGACGTGCAAGACCAGTATAGGAATGACCAAGCGGCGTTGGAGTCGGCGCTGATGGAGCATGTGCGTTCGTGGCAATATCAGTATCTTAAGAGTCCGCGACAACTCCGTGGTGGTGAGAGTCCAAGCTATATGCCATCCAGTCTGAATGAGCAATCTGGTGCTGCGACCCATCAGACTGAAGATGCTCAGAATGGTGTCACATCTCCCATCTATCCACCGGAACAACCTCAGACGTCACCGGACCAGCAGCATAGTAGCTCATCAGGAGGAGCCGAGCCAAGCTTGCGAAGATACGACGAGGCGCGTCTCAACCCCGACCGGCAAAGAGCTGATGAATGGGCGATTCAACGCCAGGATCGGGCGTCACACCCGACTGGAGCAGTTCCTGGTACCGAAGAAGAAGCGCGTGAGGATGTCCGAGCGAGGGCGAATGAGATCTTGCAGAACCCCGAATGGGAGGACATGCTCCACCAACATGACGCATCACGCCCTTATGTACCGCCACCACCGCGCACTGGACGGCCTGCTGATACATCCCCTATTCCAGATTACGGGGCTACATCTCCACTGTCGCATCACTCCTCTGACGATGGAAGTCGAATAGCGGCTGCCGGTCTTGCCAGACCCCCCCGTGGGCCCAATGCTCATCTGGACTCTCCGGTGAGTCCTCCGCTTCATGAACAAGGCTACAGTCGGGCACAACTCGAAGACATAGCGGCTCTTAATCGACTCCTTGGAGCGGCTCAGGATGCTACTCCCGAACCCGAACATCAGCCCCCCGCTCAACAGTCCGGCGGGAGCGACAATAATCCTTCCAGCGCTGCTAGCTCTTCGCTGGAAAATCGAAGGTCTTCAAGCTATGAGGGAAATCAAACTCGCGACGAGCTTGAGCAAAGATCCTCAAGCTATGATTCACCGACTCCCGTTCATCCTGGGCGGGGGACATCTGTGGAGTCGTCTCAGTTCCACGGCGGCTCTGATAGCTCTCCTCAGGTCCGACAAAGCTCACAGAGCCATAGCCCAGCTGTAGAACATGAGCCGCGAGGTGAATCCGCAGAGCCGGGTCCCGGGTCATCCTCTCCGCTCGACACGAATGCCAGCCGTCGTGGAACGGAAGCATCTCTGCCAGACCCTGCTGCCTCGTCTAATCTTCCAGACGCAGAACAAGCGGAGGAACCGGATGATAGAGATCTCTTCGACGGCGATTTGGAAGAAGAAGATGACGACACATCTGCCGTGGAGCAGCAAAATCCATCACCAGAGAGCCCGACGCCTGGACTGGCCCTGCCTCCAACCACCGGACCGCCGACCGCATTTTTCATGCCCGTTGCGCCACCCGAGATCGTACCGCCTCTGCCGCAGTTCCAGATGTTTCCAGGCGCCATGTCGCCCACGTGCCGCAAGAGGAGTTGGGAGCAGTATTCGGCGGATCTGACTGGGGAGAAGAGTGAAGATGACGAGCGATCGAAGAGCCCGAGAACTCAGACTGAACCACTGCGGATGGCAGAAGGGCACCACCAGGAAGACCCATCTCAGCAGCAGCGAAGATCACTCGAGAGTGAGATGGAGTCGTCGCTCCCACCGACGAGCGTCAACGTCCACGTCCGTCCAAACTTGATTGATGTCTCCTCTGGTCAGCGGATAGGCACGGGGGATCCGAACGAGCGTGATGAAACGACTGTGGACTCTGCATCGCGATCACGAGAGACCTCGGACCCTACGGCGTATCAGCTCCAGAGTCGTCTTGCGGAGCAACGCCGCCTCAGTCATCCCCATCACCATCATCGGAGACCCTACTCATGAGCGGCTGGAATCGATTTTTTCTTGGTGTTTTTCTGCAACATGGTAAACGATTCAGACGATTAGAAGATTTTTTAATGAGAATGTCGTTGTTCGTTCGTCTGTCTCTCACTTTGCTCCCGGAGACAGCGTTAGATGTCAGTCGCGGCTTGGGGCTGCACTGCGACAGATTATCACGAACAAGATGGCGACCACCCTGATGCAGGGAGTCAAAAGCCCTTTTCTTGCTCTTCAATTTCTCTGGCTCGTGGAACTGGTCCTCGACGTCGACGAGTTCCTACACGAGATGCCGTACCCATCCGTCGCCCACCGGTAATGTATGACTTTGTAGCCGAAGACTCTGACGGGACTTTGGTTCAGCAAGGCATGGCGGTCGATATCACGAAAGGAGTCTTTCCGTGTACATCCGAGATCCGCTGAGGAAGCACTTCAGCCGGTGAAATTCTTGCGCGGTGAGAGCCTGGCTATGATCTCGTTCACATGCTGTTCTGGTTCACATGCTGTTGATGGTATAGAATGCAAGATATGTGGCCCAGAAAGTGATGATTAATGGATGCAGCAGCGTCGAGGTACGTACAGGAAGAAGACGCTCCGACCTTGGCCGAGACCAGATCTCGCAGCGATCCGCCAGCCAATGAGCGTTGTCTGATTAATGCCAAGACAAAAAGCTCAGGAAGGGAGGAGCCGCTGGCTCCAGTTTGGCCGACAGCGACGACGACGACGACATCTCGCCAACAACACCACCACCACCACCACCCACTCCGCTCCGCTCCACCTCATCCTCATCCTCCCCCGTCTCGCCGACAGACCGTCTCAAGTGCTGAGGCTGTTTGCACCAGAAGCCATGCTGACCCGCACGGCATTGCGGGCCTCGCGCGCGTTCGGCGCTGGCAAGGGCGCCGCAACCAAGACTGCCACGGTATGTTGAGCCATCCACCATCACCACCCCGAGCTCCCGACCGACGCGAACATACGTGAATTGTGGAGAGGGAGATGGGAGGAACACAATGGATACATATCGGCGGATACTGACGACGCCTCACAGCGCAATGCCTCCTCGCAAAGCTCTTCCGAATCCGCCGCATCGTGGAAGAACACTGCCATCCTCACCTCCTCGACCGCGCTGGGTGTTGCCTCGGTGGCATGGTACTACTATCAGTTTGGACGTCCGGCATACGCCATGACGCCCGCTGAAGAAGGGTAGGGAAGAGATGAGGAGATGGACAGAAACATTGGAGCTAATGGGGATACACAGCCTCCATGCAACCGCATATCCATGGGAGCACGAGAAGTACCTCAAGACCTTCGACCACGCCACACTCCGCCGTGGTTTCCAAGTCTACCGCGAAGTCTGCGCATCATGCCATTCCCTCCAGCGTATTCCCTACCGCAAGCTGGTCGGTTCCATGATGACCGTGGATGAGGCCAAGGCGCTCGCGGAAGAGAACGAGTACGACACCGAGCCCAACGACGAGGGCGAGATCGAGAAGCGCCCCGGAAAGCTTTCCGACTACCTGCCCAGCCCATACAAGAACGACGAGGCCGGTCGCGCCGCCAACAACGGTGCTCTGCCACCCGATCTCAGCCTGATCACCAAGGCCCGCCACGGCGGCTGCAACTACATCTTTTCCCTCTTGACCGGATACCCCGAGGAGCCTCCGGCCGGTGCTGTTGTTCAGTCCGGCTTGAACTTCAACCCATACTTCCCGGGAACCGGCATTGCCATGGCTCGTGTACTGTACGACGGTCTGGTCGAGTACGAGGACGGCACTCCCGCTACCACTTCCCAGATGGCCAAGGACGTCGTCGAATTCTTAAACTGGGCCGCTGAGCCAGAGATGGACGACCGCAAGCGCATGGGTTGGAAGGTCATGGTGATTGGCACCACTCTATTCGCCATGAGCGTGTGGGTCAAGAGGTACGACGTCGCCCCCATTCCACGAACTCCACATGACGCGCTGACATGATCTTGGTAGATACAAATGGTCCACCATCAAGACCCGCAAGCTCTCGTACCAACCGCCTGCTCAGAGCACTCCCAGCTTCAAGAGATAGTGGAAGGATACGCGAGCGGCGAAGGAATGCGATCAGTAGAGGTAGAACGGAGACGAACCGGCAAGGACACCTTGAGCATGTACAGCTGTTTTCTAGCGTATTGTGCTTCTCCCTTTTGCGTGTAAGAAGAGCTGCAGTGGGTTGCGAAGATACACACCAGAAACCTTCCGTTCACATCACATTCTCCCCAGAAGCTTGCATTCCACAATTACACGGTCCTGTTCATCTACCCACATGGGCTGCACGTTGTAGAGGAACCATTCATTTCTTGAGCATCCTCCTCCAACTGTCTGCTTTATGTCTTGTTTCAAGCACATTATTTGCCGTTTCACTTCTTGGCATGCGCTTCATCAGCACTCCACTAACTACCAAAGCCATCTTCCCAATGCATTTTGGTCGTTTCCCCCTGCCATGATATTTTCATTTCTCGTCACGGTTTCCACGGACTTTCTTCCAGTCCTCTCTCTGTGCAATTTTTTTTTGGTTACGCGTGGGATATCGTGGCTATTCGTACGCTTCGTGGCTTGCTTCTTTCTATAGCTGGATGTCTCGTCGCGACGACGATCATCGCGGAGCGGATATAGTCCACGGCTTTCATTCGTCCATAGTCATAGCTCTCCTTGGTGGTGGGAGATGAGATCCGTTTCCGCGTTGAAGCGGCTTTCTTTCGTCAACGCCCTGCCTTTTCCATCGAAAAGATGCTTCTTCCCGAATCGTTCGTTTTTCCTTCCAAAGACCTCCAAAAACAAAAACGAGAAGTTCCTCTCCCCTTGTCTATTCACATTCCAGTACCGGGCGAAATTCCCGGGACAACCTGAACCCTCACACAAACCCACCGCACGCCCGCCGCCGCCGCCGCCGCCCGCCTGAACTCCCACGTCCCGACCGTAGGTTTCACCAAACCATTCCCTCCCTCTCCGCCCCACCATTCCAGATTCGCAAACACACTGCCCTGCTGCCCGCCCTTCTCCTCCTCCTCCTCCTCCTCCTCCTCCACCACGCTACTCAGATCGACGACGCGCAATTCCTGGCCGCGATAGCCCGGATGCGTCGTCACGAGCGTCTCGAACAGATGCAGGTATTCCGGCAGGGAGAGTCTCTGGGGCGTGTTAGTGGAGGTGAAGGCGACCTGGGCGTAGGCAAAGGCATCGGTGGCGCAGCAGGACCAGGCGGGGCTCGTGGGGGAGAAGTCGTGTCCGTTGATGGCGGAGAGCATCCGCTGGACGAGGGATTCTAGCTGTGTGGAAGAGGGGGATGGGGATTTGGGGTGTGCGGCGGCGTTTGGGTGGGGGGAGAGGGGGAGGTTGAACATTGCAGTGTGTGCTATGGGCTATGGGTGGTTGTTAGAGTCTGTTCGCTTTTGCTCTTGGATGGTGGTGATGTGGGTTGGAGGTTGATGGATCTTTCGATGAGAGGCGTTTGCTCGGTAGGTATGGTACTCGAATACGATCAGAGATGGTCTTCGTTCCATGGGTTACAGACACCCAATGTAGGTCCATATTGTGTGGCGATGCAAAACTTGGCGGTAATGTTCAGCTGGTGAGGTGTTGTTGCTGTTCAAGTTGCCGGTCGTTCCTCGGCCCGAGGCTCGGCCCGATCATTCCGCCGGCCTCTCGGACGTGACGGGAAGTTCTTCGTCGTCTTCAGGTTCTTTCCTTCCTTTCCATCTCCAACACCCGTAATGAAAGAACTTAAGTATATCTTGTTGACAACGAAGTTTAGATTGCTCGATCATCCGCAGTCACCCGCCACGCCAGACTGGACGCCATCACAGGAAGATGAGGTGCTCGCATTTCCAATCCGACGCGAACCATTCTACCGCACCGTCCTTTGGAAGCACTGCTTTTGGAGGAGTCACATGACGCGCTGTCGCGGTGGTGCCTCCATCTGGTCTCGGTACCGATACTGTCATCTCGAGCTCTCGGGTCGAATCTGAATCATCACACGACCACAGACGAAGAGGGCTTTTCCCAAACTGCAGGATTCGCATACGGCGCATAAGCGAATGCATTACAATTCCCCGATTGAGTGTCAAGGGTGGCCCCACGGACCAGCTATTGGCTGAGTACGAGTCTTGTACTACATTCCACGACATGCTGGGAGCCTTTGTTGGTAGACGTGGCGAACGACAAAGCGATGTCCTGCCCTCGGATCCGGGCATGTCCTCTCGAACAATGGCGAGCCAGAAACAATCAATCCTTACGGCTTCGTGGGCGAAGATCGATTCGCTGGCCGCGCCGCCCGTCTGAAGGTCTGCTCAGGTGTCGCGTAGAGATGTAGGTGCTGATGAGGGCGCCCGGTCGTATATCTGGGCGCCTTTCCCGGTTTCGCCATGTTGCACGGGCGCCGACGACTCGGTTTTGGCTGCATCCTTGTGTTCAACCTTCTTGAGACTCACTTTCCCTTGTTCTCTCTCCAAGATGGGTTTCCTGTCGTTTGTCCTCGATCTGCTTTTCCGACGTCTGCTCGGGTGGGACTTGGTTAAGCACTGTGACCGTCAACTTGACAGGCATACCGATGAGAAAGAGCGGCTGTTGGAAGAACAACAAGTAGAGGAGACTGGGGCGTACGATTCGAACTGGCCCAACGACCTTGGTGTACTGTATAGACGGTCTGCCGATACAGAGTCTTGCTGACTGTCGTGTAGTTTGATGTTGTACGAGAAGAACGAACGCCGATAGACTTGCCAGTACGAGGGCACATCCCACTGTATGCTGCCGGCACGATCTACCGCAACGGTCCTGGTGCACGACAGCTCTTCGACAAAGATGGTAATCTTCAGTATTCGGTGTCACACTGGTTCGATGGATTTGCGCAGTTGCACAAATTCGACCTCATCCCTGGGTCCGAGAGCATCCAAGGTGTCATATACACCTCCAGATTTCAAGTCGATTCATTGGTGGAAGAGCTACGTCAGACAGGCCGCTTCGACGGTTACACCTTTGCGCAAAAGCGCGACCCTTGCATGAGTGTCTTTCGAAAGGTCATGTGTCTGTTCACCCCCATACCGATGCCATCTCCGAAGACCACCAACGTACCTGTTACTATCTCGGCCAATCCAACGGGCTATCCTGATTCTGGTCTTCCGGGGACAAGGAGGGTAGGAGGCCACAAGGCGACCACCGTTCCACATATCATTGCAAGAACAGACAACGACTTCATGAAAGCGATCGATGCGGAAACCCTTGAACCGATCGGTATTGCCCGACAGAGCAGTCTCAACCCACTGCTAAAAGGGCCTCTGTCTGCTACTCACGCGCGCTCCGACCCCGAGACCGGTGATGTATTCAACTATAACTTGGACATGGGAAGAGAAGCTACGTACAGAGTCTTCGAGACCTCAGCTGCTACGGGAAAGACGAAGATACTAGCGACAATATCAGCACCTCACATCGCTCCTGCATATATGCACTCGTTCTTCCTCAGCGAGAACTTTGTTATCCTGGCTGTGTGGTCTGCTCACTTCATGGCTAGTGGACTCAGAGTGCTTTGGGAGAAGAATATCATCGATGCCATTGCACCTTTCGATGGATCCAAGACGACTAGATGGTTCGTCGTTGATCGTAGACACGATCGCGGCGTTGTTGCTCAGTTCGAGAGTCCGGCCGCTTTCTGCTTTCATACCATCAACGCGTACGAGCAGGCATCGATCGACGGCGACACCCACGTCATCTGTGATTTGATCGAATACGACAATCTCGACATATTGCACACGTTCTATTACGAAAATCTACGCTCATCATCGCCGAATGCTAAGCCCTGGCCGAAGAGAGGACATCGGTTCGCGCGGTACAGACTTCCCCTGTCATCGTCATCTTTGGGGCACCCACCATCTCTCTCCCAGCAACAAAGAGAACGCAAATGTCCTCTAACCGTACCTAAAGCCGCGCAACGCGTCTCCTCTCTCACGAACGGAGTCGGGGACATGCCCAACATCAACCCGAACTACCTCTGCAAACCCCATCGTTACTTCTGGAACGGCGCCATGGCTACCGAGAAGTCCTGCTTCTTCGGCGCTCTGACCAAGGTCGACATCCTCACTGGCGACATCACCCGTTGGCAAGCGAAGGGACACACGCCCGGAGAAGCGATCTTCGTTGCGAATCCTGAAGGAACGGCAGAAGACGATGGGGTTCTGTTGACGGTCGTGCTCGACGGGTTCGAGGGAACAAGCTATTTGCTCTGTCTCGATGCTCGGAGTATGGAAGAGCTGGGGAGAGCAGACTGCAGGGGCCCGGTGCCTTTTACGTTTCATGGACAGCATGTCAGGGCGAGTGGAGAGAGGGGCATGGATGTATAGCTCGAGTCGCTGCCTTATTCCGTTCGGTTCGTTTGGGGTATAGCGTGTGGTGGGTGTCTGTGCGCCGAGACAAGGAATTTCATTTCTTCTGGCTGGGCTTGAGGTGGTTGTTGCTCCTTTAATTTGACTTCACCTTTTTCCTCATTATTACTATTTTCCTCCCGACACGGTACACGTATCTACACCATCGCCTTTCGTGTGCTCTCCGATTCAGACACAATTTGGTTCGTTTCTATAAGCTGTGGGTGGGTTCAACGTCGCATTCTTGGTTCCTCAAACACCGAACGTTTCCAGTTCATCAGCAGGGAATCGAACAATAGACCGACTGACTGATGATTGATCTATTCGATACCTCTGGGATTAGAAATTGAGCTTTGGAAGAATACTTGTCGGACATTTGATGATGAAGAAGCTCGTTGTTTTTTTTTGCGTTCCGGCTTCCGATGTTTGGTGTATAGCCCGGTACTCGGGTGGGTGGGTGGCATCTGGACGATCCGTCGCATCGCAAATCTTTCATGGACGTTACAGACAGGCATGGTCATGGTCATGGTGCCGAGATGAGCAGCTACAAGCTACTATGTACGTTGTGTTGTTTTAAGAGGTTAAGAGGTTTCTGGGTTCTTGTCTGGAAATAAATATGCTCGATGCTGTGGAAGTGGTCTGTGAGGAATGGTGGAATTCCGGTACGCCGTCTGTATGAGGTTATTGAGGCACTTCGCGCTCAGTTCAGATGCCAGTGGCGTGGAGTTAGTGGCGGTCGTTCGAATACCTTTCCAGGACTCTTTGGTTGTAGGCCAACTCGCCTGTCTGGCTTTCTTTGGGGATGATTGTGCAGTCAAATCTTGCCTTCTCGCTCTAGGATTCACAGCCGATGGCTCTGGTGGCTATATACCAAGACTACGTGCGATACCTGGCGACGACTGCAGTGCGAGACCCGTGGCCCCTGCTGCCAAGATATTACACCAAGTTAGCTGGCGTGGTGTAATAGACTAGTCTGTGAGTCACGCTCTTGGCAGCTAAGCAGTGGGGATATGAAAACAGCGCAAAACCGCATGTGAATGAGGAGAACTACGAAACCTCCTTTTGCTTCTTGCCAAGGTTCTCGCTTTGTGCTTTGCTTTGTCAAAGTCCGATTGCTAGAAGAACAACTCGGATCGGGTCTGTCGAGCATCGAGGGTCTCTGCGGCATCTTAAAGACATAGTGAAGACCAACTGTCCCGCTTGCTGCTTTGGAGCTTCTCGAGCGGTCTTCTACCATATGGGAATTCTGTCGCGGAATTCGCAGCTTCTCACACGGCACTCGACAATTCGGACAAAGACATCTTGAGCAAGATGGACAAAGGTCAAGGAGATATTTATCCACTTGCAAGAGATGCGCCCGAGTCCGCAAGGTCCGACTTGTGGAAAGCAAAATCTGTATGGGTCAACTGATGATGGCTTTAGGCTGGCCGAGCAGCATCAAATGGCTACGGAGTAGGTCAACATCACCAATCCTACCGCAAAACTCAGTCTACGGAAATACTCACAGACCGTCCGTGGGTTAGACTCTACGGCCAATTGATCCATTCCACAGTCCTGCCAAACCTACCCAAGAACGCGCGCATCGCAGATGTTGCAGCCGGAACAGGTATCTGGGCCCTCAATGCCCTCGAGATCCTTCCCGAAGCGCAACTCGTCGCGTTTGACCTTTCGGACGCACAGTTCCCGCCTTCCCCGCCCAAGAACGTGAGATTCGAAGTGGCAGATGCAAAGAAGCCGTTCCCGGAATCTTACCATGGGACTTTCGACCTCGTGCACATCCGGGCTCTCTTCGCGGCTATGCATGCCCCAGACTGGGAAATCGTCCTCCGCAATGTTGTGCAGTTGTTGAAACCCGGAGGTGCCGTGCAGTGGGAAGAAGGCGATAACACTGCGCGCTGCTTGCGAGGAAGCAAAGAATTCCATCGGTATACCGGGATTCCAAAGCTGCTCGAAGGCTTCGGCAACGCCATGGGAGACCGACGATCCGACAGTTTCCGCAAATTGCCCGAGGCTGCTGCGAATCTGGGCTTGCAAGATGTCGAGTTGGATTTCCTGTCTAGCGATCGCATACCTGAATTCCGGGAGGGTATGACTCGGCAGTACATGGTTGCTTTACTCGGATGGGCGGAGAACGTTGCGTATTGGCCATCTGACGAGTTGGAGAAGATTAGGAATGAAATTGATGTTGATCTTGAGAATGGTAAGTCTTTCATGCACGCGAGGCATGGACGGTTGCTAATGGGGAATGTACCATCAGGTGGCTATTGCCGTCTCGACGTGATGATTCTGGTTGCTAGAAAGCCGTGAGCACATATGTCTACCAGTACCACCATTGTCGGCGATCTCTGTAGAAGATTCTACATGCATAAATCAGTCAGTTCAGGAGACTGTCTCATACCGTCTCACAGCCACAGTCCGCCATCCAAGGGCCAAGATGATGGCAGAATCTCAAGCTGTCCAGAATCCCGCCAGAACGGCACCACTCCTAGCCCACACTGAGATCTTCTGAGATAGGCCTGACATCTGTCTAATAGTAGCAGCCTGGGAAACAACCGCCGATTGAGGCTGAATGGTTTGTGCCGAGCCAGCGATCCGAGGAAGTATGAGGGCAAGACAAGCACTCGACTCTATCGACCAAAGAGTTGCATGTGTCAATCGCGCTACAGTTCTACCATCAGTCGATAACCCTGAGACAGTGTGTCACGCACAATCGCCTCGTGCGTAGCTTGCCACGCACTGGCATGTCTTGACAGCGGCTGTGGTAAGGTACCTTATTTCTGAAAAAGAACCCAGGTGTTGAAGCAAACAGACTCACGGTCCGTTTGAGATATGTCTCAGGAGATCAACGTCCGACGTGAGTTTTGGTCTCAATTATCCGAGCGAAGAAGTGCAATGGAACATATGTCTCAGCCGCGAGACGCTTCGATGCCCCTTTCCCCTTACTATTCAAAAGACGTCGTGGCGGCTCCTTTTCTTCTTTTCCTTCTTCTTTCTGATGATATAGATGCAGCAGATGTTCTTCTGATTCCCGCGGTGCTATATTCTTTCTTCATTTCTCGTTCTGCTCTTGTTTTGATGATTTTCCTCTCACCCCTGGCGCTTGTCATGGGACGGCGGTGTTGCGGCGGCGGAACGACTCGTTAGGACTCGCTGGAAAATCTTGGCCTGGTCATGCAGTGTCAGATGGCTCGTGGCGACTCGTGCTTGAGGTGTACACGAGCCGGCGCCTATCTGCTGATGTCCAACGCAGAGAGGAGACTGTGGTGATCTCGCGTCTTAGCGTCTGGCTTGGTGTGCTTCCTGTTTTGGCAGGAGCGATCCTCGTAAATGGCTGAGAGCAACACCGCTATAGTAACGCAGGCTTCTTCTGCTGGATCCAACTGGCGCACAATACTTTATACAGCACCACAGTGTGAGATATAATCCTACGAAGACTCTTCGGCAGCCTGACAACACGAGTTGACGCGTATCACGCGTAAGCTACGACAGCGCACTGAAGCTCACTTCACTCGGAGCATGTGACAGCTTCACTTCTTCACAATACAAACCTCCACCTCCTGATACTGCATGACTTGGCCCTGAACCATACACGTCTGCCAACACATTCACTTGCGTACGCCCTCGGCGCGTCATATCGAGATGTGTTGTTGGTAAACAACACGTCCACGCCCTGTGGATTCTAAAGGTCAACGAAAGCTTGGCTTCCTGAACAACGACACAACAACAACACAACATCGACATCGCAACCAACAACATGACCGCCGCCACCTCCCTCGTCGCGCACACAAAAGCGTTCCTCAACACGCTGCACCATAGATCCAAGGCTTACAACTACACCTCGATGGACCGCGAAGCGGCCAACTCCAATGCGGCCCCTAGACATCTGGAGCCTGTCACTCAAATGCCAGAATCTCTTCAATACCGACCGCCAGACTCTCCGCCTCCACCTGAAGACAGTGAAGAGTCGTCCCCAGAATGTGACTTGTGCACCTCGGTATGGGCAGCGAAGCAATTCCCAAACCTGTGGTGCGCAAGCGTACTGGCAGACTGCGGACACGCGTTTTGCACCATGTGCACGATCAGAGTCCTCGCTCGACACACATACTGTCCCATCTGTGACACCACTATCCCTTACTATAAGCAAGCATATCTCAGGGAGCAACAGACCGACTTCGCCGCCGAACACGCCCTCGAAACAGTCCACAACGACGACGACCATCTGGCCCTATACGGCCTTCTCGCGAACTACGACATGAAGTCGGACGAGATTCGCCAAGCCGCAGAACGCGTCGCTCGCTTCCTCAAAGCGGAGCGCCTCCTGCCAAATGGGTCAGAGAAAGCTCTCATCGACATGCCTCTCCTGGGACCCGAGATCGTCGCGTTCGCCAACATGTCGGTGGCATTCCGAGCTGCCTGCGGCAACGACTTCACTGCGCAGGAGCGCGAGCAATGGGTCGACGTCACCGTCGCTCTGTACCACTACCTGGAGCGACAGAGAGAACTTGGACAGGAAGTCAATGCCAAGGCTCTTCTGGAGGTTCTGGAAAATAATATCGACAGTAGCCTGAGGGAGGAGATCGAGTATGAGGTTGCCAGAAGCTTGGATGCGCTCTTTGCGTATATGGTCCATGTGTGCCAGGAGGCGTGGATTGAGTGGCAAAAATTGGAATCGAGGCGCGGGAGAAGGGTACTTCGACGGCGATCGAAGTCGAAGTTGGGGAAGTAGGCCCTCAGCGGGCGTCTCCACTTTGGTAGGATGCGAGTTGGTACCACAAGTTGGCAGCTGGCTGTGTCTTGGTCATACAAGGTAAGTTCTTCAAATTCAATCGCGACCATGTCTCCCTCCTCTAACTGACGATGCAGGTTCGAAGCGTTCTTCTCCCCCATCTTGGGCTCTGGATGTGAAACAACAAAGGGCTTCTCATAAAAACGGCCTTGTTGTCACTCTTAGGCTTAGTCGCGCTACAATGGCTTTGTTTTATCGAAGTCACCGCGATGCGAATGCGTTGTTGAAGCACTGCTCAATGTATACACGCTCTTCACAACGCCTTGTATACCTATCAAATTAGACTTACAATAAGGCATCGTCAATTTCTGATGATAAATTCCCATACTTATCAGCTCTAGATATGGAAAATCTTCGCACCAGTCGTGCCAAGCAGACAAGCTTGGCGCGCGTGAACTTTATGTCTGTGCACCAGACCTTAGCCATTGGGCCGAGAAGAATGGAAAGAGCCAACAAAAGACTTCGCTGGCAGTTTTCGGAGCGATGACCGGTGGCACGCGTTACTACGAATGACCTGCGAGCAAACGGGGCAAGCCGACGGATGCGGATGCCAGAGGCATCTCGCGGTTCGACGCTCTCATTACTCGAAACTTTTGCTCGAGACTACTCTCGGGCCTTTGCCTCTTCTTCCATATTCCCCGAGCAAGGAACGCTCCGCGAGTTTCAGCATCACAATGTTTAACAGCATCGACGAGTTACTGGCGCATGGTGTCGAGCACTGCACACAGCAGATGGACAACCAAGACTGCGGGATATGTCTCGACCCTTTCACGCAGCCGGTGAAAATCATTGCTTGCGTATGTATCGCTCTCCTCTTTCCAACGTCAAATGCTCCTGGCTAACCCGACCCAGGGACACATACTCGACCGCGTCTGCCTTCAAACGTGGCTGCGCACTCGCACCAGCACCATCAACGGCTCCTGTCCCGTTTGTCGACGCGTTCTCATCCGCCCCCTGACCTCCGACGAGGAAACTTCACAGCTGCGAGAACTCCTCACAAACGACTCGTTCGAATGGCGAACGTTCGGACTCGACACGACCGATCGCATCCAGCTGGTAGACGCTCCCTCCCTGCACGGAAACCTCTTCACCACGGTTCTGGAAGCCGGCGAAGCCACCGTACGAATCGAACCTAGTAAAGCCGTGACGGCTCTGATCATGTTCGGCAACGGTCTGATTCTCAAAGCGTTCACCCAAGGCTTTCCGTTGACTCCGGAGCAATTGCAACAGCTCGAGGCGGAAATCCAGGCGGCGTATAGGTATTGCGAAGAGCATGATGGAGAGGAGAGGAGGGTGGTGGATCTGCCCATCAGCATGGTTCATGAGGTGATGGTAAGGATGGTTGAGAGCGGAAGTGAGATCGATCCGGATATGTTCGACGATGGCATGATGGACGGCAATCACCCTGGATTTCGACTTGTTAAGCTATGCTTCAGTGTCACTTGGGCGATATGGCTATGCAGTGCAGATGGTGATTTGGAGGCTAGGGGCAACTAACGATGGCGCACTGGACACGCGTTGGATATCCTCGCTTCTGCCTCTCAAATCCTATACTCGGTCATGCGAACAGCAAGCAGTTTTGTGCCCTGCCCATTAGAGTCCAAGCCAAAGTTCCACTGCAGCATGTAGCGACTCCGTCGCTTGATCACTCGACATCGATGCGATTCTACATCTCTCCCTCCCATTTCAATATCCCCACCCTTCCGTAGCCTTCCTCATGATCGACCTCTTCCATGCTGTCGAACTTGCGCTTACTGCCTGACCTACTCCATAGCAGCTTCTGCTCTCCCAAAGGACCCTTGAGGGCGAAAGAAGGCTTCGATCTCCGGCCCAAGTCTAGGACATCCTCAACGAGGGCGCGCGGATCTGTGGATCCTCGTTTGAACTTCTGGAGCAGCTCCGTGAGGGCGATTCCCTCGTCCAGGATAGCAGTCCTTATTTGTCTGTCCCACTTGCTATATTCTCTCAAAACAACACGATCGACAGCTTCTGAGATGTTGGTCTGTGAAGAGATCAATTTGGCGCCTGTGCGGGTATTTCCATAGAGCATGAGTCGTAGCGACGATGTCAGAGACCGAAGCTCGATACCCTCGGGTGGAACGACGCTACGGATTGACTTGGCAGTCAGACGGCCTGACTTCCTCTGAAATGCTGGGAAAGTGTAACCTTTTCCCTCTCTGTTAGGCTGCTTCCATGCGTTGCTGTCCTCAATTGCCATCTGGAATGTCTTGCGGAGTATCTTTCCCGTCTTGATGGGAAAGACCATGTTGATGTGTGATAGTAGTTCTCCAAAGCTAAAACCATGTGGACTCTGCGAGTACAAGGTGGTGCGGTAGTACCACGTGCGACGGTTAGCGTCTTCCCACGGCGACGACCGTCCGAGCCGCACGACATTGACAGGCGGCTGGCATAGGAGCATACGCTTCCAAGAAGCTTCTCTGTACGGACTCGCCTGCTGGTTGATGCCCTTGGAGTCCGGCCGGAGTATTGGCGCCCGCAAATTGCTATGGGCTTCGCCTAAGCTCAGCAGGAACGGATTGGCGACACGTTCCTCTAGATCCGCGCTGAAGTCTGGGCGGAAGAAGAGCTTTTCCTGAAGTGTTGGCGAGTCGGCGGTGATATCTCGCCACTGGCGACAGACCCTCGGGGCGCGGAGGAGTAAGTCGTGGAGAGGCAAAAGCAGGAAGATCTGTTCACAGAGCTCTGGGACCTGGAATACCCGGGCAGAGGCGCATCTCTTCTCCGTGGGCATATCGAAGTCGTGCTCGCAGTCGAAGTGAAAGCTCTCCAGCGCTTGACAGAGCGCGAGCTCCTCCGCGAAATTCATGCCGAGTTGCCCGCGTCTGTTGCGCGCGTCCTCGAGTCCTCTGGATCTTTTCTAGCCTGGTTGGTGTTAAGGTCAGCGAGTAGAGGAGGATACTGCAGTGGAGGTTTGAAGAGTGATCGTAGGAGAAGTTGGGTGCTTAAGTAGGAGACGGCCTCAAGCGGCGTGAGTGACGAGTTAAGCTTTTTTAGCGTGAATTTTAACACGCGCGAGCATGTGACTGTCACTTCTGTAGATGCTTCACTCGAGCTCATAATGCAAGTCAGAAATCGCATAGATTTTCGAGGATGCGTGTAGTCGTGAAGCTATATCACGAGTATCTCATAGTTGAGCTAACTCAGCCAACCTGCAACACAGAAACCTGGAGGCCATTTCATAGGTCTTTGGTGTTGCCGGCTACGGATGCCTGAAGAGTGAATCTCCAACTTATTTAGCGAAGGGCGGGCGATGGGAGCGAACAGCCCCCCTGAGCCTCCCGTAGTGATATATATAATTTGTAAGAATGCTAAAAAGCGTCTCCCCTTGTGAAGCTCTATATAGTAGCCCTCGGGGAGCCCTCGGGAAGCCGCCAGAGACAAAGAAGTATATGGTAGCAGGTAGTAGGTAGGTAGGCTAGATTTTATATCAAAGCGCACGCGTTGATCAGTCTAAAATTAACATCCAAATTCATAATCAGCTAGGCATTTCCGCAAACATTAATACATACAAACGGTGATTAGCTGGCCGTTTCCGCAAACATTAACACACACAAAAGGTAGGTAGGCAAATTAGGTCCTTCGACGTGATATGTATTAACGCTACGGGTGCCCTTCGCTCGAATTTGAGATAGTGATCCACGAGCTCTCCACTGTACCCTTGCACTCCGTGTCCAAGGCATCAGTGGCTCCCACGTCCTGACGTTTTGCTTCAATGTCTCTGAGTCCCTAGAACGTAGCTGATCTTTCAGCTCCCGCCTCGATGCCTTCGCTCATCTCTACTGCACACCAGACTGGTGCCACTGTCCATCCTGGCACTCAAACCTAGCAGCCTCGACCTGCGGCCGATTGTCGCTACCCTCGATCGCCATGGAAAAGGTGTCGTGCAGAATGTCTGCAGTCGCAACTGGAGATACTTAGCTTAAGCTCCTTACCATCTCTTGAATCGTGAACCCTCGCCCGTTCGTGGAGTCCGGGCAGGTCCTATGATAGTAATTGCAGCCGATATGAGCCGTTCCAGGCGAAGTACGACCAATCCGGATGGTGTGGACCGGGGGCTGAGAGACGAACATGCGGCGTCAAGGAGCATCGGCGCGCTGTGATGCTTCAGTGCGCCTGTCGAAGTCGTTGAGGCTCGAGAGAAAGATATGCTTCGACCAAGCTCATGAGAACAGGGTTGACGCTGCGCTCCCCATTGCTGAGAGATGGAAGGAAGAACAGCTTCCGTTGATGGGTCAGCGAGTCTTCAGATAGGCTCCCTGGAGTGAAGAAGAGGTTGCGTTGAAGTTGCAAAGATTCAGCGATTGTCTCATGCCAAGTCTTGGAGCGGTGACGAGTTGATCGTTTCGTGGACTCTCGAGGAGGATCGATTCAAGTAGCTTGGTGATATCGAACGCGCTCGTCGTGGCTGTGTTGGTCTCTCCGAGGACGTCAACCGCTCATCGTCGCCGGTCTGAGTGTCGGTGGGCCAATGGCACAGGCTTTGGATGATTGTAGAGGTCAGCGAGCGATACTGTATTAAAGTCAGAAGATGGCTATAGTGTACCTGAAAGCCCATGATGTATTGGAAACTGATGCGGTGATGATGTGTAGAGGACAGTGAGAAGTCGCGAAAGTCGTGCAACGGTGCAACCAAGTGGTCGAGCTGCAAACTCGTCCAAAAAAGTGAATTCCATTTCAGTCAACTGTCACCCTTCTGTTCTTGTTATGCACCCATGCGAGGCCCTTCTAATACATCCAAGTACTAGCATCTGTTCTCTCCCTCCCTCCACCAGTCTCCTGTCCGCTAATCAGTGGCAGTAGACGCCATGTCGGGTTCAACAGGCCGCTTTGATCGAATACGCTTTTTCTGTCACTTCAGTATCAGAGACCATCATTTGTCCACGGGTCCATTCGTAGCGATCATGAGCATCTCTTCCGCAATCTTCGCACAAGCCCATTGCACTTTTGTATGTTCGGTCTTCAGGAGCGTGGTCCATATTGAGCTGCCTGCTGTTGGTGAACACGCCAGGCCACGTTCTCTCCAGATCGGTGATGAATAGTCGATATTGGTCAGCCGTCAGTGCAGCCTCGCCGGCATCGAGTTTTACAGTAGCACCCGTCGAGGCATCAGCGTCTGGGGGCGTAGTCTGCTGTGGATGTTGTAGTAAAGAGGTAGGTTCGCAATTTGGAACGGCAGGTGGTTGTCGGGAGTAAGTATCTTCAACAATATTGGGACTCTGATCCCACCGCCCCCTGAGGAGACGATGGGCACGAGAATGCCAGACGATGCGCGCTCTCGGCATCAGGGCTTCTGGGTGATTATGGGATCTGGGATCTGGTCAAGATATCCTGCCAACAGCTTCGTGATGAAAGGCGAGAGATTGGTCTGACTCGGGGCACTCTCCTAGATGAACACAGACATCTCGCTGCCAGACCAATGCAAGCTTCTCCCTTGTGTAGCTCGCACGGCCTAGGTATTCATCATCACATGTTGAGCATTACGTAAGTCCACGCTATGGCTTCCTCGTGAGCGAATTCGCCGCCCTAAACGCGACTTGACCAACAACAAACAAACACAGTGCAACCCGTAAAGATGGCGGAAAACACCCCCGCCCCTGTCGACGCCGTCGAGCCGCCGAGTGCGGTATCACGAGTCTTCGAAACCCCTGATCTCCTCGAGAAGATCATGCTGAAGTTGCCGCTCCGCCCCTTGCTTCTGACAGCACCATCGGTGAGCAAGGTCTGGCGCGATCTTATCAACAACTCATCGCCACTGCAACAGGTGAGCCTCCGCTCCAACTCAGCATTTTTCGTTTCGTCTCGTGCAGCTTGCTGACTTACTCCCATCCAGGCCCTCTTCTTCCAGCCACTGCCAGCGTCCGACGGCGGCAAAGTTCTCGCCAACCCTTTCCTACCTTGGGCCTTCAACCCTTCGCACCGTCGCAACAACTACCTCCGGCTCCAACCCACTCTCAAGCCGCAGACGGACTCTTCTTCTTGCCATCGAATGCTGGTCTGTCAACCACCAAAAGAAACGGTGGTCGCGAACCCGGCCTTCGAGAGAAGAGCTCGGCCGCGGCGGTGCTCCTACACCGTCACCCTCACACTCGAAGGGGGCGTCACGGTGGGACAGGTGCGCCAGGAGATGATGGAGTGGCAAGAGCGAAGAGCTCCTCTGGCTGAGTTCAAGATCCTCCCAGGAGGCTCAGACTGGGTGAAAGGGTCCAAACGCAAGACTGCTGCTGAAGAGGTTCTGGCGTTCGTCGAGAAATACAAGGCCAAGGACAAGGACATGGATGAATTTGGTGATGCTGTGGAGAGCGAGACTACCTGTACGGACTCAGAAGGTGATTAGCACTTGGCGGCTTGATGGCAGGCTTACTATTGACGACATGAAGTCTGTCAGGGCTACAGGAACTATTGGAAGACTCGCGTTCACGCATGTTGTTCGGAAACGATGAGAAACATTTGGACGTGTGGAAGATGGCTCTTTAGGGACAGAAAAGGGTATAAAGCTGACCGTCTGCTATGCATCGAGCATGATTTCATCTTCTTCATGCTCTCCAACACCATTCGTCAACAGACCACTCGGCCCGTTGGCGCCAGCAACAGCGTTCGCACCGCTGACATCGTCCATTTGTCCCAAAGCCCACAGGAGCACGTAGCGCTCCTCGCTCATCTTCTCGAGTCGAGAGTAGTGACGATCGGTATACGCCTAGAAACACAATTAGTAACAGTCACTGGTAACTTTGACAAAAACAAGTACGTACTTTCAATGCGCCAACAACATCTTTGATGCTCTCCTTACTTTGAATCTTCTCTTTCGTCGACAACTCTGCCACAGCCTCAGCTAACTCGCTATCCATATCCACTGGAGCAGCCGCCGTCTTTCTTCGTCGGTTGAGGGACAAGATCTTCTCTTTTGGGTAGAGGTGCAAGAGAGCGTAGAGAATCCGCTGTGCAACGGGATGGGTTCTTCCGTTTGCATTCCAGTCTCGTATCCTGCGGAATAAGCTCCAGAGCTGGCTATCACTCAGCGCTGCGAGCACTTCGTCGACTTCGCGTTTGCCGGTATAGCTGTTCTCGTCTTGCGTATCGCTTTCCACGACAGTCTTGAATAACTCAAGCAATCGTTTGGGATGGTTGAGCTGGAGTGCGAGAACAATTGCTTCACTGAAGTTGTTAGAGCGGATGTGATTTTGAAGTTCCTGGTCCTGTTCGATGCGAGCTGTAGCCTGAGTCGTTGCATGGAGTGCAGTAGTCGAGGTTGTGTCAGTCCAAAAAGTAAGCGTGCTGTCTGCTGAGCCAGAGACTAGTTCCAACTGGGATGGTTCGGGTCGTTTATCAACGTCCATCTCTTCATCCGCAGAGTCGGCATTGTGTTTATCGCCCTCTGATGTTGTCGCCTCTGTCGGACGGACGGCTAGAGCCCAGACTCGGTCGATGTGATTGTCAAGGGTAGCAGCGCACTCACTGCTCTGCGCATCCCAGACCTTCACCAACCCGTCACCAGCAGCACTGGCAACCTGAATGCCTCTCTTGCTTCGGTCTTCCTTCACAGGAGCTGGCAACCACACGACCTTGAGCACGCTGTTGGCGTGACCTTCAAACGTTCGGAGACAGCTGTAGTCTGTCAAGTTCCAAATCTTGACTGTCTTGTCTCCGCTTCCAGTCACCACCATACCTCTGGCAGTGCTCGCTGCACCACCTTCGCCGGTTGTCGTGAGAGCAGGCATATCAGGCGAAGAGAAGGCAATAGTCCAGACACCCCGCTTGTGCCCTCTCAATACACCGATGGCCTCGCCCGATTCAACATCCCAAATCTTTACCGTCCGATCTTGGGAAGCAGAAGCGAACAGCGACGAAGATGTGGAGTACGATGTCTCGATGGCATTGATGTCCTTGTCATGGGCTTTTCGTGTGTATGCCGCTCGTGGGACCTTGCCGGGCTGTGCTGCAATATCCCATCGTTTAATCGTCTTGTCTTGACTACCAGTGATCATGAACTTGGGAGGGTGGTCTAGCGGCTTCTTGTATTCTTTGGATCCACGTTGAGGTATTGCGTTCGGCAATGATACAGCACCGACGCTCTCCGCATGCCCTTTCAAGGTGGCATAGCAAGTGTACGAGTCGTTCCCAGGATCTAGTCTCCACAGCTTTGCGGTGTTGTCCTTGGCGCCTGTTGCCAGCCAATGTCCTGACCAGTCTGTGTCAATCGTGATGATAATGTCGTCGTGTCCTTTCAAAAGTGCCACATCAGCGCCAAAGTATGGTGATGTTGCTTTTGATGAGTCTGGAGAGTCAAGTGAGATGATGCGGAGGTCCTCGAGATTTGTCGCCAAGGCAAGAAGGTTGTGTTCGCGGCCGACGTACGCGAGATCAATCACTTCATCATGAGTACCGCTTATCCTTCGAAGCACCGGTAAAGACGGTATTTGTGATGTTTTGGTGGACGTTTCGGAAAGATGCTGTAAGGAGCGCAGTACGAGGGTCTGGTCGGCGTGGACAGTTAAGAGAAATGGCAGTGTACGATGATGCTGTACATCCACAATGGCCTCGATCTCCGCGCCTTTCTCCTGATCTTTGGTAACTTCGGTCCCATCTGCGGTACTCCAGATCCGTAGCCTTGCTGTCTCGCCGCCTGTGTAGAACAATCGACCGTTCTCCAGGAAGCCAGCACTCTCAACAGCCTCTAACACGGCAACGGTAGATGTGGCCTGCCATGTTCGCGAATCCCAGACAATCGCTGTCTGATCCCTGCTTGCAGATAGTAGCAGTTTCTGTTCTGCAGAGTAATCCAGACTTCTGACAACCGATACATGCGAATCGAGTGTTGCGACACTTCTACTCTTATGTAGATTCCAAATTCTGACTTTTCCATCCTCGCCACCAGATGCTAGTCTGTAGCCTGCAGTCGCGTCGTCTTGAACTGGCTCCGCCTCTTCATTTCGCCGTGTATTATTCCTCTTCTTCTTGCTCTTCAACGGCTGATGCTCCAACTCTGAATCGACCTGAAAGAAGTGCAAAGCCGAGATGACGCCGCTGTGGCCATGGAACGTATGCGTAGTGTACCCTCCTTGCAAGTCCCAGACCTTGACCTCTCCGTCTGCGCCTCCGGTAGCTAGTAAAGGGCTGGTCGAGTCGAAGACAAGGACTACAACAGGCGTATTGTGTGGTTTTAGTGTTCGCACTAGCTTCGTGTTTATCTCTTCGCCAGGTTCAGCATGTTGAAGTGCATATATGCGCATAGACTGGGACCGGGAACAGAGTACCAGATAGGCAGAATCAGGGGATATGCCGAGCGTTGTAAGAGGTTCGCCGTCCTAATAACTTGGTCAACTGTCAGTCCCAGAGTCTATCTCAGAGTGTGACAATGCTTACGCCTTCTATGCGTGCCAGATGGGCTCCAGTCTCGAGATCTGTGAGCAGGGCTTCTTCGCCGAGCTGTGATGCGAGAATGCGCCCATCTTGACTGAGTGAGACACTGCCACCAGTGTATATTGGCTGGATGACACGACTCGGCTCGAACGTAGTCTTGACATCCGCCTTGAACGCCATCTCCCTGCAATTTCTAGACGGCTAGTATCTTGCCATTGCGACCCAACAAAAGCCGAATTCAGGTCTGTCGCAAATCTGCAATTCGAAGACGCAGCGCCCAGGAAACGTAAGACCGGGTCGCAATGTCGATATGCACCTTTCCAGAGCAATATCGGGTCGAAATACAGTATTGTACAACAATGTCGAGAGGATCAAGTGAAGATGAAGCTCACATGCAGAAAAATATCCTCGGCAAACCTTCCTAGCTTGGCCACCGCGCGCCTCCAGCTCCGCGTCGTCACTCCCGCTGCCTGAGAGCTCCGACTTGAGCTCCACCGAAACATAACTCCCAAACAACTTTCCAACAGCAACACTCGACAAAGCGCAATCATGTGAGTATCTACTAATATCGACTTGACGCCGACAATACTGATGGATGAGCCAGGGAGGTATTACTGGGAATCACGGGCAAGGACTTCACCATCATCGCCGCGTCCAAAGCGGCCATGCGAGGCGCAACCATTCTCAAGGCCAGCGACGACAAGACACGTCCGCTCAGCAGAAATACCCTCATGGCTTTCAGCGGAGAGGCTGGAGATACCAGTGAGTCTTAATCAGATCCCGATGAAGGAGCTCACGTGCTCAACATTCATAGTCCAATTCGCCGAGTACATCCAGGCCAACATCCAGCTCTACTCCATGCGCAACTCAACGGACCTCACACCCTACGAGACCGCGTCCTTCGTCCGCAGCGAGCTCGCCAAGTCCCTCCGTTCCCGATCGCCATACAACGTGAATCTGCTCCTGGGCGGCTACGACACCCTTAAGGACCAGCCACAGCTCTACTGGATCGACTACCTCGCGTCGTGCGCGCCCGTACCCTACGCCGCTCACGGATATGCTCAATACTACTGCCTGAGTACGCTCGACAAGCACCATCATCCGGACATCAGCTTCGAGCAGGGAATGAAGATCCTCCGGATGTGTACAGATGAGCTGAAGAGACGGTTGCCGATTGATTTCAAGGGCGTGCTTGTGAAGGTCATCACGAAGGATGGGATACGAGAAGAGCCATATGATGATTCGGCGCAGGTGATGGCTCCATAAAGCGTCTCTCATCGACACGAGATAGATGGGACGAGCGGGAGGCGTTCTGCGGCGTTTGAATATGCATATGCAGCTGAGATGCTGTAGTAGCCCGGTAAGGAGGACGACAGGCATGTACCATACAAATGAAGAATGTGAAATTGACCCACGGGTGTCTACGCTGAACAGTCGAACTGAGCAAAGAACACAAGTCAGCTGTTCACTTCTGTCTGTGCTGAACACTCGATCACCTGCTTCTTTGACGAGTGGTATTTTCTTGGGACGTCACTGGCATGAAAGATGTTTCGCCGAAGATCTGAACAGTCTGGAGGATGTAAGGGTGGATGTTAGGAGTGATGAGGTGAGGAGATGTAGGAGCCGCACAGCCATCATCTGGTTCATCAGGGATAGTGAATTCGGTGCGTGAAGACACCGAAGCTAGAAGTGCATCGAAGCTGGGAGCGCCAATTCAAAGATGCTCCAGAGCATGCTCTGGGAACGCGGATTCGCTGCCGCAGGATACTACATCTACTGAAAAGGACACGGCGATGGCTGGAATGATGGGAATTGCAAATTCACTCCCCTGTCTCGAGGAGAAGGTCGATAGTCCATCGCGAAGTTGTAGACATTCCGGCGCAGGAAATACAGGCCTTGGGCTTATCTCGCCTCAGAGAAGCACTAGAGAGCTGCTCATGTGCGTCGTCGAGATTGAAAATGATCGAAAACTGCCCAACTCCACTGGACGGGGAGTCGGTAGGTGCAAAACCGGGCATCCGATTTCAGAAGTCGGCGGTGAGCCATACCGGTTTGACCTGAAGAGGCGCGAGACGATGGCGCTGAGCACCCTCGTAGCTGCACACTATATGCAAGGGCTTTGCTGTGGTGACCCCAAGCATAGCCGGTAGTGGATGCGCCAGACGGCCCCAGTGCAGTCATTGGACCAGGCGAGATTCACAGAGAGTTACACCAAATGCTTGGGAAATCGGCTTAATAAAACACTGCTTTTCATTGCTCGTGTGGTCTGTTGTCTATGCCAAACCTTTCTCGTAAGCTCCATGCCTGCCCGCCGTTGATCGACCAGCCCTCGGAGAATATGCTCTCACAAACAAGAAGCACACACCAACGATGCAGACAATCGCAAACAACTTGGTGGTCCAGCTCAAGCCAGCCGACTTTGGCAGAGACGCGTTCGGCGTCGAGGCAGCTGCTTGGCCAAGACCCTTAAGAGCCTCCTTGCCCAGCGTCTCTCCGGTTGTGCTTTCACTACCGAATGTTTCGTCCTCTCCAAGCGGCGCGGCGGGCTCCGCGGTCCCAGCGTAACCTGTATTCCAAGAAGGGCCAACGGTCAGCATGTCCTCTCCGAAACACCAGCACGTTTTGGTTGCTGTTGTGTCACCAATACGTACTGGCCTAGAGTTCCGCTCGCAAACCTTCTTCAGGGACCTCGAGCTCTCCACTCTTGACAATTGTGACCTTCTGGGTGGGCTTGTCGCTGGCGCCCTTGGGAACGTTCTGGATCTTGTCGACGATATCGTAGCCCTCGAGGATTTCGCCGAAAACGACGTGGCGATCGTCAAGCCAGGCAGTAATGACGGTGGTGATGAAGAACTGGGAGCCGTTCGTATCCTTGCCGGAGTTTGCCATGCCTTGAGGTATTCATCAGTATTTGACGAGGGTGAATGCTGGGACCTTCATCTTACTGAGCAGGCCCTTCTTGCTGTGCTTCAGCTTGAAGTTCTCGTCGGGAAACTTCTCGCCATAGATGCTCTTGCCGCCAGTGCCATCACCCTTGGTAAAGTCACCGCCCTGGATCATGAAGTCCTATATCCAAATGCACATATCAGCCATTGCATCCCGATATACATTCTCCAAGCTTATAAGACCCACCTTGATGACGCGGTGGAAAGAGCTGCCCTCATATCCAAATCCCTTTTCGCCAGTTGCCAGAGCGCGGAAGTTCTCAGCAGTCTGTCAATGTCGTGTCGTGTCAACACTGTCCCTTTCTGCCAAGACTTCTCGCGATGCGTATACCTTTGGCACGGTCTTTCCATATAGTCCAATGACAATCCTTCCCATGTCCTCATCGCCATGCTTGATATCGAAGTAGACCTTGTGGGTGATCTTGGGGCCCTTTGTTGCCTCGGCGGTCTGGGCGAGGAAGACGAAGACGAAGGTGAGGATGAGAAGGCAGCTGATGGCCAACTTATGGAATGACTGCATCTTGAGAAGCAGAGTCTTCGTATCTCGTAGACTGGGTGGAGGTGTTGTTGTGAGAGTCGAGAAGACAGGTGTAGTATTCGTTTCGTGATTGGAGCTGCAGTTACTCCCTCCTGCCGCTAGATCGCTCTCAGGGTCCGCAATCCGGTCCGTGCGCATGGATGATGGACTTCACTTGGGCATTTCTCAGCTCCATCCCCACAAGCACCTCCATACGCTCTTTTGCACCACCGCAAAAATGGTATGAGATATTACATGTTAGTTCCAGCTCAGTACTGATGACATCCAGGTTTTCATCTTCGGCTCCAACTTCGAAGGAACCTTCCTCGTCACCCGCGCCTTGCAATCCTTCTACGGCATCGGTCCCCAATCCTGCTCCAAGCTCATGGCCAAGTTCCACATCCACAAAACGATGCGAGTAGGACAGCTAGGCGAGAGAAAAGAGAACGATCTGTCAGCAGAGCTGAGTGGGATGGTGTTGGAGAACGACTTGAAGAGACAACTGCAGGACAACATCAAGAGGTTGAGGGATATGGGAACATACAGAGGCAGGAGACACGCGATGAGTCTGCCTGTGAGAGGACAACGGACGAGAACTCAGGTGAGCGGATCGACGACGTGGCTTCTTGATTATAGGAATTTGCTAATGAGTTTGATGTAGATCATGACCGCGCGGAAACTGAATCGCGTGGAGAGGAGAGCTTGAGTTCTCACACCTTCTCACAACTTGGGGGAATTAATGCATAGCGATGGCGTTCGAATGAAATTAAGCACCCGCACGAGAGCTTGAGAGATACCAATGTATGACCACACAGGCGATGCAATGACTACGAAGTCATCTCGACTCATTCTTGCCAACACGCTTCACCTTTGCATCCCGCATCCTCTTGAACACCACCTCCGGCAGTGAAGGCGGAACATCCTCTGCTCTCAGTATTTCTTGCGCCCTGCCCTTTGCAATCCAGCACTCACGGCGTGCCTCGGTGTATCAAGCGAGCCGAGTCTGTCAAAAAGGATGACCGCCACCATCCACTTCTCATCGTCCTGCTCACTTCCTGGTACAACCATCTCGTCAATAACCGTATCATCTGGCTCACAGACATCACGAATCCGCCTCATCTCCGCGTTAGGCGTGCGTGAAGAAGTGCTGTCCGTGCTCGTTGTTGGGCAGGAAGGTCTTCTCGGACCACAGCCATGGCCCGTCGCTTCCTCCTTGAGAAAGAACCGGTAGAGCGTTTTGCGTTTGGAGAGGATGAAAACCTGGCTTGTGATTTCGGTCGTTTTGGCACGGGATAGTGCAAGGCGCGCTCCGCAATGCTTCTCCGCTACGGTTTCACGATTGCGACCGAGTAAGGTAGTTCCGTGGGAGGTAGGTCAAGTGTCAGGGTCCACTCTCTAAAGCTTTATAAGCATTGTTTAAGCAGTGCTTTCATTCAAGACCCTTTATTCCAGAACCGCCCTCGTGGCCAAGTGGTTAACGCGCTTAACTACAAAATTGCCCTGGTCGGAGCGAGCTCTAGATCAGTCCTCGTGGCATAAACAGGAAAGCCTGGTGTGGCCTTAATCCGATTGGATGTAACTTTTTTTATTTCCCGTCAGTTTACCTATAGTAGCGCTGTATTTTTTTAGCCAAGTTAAAGCTGGGTGCTAAAATTGAAAGCCAGTGATTTTGGAAACAGAGCCAGTGCAAGCTTGATGGGGAAACTTTCACCCATAGCTGAGCGTTTGAGCGGGTCTCAGAGAAAATGATTGCTTGGAGATACTTCCAGGAGGTTTGTTGCAGCGGTGGAACATCTGCTCCGGAAAGAATCGAGAAGAGAAGGCGGCGATTCTGGACTGGAAACTTCCGATCAACACTGACATTTCTCCCATCGAAAGGGCCAGCCTGGCTCAGCTTCTGCCAATCCCATCCTACCAACACATCTCCACGCCACCTTCGAGGACTCTGCCGCTGAGCATTCTGCGAACTTGCATCGCGCGCAGCTTCCTTCGAGAATCCTACAATTGAGCCTCCGGTACACCTCGAACGCAAGCAGCTTCTAGCCAATATTGGCACACCGTCGCATCGAAATCAAGACCTCTCTCTTCTTTACCCTCAGCGCCGTTCTGCTCATTCCGCATTCCGCTCTCCCGCTTCTCCTCCATCTGGATCTGCGCAGCTTTCAGCCTCCAGATCACCATGAGCCATACACAATCGACCCAAGAAGAGCTGACAACGGGAGTTCTCGGATTCAACGTCGGAATGCTTGGGGATGACGTGGATGATGTCCTCGCTTTGTAGAATGTATACTGGGAGTGCGATGCCATTGTGGTTCTTGACGTCGCCTGCCTAAAGGGCGGCAAGGAAATCTTAGCTATGGTCTTGAGCACGAAATGTCTTTGCCCTCAAGGCTCACTGTTCGCAACACTTTGCAGTCAAGTCCACCAGCTCCTAGCTTGAGAACCCGAGCAGGGTAGGATGTCAACCGCAATACACAACGTTGAGATCAGACAAGCGGTATGCAGTTCCACCAAGTCGAATCACTATCATTGCCGTGAACCTATATATTACTGCTAGCAAATGGGTATTAAACATCATCAAAACCATCTCAAGATAAATTTCTCACGCCAAACTGGTATACAACACCTCCATCTCTTCATCATCAATCAACAAAGCGTGGCCTCGTTACTGATTAACATAACTTGCCGGTGGCGTAGTCGACTGAAGCTCAGACGGTAGCATGCGCCCCATCAGTAGCAGCCGCATGGCCATTCGTGGCACCGGTAGTGGCAGCAGTGTCCGTGTCGAGAACACCATCGGGGCCACGAGGTTTCTCGCCAGCGGCAGTCTTGTTGTAGGTACCAGGTCCGCTGAGATAGCGTGGTTCTTCGTCGTACTCGCGAAGTCGGAGTCCAACTCGCGCCGGATCGATATTCCAGTGTCCGAGTATCAGTGCGATGGAGAAGAAGGGTTTGGCGCAGAGATCCAGGACTCCGTAGAATACCGCTTCTGAGTCTGTAGGATATCAGTATTCGCGGACTAAGCCTGTGTGGACTGAGAGGTGGAGCTTACCTGGCGGAATCACATTTCCACCTTCCGAAACACCCCAAGCGACTGGATATAGCAGCCAGATGAAGAGAGTCCAGACTCCACAGACGAGGTAAACACGGGATACGTCAGAGCCCAAGATCTGAGCACGCTTGCGGCCTTCCCACGCGATGTTCCAGAAAATATAAAACATGGCGACGCAGCCGAAGGTATAGAATCCTTCCCATTTTGTAAGCATCGCAGAGGGATCGAAGATTGCATGGATATAACTTACCCCACTTGTATCGAGTGCTGACAAGAGCTCCAACCAAGCCTGTCACAATCATCACCCAGTCGAGGAAAATCGTCCAGATGATTGTCGGCCAAGGTACGCCGGCGGTGAGGAGCAAGTCGCTGATGAGAAGAGGGGTGGTGATGAACCTGTTTGCGAGTTAGATATCTTACGCGCATGACCGTACACTGCAAGGTTGGAGACTCACCAATCGATGTAACGAGCATAGAAGATCTCGCGGTTGCCCCCTGCGACTTTGGCGTCGCTCCGCTGGAACTCAACATCGATTGGAGTCCAACCGAGGTTCGATCCCATCGTAAAGTAGGCGACAGCGGCAGTCAGGTTGATGGCGGCAGTGATGTAGAAGAAGACCCGGTCTGTCTTGGGCTTGAGGTTGGCGGCACAAGCCACAGCCAGACCGACGAATGCCATCACACCGCACACGCCGAAGTAGAAGTCAGAGCCTCTCGCGGTGATGGCGATGTCCACGGTCTTGCCATTGACAATGTTTCCGTTGACATCGATGGCACTGCGCTTGAATAATTCCGCCATCTTGAAAGCGTCGACGAAGAATCACCAAAAGTTGACGAGTACCAGACGTCGCGACTGAAGCTTGAGAGAATTGCGAACGAACTCGTCCTCAGGACTCCGGGCGACATTTGTAGGCTTACCTGCGCTGGTAGCATCTTCCTCCGCAACTGGTGGTCAAGGTGACCTCAGTCCTTGGATACCCCGGCCACGATGGAAAGCTCTGGTTCGACTCCTCAACTTGGCTCGCTGAAGCACGCGTAAGGATTATTGCAGATGTCAGAAGACATGATGAAAACCATCCATGTCATTCAAGTGATCAAGTCGCTCGGCCCAAAGACCGATGAGCTGATGATTGGTTTGCGGAGTGGAGACTACGTCCTTGAACGTGGATCGCGACATGGGTCCGGCGACATGGCGGCAAGACTCGCGCGGAACCTCGCTGCTGATGATTATGAATCTCCCCATGCATGCGAAGAAGCGTCAATGTGGAATGGTTTGATTTCGGAAAGAGAGCGGAAGAGGATACAGCATGCAAGAGCCTGCCGAAGCAACTTGGAATGCTTAACGCTTGTGGCAGCTATGGTGGAGATGCCATGGGTGCATCCGGTATGGGGAGGCAGCGACGTCGCTGTGACATATTGCAGACCGACTTTGTGTAATGATGCATTTGAGTTTGATGAGAGAATCCGAGAAGTATCCAGATCGCTCAGGTGATCAAACGTGACATCACTGCAGCTAGGGCCTGGGATGGCACGGTGCAGCACTGAAGGGTACCAAGTCGTCCACGCACAATGAGATGGCCGTGAGCGATTGCTTCAATCACGTTGCTGTCCGTTCATTCCATTGGATGAATTTGATATGCGTGTGGAGTGGATAAAGGAGCGCTGCGGCTTCACTCGAGCAGGTCCGGATCGTCCGGAAGGCATCGGAAGAGGACGTCGTTTCTTGGGATTTCCAAAGGTCGTACGACGTGTCGGTTTGAAGTTCGTACTGTAGGCGGACCACACCAGCCGGATTGAGAGGAGTCGTGGAAGCGTCGGCAAGGGAAGATGGAGGCATCGATCGTGAAAAGAGCAGGTGATGTCCGAGGAAAGTTTCGGGGACAGCGTCGACCCGGATGGCACCACAAGACCACAAGACGGAATGCGGACCGCTTCGGCTCTGGCGTGAGCTTCTGTGCTTTGGTCTCTCTTACTGTGACTTCACCTTCAGTCTCTGACATGTACATCAACATCCGATCCAGCACCTGACCAGGCGGTCTCGCAGTTGCAGTCATACAACCTACCGCCTCGAGTGACCATAGCGAGGCATTCCAAACTGTTTGATTGCGGACAAGGATGAAGATAATCGCAAAGATACCCGGCCGAACCGGTGAGGGGTCGCTCTCCGTCTTGGAAGTATCTATCGAAATGCATGGGTGTCGAATCGCTAAGACAAATAGGGCTGTCTATGATTCAATACCGAGAGAGGCCGGGGGATGTCGATTCCAGTGCTTTTCAAATTGTGAATCTCGTCACAGTTGGGTCTCCAAGGACTTCCAACGCCCCCTCTTAGCATTTCGGCAGCACGGAAGACCATAGAACAGATGTGAGCATGACCATTCAACACCAGATTCTCCATCTTGACGGATAATGCAGACACAAGAAGCCCGCACGGCGCCATAGCCGCAAGAGATGCTCGCATCGTCCAGAATGGGCCCTTATCTTCATCTTGCGTGCCAAGGGGAGCCTGGTCAGAACGCTTTTCCAAATTACTTAGACGGTACCAACTTCCCACTTTTCAAAAGCAGCCTTAACTCTCGTCTCATGGCGCACAGGTTGCTTGACCAGACCGATTCTACGTAGCGTTCAATCGTTGTCTTGACTGGTCGAATTGCCAAGGCAGCAGAATCGTTCCAGTCATCTTTGAGCGGTATGTGCAGCACGTCTTGCCTCTATTGGGTAGAGTCCTCGTCATCCGGGAAGAGACGCCCAACGGACGAGTCGTCTTTCAGATGCAGATTTGCTGTGTAGTGCAGATCAAGTGGCTCATCGGATCGTAAGTCGCCCACGCCATCTTATTCCGTAGCGTGAGTTGCATTTTCGACTTCGCCAAATTGACCAACCTTAGGCTATGTCAGGTCTATTACTTCGCATGCAACGTGCGTCCAGGGGGTTCACGCAGCGGTAATGCAGCTCCATGTCTGCTCGCCCAGATCTAGCTCGGAAGCTTCGAATTATCGATGTTCGGGTTAAATTCCTTGCTTGGTATTTGAGGATGAGCATTCGCTTGCGATTACGTGAGGTGCCGTCGGGTGTACTCTTCCACGATTCTGCGCCATCGCCAGTACTTTCCTCGCTCGCCAAGGTCTTCTCTCAAAATTCCCAATCGGCTGTTCAGGTCAAGGGCAGTCTTGAAGTTCTAAGATCGCATGCCGTCGCTCGAGACATCATGACATACCCGTCTTGGCGGAGAGTTACTGTCGCGCATCTCCAGTAGATTTGCTGTGCTCCGAAGTTCACGATCCGAGGAGACAGCAGTCGTTGTTGATACATCCAACCTCGCTGATCAAGCGGAGACTGACGGAGGCTGCCGTATTGGAACTTCGGATCTCGAACATTCATGGAGCCATTGGAACTGTCGCCTGACAGCTTGTAGTTCAATCGGCAAGCTGCAAGGGCTTCTGTTCTTGGTATGAAACGATCCGACAGTGGAATCCACGGCGCCTCGAGCTGCGATATTCAAGCAAGTGTTAGCATACATGTCGCTCATCTTCGGTGTCTGATCTTCTCAGTCAGTCTTGGAGCCCTGTATAATACACAAAGAATCCACCCAGAGGTACCTAATGTCAAGTCTGCAGCTTATCTCAACGTCTTCACGGTGTTTCCTTTCTGGGCATCTTCGACACAGATATACCACGTAAGTGCTCGGCCACCTTCTCTCCTGTGGTCGAGAGCATGCTTTGACATCTTCTTTTCGCAAGGCCGAGAGCAGTGCGAGTGACTTTCACAGCAGTCATCGATCCACTGCTGAATCAGATCAAAGTCTTCCTTCCCGGCCACAGTGGTTGGAAAAAGACGGCCCTTGATACCACCATGAGTAGCAGCCGGGTCGCTCTTGTCCACATACCAATCAAGAACACCATCGACAGCGCTCTGGCGACCGGGAGGTAGAGACTTGTCAAAGATGCCATTATCACAATCGGAGTCAGTCGCTGAAGGCGGCTCTCCCGAAGTCAAGACATGTATTCTGTCCTGACTCAGGTAGGTCCCACCGTCCCACGCAGTGACTGATAGCTGTCTTTGTTTGTTAGTAGCCTCGAGGACGCACTGCTTCTCCTCGGCAACAGCTGCATCGATTAAAACCCTGACCCCGAACGCGTGGTAGGAGATGCTGCCGGTCGTTTCATCAGAGCCAGGTAGGTGGGTTGATGATCTCTCGCGTCTCATCACGTGATGAAGCCTGGCAATAGCGGCCAAGCCGGGTGCTCATTCTCATTCTGCACGTCCTGGACGGAGCTTTCTTGACGCAGCAAAACACTAACACTTGAAGCAATTGACGAGCGACGACAAGTAAATGCAGTATCAAGAGAAGCGCGAAGTCGTTCATCTCTACGTACCAGTACCAGGTAAGCAGGCCCGAGGACCTGTTTCCGTGCTAGCGGCGATCGGGACGTCATGCGGGACCAGGATCGGTCGCGTGGTTGAGCTTCCGAAGGCTTTTGTTGGTTTCTGAAAACAATTTCAACAGCAGCTCAGCGCTTTCTTCCTGCCTTCCTCCATCTTCACCACACCACTGCCACGTTTCATGCTCTTGCGCTCCTCCTTCGGCTTTCGTTCGCTCACCCCTCGAAACTCCCTCGATCGCTTCGGACTAGTTCTTCCCTCCTCGCGCTACTCCTGGTCCTCTCACGTTTCCTCTCAACGACCGGGTCCACGTCCTCTACACCCAAGTCCACAAGCACCGCTGCGAACGATCACGACAATGGCGAGCCTGAAACACAAGGTCTGCGTCGTCGGCTCCGGCAACTGGGGCACAACAATCGCCAAAGTCGTCGCCGAGAACGTAAAAGAGAACAGCGACATCTTCGAACAGGAGGTACAAATGTGGGTCTTTGAAGAGCAAGTCTCCATCCCCGCGGACAGCAAACACTACGCCGGAAATGACGACGAGCAGCCCCTCACGAAGCTCATCAACACGTATCACGAGAATGTGAAATATCTGCCCGGCATTGCAGTTCCGGAGAATGTGGTTGCAAATCCGGATGTGAAGGATGCTGTGAAGGATGCCACGATTTTGGTGTTCAATCTGCCGCACCAGTTTATTGGGAAGACCTGTCAGCAGATCAAGGGGAAGGTGCTCCCGTATGCGAGAGGAATCAGTTGTATCAAGGGGGTGGAGGTTAGCGAGCAGGGGTGTGAGTTGTTTTCGGACAGTATTTCGAGAAAGTTGGGCATCTATTGTGGTGCGCTGAGTGGAGCGAATATTGCAAACGAGGTATGAGAAGATCGTATCTGAGGGTATGCGGAGTACTGACTGGATACATACAGGTTGCTCTCGAGAAATGGTCCGAGACGACAGTCGCATACGATCCGCCATCCGACGCCCACGCTCTCCCGGCCGAGCTACCACCTCTCGACCACGCCAATGTCAAGAAGGTCTTCCATCGACCCTACTTCCATGTACGGATGGTCAAGGACGTCGCGGGCGTCTCTCTCGGCGGCGCACTGAAGAACGTTGTCGCCATCGCAGCCGGATGGGTCGACGGCTTAGGCTGGGGCGACAATGCCAAAGCAGCAATCATGCGCGTTGGGATTCTGGAAGAAGTCAAATTCGGCAAGACATTCTTCGATTCCTGCCGCACCGCTACCTTCACCGAGGAGAGCTGTGGTGTCGCAGATCTCATCACCTCCTGCTCCGGCGGGAGGAATTTCCGGTGCGCGCGGATGAGCGTGAAGGAGAAGAAGGCAATTTCGGAGATTGAAGAGCGGGAGCTGAATGGACAGAAATTACAAGGCGTGAGTACGGCGCAAGAGGTGAACGGTTTCCTGAAAGCGAAGGGCATGGAGGCGGAATTTCCGCTCTTGACGGCTGTGTATGAGATTTTGGAGGGCAGGAAGAAGGTGGAAGACCTGCCTGCGATTCTTGAAGGTACGATGGACTGATTGATTGATTGATTGATGCGATTATTGCGAACGAACGACTTTCTTACGACAGAACTACGACGAACAGACAACGACGAAGCGAGAGATCGACGCGCGAGAGCACGATTATGATGAGGGGTCGAGTGGCCTGCCATCCCATCCTGCCGAGGCCCTGCTATTTCGTTGTCGAAGATGACGACGACGACGACGACGACGACGACAGGCGGTGGAAGTTGGACGTATTCTCGGCGGCATCATACGGGGTTGTCTCACTTCATGGCGAGCTTAAAGCCAGACTGCTAGGGCTTCGAACAGCTCCTTGCATGTGACTCGATTTTGATTGACCAGAGCCCTGGCCAGCGCCCGAGTGCCCGCGTTTAGTTCAGCGCTATAAGAGACGGTATCACATTAGCGGATCTTCCTCAGTTGCCGTATCTCATTAGGAAGCTGCTCATCATCAGAGGGTTTGCGAAATCTTCTTCGTGTTCATGGACCACTTCTCTTCATACCCAATCAACATGCGCCATCCTGTTTGAGAGCCTCTACCACAGCTACGGTTTCCAACCCCAAGACTATACCCGAAGCGGACAAGGTTGGTGGACACGGCAATCGAACTAAATGGCGCATCCTTCGGCAGTAGCATAGTGGTGTAGATCTTTGGCCCGAGCACAGCGAGTGAAACCACTCTTTGAAACGAGGATAGAAATTCGCCAAACGCCTGTCCGTCCATCTGTCTTTCTATCCCCATCAATCTCCTTCTTGTCAAGCCCTCACAAGCAGAAAAAAGCGCGTTGTCATGTCGAATCTGTCTCCCGAGACAGCGAAGAGAAAACTATGGAGCCTGATTCTAAGCTATAGAACGGAACACAGCTTCTTCGCGAAGATACCGTATGCAATAACACCCCAGGCGATTTTGGAATAAGAACATGGACCAGGATCAAAGACCGTAGACAAGGGACAGGGACCAGGTGTATGAGACATTTATCTTCCTGTTGCCTTTGTTTCCCCTCCTCGGCCAATCTGAGGTCTTGGAATCCTTCGGCTACAAGGGCCAATTCTCTGCTGTGCTGTGGCTTTCTTTGGTGGTGGCAGCTCCAGAGACCCGTGGACCCTGCATGCATGCATGCATGCATGGACGGGAGAGGAGCCAGCACAAGGGACTAGACTTTGTGGGTTTTTCAACCACTACCACATACTGTGACTACTCCAGGCTGGTAGATGGAGGTGGAGTAACTTTATTATTACGAGTTGTTACTCCCCCGTCCGTCGCGCCTGTCTTGCCTGTCTATCGCGAAGCGGACCGGACCTCACCTCACCTCACCTCACAACCTCATCTCACCTCTCTCTCTCTCTCTTCCCATCCATCCCATCCTATCAACATCGACGACAGCGAGTATTGGTATACACAGGACGAAGCAAGACAAGACAAGACAAGACAAGACAAGACAAGACAAGACAAGACAAGACAAGATACCATGGGCCTCGGAGTCCTGGATGATAAGAAACTGAGCCATGTACCGGGTACGTTTTCCCGTTTTCCCGTTCTACGACAGCAGGCGCAAGTTTCCGGATATTGGGGGGGGGATTGATTGCTGATCTCGTATGGCAATGCAACAGGAACGGCCACGCTCGAAGACCTCGACCCCCTAGCGGCAGCCGCGAGAATCGGCGGCGAAGGCCTGAAAAAGGCCAAAGATGGCACGATCCTCGTGCCGCAACCGAGTGGTGATCCGAAAGATCCGCTGGTACGTCTTTTTGCCTACATCCTCCTCTCCCCGACAATGCGACACTGTGAGACGTTTGGGGCGCAACAAGACGAGACGACACCATACTGATCCATCATATCCGCACAGAACTGGCCCCTCTACCAACGCGACATCATCTGCGCGATCCTGTGCATCCTCTCCGTCATCGCATCGACCCTCTCCCCGCTGCTAGCGGCCAACACGCTCACGCTGACCTTCTACTTCCGCAAATCCTTCACCAAGATAGCCCTCCTGACGGGCTACCACCTGCTCGGCGTCGGCGTCGCGGGCTTCGTCTTCGTCACGTCCGCGCGCGTCTTCGGCAAGCGCCATCTCTACCTCTTCGGCACGGTGCTGATAATCATCTCGTCGGCGTGGGGCGGCGGGAGCGGGCGGAACTACAATTCCCTGCTGGCGGCGCGGTTTTTTCAGGGCGTCGCGCTCGCGCCCTTTGAGGCGCTGGTGAATGCGAGTGTGGGGGATTTATACTTTGTGCATGAGCGGGGGTTGCGCATGGCGCTGTCGAATCTGTGTCTGTTCGGGGGAGCCTTCTTCACGCCGGTGATTGTGGGCAAGATGACGGATTCGATCGGGTGGCAGTGGACGTTCTATTTCATTGCCATCTTCTCGGCCGTCATGTTGCCGTTTGTGGTCTTCTTCTGCCCGGAGACGGCGTATGTGCGGGAGAGTCGGTATGATACGGACACGACGTGGAGTCGACTGGGGGAGGGAGGGAAGAATTCGGTCTCGCAAGAGAGTGGGAACACCGGCGGAGGGGAGCTCTATGCCCACGAATTAAAGGAAGCGCGGAACGGGAATGGATCTCTGGATAAACACCACCTCACCGCGCAAGAAGACGGGCCCATCCACGTACCCATCAAATTCAACTGGTTCTCCCGAGAAGCCCTCATGCCCTTTAACGGGTTGAAATCCCAAGAAACGGTCCTCTCCTTCACCCTCATGACCCTCCGACCTTTCCCCCTCTTCTTCCAGCCCGGAATCCTCTGGGCCTGCCTCATCCAAGGCGCCCTCATCGGCTGGACCGTCCTCATCGGTATCGTCCTCGCGGCCATCATGCTCGGAGCACCCCTCTGGTTCAACGAGGTCAAGACGGGATACATGTACACCGGGGCATTCATCGGCGCAGTCCTCGGATTCGTCCTGGCAGGTGTCCTCTCCGACCCCATGGTGAAGTGGATGACGAAGCGGAACAAGGGGATCTACGAACCCGAGTTCCGCATGATCCTCGTCATTCCACAATTAATCTTCGGTTGTGCGGGCATCTTCGGCTTCGGCATCACGTCGAACAACACATTGAAGTATGGCTGGTTCTGGCCGGATTTCTTCTTCGCGCTGGAAGTCATGGGCATGGTTCTCGGCGCCGTGGCCTCAGCGTTGTACATTGTGGACGCGCATCGGGAGATTGCGATTGAAGGGTTTACGTGTCTGTTGATCTTCAAGAACATCTTCAGTTTCGGCTTGACGTTTAGTGGATACGATTGGTTGGTGCAGAGTGGGATTCGGCCGGTCTTCGTGGCGGTGGGCATTGTGCAGGCTGTGATTTGTGTTACTACGATTCCGATGTGTGAGTTTGACCCCTCCCGCCCGTGCGAATGGATTTTGAGGTTGGATGCTGACGCTGTGCATTGCAGATATCCTGGGCAAGAAGAATCGATCTTTCTTTGCAAGGCACGACATTTTGAAAATGACCGGGCTGAGATAGATGAAGTCTCTTTGATCTGCGTTTCGCCATGTGTCTTTGTCAATATTCAATTTCTGTTTAATATGAGTCATTACTTGCTCACTTTCAGCCTTGCCTTCCATTGCGTTCCAATTGTAGCCTCCAAATCCTCTGCAAGCCTGCAGTCCCTCCACGACCGGACCACTTCTCTGTGCTAACAAGTTAGGCATCTTCGACTTGGCTCCTCGGCTCGAGGCGGAAAAGAGCGGCGATCCGTGGAGTTGTGCGGCGAGCCATGTGGTAAAGAGCGCGACGAAGTTGATGTTGGTGAGAGAGTGCCATTGTCTGCAGACGAGGCCGGCGTTGTCGAGAACATCCGTGATGGGTAAATCGAGAAGGGGTGATGTGAACTTGGGTCGCGCAGAGCGAGTGAGGTTGCTGGTATGGCATGGCATGGCAATGTGAGCCGTAAGCAGTGGCGTAGGGAAAGAGCGACCAAGACTGACTGCCAACTTGCTGTGCGATCTGCTAGGAGCCCAGGATGAAGATGACTCGGGAGGCGCGGGGGAGTCTGGGTGATGGAGCAGCTCAGGTGTGTTGGGGGCTCGTGCCATCAGAGAGTGGGCGGCTGATGTAGAAGCGAACGTGATCATGGCTGGAGAGGGAGGTCGAGTTGATGGCCGAATGGTACGTGTAGCACAATCATCTCGAGGAGCTCGGTGGTATTGGAAAACGCGAGCGATGGCAGAGTTAGCGGTGGTGGGCGAGGTGAGCGTCGCCATGGTCGATGAGGAGCGGCGAGTCGATACGCGCTGGTATGGGTACTACCGTGAGCCTGAGATGGGAGGTTTCTCACTGCCAAGAGCTTCCGTGTGGCATGGAAAGGTAAGTCACGACCTTGTACTACAGTCCTACTGGAAGTATCTATGCGCATGGAGGACCAAGTCAGCGTGCAAGGAAAAGAGGAAAGAAGGAGAAGGAGAAGGAGAAAAAAATAAATTCGAGCAAAGCAGGCAGCTTCTCCAACAAATCAAGCAGGCTTCATTCCAAGTAAGCTACGTGTGTGTGTGTGTGTGTGTGTGTGTGTGTATGTACTCCCTTCTCGGACACCTCCTACCATGCACACAATGAAGTGGCCCATAGCAGGCTTCCTATATCCAGGAGGAATTTGCTCTTCAGAACCACACCCTCCCGGGGGAGAGCTGGCAACCGACACCTTCGAATGTTGCTCGAGGTTGGCCGTCAGTGAAGCGGCCGTTTGGGCGAGCGCGATGCCGGTCGTGGCTGGTTCCTATCGTCCCGACGTCAGTATTCAGACTTCTGCATGCGCATGCGAAGTGTAGGGGGTGGTTTGGCTTACCGTTGTTTTGATCAAAGAGAGAAAGAAAAAAGAAGATGGGAGCTGCGGAGTCGAAAAGGATTTTGTGCTCCGCGGTGCTCGGGAGGGACGGGAGGAACGGGCCGGGGGAGCATGGGCCAGGTCAAGCTTGCTTCCTGATCAGCGCGTCGGCCTCAGGCATGCGCCGATGCATGCGACCACACGACCTCATCCAACGAATCCTGAGATTAGCAGCCGCCGTGAAACACAGACACTCAACTTCGAAACTTGGCCGATGGAAAGCACTCGATTTGGAACCCTCTCGTCGCACGAGATGTAAGCAGACGCTATGGCGAACAGACGCCCAGAGCAGAGGAGGGAGGGAAGTCCTGATCATTTCGACTTTCTTGGACGGTAGGGAAGGAAAACAGCGAAGCATATGATAACCTCAACCTCCTCCTCCTCTCGCGCTCCTCTCTTCCTGTTTATTCCCTTCTGGCTTTTACCTTCTTTCGCGATAGATCGCGTTTAACGATCTCCCCTTCCTTCCAAAAGAAGCAGCAGCCCCCCCCTCCCGCGGACCTCCACTGACCAGGCCTGGGCGGACCCATCCACATCCATGCGTACCTGCAACACTCCTCCCCTCCGCGCCCTGGCGGCCTGGTTCCTGCATCTTGGATCCATCCTGATAGCAACAAGCCATGTCGCCGCCGCCGCCGCCGCTACGTCATCATCATCTTCTCCGACTCCCCCCGTGACCACCACTTTATATTCCACCACGACCGTTGCGAGCAGCACGAGCACCGTCACCCTCAGCAGCAACAGCCACAGCCACAGTCATACGCACTCGCACACGACCTCCGCAATGGCATCGACGAGCACAAGCACAAGCACAAGCCCCGCGGCCCTGGCGACCCCTTCCTCTTCCCCTTCCATGCAATCCCTCGACGCCCAGGTCCTCAATAGCACAAACTACTACCGGAGAAATTTCCTCGCCTCGCCTCTCACGTGGAACGACACCCTGGCTAGCTACGCCACGAAGTGGGCCAAAGGGTGTATATGGAAACATTCGGGCGGGCCCTACGGGGAGAATCTGTTAGACTCGCTCCCCCCTCCCTCCCTCCCTCAAAACATCACACACACACACTACCTTACCCGCTCTATCTCTCTCTCTCTCTAACTCCTCCCATTCTCAGCGCCGAAGGTTTCCCCTCCACGACCCTCGCCGTCGACGCCTGGGCCAACGAGGAAGCCATCTACAACTACGCGAAGCAGAAATTCTCCGAAACCACGGGGCATTTCACGCAGCTAGTCTGGCAGGAAACGACGTCCGTCGGCTGCGGCCTCATCCAGTGCGATAACTCAGGCGCGCAGGGGGGCATCAAGGGTGCGTATCTCGTCTGCGAGTATAGTCCGCGCGGCAACATCGTGGGCGAGTATGTGGGGAACGTGAAGAAGCCGGGGATGGGAGCGCACGGGGAGTTGGGGTTTGGGTCGGGGGCTGCGGGGGCGGGGAGGAAGGGGGGAGTGAAGAGTTCGATGGCCGCGCTGGTCGTGGCTTGGTTGTTTGTCGTGGGGGTTTATTAGATGGTGTGGTGTGGTTTTTGTGAGCGTGCATGTTGTGAGAGAGATACCCCCGATTGTTCAATGTTTTTGAATGGAAAAAGCTCCGTCAGCTTGCCAGCCTGTTTCGAATTCCGGGGTTTCCAAGTCCAGATTCCTCTTTTCCAGTCACTCCGATGGTCGTATCGGTCTTCGCTCATTCCGCAGCCAAGTTTGCTCTAGAAGTGGGACAGGGTGATGATCTCGCATTTTCGGCTGGAATGAGCATTCGCAGTGCTGCTGTACAAGTACAAAGTAATTGCTGCCCATGCTGTGTGGCAGGTGATGGATCGACTGTATCCTCTCCCCCCCAAACACATCTTCTCCCCCAATAGCAACATCGGAAAACCTTACCTCGTAACCTTCTCCACCTGCTTCTTCGCGCCTTCCGCCAAATCACCAGCCTGAATTTCGACCCCACCCATTATTAGCACACAATCTCATTATCTTCGCCGTCATCTTCTTCCACTACTACCTACTCACCTTCGCCTTGGCCTCTCCCGCCAACGCCTGCGCTTTCCCCGCAACGCCCTCCAGCCCCGCCTCGGCGCCTTTCAGCCCTTCCTTGGCCCTCTGCTCGAAGCTCTTCTCTCGCCCGCCCATGTACCACCAGTTGACGTATCGGTACGCTTGCGTCGCTTGCGCGGTGAAGTTGACGGCGTGGCAGCCGAAGAGGAGGTAGTTCTTCGGGGTGACGGCCATGGAGTAGCGCATGAAGACGGCCGAGTAGCCGCAGAGGGCGGCGGTCATGCGGCCGGAGATGATTTCGGGGTCTTTCTGGGTGTCCATGACGGCTTTTGGGAAGAACGGTTAGTGGACGGATGGATGGATGGAAGGATGTGGTGGTGGGCGGTGGGTTTTACCGGCGATGGGGATTCCGAAGTTACTGGCGGAGTTGGTCAGTATATACATGTAGGACTTTCTCTCTTCGTCTGGGAGGGTCATGAAGGGTGTGTGTATACCTTGCGGGTCCCCAGAAATGCGTCGAACAGAAGTAGTCGGCCACCTATTTCGATCCCGTCGCTATCAGCTCCCACTCTCCCCGTCCCGGGATGTGTGTACTGTTGTGGTTTGCGCATACCGGATTGGACCGGATTTTGGCGTTGAGAGCCTTGATCGCCGCCGCCATGGTGGGTCGTGAGGCTCTCGGAGACGGATTGTGAGGTGGTAGGGTGGTAGGGTGGTGGTGTTGGACGAAGAGCGAGTCAGGTGTGTGTGCTCTGGGTTGAGGTGGAGGTGGTTGCAGTGCAGGTCGGATTGTTTAGTCTCCAGCTGACTTCGGAGCGAGCGGGGATTGGATTGGATTGGATTGGATTGGCGACGGCAGTCCGGGCCGATGGAGCTGCTGCTCTTCTTCCCGTCCGCTTGCACGCTCCTTTCTTTCTTTCTTTCTCTCTCTCTTTCTTCCCACTTCATTTTCGTTTGGAGGAATTCGAACGATCGATTTCGCTTCACATGGCATCTTCACATCTCTCCGGCGACGGCAACGGCAACGGCGCCTCGTGATGCGATCGAACGGTACAGCCATTACATCTTGGTCTTATAGGAGGCAAAGTCTCTCAAGGCGCCTCTACATCTACAAATATATCTTCGAAAAGACCTATCCCTGCTGCTCGCTTGCTACAGGATTGACGACTTAAGATACATGTACTGCGACTTTCGACTCTAGCAGAGGACACAGCATCCATGTCGCGATTCCCCAAAACAAAACAGCGATTGGCGGTCGCAGCAGAAGAGGATCCCAAAATCTAGTAGCGGACTTCGAAGCTGAAGCTCCTGGATCGGTCGTTAGTTTCTTGGCATGAAGGGACCATATCCAGAAGACACTCCGTCTGAGGATGGTGATTTCGCTGCAACGGATAGTGAGAAACGAGCGGCGGTACTGCGACTGCATCGTACGTACGTACGTCAAAATTGGTTGCCAGGCCTCGTTGCGCAATAAAGAAAGTATGGTGTCGACGCTAGCAGGTGCCTCTTCTTCCGGTGTGATGGTGATCATCGACGAGCACTGCAGAAAAACCAATCGACCACAACACTCTGCCCAAATTCTCATCCTAACCTTTCCTTCTCCTCTTTGACAATACTCGGCACCTCCTGCTCCAAACTCGGCTGCTTCGGCGTCCAGCCCAACAGTCTCCTCGCCCTCTCCGCCTTGGCAAGCGAATTCAACCCCCAAGACAAGACCTGGAAATCTCCCATCTCCCGCGCCTCCTCCCTGCTCAACTGAACTTCCTTCCAGTCCGGGGAGATGTAACCCATCTCCGCCGCCGTCCTGGCCATCAACCTCGCCAACTCGCTCCAGCTGTGAATCCCATTCTCGACGATATAGTACCCCTTTGCACCCCACAGTTCGGCATCCAGCTTCTGCGCCGCCGCGGCATCGCAGAGCAGAACGAAGAGCTCCGACAGATCGTACACGTGTAGATTATTCCACCGCGCTTGCCCCTGCCCTATCACCGGCGCCATCTGTCTCTCCAGCACCGTCTTGGCCAATTCATACGCCTGCCTCGACCGTCCCGACACCGGGCCCCTCCCGCGCCCGTAGATCGTCGGCGGACACAGAATCGCCGTCTTGACCGCTTCCGAATGCCTCGTCCCAGTCTCCAGGACAATCTTATCGACATTCCGATGGAACGCCTCATCCGGTAAACTCGTCAACGCTCCCACCCCATCCCAATCATCAAACCTCCTCCTTTCATCTTCCCACTCTCCCAACCTCCCCTCCCGCGTATCGAAATACGTCAAGATCCCCGTCCCCCCCGTATGCAGCCAAAACCCCGGTTTTTTTGCCGAATGCCCCTGCACGAGCCCTTGCGCAATGGCGCGCGCGGCCCCCTCGTGGTCCGACGCGTCCGCCGTGTGGATCACAATGTCTGCCTCCGCCGCTGCCTGAGTTAGCAGCGCGCTGTCGTCGAGGGTCCCGATGATGGGGCGCAGGGATGGGTAGGCTGCCTGCACGCGCGTGGCGCTTTCCCGTGTGCGCATGAGGGCGCTGTAGGTCCAGTCTGGGTGCGCTTTGTGCAGGGTGTAGAGGACGTCGCCGCCGATGTAGCCTGTCGTGCCGGTGCTGAAGGGGGAAAAGAGATGTCAGTATGGATGTATGTATGTATGTATGTATGTATATGTGGTCAATTTTTTGCTTTTTTCGAGACTCACATGAAGACTTTCGGTGCCATTTTCCTTTTTCTTTTTCTTTCTCTCTTTTGCTTCTTTCTTTCTTTCTTTCTTTCTTTCTAGCTTGGCTGTTTTGCCCGTTCTGCTCAATTCCTTCCGATCTTTCCGTCGTTTTCGGTCGATTGTCTTATGATATCTGCTCGCGGATATCTAGAAGGCAAGGTCCAGGTGGAAGTTTTTCGTTGAGTGTTACATTGGAGCTTGGGGATGGATTCTACGTCGTTCCAGTGCTGCTCCACAGAGGGGATTGATTGGGTTCCAGTTTATTAATCATTCAATCGGATGTTAGCTTGTCGTTACAGCATGACGTTATGGTTAGTAACGATCAATGAAGTCGGGTGTCGTGCGCGAGCTTACGGAACGAGATGCACCGAATTCATCCGTGATGATTTGGCCGGTGGCAGCGCAGCGTTCCGCTTCATGTCCAAACCTAATGTATATATAATATATCATTCAATGGAAGAAAACCCCAACAAGGTGTGAGATAGGATAGGATAGGATAGGATAGGATAGGATAGGATAGGATAGGGATGGTTCGTGTGTGTGCGCGCAGAATCATTATCCATTATGCATTATCATCCTGTTTATGTCCATGCGCATCAATAAGGTAGGCCGCATCCATCCATCCATCCATCCATCCATGCGATGCGATGCGATGATGGGCCAAAGACAGACAGATATCCACAATCCGGAACAATTACTATCCACAAGCCATGCGCGTGTGTTTGCCTTTGATACAATTCCGCCTGGACTTCATCAATTCCTCCGCAACGTAGCGAGCGTCCCGGATTCCACCCTCGCAGGAGCCGTGTTCGCTCTCCTCCTCAACCCCAGAATCCGCTCTTTGATTCCCGCCATAATGGGCTGCCACCCACGCACGTCAAACGGCGCTTCGAGCGCGTGTTCTTCGCCTGCAAAGAACTCATAAGCTCCGTCCATGCCCATCCAGTGCTCCATTGACACGCGCAGATCACGCATCGACCGGGAGCGGCGCGGGTCCTTTTCGCTCTTCATGCCTCTCGAGGAGCGATCACTGCTGTCGCGCGAATGCCTCAGCTTACTGACCGCAATTAGCGGTCTGCGGTTCTCCAAATTCGATGCGCCTGCAGTGAGTTCGAAGTGCTACTTCTTCATGGACTCCATTGCGTCGCTGGCCAGACTAGCTCGGCTCTTGGGGCGACCGCCGCTATTGCGCTTGATCAGCCGCTCGCGATCTTTCATGCCGGGAGAAAGTCCGTTGCCGGCCTGGTACCACGTCAGCAAAGATCAAGACAACAATCATCTCATAGCAGTCTGCGAATGCGGACCCTTGGAGTGGACGGCTCCGCAGATCTATGTATATTTGCAGCAGACGTCTCGATCAACGGAGGAGCACGTACCACCATGTTTGGAAGCGGGCCAAGGTTATCGCCGTTTGCGTCCTTGCCCGCGCTCGTGGTGGTCTTGCCCAGTTTCTGGTCGTTCTTGAACTCGAGATACATTCTCGCGGAGTCCGAGAGTGGGAATGGCGACGGCTCGGTCGGTATGTCTGCGCCGTTCTGAAGAAGTAGTTCTGCAACGGGAAAAGGTTTGCGTGGCATCGGGCTAGATGGCCTTGGTGGAGTGACTGCTGACCCTTGACCAAACGGCACACGAATGCTTGATGCCGATAGCGACGGCGAATGAGCATAGCCTCCACCCGGCGAGGCAGGGTCGGCTGCAGCAAGCGCCAAATAGACTGCATGCGTTGATCGCACCCTGTCATGCGCATTTGGATTCGCTCGTTGCGCCAGAGCACGCAACACGTTCTGAATGTCGTTCTTCTTAATGCTAGTCAGAAGATGGTCTTCTGGTGTTTGCGTGCCAGTAGCAGCTTGCACATACGTGCGGTCGCTGTACTTGGCTGTGATGAAGTGAAGCCTTTGATCTCTCGTCGAATGTGGAGCAGGCTTCAAGAAGCGATCCAGTTTGGCTTCCCAGATCATGTTGCTTACGCGATTGCCCACAAGCAGCAGCACCTCGATGATATCAGGCGTGAAGGCAGCAGTGTCTAACGTTAGTGACCGCACCTTGGAGATGTGGGTACCGAGAGAGCGGTGTATGCCGCTACATTCAATGCAAAGTAGCACACCCAGATTGATCGAGCACCAATCCACCTTGTTGTCAGAACCACAGTCAGCGCAGACTTTGTTGCCTTCGTCTGCGTTCCGGATTCGCTGTAGCAGCGCCGAAGGCTCTGCATCGGCACTCTCGTTGCGTTTGTATGCCGGTTTGTCGCCGGTGCTAGCATATCTGTTGACCGCCTTTGTTGCCTCGCTCTTGTTAGGATTCGAGGTTTGCCGGTGGCCGGAGAATGACGAGCTCTTGCCAGTCAATACTGCAGCAATATCCTTCCGGTGAGAAGATTGCCCTGCTGGAGATGGCGTGCTGGGCAGCTGTTGATTCTTATTCTCAAAAGCGCCTTGCAGAGCGTTGTTGATTGCTCCAATCCAAGCTCGCATGTCGTCTTCGGATGGCGCTTGATACACTCGCGTGAATTGTGGAGTGATAACCTCGAAGCAAAAGCGGCGGTCGGAGTTCCGGGCTTCCCTCACAGAGGCCATGCGCAAGTCAATGGGTTCCATGTGCAGATCGAGCTTGTCTTTCCAATTGACGTACTCTGAGAGCTTGCCTTGGTCAAGCACGATCCAGAATTTGTGCCAACCTGGCTTGGTGATGCCCTTCGGGTCCACATGGCTTCCAGGCCTACTCAGTGCCCAGAGGAGTCCTTCTCTCCGCATGGACCCATTCTGAGGTGCGCCGCTGTTATCTTGCAGATCTCGAATGCCCTTGAACTTGTCATTCGGGCTGCTAGACAGCGCTGCGGTGTTGTTGACAGGCGTGGTGAGCATGCCGTTCGCCGGTAGCTGCACTGCTGGTGCTCCTATGCTTGGAGGAGAGGTTGACATCGATCCAGCACCGATACTGACAGCGCGATATGATTCTGCCTCGCCGGGCCGAAACGATTCCCTGACGGAGGAGGAGTGAGAGAGACCCGGAGGAACGACAGTGCCCTCGTCGCTAATGAGCTTGGTGCTTGTCTCCAGCATGCGCCGCTTCTCTTCCCGGTCCTGACGCAGAAGTTGAAAGTCTTGGTCCGCAATCTTCACTTCAGCCACCAGGGCATCAAGCTGCGGAACCATCTCTTCCACCTTCTTCGCTGTCGAGAGGTAGCTCTTCGTCTGCGCTTCGGCGTACTTCGTCAACTGCGATAACACCTCTTGATCTTTTCGGCCACCGTGTAGATCATGCATGAAGCTTGAATAGTCGAAGCGTCTGAGCTCGAACGTCCTCCGCTTCGTTTGGTACTTCTCGTCGCTTGACTTTTGCTTCTTCTCCTTCATCGATTCGGTTCGCTGGCCCAGATACTTCGAGACGTAAGCATAGTATTCCTTGCTCTCCTCGTCAAACTCTCGCTTCTTGAAGTCGGCTTGTTTGATCTCGAGATTGTACAACTTGCTGATCGGATCGATGATGAGCTTCTGCAGATTGACCGTGTTCTGCTTTTCGTAGTCCAAGATCTGCTTGGCAATCTTCTCGAAGTAGTGCTCGAGTGCAGGCTGCACAGCATTGGCATTGGAACTCGAGGCATCCTTGAGCGCCTGTGTGAAGTCCGAAACAGCCTGATTGCATGCCTGCTGGGCGGATTGCGCAGCCTCAGCAGTCTTGAGAACTCTCTTCATCCTCATCCTCATGTGGCCAGTCTTTTGCTCAAGCGATTTCATCGTCGCCCGGAAGAGCGGTCCATCCTCGTTAAGCGACGGATGTTCTCCAGGCTTGCAGGTTGCCACATCGACTTTGACCGGAGCAACAGAGGCAGCAGTCAACGAGGGCGCCAGGTCGAATCCATTCTCAGGGATGGCCTCGAAGGTCGGCGATTGCGGCTCTTTGATATCCTTGTACGTTCCTTCGCCTTCGGAGTCGCTGACGTTGCTAACGCGCGACTCGATTGACTGAGTGGAAGGCACGCGCAGTCGAGGAGGCATATTAACCTCGAGACTGCTGCTCAGCCGGGGGGATTTCGGCGCCGAGCTCAGGTACCGCTGAGTATTTTGCACCCAAAAGTTGAATGTCGCCAGGGTGTCCAGCCTGTGTGCGCGCTGGTTGTACTCGGCGAAGCTGCAGCTGGTTCGCCATCCCCCTCCTCTGTCCTCGGATTGCTTGGGCGGCCGCCATTTCCAAGTCCAAGTGAAAGACGCACTCGAGTTTCCCGCTGTCGCATAGTCTCCTAGCAGTTGTACGTTGGGGTTCTTGTGCAAATTCGGGTCTGAGTGGAACTCTCGCACTACCAGATTCTCCACCTCTTTAGGCGTAGATGCAAAGATGTACGTCAATCCAGATATCTGAGTGTCTGTGACTGCTGCCGTCGATGTTGAGGCATTGGCTGCGGTGCCGTTCGGCTGGCATTGCTGGCGGAGGACGAAGGTGAAGTGGAAGTTGAGGTCGTCGTTGTGGGATAGTCGTATGAGGAAGGAGGGAGGGAGGCCGCTGGCTACGCTCTCAGGATCCTGCGCAGGATGGTCAGCGCATGCGAAGAGCCTCTTGAGCTCCTCTATTCTCACCTGTACATAGTCGATAGGAGTGTCGTCGCCTGCGTCTCTGGCGGCGACATATCTGGTTGCTGGGTATGCATTTGGCGATAAGCGTAGCAATGTCTGGCCGCGCGAATTGGTGATGTTGATGCCGGCGACAGTGACTGCGCGGTGATTAGCCCAGCAATTAGAGGAAGCGATTGTGCAGCGACCAACATCGCGCTTGATCGGTCAAGATCAGAGGCGAGCTCTCGTCCTGTTTGGTAGAGACGTTGCCCATGGCCCCGACGGGCGTTGGAGGCGGTTAAGCCTCGAGTCGGTCGCGCAACGCGGTGATGGACAGGATGCGAGAGATGGAATGCTGTGTAGTGGTGTTGCAATGCGTGACAGGAATGGGGTCTGTGTCGAGGGCAGCGCAGTGCGGCGCAGAGGGATGGGATGCAGCGCAGTGGACTGTGGAGGTGTCGCAAGCAGTTTGGACGTGCGCGTGAGGGACGTGAGAGAGACCCTGTCTTGCCAGTATGCTGCTTCGCTCGGTGGCCCAGTCAGAAGGCGCGGAGAGAGGCACCAGGGGACAGCCACCTGCGCTATGCTAAGTACGCACAGCTACGCTATGTGCTACGTATCGTATGCTCGTGGAAGACTGATCGCGTGAGCCGCTGGTGTTGGTGCTGGTGCTGGTGATGGTGCTGAATGTGGTGAAGGTGGTGAACGGGTGGAATGTCAGACGACGACATCGAGGTCAAGTGTCTTTCTGTCCTGAACGCCATCACTACTGTGCCATCGCAGCTGCCTCCACGACGGACGGGACGCCAGTCCACGAGTCCGCCCGGGACCGCTCACGTGGATCATAACGCAACCCAATTTACAGCCGTGCACGCCGTCCAAAACCAGCCGCTCTTCTTCAATCCCGATGTGGCTTCTGCTGCCTCGCGGCACTCACAAGTATCTACGACAGAGCACGGTGTGACGAAACCCAAGGCCCTCTAAGTGGCCTCACCTGGAACCCGGTTGTCGATCTCCAAACCGAGAAACATAGCTATATGTTGGTCACACGAGGATCGAACATTAAAAGGCCGAATTAATTAGAACCTCAGCACCGAATATGAGTAGCCCTCTGCCTCCGTTGCCTCTGTCTCTGTCCCCCCTTCCCTCATGGAGATATATGACCATCGAGAAAGCTCCCGTCTAGCACTTCCCTCGCGCTTGCAAAGTGACCCATAGCCAACCTCGAACAAGAGCAGACTCCGTGTGAACAGTAAGAAGATATCCGCGTAGCTCTAGAGCACACAAGATGTAGGGATACAGCCCGCGAGCCTTTCGTTGTTTGCTTTCAGGCCTCTCTATGCCTCAGAATCTTTTGTGGTTGCCTTATTGAGGGGCAACGTGTACACCCGTGAGGGTGAGGGCGAGGGTGAGAGCTTGCGGTGCGACACACCTACATGTTCTAGCATGCATTGTCCAATGATCGGAGCGCTGCGCCTTGCTAGCTGGGCCATCGCATCTGATGTGCTTGGGAGAAAGTATTCGGGATCGCTAAGGCTTCCAAGAACTCCCCTCCAAGAGATGAAGCCTGCTTTGCGAGTAGTGCCTGAGACGAGGTGACCGGACCGCAAGCTTATCGCAGTCAACAATCGGTTCGTTGAGGTTTTGCGGCTACGCGCTACGCGCTGGGCGTGGTTGGTGGTTGTACGGAGAGGCTGCCTGGCGCATGTCACTCCGTGCGAGGCCTGTGGGGTGCAGCGATCCTTCACCATTGACGCCATGCAGCCTGAAGAACAATGTCGACACCCTGGCAATGCTGGCTGCTGTCTGATAGCCACAGGCGCTGTGCCGCGAATCGGCGCGCAGCAAGAGGCACACCGGGCGGCAGTAGGAGGTGCTTTCGCAATGCGCAGCCTATCTGGCCTCTTGGTGTGGCTGCATGAGGATAGGTTGGAGATACAGTTGGAGCCGAAAGTCTGCTACCTCACACGTCTTGCAATGCAGGTGGATTATTAGTCAGATGCGAGCGGATTTCCGATTTAGGCAGCTGCAGGATTTGTTAACGTATCGAGCCCTCTCACATGCGGGTAGCCGCTGGCAAGTAGTACTGTATTGAGGTGTCTTTTCGAGAACGCGGCAGATCTCCTGCAAAACTGTGGTTCCGAGGGTGTAGAACCAAAGACGAGATAGCCGCTCGGGATGGCGACGGCGAAGGCGAGCCGGACAGTGATGATGTAGAACTAAGTGAGATGACGCGAGTCGATGGGCTTGGAGGCGCGTGACCCGGATCTGGTGTTGTGGGTGAGGCAGGCGGTGGAGTGCTGGAGGCGCTCCGTCCGTCGGCACAAGAACGCGGTGAGAGCACGCAAGGCAGCGTCGCGCGGCTATTCAGAATCGTCTTTGCCCTCGTATGCGACTTCCTCCCCATTGTCTTCAGATCGAGGACATGAGTGAGCAGCCGCGGAGATTGCTCGTGGAGTCCAGTGAGACTGAAAGCTTGAAGGGTGCCAGTGGTGTACGGGTCCGTAGTAGTAGGTACGGTTGTGGTACGGTACCTAGTAAAGGGTGCTAAACACGAAAAGTGGGTCTGGACCGATAACTGTTATCGCGAGCGCAGATCCCTGTCGTGCACGTCGTCGAGCTTCGAGCTAGACGTACCTCGCCGCCCTCACGACCACCACCACCCTCGTCCTCCAAACACTCCCACCTGAGCAGCTCCACCACCTCCTCCTGCTGAACACCCTCCGCCATTCCGCTGCCCACGCCATCTGCACACCCGCCGCGCTCCTTCGATTCTCCCCGTCTCCGTTTATTAATCCGCCTTTAGCCTTTCCTTTGACCGGCCGTCACGAGGAGCTTCGAGTCATTTCCAGCCCACGCCCGGCTCCATCACAAGTCAACCCTGTCTCTCGCGCTTTCGCCCCTAGCCTTCCACGTGCACCATTGCTTCAACATCAGCCTCAAGTCACTCACTCACTCCTGCATCGTCCTCATGGCGTCCGCCTAGACACCGACCGCCATCACGATCCAGCACCGCCGACGCCGACCGCAACACATCGCCGACTCTTATGCATTCAACATCCCGAGTCAATCGCGACTGCAGTTCTTAGGAGAGGAGTAAGAGGAGGCCATCGATCGAGTGCAACACCGCTCCCCACACAAGCGCCGACTCGCCCATCATGGCGGCGCCTAACCGGCATCCACCCTCGACATCGAGGCGGCCGCAGGCTGCGGAGCCCGATCTGGAGGTCGACGAGGTCATTGGCGATTTCAGACGAGGCAAAGAGATTGGGAAAGGAAGCTTCGCAACTGTCTATCTCGCTCAACATCGGGTGCGTGGCCCCTCAGCCTTTCCACTCTTGCAAGGCCACTGCCATGCCGCCGCGCCAATGCTGCGCTGTTTCAGCAAACGAGTTTCAAGTTGCGTGATATGCTAACTGGTGAGCTCAACAGAAGAAGAAGTCATACGCAGCCGTCAAGGCCGTGCAGAACTCAAAGCTGTCTAAGAAACTGCGCGAGAATCTGCAAGGCGAGATCAACATCCTGCAGAGGCTCCGTCACCCACACATCGTCCAATTGTTCGTCTGCACACAGACTTCGACTCATGTCCATCTCGTAATGGAATACTGTCAACTGGCGGACCTCTCGCAATTCATGAAGAAGCGTCACAGCCTGCCCAACTTTCCCGAGACGGCAGACATCTTCGAGAAGTATCCGAATCCCGAACATGGCGGTCTCCACGAAGTCATCTCGCGTCACTTTATCAAGCAGATCGTCAGTGCTCTGCTGTATCTTCGAGAGAATGGCTTCATCCATCGAGACATCAAGCCGCAGAACTTACTCCTCAACCCAGCGCCACTTTACATGTCGAAGCAGAGACCAGAAGATATCCCCTTAGCAGCCAGTGCCAACTCACTGGATCCAGTGGTGGGCGTGGCATCGCTACCCATGGTCAAGATTGCCGACTTCGGCTTTGCTCGCCACCTGAAGCCCACAGACATGGCCGAGACCCTTTGTGGCTCTCCCCTTTACATGGCACCTGAGATCCTCCGCTATGAGAAGTATGACGCCCGAATCGACCTGTGGTCTACTGGTACCGTGCTTCATGAACTGGTCGTCGGGAAGCCGCCATTCAGAGCCAGTAATCACGTGGAACTATTGAGGAAGATCGAAAAGGCCAACGACGTCATTCCCTTCTCTCGCGACATTGCAGTAAGCCGTCCAATGAAAGAGTTGATTCGAAAGTTGCTCAAGAAGAACCCGCTGGAGCGTGTTCCTTATGAAGAGCTGGGCAAGGACCAAGTCATTGTCGAAGAAATTCCGGGTCTGGTTGGTGAAGACAGGAAGCAGCAAAAGGGAATCTCGATCGAAACTGCGGAGCTGTCAGAAATGACCCGCAAAATGGCCAAGGCAACGGAGGGCGTAGAAGCTTCAAGCACGCCACCTGAGCCACGAGTGCATCCGAAGCCTTCTCGCGAGTCCATTGCTGGACAGTCAAGTAGGGCTGCAGAGCAGGGTACGATACAGCGTCGTGCTGAGGAAATGCCGCGTCGAAAGTCTTCAGCCGGCAATCAGAATCCGCTAGAAGCAGCATCGAAGGATGACCGGAGGCAGACCTCCCACCGTGAGCCTCGGAGGCCGAGCATTGTTGCACACATCACGGCACCGGGACGTCAGGAACTCCATCAGCAACAGCAAGCTCCGCCGAATGCTCCCGGCCCACGCATGGAACGTCGCGCGAGCCGCTCGTCACCACTTGCAGGGCCGCCGCTTGTTCGCGAGCCGACGTTCGAGGACGACAAAGTGAGCAATGAGCGGACCCGCAAGGAAGCGAAGGAGCGAACTCAGCAAGATCTCACTTTCGAGAAAGAGTATGTGGTCATTGAGAAGCGGGCAGTTGAAGTCAATGCGTTTGCAGACGAGCTTGACGCCCTTCATGGACGCAGTGCACCTCCTGCGAGCCAAGGTGCCATGGTTCGGCGTGCAACCACTCAAGGGCAGCCAAGTTCTCTCACAGGTGCTCATCCGTCGAGCCCATCTCGTGCCATGCAAGTAGTATCTGGTCGTGGTGCGCCGACCCATCAGCGAGCTGGATCATTCGAACGGCGATACGCTCCATCACCACAGTCCGCAACCAACATGCTCACAAAGGCACTCAATGCTGCCAACGTACGTCTGTTTGGCGCCCTGGGCACATCTCCACCTCTTGGCAGGGGTCCGTCGCCTCCGCATGGATACGGGGCATTCCCTGCGTATCCAGCTCCACAGGGCAAGTTGGCTATCGGCGGTGGCACAGAGATCAAGGCACCCATGGACGAAGACACTAAAATTGTGCGCACCATGGAAGATGCGGCTCATCGTAGCGATGTCATCTTTGGGTTTGCCGAAGTCAAGTACCGCCAACTTCTTCCTGCTACGCCGTCTTCACAAGACACGCTAGGCATACAACAGATTGGCGCTGCGGAGGTCTCTGGTGATGGCGAGGAGGATGAGAAGGACATGACTACCGTAGCCATCGTCGGTGTTGCCGAGGAGGCTCTCGTGCTCTACGTGAAGGCACTCGCCATTCTGACGAAGACTATTGATCTCGCCAGCAGCTGGTGGAATAAGCAAAATCGCGGCGATGGCGTCACTCCTGACCTCTCGTCGACATCGACGTCCGGAGTTGGTATGCGCATCTTGAATATTGTCAAGTGGTCCCGTGCGCGCTTCAACGAGTGCTTGGAGAAGTCCGAAGTTGTTGGACGTCGCCTTCAACAAGCCCAGAGGCAGCTGCCAGAAGACCACCCAAGCCACCCAAACAATCACGCGACTTCATCCAGCGGCATCACTACCTCAGTAGAGCAAATCCGCATCACCAGTGGGATCACGGCCGAGAAGCTGATGTTCGACCGAGCAGTAGAGATGAGCCGTACGTCTGCTATACGAGAACTCGTCGGCGAGGAGCTGCCGGACTGCGAGCTAGGCTACAAGACGGCGATCATGCTGCTTGAGGCAGTGCTTGAGAATGACGATGAGCCCCTCATGCGGAAGCCGAACTCTAAGAAGGAGAAGCCTGCTGACGAGATCATCAACGGCATGGAGACGGAGGATCGACAGACGGTGCTCAAGCGTATGTTTCCTATTTTGACCACATTTGACTTCACGCTAACCAATTCTGACAGTCATTGAGGGAGCGCGGGCTCGTCTGCATCAGCTACGCAAGAAGATTCTTGCTGCCCAGGAGAGTGTTAAGCGAGCTCCTGCGAGTGGCAGCTCCACCCCTAAGCCGCCTCAGCCTTCACCAACTCCGGCATCGCCGACGATTGCGAACACCCCACCAGGGTGACGCTGACCTGAAATCTCTCATCTTGCAGATGTCTGGCGGCAAGAGGACTACGACACGATCGCAACTCTGATTTTACGTACCTTCAAGCGAGCGAGTGTTCACATCAATGCGCATTCGCGAGGGACAGGTTGACGACTACGACTTTACAGCACTTCTACGATGGACACGCCGGCGTTTTCGACATCAGACTGACTGAACGAGGTTACATGCTTTTGCTTGTTGAGGGGCGTTTTGTACTACTTTTCGGCGTACTTTGGGAGGCCTTTGCGGATAGATGGGATACTGGTGTTTTCAACGGTCTCATGAACAGCACGGCGCAAGATCGTAGCTTGGGCAAGGAAGAGAAGATTGTCGATGGGACTGGACTCCTGAACACACACAAACACACACACACTTACACACACCAATCGGATCCTACGACGGCGCATCCGGCGGCAAGTTGGGGTGGGACATGAATGGGCACTTAAATGGGATGGGAAGGATGCAGGTGTCTTTGGGTTTGGCTTTTTCTCGGATCAAAGGCGCCCTAGTAGGATTACTACATGATATGATACCACTCGAAATGGCGGCAACAGACTGGACTTTTTGCCCTGGGCACGCTTGAAAGCGTCTTGCCCTCTTCTGTAGGAGGCAGCAGAGATAGTCGACCTTGCAGAAGAAGTCTGACTGCAATGAAATGAGACATTTGGAAGAAGAAAGGGGTTTCTGCCCCGTCGCTTGGCTCGTGCATCTTCTTAATTATCCGCGGATAATGTCGAAGGAGTAAAGTAGTAGCGGAGGTGAAGTAAGTTTGGTGTATGCCTGAGGCAACACGCTTTGCAGTCACGTGGAACCCTAGTGGACGACCGGGCCGGCGTACTGGTAGCCTGAATTGCCGAAATCCAGGTTGACCTTATGATACTCAACACCCGCCATAAAGTGCACACCAGAGAGGTAGGGTTCGTGGCCGCACAGCCCGCAACCTCCCACCATGAATCAAAATTGTATGTCCGACCTGGGACCAAGGTCGCTCTGACGACGCGGATTAACCACCCCGCCCAACAGACCCTCCCTTTCCACCCTACGGCTACAGCTCAGCCAACGCATCCGGCTATCAACCGCCGAACGGCTTCACAGCCTACTCCACCGCAACACCGCAGCAGCTCCAGCATCCGAATCCACACCGTCAGGGACAACAGGCTCAATCGCAGTTCTTCTCCAGCCTTCCTCAGGGTACCGCTGCCCAGCAGCAACAGCAGCGTCAACGGCACTCCTCAGACGGTCTTCAAAACGGAGTCAACAGGCCTTCCTCGCCGCCCCCTGTGCCCAATGGTCCGGGAGCACCACCACCAGAACCGAGCAGTCCACCGGACCTCGAGACTAATCTCTTCGACGCGCTGCGTCAGGAGCAAGGAAACAGTGGCGACGGTGCAACCCAGGATGCAACCCAGGATAATGATGATGATGTCGAAGATCAGGACGAGGAGGGCAATGAGGATGATCCCGTCTACCAACTACCGCCTCCTCCAGAGCAAGTATATCCCAACGCCGACGAGCTAGAGAAGGCAATGCATGCTTGGTCACTGGATCATGGCTACGAGTTGGTCCGAAGAGCGAGCAAGAAGAACGCGCGAGGTCAGCTGTACAAGCGCTATTTCCACTGCAGCAGGCATGGTAAGGTAGCCAGTCAGAAGGCGAGCGAGAAGACGAAAGTCCGCGTCAACAGGAAGAGCAACCGCATAGGATGCCCCATGTCTCTGGCTGCCGTCTCGGTCGACCCTCACGATCCTTCCGGGAATTGGCAAATCCGTCACAGAAAGACGCATCACAACCACCCTGCTGTCGATGCGATCAAGCTCGCAGGCCACAGACGGCGAGCACGTATGGGTACCGTCGAGAAGGCGGTTGATGGGCTATTTGCGATCAACACGAGCACTGGCGATGTCCTGAAGTTTCTCCAGCGAACAAATCCCGATGGCCTTTTCAACCGGACGGATGTGGCGAACATGAAGCTCAAGTACAATAAGTATGGCACTTGCGCGCAGAAAGGTGGCGACCCGCCTCCAGCTGGCCCAATTGAAAAGCACGCGCACTCAGCGAAGAGTGGATTTCCTTCGGCGTGCGATTCGTGCCGTTCGAAGAAGACGAAATGCGACAGCATGCGGCCAGTCTGTGGCGCTTGCGCTCGGGCACATCTTACTTGTCACTACAATCATCAGCCTCATCCGCGAGCTCAGCAGCCACGAGGAGGCAATGCTCGCGCCCGCGCGAGCAACGCCCAAGCGGCTCTGCAGAACAACATGGAAGGGCACGCCCAAGCTGGAGCTTCCAACGGTGCGCAGACTGGGATGCGGAGCTCGGTGCCACTGGGCATGCAAGGTCCTGATCACCAGGATGACCAATCGATGATGGACCTCGACAACAACGCGATGGATACATCAGGATACCGAGCACTACCGAATATTCCCGTGGACCTGAACCAGCAAAGCGCGCAGCAGGCCGAGCAGATTCTTGCTACGCTTGCAAACTTTCAACAGGAACATGTCAAGCCCAGCCGGCTTTCTCTGGAAAGTTCGTCGGTAGAAGTACTAGCGAATTCGACTTGCGGCAATGGTGACTCGTACAAGTCTGTGGCTCCGCGACCATTCTCTCTCGGGGCAGATTGGCGGCTTTTCAGGGAGAATTTTGAAGCTGCAGCAGTGAAGGAGAATGCCTACGACGCTCTCATCGGCGATAAGAAAGAGCCGACCAATCCGAATGATGGAGAGGGTGAGGTCTCGGTCACAGACCACAACGAATACATCAAGCAGCTCGCCATCTACAAGCGCCGGAATGACATGCTCAAGATTGCTCTTAGGGAGAGTCTTCACCCAAGCCTCTGGTCCCGTATCAGCAAACACAGCCACGCACATGAAATGTGGACACAACTAGAAGACATGTGCCTGCCACGCGGAAGCGATCAGGCCTACCAACGCTTCTCAGACCTCTTCCAAGTCACGCACCAACAATGCGGGACCCTCGACAACTATATCTATGCCCTCGAGTCCAGATTCAACGAATTTAACCTGATGGCACAAACCCACGAGACACATCGGAACCATTCCGCTCTCAACCAGTCGCATTCCGAACGACTCAAACGCGCTCAGGGAGGCGATGGGACGTTCCCGGAATGGATCTTGTGTTTCTTGTTTCTGAAGAATCTGGCGCCTCAGCATCAGGGATTGGCGAGGAATTTGTGCATGAAGAATAATTTGGGGGGATACGGAAGTGGGGAGAGGATGACCTTTAAGGAGTTGGCGGGATTTGTGAGGAGGGCTGTCGAGTGGGAGACGCAGAGGAATGGCGCTATTCAGCGATGATTATGATCGTCCTTGTCGTGCAAGGATTGCAGGAGGAAATGTCGGGAACAGACCTGTTCTGACTCAGCCGGGCGGGAAACCTGGGATTGTGGAAGGATTGGGGTCCCTGGCTCTGAGGATTTCCAATCTCGGGATTTCGTTCCGCCCTATTATCGAATTGCCGACAAAGGTGATCCAGAGAAGGAGAAATGATATCACGATATTCCGAATTTACACACGATACATATTTGAGGCGGAGATGGTCCTCCGACACTCGCATTGCAGATCCGGAGCCTCCCCTCCACATCCTCTGCGTCTGACTCCGTCTGGCGTGACAGGCCGGGGATCTGGGGTACAATCTCATACGGGAAAAGTATCATCTGCACCAGAAGGAAATTTGACCTCGGAAGGCTGGGTTTGTAGGTTGCGCCACTGTCGAGGAAAGTTCGTAACGAAGGACGTACATTGTCAGCAATCACTAGAGATCCCGTTATCATACGCTTTGCGGATTGTAACACCACCATTCTTTCTTGTTTGCGACTTTCCTCCTCCTTATCGCAGCAGCGCATCGCCTTACTTTCTTTCGTCCGTCTGTTCGCTCACTGGCTACCAACCATCATCAGAACCCCTTCTCTCCCCTGCGACAATGGACCAAACAATAATGACCTCCGCCTCCGACATGGCCCTCGACTTCGCCAACGCGTCTTCTTTCCTCTCCTTCCCCGAAACGGCCTACGCCGCTTCGATGAACACCCTGCATCAGATCTTCGCGAAACCACTACCGAGTTCGGGATGCGGGAAGAGTTTCGCCGATGACACCACCACTACCACGGAAACCGAGATCGAGATTGAAATCGAAACGGAAGAGACGACGAAGAAGAAGAAGAGGCGGTATAGAATCCACCTGCCACCCAGCTACACTGCTCACGCCGCGCGACCCGCGATCTTCGTGCTCCATGGCGCGAACCAGACCGCCGCGGAGATTGAAAGAATTACACAGTTTTCTGATCCGGGGATTAATCCTTATGGGATAGCGGTTTATCCGGAAATGGCACTTCAAGAAGAAGAAGAAGGAGGAGGAGGAGGAGAAGGAAAAGGAGATGAGATGCGCTTCCTCGAAGCGGTTCTGGACGACGTCGAAGGGAAATTCTGCGTGGATAGGAATCGAATTTACGGGGCTGGGTTTGGGGATGGAGGGGGCTTGTTGGGGTGTTTGGGGAAGTTGGGAAGCAGGGCTGCGGCTGTTGCTGTCGTGTCGGGGAGGTTTGATGGTGCTTGTGGGAAGGATGGGGATGGGGATGGGGATGAGAATGAGAATGAGAATGAGAATTCGAGGATCAGGAGTAGGATGCCATTCCTAGAAATCCACGGGGATCGGGACACCGTGGCTCCCTACGAAGGGACGCAGAGCAACGACACACTCCCGATCCGGCAAATCCTAGACCAAATGCTACAACTCAACGGCTGCGGGGCTCCCGAAGAAGACAGCGGAACGACAATCCCCGGCCTCGCAGGCGCGGATTCGAATTCCACGCACGTGTACAATGGCGGCGCCGTGGTGCGGTATTCCTGGACCTGTGCACAGGTGGAACAAGTTGTGGAGAATTTCGTCGTCAAAGGTTTGGGACACGGATGGCCGAGCACGACGGCATTGCCCAGCGCTCTGGAAGTTTTGCGACGCGGACCGACGAGTTGGAATGCGTCCCAGGTGATTTCGGAGTGGTTTGGGCGGTGGGCGCTGTGTGATGGGAGCGCTTGTCCCGGGGCGGAGAGGCCGAGGGAGACGCGGCGGGGGTTATTGGTGGATGGGGAGAGGATGCCTTGGATTGCTGGGTAGGAGTAGGTAGTAGGGAGTTGGAGTACAAAGTCGAATAATTTAGACCTTTTCGGCTTCGAAGCTGTGTGATGAATCTACTACCCGGATGGTGCGCCGGACATGTGCGTACATGGAGCATATCTTTGACAAGCAAGCATTGGAGTCAGTGCCCAATAATCGCTCCATCTGAAAGATCGTCGTTGGTTTTTGTTTCGCGCAAGGCCAATGAGAGTTAGGTAGGTAGGTTAGGTCGCCCGGCTCGTTCAGAACGTGTGCGCACAGAATGGTTCCTGGAGTGCCGGCATGGCTCGGATCATCCAGACGCTGAACCGGCAATGGGACTGACTGTCTTTGAGCTCGCATGAGCCTCAGCATTCGGTACTGCATCGTTCGTGGCGGAGTCCTTTCCTCTTCCTGGACTTGTGTCTGCCGAAGTCAGGACCCGGATGCGTGATGACAAATTTGCTTCTTTCTCTCTTGTCAATGGAAACCACCGAACGTCAGTTGTTGTTTGTGAAAGGTGATTGTGATCCAGAGTGTGATGTCTGCTGCTGATGCTCAGTAAGGGAGAAGTTAGTAACCGACCTCGCTGCATCAATCTTTGTCCTTCAGAAGCTAGAGCAAGTAGATCACGATGGGACTATTTGAGACATACGAACGTTCCAGCACTTTCAATGTATAGATAGCCACAACGCCATGTTGTACAGCCATTGCCCACATCGCCGTGCTTTCAATCTACATACTCACAATTCAGACCAACTCCCAAGTCCAGGACAGACAGTACGCCAAAGGTATCCTGGCCATGCGCGGGCTGTTCCGCATCGCAGTATCCAAATTCGAATCCATAGGATAAGCATGCTTAAACAGATCGCTCAGTGCCAGCAATTCCAGCCTCCAAGAAAGAAAGAAAGAGCCCATAGCTTGTTTTCTGGGGTTTGGAGTCATCGGATTCCATTCCGTCGCCTTTAGCTTACCCAACGCAAATTCATGATCCCAGTAAGAAGAGTCCGGGTCTCCATCTGGCAGTGTCTTGTTGCTTCGAATCAGAAAGAAGAGACTCTGACCACGTTGAGTCCAAGGGTCATGTTAACCAGACCGACGACGTAGACCTAATATCTGTTTGATCTGTGCTTCTATCTCGTCGTCGGAAGGAGCATTACGGCTAGGCCGAGGCCACGCTCTGACCAGAATAGCCAACGCGTCGGTAGGGTGGAGCTGAGCATGCTGCAGCAATTCGCGATACCAGCGTTGCATGGACTCCTGCGGGTTGGCTGGCGCCGCTGGGTAGTTATAGCCCACTTCCGTGCGGACGAGGATACGCGCTTCTTCCAGTGTTCTCACCCGTCTGGCTGCAACGAGCCTGCTTGCGATATTCTCTATTGCATCATTCGGTTGTACACCGCTGGTGAGCAGCCTTGCATACTCTCTTTCGGCATTGCTCATTGGTCGCGCGGTGCTCTGCTTGCTGCCGCCAGGTCGACTTGGACCCGCAGCCTGACCTCCCCCACTACTACCAATCGAACCGTATTGCCCGTATGCTGTACCGGGTTGCCCAGGGGCTGCTTGATTGGGAGAGGGGTCTCCTTGAGACGGCGGCTTCGATGGGCCAGCAGCTGGCTGTATAGGCCTCTCGCGGCCTGTTTGTTTATCCTGTCCGCTGGAAGGACCCGGCTTCGAGGGGCCTGGTTGACCGGAAGCTGGCTGGCTAGCCTCATCAGAGCCCTTCGAGATACCCTCCGTTTCCATACGTTTAGTTGGCCTCATAGGATACGGCCACTGAGGTGCGCTCTTGCGTGCAAATGGCAGCCATTGATCGTGTGGCTGGAAAGGTTGGCCCAGTCTGTTCTCGAACTCGCGATTGGCATCGCGAGCCTTCAGTAGTCGCTTGCTCTCCTTTTGAGCGTATATCACGAACCAGGGCAAGGGATCCTCGATCTCTGCATTTGTTTTCAATCCCGAATCCACGGCAGTAATTGATCCGATCACCGCACGATCCCATTGATATTGATGACTCGCGAGTTCTATCGCCACCTGCTTGATGGGCTCTGTGGCGAGAAGCGCCAAGTAGCACAGCGACCCAATCGGAAAGGTGAGAGCTCCTTTGGGCCAATCAATGTTATCTTTGTGCGGCAAGTCCGTGATCTTATAGCGAGCAAGGCAAGAGGTGACAACCTTCCGGGTCTGCTCGGGGACTGGATTGTCTTCTCCAAGCCGAATCTCCCACCATCTCGGAGCTGTAATGCGGGGTGATGATGGAGACCACTTTCTGTCCGACCGTTTGGCTACCGCAAGAATGTTTTGGAAATCAAGGTCTTTTATGTCTCGCACTTCTGGCACGGGGTTACCACCAGCGCCGAGAGCAGGACGACCCGTAAGGCCTTGGGGCCACGCGGGTGATGTGAGCGAAGTCCACACTGCAAGGCGTTAGCTACGTATCTCGTCTCGTCCCCCAAGAGATCAACAACCGATCGCCTTATTTTGGAAGCTGTAGAAGCCAGTGTACTCTGCATGAGACGCCTGCATCCCATCATTAGAACAAAGTGCTCCTTGTCAAGTATTCACGCCACTTGCCCTATAATGTACCCCTTCCACCGTGACGGCTTGGTCGTGCGTGTATGTTCTCTTGTCCCACGAACGTGGACTAAATGATACAGCAGCATGCGCTGGCTTCTGAGGATTAGATGTGGCGTCTTCGTCATCAAGAAAGCCTTCCACTCCGATAACATTCTCCAACATGCAGAATCCTGCCATGAACTGCGGACCTTTAACGACAAGGCGCCAGCCCCATAGCCTAATATTTGGGAATCGTGTATCCACGTCCGACTGTGCAACACCATACGCGCCCCCGAGCATGTTTTCAAGCAGTCGCTTGCCCCGTGCGCTTAGATCTATGACCACTTGGGGTCCATGCAAATCCGATTGATCGTAAGACATCCCGGCAGGAGGCTCCATACGAGCTACCATAGCATTCTCGGTGTAGTTAAGAGGTGTACCAGGAATCAACAAGCCAGCAACTACGCCGACAAGGAACAGAAGATTGCAGAGCATGGTTGTCAAACTTTCGCTTCTCATTATGGAGGTCCAGTGATTACACCCCCACGGAAAGCCTGTGGGATGGTGGTGGACCAAGGTCGAATTCGTCGGATCTTCGTCTCCTTCCGGTGAAGTCCGATGGTATGTTGTTCTCGCAGCGAGATAGTCGAAGGTTCCAAAGAGTTGTCGCTTGATCGTCGAGGAGAGAAAGTTTCTAGGATTCCAGAGGGGAGCAACGGCCTGAAGTACTCGGTCGCCAGCGAAGCAGACAAGTCCACGAGGCACACGCCGAGTTTCGAGGTTTGCTTTCCAGCACGTTGTTGGAGAACAGCTTCTCAATTTGTGCATATCGTGACTTTCAGTACCAACGTGGATGAAGCGTGACGGTAACGCCGAAGTCATGCGTGAGAGATTGGACATCCGCATGGTCCGCTATGCTGACGTGTTGCAAGCCAGCGGAGGCCTTATGGCCCAAAACGGATGGCCACAAAGATCATCGGAACATGCAAGTGGCAGTGAGAGTATCAAAATGCCCTTTTCTTGTTAGAATTGTTCACGTGTGTGCAACTTGTATCGGAGCTGGGAACATGTTCGAGAAGAGATTGAGTGCAGTCAAATTCTTTACCCGCGCAACGGGAGGACATGTTGCACCAAGGCGCTTTGCCTGCGATTCAATCAGTATCAGCATCGTATGGATTGAGAAGTTCATGGGGCACCACTCACCGACATAAAGGGCACATGGGCTGCTCTCGAAGCCACTCCGATACACATGTCCAGCAGAATACATGACCGCAAGTCGTCACAGATGGATCCTTCATCGACTCCAAGCAGAGGGTACACTTTCGCTGTTGTTTGCTTTCGATCCATTGCATCACTTCAGGGTCTTTCAGGTCATATCGGTGGCCGGAAACCAGTGGCGTGTGCGTCACTTGAGCAACGCGACGCTTGATCACCTCCGGGTCGGTGCCATGCGAGTGCGGCTCAAAGAGTAGTGGAGTGTTGAATTGATTTCCGGTGCCGATCTCCACGCCATTGTCAACGACTGCACTCCCGCTATCCAGAGCGTTGGTCGTATTTGGACCAGGCGCTACTTGGACATTACGATAGGTGCTGCGCAGGTGAAGATAGCCTTGGACAACCATCTGCACGAAAAGTAGGACACCCAGAACTTCATAGCCACCCCGCTGATCGTCATCTGTGAGCTTCCGAGTGAAGATGTATCGCAGTCCAAACACGCGCTTGCTAAGTTGGTAGTACGCTCCGGTGAAGTAAAATATCGCCAGGCTAAAAGCATAGATTGGTGCCGGCGACGTGATGGAGTCCAGATGCTTCCAGAAATATTCCTGTAGCTGGCTAGTCTTCGTGGGAGGATTCTTACTCCTTGTTGGTGAAGACATGCGTCTGTGATGGGCCTTCCGAAGCTTGACTTCCAGCTTTGCCCGGAGTCTCTTCCTCAAAGCTGGGAGAAAGCGTGTCAAGGCATAAGGCAGCAACACGCTGGAGAGTATATATGCAGAGCGGCGAGCGATCGAAGGCAGTCGATTCGTATCATCTTCGACCTGCACGATGTCGCAATACTCCTCTCCAAGCGTTCTGTTGCCAAGGAATGTGGTCAAGCATAGGTAGAGCAGTTCGGTGAAGACAGAGGCTTCGCTGGCCCACTTATGCTCCGAACGCGTGCCATAGAGAGACCTGATAACAGAAGAGAGCTGAGTCAAGAGGACGCCTTGGAAGTATCTAAAGCGAATGTCAGTCCCGGTCCCCGTCGCGCTGGGTAGAAGCGCATTCTCGTCGTCCACTTACGCATCCTTCTGGTTGGCTCGAATGATATCGGGAGCCGCCGCCCATGGGTAGTTGAAGCTACGGGACGAGTTCTCGGTCAGAGGCTTTCCACTGTCGCGTATGTGGTCCGACATGATGGCAAATAACGCGTTGTTGTTCACGACGGCTGGACGAGGAACGATGGTGAGGTTGCAAGTAGGGGTGTTTGAGTTTACCTCGGCATACCGGAGCGGATCAAGTACTCGCCGACGGGTTCCATCTAAGGTACGAACCTCAGCCTTCAACTTCCTTCCCTTCCTACCTACCTTACCTCCTTGCCGCCAACAACCTATGTCCGCTGATATATCGTAATGGCTGCTCGTCATAATGGCACTGCCTGATTTCTATTATCAAGACTATACCGCATCCTGCCTCCTCGTCTCGCTTCCTCTTCGCACCGCTTGCGAAACAACCCGCCAAGTTCTCACCGAGCAGCGCAAAGTCCTTGGCTTCCGGAGAGTATCCGCGGAAGACACATCTCACGAGGCTGTGCTCGCGAGACACATCGAATCTATTGACCGCAATGCAGGCTCGGCCACATCAAGTGCACGCGGGTACCCGTGCAAGCTACGTGATAAAGGCGCCGTGGCTGCCAGCTTTGCAGGGTATGGTAGGTCTGGTGGCTGTGAGAGTAGTGAGCCATTTCTGTTTCAATCCTGGTTGTACCTGCATTCTCTCTGCCTCATAAGAAGAGCTCTGTGGCGCTTCGAAGGACGAATTTGGATCTCTACCGCGTCTCTTACAGCATCCAAGCACGGAATAACTTCCCCAAGATCTTCACGACTTCCCTCGAGATACCTGCCAACGTCGGTACCGTTGTCGACAACTTCAACAATGCGCGTCTCACCTCTCCTCTTCCTCCCCCTCGGTCTCGTCGCCGCAGACGACTGGATCCAATCCGTCGCAAACGGGTTAGACGACGCCATCTCCGACATAACCAGCGCCTACAACGCCGGCGCCTCCATCGGAGCCAGCATTTACTCCGAAGCAGCCGCAGCCGCTGGAAGCGCATACTCAGAAGCAACATCCGAAGCCGGAAACCTCGGGACGAAAACCACATCCTCCGGAGGCTCGGTATACACCGTGGCTACAAATACGTAAGTCGACCCATCCATCATCCAAAGGGAAGAAGTTCTATGCTAATGATGAGGTGATGTAGGTCTGGCAGTGTGGTCTCGACGATTACTTCGAGTACTGGGAACTTGGGGAACAAAGTCACGTCTGTGGGCAGTAGTGTCTTTACTATTGCTACGAATAGTGCCGGGTCTGTCGTTAGTACGATTTCCACTACTACTACTACTACTACCACTACGACTGGGACTTCGGCGGCTGGTGCTGTGCAGACAAAAGCTCCGTTGGCGATTGCTGGAGGACTTCTGGGAGCGGGAATGGCTATGGTGGCATTGCTGTAAGGAAGACACGGGAATGACTAGAGCGCTCGCGTTCAGCATGCGGTTATGATCACGACATGGATGAATCTCAATGAGGAAAGTTTGAACGGCCTTGTATTCTTCGCTTCATGTTTGCTTTCGTTGTACTCTCCCATCCAAAGCTCACAACAGCTCTTTCCACTAGGCGGTGATTCGGATGAGCCAGCCAGCGGGCTTGCGCGATACAATACACAGAATACTACCGCAAAATGTAGTGCCAGTTCCAAGGCTCCAAAATCTTGCAGTGTTCCCCCGTCGTCACTTTATAAGTTTCTTCGCTATCCCAGGTTCAACTTTCAGCCCAAAGTGGCAGATGCGTAAGCGTTCCCCGAACCACGGCCCTGGATGATCTAGTTGACCAGTTTCCAGCGCAGGCGACGACGTAGGCGCCGTAACATCTGCGGGAGGAAGTGCCTTTGCCGTCTTGAGGAACGAAGCTAGTTCCGTATACATGACCATAACCGTGGGACCTCAGGAGGCAGCGGCGGTACAGACGCAGGATACCTTGGCAGTTGCGAGAAGTGTGATGGGCGCTGAGATGGCCGTTGTGGCGATGCTGTAATCAGCGGGATCTTGACATCTGATCAAGAAATTACGAGCGTCGACCGTTTGTTCGGAATGAAAGATTCTGGAACATTCAAACAAAACATATGTACAACAGTCCGTCTCTCATGTTGTCCGTGTCTACATGGGCCCCTCCGAGGGGACCATGGCCCTCTATTCGTCACCGAATTTCACCTTCTTTTACGCGAAAGCCATGCTCTTCTTGATCTCGGCAATTGCCAATGCCGGGTTCAGACCTTTCGGGCATGTTCTGCTGCAGTTCAAAATGGTGTGGCATCGATACAAGCTCATGCTGTTGTTGAGTGCATCCTTACGCTGGGCGGTCTTCTCGTCACGAGAGTCGGCGATCCAGCGGTACGATTGGAGGAGGACGGCTGGACCGAGGTATTCTTCGCTGTTCCACCAGTACGATGGGCACGATGTCGAGCAGCATGCGCAAAGGATACACTCGTAAAGACCGTCGAGCTTGCGGCGGTCGGCCTTGGACTGGCGGTTCTCCTTGCCCTGTACACATTGTTAGCCTGATGTTCCTGTTGCTCGCGTGAGTGGTGTTTCCTACATCTGGAGGTGGCGTGTCCCTCTGGAGATACGGCTTGATGGATTTGTACTGCTTGTAAAATTGGGTCAAGTCGGGTACAAGGTCCTTTACGACGTAGGTGTGTGGCAATGGGTAGATTCTCGACTCCTTTTGGGTATCGGTTGGGATACGGCCTGGAACAAACCATCAGTACCTGTTCACTGCTTATCCGTATCCAACTGTCACTCACATAGACATGCCAATGTGTTCACACCATCAATATTCATCGCGCAGCTACCGCAAATGCCCTCTCTGCAACTCCTTCGGAATGTGAGAGTCGGGTCGACCTCATTCTTGATTCTGATGAGCGCGTCCAGCATCATTGGGCCCGTCTTGTTCAAGTCGAGGGTGTAAGACTGCATCTTGGGCTTGCTGGCAGGCTCATCAGGATTCCAGCGGTAGATATGGAAGGTCTTCACGCGTGAATCGGGATCGACTCGGGGCTCTTGCTTGGGAGTAGACTTGCTCGCAGGCTCTGGTGGGCGGGAAGCCGAGGTGGCCTCTGCAACTGCGCTGATGGGCTCCTTGGTGTGCTCGATTGTGGTGGCCATGCCCCGGCGGGAGGCCGTGAACATCTGAGGCGCAAAGCGCCGTGTTGCGAGTCGGAGAGCCATTGTGGTGTGATGTTGTTTGAGGGCGCACGACGGGTGTTCAGTAGTTGTGAGGAGGCAACGGCAAAGCAAGAAGTCGAGATGTAATGGTTGTAGTAAGCTTACAGCGTGATTGGCTGGCGGTAATAAAATTATTGCCGAGCGGACCGAGCGTCGGCTATCGACCTCGGCGCATGTGATGAGCTTTCAGTATGTTGTCTATCGCAAGAAGATTCATCCACCGAAAATATCCAGGAAAGGATCATTTGGAGCGGCATCGGGAGACGTCCACTGATGAAGCGCGATTTCGGAGCAGAATCCACACATTGGCCAGATCGTACGGCAGCAACCCAATCTGGATTCTGCATGTCACATTGCCACTCTAGGCGTTACTGAAGACCTTGAGCCATCCAAATCGAGAGAAGAGCGGCAATCACACGTGGATTGTTCAATCGAGCGGCGTCAGTATTGACTGCATCACTGCGTTTCATCGTTTGGATGGCAGCTTGCAGCCAACTACGCTGCTTTTGAGCTGCACGGTGGTGAATGGGTTCATTAAGATTTCGTACAGCAGCTTATAGGCGTCCTTTTGTACCTCTATCTATTGGCCGGCGCGATTATAGAAGTCGATCGCTTTGCCCGCGCGACAGTCCTTCAGTGTCAGTCCAAGCTGGGCATAGGTCCAACTGTTCGGATATGGCCACCTCACGTCCAATCCGCCTGATATTGGACTATGATAGCACCCTCACCGTGGACGATACCATGGCCATCCTAGCGGATCTACCCAAACAGCCGAAAATGACGTGGCAAGAAATCGTGGACGCGTACATGAGAGACTACCAGATTCACAAGGAAGCGCCCTTTCAGTGGAAAAACTACGACAGAGCGGAGTACAGTCGTTGGCTGGCGTCTCGTAAAAGCGTCGAGCAGAAGAGTGCTCAGAGAGTCCAAGATGCCGGGTTCTTCAAATGCGTCACCCATGAGGACGTCGATCGAGCCATCAGGAAATCACTTGACAATGGATCCTTAGAGCTTCGCAGTGGCTGGGTAGATGTATTCGACTGGGCTCTCTCGCTCCCTGATCATGGTCAGAACGATAATGCTTCGAGTAGGAGTATCAGTATTCTATCCGTCAACTGGAGCGGAACTGCCATACGTTCTGCCCTTCTCCAAAGTGCCGAGAGCTTGGAAAACTATCCTCGGAGAGAGAATATCTGCCAATACATCAGCGACATGGAAATCCTCGCCAACGAAATCGAAGGACTCTACGAGCCTGGCGGTAGCTCAGGTCGTGTATGTGGAGTTGAGGGCCCTGATATTCGGACGAGCGACGACAAATTGGCTCAACTTCGCCGTGGCTCCTGCGACGGGACGACGCCATTTGTGATCTACGTTGGGGACTCATCCACGGATTTCGACTGCCTTTGTGAGGCAGACCTAGGAGTTTGGCTTTGCAACGTCCCTCCTACGGAGTATGGAAAGGTCTTCCGAGAAACGTTCAAACCGTTTGCCGGCTTCGTGCCACCTCCTTTGAGTAGTCTTCCTAGGCTGGGCGCTTGTGAGAAGTCGTTGTTCTACTGGGCCCCGAACTTTGAGACATTGTTGAAACTACTTGCCCAGCAGCAGGCTAGCAATTAGTAGCATTGTCAAAGTGCGTCAGTCTTGAACGCAGTGTAAAGCAATGTGACCCAGCTCGAGCTTGAGACAGCTTGGAAGAAGAACCCCACAATGAGACACCATGCGGTGTTTCCAGGATCTTGTTTGACGTTGAGGTCTTGCAGAGGAAGCGACTTGCCGTGCACCTCACTGCAACTGCACATTCACCAGGTAAAGCAAGCGCAGGCGCACGGGCCACTTTACATGACTCTTCATGCACGTTCTCGCATTTAACCATCAGCAGACACCAACTTCAAGACTTCAGCAACACTGCAACTTCAAACCACATTGCACTTCAAATAAAATGTCTGCACACGCACAACAACAACGCGAGGAGTCGGCCTACGAGAAGGTCTTCAGGGTTTCGGAACTCGCCGAAGCAGTTCTATTAGAACTTCCACCACGACAAGTCCTACGCAATCAAATCGTATGCAGACAATGGAAAGAAGTCATCAAAGGGTCCATCCCATTGCAAGAAGCGCTCTTCTTCCGGCCACTCACCATCACACCACCCGTCCACTACGAGTCGGAACATGATCACTGGGCAATATCAGAAGCTCCCCGCTCGCGCGTCATAGTATTCCAGTTCCCACTTCTTGACTCCAACCTCCGCGGCTCTCTACTGTCCCAGTCGTCCTGGCGGCGACAGCTCGTTACCCAGCCGCCCCTGGAGAAGTGTAAAGTCATCCACAGCACGCTGACGCATTACGAGGAGAAGAACCTCTCCGCGCCAGAGGAGGGCGGCGGGGTGCGCGCGGGCCAGATATCGGAGCTCGAGACGTCGGAATGGCATCGAGGCGGTCTGTCGATAGATGGGTGGCGTACTTGGAGGACGTGTTCGGACAATTGGAGGATGCTACCGGCGAGAGAGTTCCTTGGGCTTCTGATCCAGGAGATCAAGGGGGAAGACTGAGAAGGGTTGGCAAGCCAGCGAGATCGTAATCTCAGCGTGTAACTTGCTACAAGAGTGCTGTGGATATGCACTACACAGCTGTGTCGTGACAGAAGTTGGTCAAGGGGCGGCTCTGGTCAAATAGACCAATGATTCGTGGAAGCCAAAGATTAAATAGCTCTTCGATAGCAACCAAGCGACACATCGATCCATGCGTACTCACATGTGCATGTCTGCAACAGGCGTTAAGACAACTTCAATCTCCGTCGCTCCTGCCTGTTCTCAACTTTCACATGCACGGGAAAGCGCGTTAGTGGGGCACGCTAGTCGGGATGCACCATCCCCGCACGAGCCATCGAGATCTCGAAACAGAACTTGCGCTTCACCTGCATCAACACTACAGCTGTTTACTTGCTGTCTGAGCTGTGCTGGCCGCCTCTGTCAACCTGCATGAACAAAAAAAAAAAGCAACATTCCCATGCGACTCCTTGTCCCGAACATCCGCCAATCCAACATTGCGAGCTCAGAGGCAGTAAGCACGACAGCAATGCCCACAGAGGCGCATCGCAGCTGATCTACATGCGGGATGTCCAGAGCGGCGATCAGCGAGTCTCCCCCTTCATGGAGCTCGCAGAAGCCATCCTCTCCGGGCTTCCGATGCGAGACCTCTTCTTCAACGTCCCACGCACGTCCCGTCAGCTTAAAGCCCTGACGGAGAGCTCGACGCCGATACAACAAAGTCTTCACTTCCAGCCCGTCACGGCAAAGCCGCTGTAGTACCAACCACCAGGCCTGAAGCTGCCGAATCAGAAGACCTCCAGAAATAGTTGCGACCTCGTAATCGCCCATCCAGGACCCGCCTATCTCACCTAACCAGCCAGGCAAACTCTCGAAGAAGAAAGCTATGAATTGTCCCGAAGCTTCCTCGCGCCATCAACTCGCCACCCAGCCTCCGCTTGGTGACTGGCAGGCGACTACCGACCGATACGCACAGGTACAGAGTATCTTACTTAATAGGAAACGACTGCATTGGAGTGAGAGTGGAACTTTTGGCTCGGAGCATGACAGGGGGAAGGACAAGCAGAAGGCGGACGGAAGTCAGACGTTTTCTTTGATCGTGATTTGCGAGACGGCGATTTGACGCGGAGGATCCAGAATATGAGGAGGGAGGGGACTGGTCATTTGGTATGCATGTACTAGCCTGCTGACGCGAGGCTTTGGTTCTGGTCGACTGAAAAGTCAGACCTTCGAGGTGTGGAGTCGTTGCCCACTACTCGGAGGAGTCTGACACAGTTTTCCTTGTTCGGGAGCGCAGTATAGGAGTGAAAGAAGACGGAAACCCAGAATAGTGAGCTTTACAGTCACAGCTAGGAGTACCCAGTCCCAAAAGAGCCTTGCGCCAGCGCGATAGGACACATCAGAATTGGAACAAGCGTCATGAGGTATTTCGTACGCCAGGGAGTCTCTTAGCTAGCTGCACATACCGCGCGCGTTACCTGTCTCTAACATTCGCTTGAACTACCAACCACCCTTGCCTCCAAAACCCCCACTATCCTCAATATTCCTCCCACCCTTCCCCTTCTGCACTTTCTGCTGCGCAGCCTCATGCTTTCTCAACTCCTCGGGTACCTTTGAGATACTACTCTTGCTGATCATCTGTTTCAGATCATACAGCACATCCGAGTCCTCGTTGCCCAGGAACGTCACGGCAACACCCGTCTTGCCCGCGCGTCCCGTACGTCCGATGCGGTGCGTGTAGGCTTCGATGTTCATGGACATGTTGAAGTTGACGACGAGACTGACGTCCGGAACATCGATACCACGACCCGCGAGGTCGGTGGCGACCAAGACTTCGGTCTGGCCGCTCCGTAAGGCTGCGAGAGCTGCTTCTCGCTGGTCCTGTGTTTTGGATCCGTGGAGTGTGACGCTGCTGAAGCCCATTTTCTGGATGTCGCGAGCGACGGCATCGCAGTTGCGCTTGACGTTGACGAAGACGATGATGGGTGGTCCAAACTCGTTGGAGTGGAGGATTTCGTTGAGGCGCTTCTTGCGCTTGTCTTCGCCCTGTACAAACTCGACTCGTTGTTCGACGGTGTCGACCGCTTCTCCAACGTTACCGATGGTGACTTGTGCCGGGCGCCGCAAGTACTTCCGTGCAATGCGCTCCACCGCAGGCGGCATAGTTGCTGTGTACATCATAGTCTGCCGGTAGCGTTCTTGTCCACCCAGATGTTGCGACATCACAGCTGCGTTCTCGGCAGCGTCCGAATCGGGCTTCTCATTCGACACCGGCAGAGCATCCAGTATCTTGTTGACAGGCTCCTCGAACCCAAGATCAATCATTCGATCTGCTTCATCCATGATGACGTAACAGCATTGGCTCAGTACCAGGACCCGACGTTCGATACAGTCCACAAGACGTCCTGGAGTTGCAATGATGATTTCGGCGCCATCTCTCATATCGTAACTTTGCGACTCGATACTGTGACCACCAACCAGCGATACACACTTGAACCCGAGAGGAGTGGCAAATCTTTTTGCCTCAAGCTCGATCTGTTGGGCAAGTTCACGGGTGGGAGCCAGAATAATTGCGTAGGGCCCATCGTTCTTGGTGACTTCGTTGAGCTGGGGAAGCTCGGAGATATAGACAAGCAAGGGTAACAGGAAGGCTGCCGTCTTTCCCGAACCCGTGACTGCCACACCAATGAGATCTCTTGATTGTAGAGCAATCGGAATGGCAGCACGTTGAATCGAAGACGGATCGGTATAGCCAACCTGTTCGACAATATCCAGGATACGCTTGGGCAGCCCCGACTCAGCCCAGCTACGCATTGGATTGGGTATCGAACCACCCTTGGTTGCGATATTGAAGTCTTCCTTGAAGATACGCCAGTCTCGTTCACGCATGTTCTCCAGCTTCTTCTCGCTCCAATGCTTGTCGATGCCCATTCTACTTCCCTCCTCCTTGCGTCTTCGCTCCATCTCAAGAATTTCTGCCGCTCTTTGCTTTCCAGCCACCGGGTCACGTTTCGCGATAGCTTCAGCATAATGCCGGGTGAGATCGTCAATCGTGGACTCCGCGAACCCTCCCAGTTTCCCTCTTCCAAAGAAATTATTCTCAGCACGCGTCTGATACAAGGGATTGTAGTCCGGCGATGTGTCCTCCTCCGCATTCCATTCGAAATTAAACTTCTTCTCCGTCGTCCGTTTTCTCTTCTTCTTGGCGGAAAAGGTAGATGTGTTTGTATCTGCTCCCATGTAACGATGGCGTGTGAGCTCCGCCTCGACATCCGTCTCGGTCTGCTTCTTTGAATGGCTTCCATTGACGATGGCGACCGATTTGGGCGGCGGAGGTGGCTTCATGTCGTAGCCCTTATCCGGCAACTGCTTTGCAGCGTGCCGGTTGGGCGCATCTCGTGATCGCATCGACTTTGGACCGACGGGAGGTGCTGCTGGTTGCGTCTGACGCACATCGGCGTCTGGCGCTTTCTTGCCTGCTAGGGTAGCCTCTTCTTTCGCAGCCTTCTCCCTTGCCAAACGTTCGCGCTCCTTTTTGGACAGAAACTTGGGCTTCGCTGCTTCGGCATCTTGCGCCTTCTTCCTCGCCAAGAGCTCTTCTACACTCAGAGGCTGTGTCTTTGGCTTGTTGTCTACTTTTCGTCGCTTATTTGGTAGCACAAGATTTGGTTCGAGTTCCTCAGCGGGCGGGGGAGGCGGCGGAGGAAGATCAGAACTGGGTGGTGGAGGTGGAATCGGGTCGCTTGGTGGCGGGGGAGGCGGAGGAGCTGAATCGAATTCAGGCGGTGGAGGTGGTGCGTCGTCCATATTGTTGTTCAAAGTACTGATCGACCGGCGGAGAGAGACTTGTCCGACCATGTCGCCTCTCACGAGCTCAAGTTTCTTGAGATGCAGTCCTGCTAGCGCGCGAATGACTCGCGTAGCTTTCGCTTACCGAGATCCGGCGTGGCTCGTGCGCAGATCTCGCCTCGCACCTCACTCTGTAGACTGCAGCAGTGCCAACTCCATGTTGCGGCTGTTCGCAAGCACTATAGGACAAATCACACAAGAAACGGAACAAGACTCAGCCTCGATACCATTACAACACACGATCGGTAATCTTCAACTGCGCAGGTCCCTAAGGGTCTCCGCAACAGGAAACGATACAGAGAGGAAGTACTAAGATAGAAAGAATAACAGCCAAATCAACCCCTTCCATATCCAGACACATATCCGTAAACCTTGCTCCCGTCCAACGCTATCATCGCCATTATAGGCCGCAACCTGAATCCTTCTACAACTCGCATGAACGGTGCTGGTATCTCATCCTACCCCTCCTTTCCCTCCTCCTCCTCCTCCTCCTTCTCCTTCTCCCTCCCCTTCTTCATCCTCGCAATGGAACCACCTCATCTTTCCCAACCAGGATCAACAACCACCGAAGAGAACCCTTCACAGCACCACCTGTTCTTACCACTCCTTTCCTCGCCAAATAACGCCACATTCCGTCTCCAAAAAAAGCCAAGAAAATCCCCCACCCCTCGCTTTGGCATCAGAAAGCAACAGAACCGTATAATTCCATCCTCATCCTATTCACAGCGATCCCCCCAGAGCTCACTCACTCAAATTCTGTTTTAGTAAGACATCCCTCTCTACAGGGGTCAAGAAGACGCTTCCACAGGTGACACAATTCGGCTCGTCATGTGACGTCCACAGAGCTCGAAAGGAAGGGCACACATGGAGTAAGGGATAAAAAGTAGGGGTCGGTGGAGATAGCCCGGGACAGACAACAACAAGAAAGCAGAATCAGAAAGAAAGAAAGAAGGCAGATGCTATTCACCCAAAACTGTCTAGCTACAAGAGCTAGGTGGGAATAAGGACTGCCACATACAGCAGGAAAAGTAAGCATGGGACGGCGGAGGTCCCTGACAAAAAGAAAACGAATGTCCCGCACATGCACTCGCGTAGTAAGCCAAAGAAAACGACTGTAGAACCACCCTCATCTCCCAATCCGCCCCCTTCCCGACACTTCTGTGGTCCTTTGATGGCTGTTCTGCCATCCTCCAAGGTTGTCGTGCTTGTCTGATTTTTCAGTCATTAAACCCGCAAACATTATTGTTGGCCATGCCAGTCTGAAAATGCACCCATTGTGGAAGTGTGTCGCTCGTATACAGATGTGCTGAAGCTCTGCGGAAGCAAAGGCATGCCAACGTGCCCGTCGTCGTTGGTCGTGTCGATCGTAGAAGGCTGCTGGAGACAAGATTCGCCCTCACAAGGCAATGGCCTCCGATGTAGAGCTGAGAAATCAGCCGTCGCTCTTCGCCGAGATGGTAGCCTCATCGTCTTCTTTGGTGCTGCTGAGGAAGAGAGGATTGGTCGGCGCCGTGTCGACGGTGAAGCCCATGTCGTTGCCAAACATGCTCCAGTCTGGACCATCGAAGTTGAACATGTCCCATGCGGTCTGTGGATGGAACATGCCACTTCCGGCATGGTGCTGCTGGCCGAGACCATACTGCTGCGGCTGCTGGAAGACATTGAACTGATGGTGACCGGTAGGGGCACCAGCTGGATGAACGGCAGTCTGATTGTAGTATTGACCGAACTGAGACAGGTTCTGAGCAGTCAATGGGTTGCTGTTGATGGCGGATCTGAAGTTGCCATTCATCTGACCCCACGACGGCTGACGGGAGTGGACACGCGGGACAGTATTGTTCTGGTACGGCTGCTGAGGAGCCACCATGCCGTTCTGCAGTGGGTTGCGGAAGCCAGAAGTGAGGTAGTTCATGGGTGCCGGCTGGTCGAAAGAGACTTCGGGACCAGTATTGTCACGGTGGATGCTGAGGCCAGTCCGCTTCTTCGAACGTGGCTGACCGTAAGTCAGGTCGTCGTCGTCCTCAGCAGGTTGCTCGTAATAAGGACCTCTGCCTCTCCGAGCGCTGTTGGGGTGGTGTGGCTCGCGCCGCGCGCGTAGGGTGCGTCCGGTATTGACGTTCTTCTCCGCCATTGCTTGTCTTGGGCGACGCCGTGAGCGCTTCTTCTCAGTCATGTCGGGCTCCGGCTCGGACTCGCCCTCGATCAGGCTGTCCTCGGAATCTGGGTTGCCAGTAATCTCGCGCTCTTTTCTAAGAGCACCGCTGGTGTCGAAGACACACTCGGTTGGCTCAACCGTCTCACTGGTCGCCTGGAGATATTTCAACACCGAGACGTTCTTCTTCTGGTTGCGCTTGCGTTTCATCTCTGGAGTGGCGGAGTCAAACAAAGCCATCCCGGGCCACAAAACGCCCTTTAGCTTCGTGCTGTCATTGGCCAAGCCATCCACGTTGTCATCGTCGATGACGGACGCAACAGACTCGCTCGGATATTGACGGCGCCGCGTGGCCTGAGCTCGGCCAGGGACGAAGTCGTAGTCATTGTCTTCGTCGTCGGAGGGCGTGCTGCCGAAGCTCTCTTGCTTGATGAGCGGTGAGTCGGAGAAGTCGACACCGTTGCTGGCCCAGCCAGGAAAAGCGGGCATGAGAGAGCGCTGTATGTTCGAGGCATCGTAGGAGAAGTTTGAAGCTGGCGTGTCTGGACGCGACATGTGCTCCATGCGGCGTCTGTTGCCGAGCTGAGGGTCGAGTAGGTGCATGTTCTCACGCAAGCGAGTCTCTCGCCGACCGCGAGACTGTGATACAGGCGTGTTGCGCCCCGAATTGTTGGCGGACGCATTCGTAACTATGACGAGTCAGCTATCGAGATCACTCCAATGGTTATTATGCACTTACCACCAGATGCTCTCCGAGATGCAGCTCCACTGGACGAGCCACGCTTCCTCTCCTTCTGATTCATCCGCTCCCGCATCAACTCATCCAGGTTCCACTCCAGGTACCACTCGTCATAGTCGTCTACGATCTTCTGCGCTGCCGAATCGGTGGAAGCTCTCACTTTAATCCTGAAGTAGTGGCTGAGATGGCCTTTGCTGGCCACGTGGGTGAGGAGGTGGGAAACATCGGAGAAATCGGGCTTCTTTGGGCAGACATTGCAGTGCAATGGAATGTTCGGATCATTCGTTGATAGCAAGCTCATGCCAGGCGGGATGAGGGTTGCTGCTGCAAGCGTATACGGTCAGTTGTCTGAGGTTGAAGGAGTGTGAGTTCCGTCGAGTGCGTTGCAGTGGCTGGCAGGCTCAGGCAGCTGGCAGGCTCAGATGGCTGTGGTCGGTGCGGTGGAAGCTGTCGTGGTGTGTCTGCAGTTGGCTGCTGCTGAGAGAGTGGCGTCAGCGAAGAGCTCGCCGGTAGATAGGATGATGGAAGCAGCAGTACAATGCAAACAATCCAAAAAGGAGTGACGAAGCAGTGGAACCAAGAACGCCGAAGTTGGCGGCAAGAGAAGTTGAGGTGGTGTTGTAGGTGAGGGTTCGGAGGAGGAGGGAGAGAGTGAGTCGAGGCTTACGCGAGTAGCGATGCCGCTGTCCGGCTCGTCGGTGTGGCAGCTCTTGCTGTGGTTCTGCTGTCGATGTCGCTGTGGAGGAAGTCAGTGTCGTCGCAGAGGAAGCTGCGTGCTTGACGGGCCTGCCGAGGGAAGGTGTCTTGACGATTGTGGGCTGGCTTGTCCAAGAGTAGGTGGCGTGTGTCGGAGAAGTTGTGAGGAAGTCGCGAGAAGAGTCTTATACCATACAAACGGAGGTATTCCGTTTAGCGCCTCGCTAGCGCGCGCCTTGGCACTAGGCGGCATTGAGGCCCCTCCATCACTTTGCCCAAACCTCACCCCGCGTCGCCATGTGAGTCGGGAGCGCATTTTTCATAAGGGAGAAGACAGAGAGAGAGAGAGACGCTGAGATAACATTCGACGAGACAGTGAAATACTCTTACATTGTATACGACGCATTGAAGCACGCATTGAAGCACGCATGGAGAGCGCTGTGATATATGTCATGAGCCAGTAGTATCCTGAGCACCGCAGCGGGTAACGTCCAAGTCAATTGTCAGTAGGCTCAAACATCTTTCTACTCTCGCATTGTAGCCCGGCCTCATAGACTTAGCGCGACTCGGGTTATTAGATTGCAAGAGATGCTGCATCAACAGAGACGTACGGTAGCATTTGTACCACGCGACCTTGGGCGGTATTGTGGAATACCTTCAAAGGCTGCGTGTACAACCAGCGAGCTGCGACGCCTTTCGGTCCCATGAAGGTAACGAGGTCAAGTATGGCAGCGGCTATTTCGAAAACGAATAGCTGCTGCAATCGTGAAACACCACGCAGACACTTCCAGTGCTGGTGCTCTGTCACGTTGGATGAAACCTGATTCTCTACGCTGTTTCGGTTGTGTGTTGTCCATGCGGGCTGCGCATTTCAGGGAAGATCGAACTCATTCTTGAATCTGCCCGACTTCATCGCATTCGGGTATTCGCCAGCGTGCCAGGGCGTGGCCGGAAGGTCTGAGCGACCGGTGGTCTGCAATAGTCCTCAGACGTTTCGCCGTAGAACTTTGTTGGTGATTTGTTTTGGCATGCAACTGAGGAGCCAAGGTTAATGAGTTTGTTTCCCACCAAAAGAGGGACAGAGTCAAACTTACTAAGCTGGATCCACTTCACCAACGCCAGGGTGACGCAGCAGGCTAAGGCCTGTGATACCGAAGACCGTGTGAAACACGTCCACCATATCTCCGGGCCTGTCAGCGATTCCGCCCTGGTCCGGATCCTGGCATTGCAGAATGAATTGCGTGAGCTTCTGCTTGTCGATCCAGTGTATCCTGTCTATCATGGCCAGGCTTGTCAGGACCCACCAGCTATAACAGACGTCGACGAGCTTCTCGGGGCGACCATTCAGCCCACCGCTGGGCAGTTGACGTTCACTCAGCCACGCACCCAGTCGATCCTTGCCTTCTTCGCCGAGATAGGAATCCAATTCCCCTGCGATGGTAAGTGCGCCAACGCATGTGTAGACCTGCCCGGAGTGGGATTCAGCGCCGGGCGCCACTCCAAAACCGCCATCAAAATTGTGGCAGGCCTTGATGTAGTCAGTCGCGGCACGCATGTCCATCAAAGGCGGCAGATCGGGCCGCTGGTGCGGTAGCATATTCAGCAGAGAAAGCGCCAGCATTGCGCAGTAAATGAAACGTGTGTCGGTCTCGCCCCATTGGTCTCCAGCGAAAGTGCCATCGGGCTGCTGCAAGTGTGCGATGAATTTGGCGACCTTGAGATTTCCGTCGGGCAATCTCTTCTCGAGCTCATCGAAACCGTCCACCATGGCCAAGATCTGGACTGCAGATACCGTATACAGCATATGTGGATCGTGCCCAGGAGCGGCGCCAAAGCCACCGTTGTCGTGAATGCAGCTGAAGACGTAATCCAGTAAGCCATCTCTCGGGAGTGCGCTCGGATGATGGAGCAGATGCAGGGCGGTCAGGCCCCAGTAGATGCCGTTGACGCGAAGATGCTCCGTGAGGTGATATTCGAGCTCATCTCTGCGCTACCGTGCCGTCAGCGTCAGTCTCCGCGTGGCGATGGAGCGTTCTGGAGAGGCAGACCGTGTCCAGACTCTGGATGTAGGAGACGTGCTTCTCGGTCACCAGCTTCAGCTCGTCGGTCACCTGACCAGCCGGAGCGCCGCCACCTCGGCCTGGACCGGCAGCGAGAGACATGCTGTGTGGTTAAGATGGAGCAGAAAGAATTCGGGTTGGTGAGAGGGCGTGGGCGATGCAGTAAGAGATGATGGAGGGCGATGGGCTGCACGCATCGATCTGCTGTGTATGCGCCTGCTGACGCCGGCTTACCGCGGCGTGTCCCGGCCTGAATGCTGTCTTGACATGCAAGCGCCAAAGTCGACGTGATGGGAAGAGAAGCATTCGACAGAGAGGCGAAACGGTGATGAAAAGGGTGATGAGTGATGAGCCGTGTGCACGTGCACGTGCACGTGCAGGCGGAGGGTATAGAACAGGAGTGGTGCGGGTGCGGGAGACTCGTGGGCAAGACCCGCTCGGAGGTCTAACGCCGTCCAGGAACACTGCAGGATGGTGGACAGGGCAGGGCAGGGCAGGGGAGCAACACACACGAGCGCGTGAGGCAAGCGAAGTCTCCGGGAGCAGTAGTGTGCAGAATCGCTCGGGCAGCGACCAACCCCGTGCATCTCCTCACCAACTGTGAAGCCCCCTATCGCATCCATTCGTACCACGCTACCACGCTACCACGCAGGATTCAGGCACCGTCTGCTAGAACTATCAGCCTAGCTTGCCGGGTCTGCAGAGACCCACCGCCATTACCCCGTTCGCATCCCGTCCGTCCAGCCGCCCGTCACAACAACCACATCCACCACACCCACCACACCCACCACACCCACACACCACACCACACCACACCCCTCCTACCGCTGGCGACGACGACCGCGACACACCGCAACCACTCTCCCCGCCCGCACAAAGAATCCCATCCGGACCGCGCGACTCACCGCACCACGCCCGACGCAGCACACGACCATCCCCACAAACCGCCGCCCCAAGCAGCAGGCGACAGCGACGCCCAGCTGCAGACACCCGTCCACGCAGCCCTTTGTCTGCGCCTCGCCCTCCCATTGTCCGGGGGTCAACTGCAATCTCCCGCCAGAGTGGCAGTCTTGGTCTGGCAATAGCGTTGTCCGTCGGTGTCACCGCATATAGCTGATCTCTCCTGTGCGCGCGTGGAGGGACTCGTTGTCTTCAATCCCGCCGGTGCGGGCCCGCTGCCCTTTGCGGTAGCCGCTGGAGGCCGCAATCTCCAGCGCACCACTACATACGCCAGACATGCCTCGACAATCCAAACCCTCTGAGCTCTCCCTGCAAGCACAAAATGGTTCCAGCAAAACCATTGCGACGGGCGCCAACAACAGTCCTGGCGTGAACTTGCAGGGCGTCGACTTGGGCTCCTTTGGCGGCGGCTTCGAACACGACGTGGCCTCCGGTCTGACACCCCTTCCGCCGCAATCCGCTCCCCAATCACCGCCCGGCTCGCCGAGATTGCAACACGGACAGAGCAGAGACTCTTCCAAGACGTTCTTGAGCAACTTCAAGAACAGAATATCGCCCGACAGCGAGCAGAAGCAGAAGAAGGATTCACGGCAAGGAAGCAGTGAAGATTCGGAGTACAGACCTAGTACCAGCAGCATGTCGAAGGTGTATCACCTGCGGAACAACCCTGGAAGCACGCCCGAGTTGAGCCTGGTAGGCAGCAACGAGAATACGGGCAAGGAGCAAACACCAGGTAAGTGAAACGTTTATTACTGTGATGAGTCGGCAGCGAGCAGAGCAGAGATCATGGAGCTAGAGCAGCGGTGCCCTATCGGTGTATACAACGTGAGAGATCGGAGGTCTTCTACTGGTCGCGTGAGCATGCCTATGATTCTGTGACTAGCGCGCCGGCCTCAATCGACCGCTTTCATATACGACTTCGACTTTGCAATGAACAACGTTGACTGGCGAGGTATGGCAGCGACAGTAACACCGCCAATGGCAACCGCTGACGCCGGATGAGGAGATGTTCATTGCTACGTTATTTTTCGGATAACGCACAAGATGGACGACTTGCTGACGTGTTTCTATCTAGGTGACAACGCGCCAACATTGCCAGGCCCACGGCCGGCTCCAACTTCGCAACGCAGCGAAGACAGCACAGCATCTAAACGCCGGGACAAGGTACCATTCGGCTTCGGTCGTGGCAACGTGTCACGATCCAAATCGATCTCCAAATCCGCCACGCGCAGAGATTCAGATTCCAAGTCATCAAGGCCACGCGTGAACGGCGACTCATATGAGAACCAGCCTCCACCGAACACCGCACCTCTTCAATTGGACTCGTCTGGACCTAACATGGGAGCACTGAGTTTGCCAAGCAGAGGCAAAGATGGTGACAAGCGTGGAAAGTCCGTAGAGCGCGCACCTGCCAACGCCAGCGAGGAGAACTTGTCGAGACCTGGCAAAGAACAGAGGGGCAGTCATTTCAAGATGGGAGGCGTTATGAACAACGCCAAGTCTACTGGCGGTAGACTGTTTGGTCGTCTCGGCTTGAAGCGAAGCGACAGCGACGATAAGAAGAAGGAGAGGGATATCCCAGACAGCGAGTATCAGCTCAAGGTCATTAATTTGCCGCTTATCGAGCAGACCCGCGCGACCCGCATCAGCAAGCATCTCTCGGGCTGCAAGGACAAGACGGAATACTGGATGCCCAGCCTTCCGTGGAGGTGCATCGAGTGAGTGAATCTCCAAAATGCTGCCTGAGGCACAATGCTAACCGTCTCCAGCTATCTCAACACCAATTGCGAAGAGGAAGGACTCTATCGCATCCCCGGCAGTGGCCCACAGGTCAAGCACTGGCAGCGTCGCTTCGATACCGAGCTCGATATTGACCTGCTGTCCGAGGAAGTGCGCGATACGAACGAGATTGCCAGTATGCTGAAGGCCTGGCTGCGTGAGCTGCCGACCGAGATCATGCCGCAAGACCTCCAGCAGAATCTCGCGGCGGAGCTGGAGAAGGAGAACCCGCAATACAAGAATGTCGGCCAGCCAGCGTCGCAGAAGCTCCGCGATGCTCTCTCCGAGCTTCCACCCTTCAACTACTACCTGCTGTTTGCAATCACTTGCCACCTCAGCCTCTTGCTCACCAACAAGGATCGCAACAAGATGGACCTGAACAATCTCGCCGTCTGCGTTGGACCGTGCCTTCACCTTGAACGCTGGCTCTTCAACTACTTGGTCGGCGACTGGCGTCATTGCTGGCAGGGCTGTTACACGGAGAAGGAATACTTACGGACGGAAGAGCTCCACGAGGCAGGCTTCGATGCCGATGAGGCAGTCTCCGTCCAGAGCGAGGCCGTCGACAGCAAGCCGGCCAGTGCTCACGACGATTTCCCCAAGATGAACCAGAACCAGCCCCACCACCACCATCGCAGCCGTAGCGAGAATGCCTCGTGAGCTGCGTACTGCTGTTGACATGCTTTTTCACAAGAACCGTTTGTTTGCTGGGATACCCCTCTACCGAACTACCAAGGCAAGGCGCAAGGCGCGAGATTTTAGCACGGGACGGAAGGGAATGGAAAGGAATGGGCACGAGAAGAAAGTTTACTCTTACTTTCTTTTTGACTTGACATGTACAAGTAGTAGCGTAAGAGCAAGTGGAATGATACGTTTGCGAGAGTTTGAGTCTGTTTCTTTGCTACGACCCTTTTTCCCTTTTTCATTCCACTCCGCATTCATTCGACTTTCTTGCCATACCCACTGTAAGATATCAAACCTTTTCTCGCCATCGCCCGTGCGAGAGCCGTGTGGTATTAAGGTATTTCCCTCAAACTCCAGACATTTCCATCTCACAACCGTCAACGTTTGGGGACTTGGACCGGGGATCCTTGCGTGCCACGCTTCTCTCTCTCTCTCTTACCTCCCGCAAACCTTCCGGGGGGTAGCTCTTTTCTGCTTCCGGTGGAGCGATAGGGTTTTTTGTGCGAAAGGGAGGTGGGAATCTTGGTCTTGGTTTGGTATGAGGAGAGGAGAGGTGGTATGTTTGGTACTTTTTCTTTCTCTTTCTCTTGGTGTGTGTGGTTCAGGCAGGAAGGCAGCATATAAGATAGATATATAGCTAGTGCTTTCGGTCGCTGTGATCTATCTAGCTTTGTGGATTCTCGTACATCTAGGTGGGACACGGCAGCTGGAGCCTTATATGTAGTGACGGGTTTCCTTTCTGCTTCTTGCGGTATAGTGGTTGTTGTGGTGACGACAAACAACAAGAATGGCCACGACGCCCCAACTGACACCCGAGGAGAAAGAAGCGCTCGCGGAGCGCCAACGCCGCACGGCGGAAGCCCTCATCGGCGCGTACAAAGTCTGGTGCATCGAAGACGCCATGTCGCTGGATAACATCTTCCGGCGCCGCACGCCGGACTGCATCCAGCGGACGATACCCATCACGGCGGGCCTGCCGGACCGCAACAACGCGCAGTACCGCGCCTACCTGCAGGAGCTCGTGCTGCTGGACCTGGCGCCCTGGGAGGGGGAGATCAACATCGAACCGCCCATCATCTCGGACGCGGAGAGCCACGTGTGCGTCGTGCGCGTGCACGGGTGGGCCAAGACCGGGGGCGGGGAGATCCACGATCGCACCGTGTGGTTTTTGCACTGTACGGCAGACGGGGAGATGGTGTGGCGGGTGGATGTGTGGGTGGATACGCGGCAGTCGTTTGCTTTTCAGCAGAAGCATCGCGAGTGGCAGGAGTATCAGAAGAAGAAGGACAGTAGGCGGAAGAAGAGAACTGGAGGGGAGGGTGCGGCTGCTAGTGGTGGTGGTGGTGGTGGTGGTGGCAGGGATGGAGGGAGGAAGAAGAGTAGGAGTCCGAGACATGGGAAGAGTGGGAGTGTCAGTAGCAGTGGGAGTGGGAGTGGGAGTGGGCGGGGGAGCAAGAGGGAGTCTCCTGCGCCGGAGCGGACCGGGTCGAGGGAGCGGCAAGGTTGAATGTCATGCGAATGGTGGAAGATGTCGTTTGTCGGAGGAGGAGAAGAAGAAGAAGAAGAAGAAGAAGAAGAAGAAGAAGAAGCAGCCTATCTTCACCGTACCGGAAGGCCATCTCAAAGGCCATCGCTGCTGTATAGCTCTCCCGAGAAACTTGGATCCTCCAACTGCTGTAGACGGATAGAAGGAAGGCCCACATGGTGCGGGGCGAATGGAGAAACGATGTGGAAATCCATCCATGATGTCTGCGAGGGCGTAAGGGTCAGCTGATCGAAGGTGCACCACGACTGTCATGAGTCTCGCTCTGCTTTGATAGGAATGCATGATTGGAATACAAGTATGGGGGAAGAACAACGAAAGGTGAGGTGTGAAGTCTTCCCGGGGGAGTGGAGATCTTCACATGCACGTCATGCCACGGCGCTAAATAGTAAGGTATATGTATGATCCCTGGTGGGGTAAATGTTTAGTGGCATTGGCGTTCAGACGTCACCTCTTCAATGGAAATCGCAACTCCCTTCACGGCACAGATTTCGAGCTAATAGCATTGGTGATCAATCGACCAAGTGGCATCGTCCTTCCACATCATCATCATCAAGTCAAGGCACAGCAGCCAAGATGCCCTACACAACCGCCCCCATGGACAAGCTCCAACACAAGTCCCTCATAACAACGCCTTACAATCTCACATACAGCTACTATCTCAGCCCAAACTTCACACAGAAGCTCCATACCAATGTCCCGACTCTGATGTTCGTGCACGGCTACCCGGACGACGCATACATGTGGGCAGGTGCCGTTCCGACGTTCTTGGATCTCCCATACCCCTTCCTCATTCTCGATCTTCTCGGATTCGGAGGCTCTTCCAAGCCGGCGGAGCCAAGTAAATACAACTATCGGAACCAGGCGAATTCCATCGCTCAGATTCTGGATCAGGAAAAGGTTCCGAATAATGTGATTCCAATCGGTAACAAGCGTCTGCTCCTTGTCCTTTCAAACACCCGCTAATTCTCCACCTCGCAGGCCACGACTGGGGTTCCGCAACCTCTCAGCGCTTCTACCTCTACCACCGCCATCGCTGCATCGGCCTCTCCCTCCTCAGCCTAGCTTACCAAGTCCCCTCCCCAGAGCCCTTCAACCTGGACGCCGCCAACAAAACCACAGCCCAGAGATTCGGCTACCCACAGTGGGAATACTGGAATTTCTTCACTGCGCCCGACGCCCCGAACCAGATGCGCGACAACATGGAACGCTTCTTCGAAGTCAACCACGGCTTCCTGCCCGGCCCCAAGGGCGAAGACATCTGGATGCGAGAGATGTTTTGCGTTCCCGGTGCCATGGGAGAGTACGTCACCCAGACTGGAAAATGGGCAGGTCGAGTGGTGGAATTGAAAGATTACGCGAAGCGCGATCCGAGTATCTTTCAGCGATTCAAGGAGAGACTGTCCAGGGATGGCTTGGAAGGGCCCGTCTGTTACTACCATTCCCTCAAGAACAACACCATGCTGCAAGATGAACGGGCTCTCTGTCGGAACGCAGCAGACACGCGAATCACCGTTCCGCTGCTGTACCTTGGACAGACGGGCGACTGGGTCTGCCGGACGGATCTGATGAGAGATGCGGTCGATGCCGGGTTGGTCGAGGAGGCGAAATTGGAGGAAAAGGTTCTTGATGCGGGACATTGGGTGCTTTACGAGAAGCCGGAAGAAATCGCGGGATTGATCGCGGATTGGTTGCGGAGAAAGTTTCCGGTCGAGCAGTAGTAGCAAGGTCTTCGTATGGTCTATCTGATGGCATTGCGGAAGACGAAAGCTCACTTTCGACTCTATATTGTGCCCGAATTTCCCTAGATCGAGTTTGGCATCTGGACTGGATATGCTTCTCTGACCGATAAGACCTGAATCCTCGGAAATCTTTCGCTAGTTTTTAATTTTTTTAAAACCCGTCCCACTTGACTGCCTCTACGCCAAGGCCGACCTTGAAACTGACTCTGGAGCATGTCGTGAAAGGCCTGTAATTTGCCGGGTAGATGCGAGTGCAACTCTACGATGGAGAAGTATTCGGTCCGTGGGCCTGGCATTGAGATCTACACGTCCCTCTTGAGCTCCACGCTAGCAAGCTGGATCAGCATGTGAAAACGAGACATGGAAAGAGCGACTTGCGAGTTCCTTGGGTACTCTTCTTTGCCTACCTTATGCAAAGGTCATCAAGACTCAGAGTCCATAAAGTGCATTGACCTCCCATCCGTCCTGAGACCATCAAGTGAAAAAGTCCGGTTATTGACACAGGAATGCGTCTGATTTCTTCCACATCAGGCAGGGATGCAGAAAGATCTGTAGGGTCTGTCTGTTTCTTGATTCATATAAAAAACAGTAGGGGGATTTTTCTAGCGGCATAACCAGCTCATCGATCAAACAGCCAGCTGTCGTCCAAGAGGATTTAAAAGCAAAACGCCAGTCAAACAGACGAAAAGACACAGAAAAAACCAAAGCGTCTCATCCCCGACTATCGTCCAAAGCCCAACAATCTCGTCCGATACCAAGGGCCACTACCGGCAAAACGACTCCAGTATCGATCCTCCGCCAATCCTCTCTCAACGTCATCAGCCAACCAATCCAGCTGTCCCGCGAGATCCAACCACCTTCCCGCCGCCATCTCGTACTGCGCGTATTCATGGATGTACTCCGCGATATCCCGGATAGCCAGCGCGACTTTCTGTGGGGGAAAGCGGATGCCACCTCGAAAGAAATCGTGGATGGCTTCGAAAGTCGTGTTGTAGCGTCTGTAGAAGGGGAGGATTTCCTGTGGGACTTGTGTGTCAGTTGGGTTGGGTATGCTTCGATTCGGCTCGGGTGGGATCTCACATAGCCGGGCATGAGGTTTTGCCAGATATTGCACCATTCGCAGATTCCGTGGCGGTGGCCGGTGGCGTACGAGGGGACGAAGGGGAGGTATCGGAGTCCGTGTTGCGCCTGTCTGCCTTCGTTGCTGGGACAGTGGGGACAGCTGCACCAGTTAAACCCATAACGATAGCCACTCATATCGTCTCGATTCCTTCGCAACAAGTCGGGATTCACAAGGGGGTCGATCGTTTGGAGGTTGGCCCAAGGATTCGAAGATCAAGGGACATATCTGGCTGGGTAGCGACGAGATCGTGTCGCTGCGATTGGAGGTATTTATGTGTCTCCGAGCGGATAAGGCGAAACGCGAGGCCAAGGACGGGACAGATACTGCCCCTGTGATACTGGGAGGGAATATGTGTGAGGTGAAAGGAGCTTTCACTGACAATGACCTCGCTAGGCCATGCGGATTCCATGCAGGCTCCCGGTTCGCCCGGGTTCCCCGATGCGCGAACTACACGCACATAGCCCGCTCGTAGCAAACATTGGTTCAGGCAATGTGGCACGATGGGGTCCTCCAGAGTTCGTAGCCCACACAGACACCGACACTTCGGACCGTAGTTCCAGCTATGGTAACCACGACAGGGCAGGTAGATGCGTCCGAATCGTGCTTCTCCAGGCTAAGATATCGTTGCGGTCCGGCTTCGTTGATGACTGGCAGTCCAAAACACGCAGCTGCCGTGCGACAATCGCAACACAGCAAGCATGTCACCCGACTCGTTGCCTTATGGCCCTCGTGAGCGCACGTCGACGATGTGTTCCGGTATCGAAAATAGTACCCATGTCACGTCCCATGGGCTGAGAGGCTTTGACAAAGCCTCTGTGCTTTCGCTATCTTAAGGCCTGCCTTGTTACATTGTATCAGGTCTGGCCTTTGTCATCAAATGTGCCTCAGGTGTTTTACGTTGCTGAAGCGGGAACGTACTGTTTGTCTATACCATCCCCGGTCACCGGGATGAGGTGACTAACTAAGCTTGGCTTCCGAGATGCGAGCAATGACAGATGCTGCAAGGTAAGGCCTCGCAATCTCACGGAGAGGCACAGTCTCATCTTTTGCGTATGAACAACCAGAGCGACTGTCATTGGCCACTTCGTCTCGCCAAAAGCTTGGGTGCATCGATAGAGAACACCGTAATGAGGTAATGGTAGTCCCGATTCTGCCCAAGCATCGGATGGCACGAGAGACAAGTACATGCACGCACCTCATGATGATGCTGTAGGCTTTGGGGACCGCCAAGCGTGAAGATCGAATTGCAGAGATGGTATTTGTCGGCTCCACGTTACGTGGACGGTACGGACTCCGGAGCTTGACAAAGTTCGGCAGCTTGGGCGTACTGATCGACTGCCAATGCGCTGCTGCTAAGTTGCGTCATGTGTTATGAGTTCAGATTTGTACCTTTGCGCGGACCGAGAAGTCGAGAGGCTTTTGCGTGGGTGTCGCTGGAGGCAGACGATGAGCAATGGCGAAAGTTCGCAATGTCTGGAGAAAGTACTGTTCAGATCTTCAGCTACCCATGCATGACCACTGCGAAATGTAAAAATCCGTCCGTGTATGATGCTGCTTTACTGAGATCATCGAGACGGGTGGAGAGTGGAACTGCAGCGCCATGTAATACCGGACGAGCGTAGATCGGGCTACGCCGGCTTGGAAATATGGTCGGTAAGACGCTGTTCAGCGCAGTGCCTGTTGTCTGAGGTTGCCCCGAGGGCAAAAGCAAAGGGACGAGTGACTGAACTACTCGCATGTGACCAGTTTGTGCCTCCTCCGGAATGGTGTCAGTAGCCCATTGGCCGGCTGATGTCGGCAGATAGATTTTGATGGGTACATGGCGCAATTCCATCCCCGGTGGATTGAGAAGCTTCGTGTTCACGGTATTGAACAGGACCAGATTATCTAGTGCACGTCAATACACGGTCAGACAACAGCCAGATGAGCTGGCAAGGTCGTATCTCACGTTGTTGCACCGAAAGCCACAGATTATCCGAGTCTTCTTTGCTCATCAGCATGACAGTCCTGCCAGAGCCATTCCGGACAAAGTCGGCTTCTTTGACGGCGTTGACAAAGGTATCTTGCATGGTTCGACCTTCCGGATCCAGCTGTATGAGTTGCTCACCAGGAAAATCAGAGTAGTGGATGGTCAGCTTCCACGGGATAGGCGAGGACCGGGTGCTACTCTCGCCGGTGGCTTGAGATGCGGACACAGACTCGGGTTTTCCAGGCGGCTCCAGGTCAGCAGGTTCCGCTCCCGAGAACAGGTCGTAGAGCAGGCCTAGTGGGTAGTGCCATTTCAAAGGGACGCCTTCGAAGGACAGCCAAGCGTCATTCGACGCAACGTCCGCATTGATCAGACTGGGCGTGAAGAATGCGTGTAACTTGGGCAGCAGGAATGCGAGATACGACAGTCGAGGGTATTGAATGAGATACGGCTCCGACTCATCGTAGGTGCGGCAGTCGGATGCTGCGAGCCGTATCTCCAGAGGTAGCGATCCGCTCCATATCTTGGCTTGCAGGTTGGCGATGCTACCAGAAGACGCAGGCATCACCGCATATGCTGACGTATCTCAGGGCGTTGGAGTGGAAAGAGCATGTTGATGCAAATGCTGAGGTAGAAGCGCGATATCAGCGGCGTTGAGATGTTGTGAATGGTGCCTCAGGCCTCAACGCGGGATCGGCCGGCGAACTTGCTCCCCAGCTCTAAGCTCCCTCAATCACATGCAACGACTTCGATTATACCTATTCTTGCCCATTCTCTCCGTCCACCACGTCACAGACTCCTCCGCCATGACTTCTCTTCTCCTGCAATCACCAACCTCCGCAGACCCCCAAACAGCACTCCGACTCTCCCAACAAGCCCCCAGCTTCTACAAATCACAAGCAGCATGGTCCCTCCCCTACCCTCTCAGCCTCCTCATCAACAACGACTCCCAAGAGAAATGGCAAGCATACGAAAACATCCTCCTCACCTGCATCCGCACCGGCGACGACGAATCCGCATACCTCTACCTCGAAGAACTCACAGATCGCTTCGGCCAGGCCAACGAGCGAGTCACGGCGCTCCGAGGCCTCTACGTCGAAGCGACCGCCAAGACAGACGACGAACTACGAGCCGTGATGACGCACTACGAATCCATTCTCAAAGAGGACCCCACCGTGTTTTCGATCCGGAAACGTCGCGCTGCGCTGCTGCGTTCCATGAATAAGATTCCGGATGCCATCACTGCGCTCACGAATCTGTTGGACACTTCGCCGACGGATGCGGAAGCTTGGTCGGAATTGGCGGATATCTACATGACGCAGGGACTCTACGAGCAGGCGGTGTTTTGTCTGGAAGAGGTACTCTTAATCACACCCAATGCGTGGACCATGCATGCGAAACTGGGCGAGGTGTTGTATTTGCAGGCGAAAGCAGGAGAAGCGGGGCCTGAGCAATTGAAAGGTCTCTCGGAGACGATGAGGAGGTTTTGTAGGAGTCTGGAACTTTGCGATGATTATTTGAGGGGGTATTATGGCTTGAAACTGGTATGGCTAGGAATCATGCGCTTGCTACAGAAAGTGAGGATTGCTAATTACCGTCTTGATAGACCACGAATCGTTTACTTGATGCGCTTTCGAGCACCAAGAAATCGCAACAAGTCTCTTCGGACCCCGCAACGGGCGACCTCGCTCCACCCTCAATCGAATCGGTCACCAAGCTGAATGAGCTCGCAACTGCAAAGCTGGCAGAAATCGTACGGAGAAGCGCATCGGGAGAGAAAGGCTGGGACGGCTACAGTCCCTCAGAACTCATCGCGGCCCGTGAATTACTCGATCGAGACACCCAAAAGATTCAAAGATGATCTGGCTTCCTCGCAACTGTCGTGGTATCTAGCTCAAAAAAATCAATGATATCCCCCAACGCCCCATCTCAAGCCTACCCCTTTCAACTAATCGCATGCGCAAAGACCTTCTGCGCCAACTCCGACAACAACCGCATCTTCTCCGGCTGTTCCAGTTCCTGGTAAACGCTATACACGCTCTTTCCCCTCTTGTCCCTTATCGCTCCCAGACGATTCCCTGCCACAGCGCCCGCCACCGCTCCCGGGAAATTCGCGACGATGAAACCCATGGCGCCTCCGCTCGCGGCTCCCACAAGGGACCAGAACACTTTCGTAGGCCGATTCCCCTCATCCGCCATCCCCTCCTCACGCATCATCTCCTCAAACACACTCCCAAACTGCTCATTCGAATAGCGATTCGCATCTTCCTCATTCTTGGCCGCGCCGCCGAACCCGAACGCGCTCCAGGGGAAGCCCCCACCCCCACCAGCGCTGTTGGCTTCCGGCCGCGGCACTTCTTCATCGGCATCCTGCGCCGGAGCATCCTGTGACGACGGGAACCCATGGAAGGAATTCCTCGTGACGTCGTAGTCCCGCTTTCGCGTCGCGTCGGAGAGGGTGTAGTACGCGTCGTTGATCTGTTGGAATTTCTTGGTGCGGGTGGTGCGTTCGGGGGAGTCGGCGGGGACGCGGTCGGGATGGTGGCGCAGGGCGGCCTTTTTGTAGGCGTCGCGGATTTGTTGGGGGTTTGCGGTCGAGGGGATTTCGAGGGTTGCGTAGTAGTCTACTGGTGGGGCTTGCGGGAGCAAGATGGAGATGTTAGTAGAGGGAAAGGGAGATGTGGATTGGAATGTTCTTTCTTACCGGACATGGTGGGGGTGTTTGTGTGTGTGTGTGTGTGTGTGTGTGAGTGAGACGAGGAGTCCTTTATTTGATGTAGGCGTGGTGTATATAGGTTTGTGTATGTTCGTGGAAAATGCTAAGTGTACATCATGTAACTCGGAGGTCGCATGTCGAGCTGAGCTCATACGTCATCGCGAGGCCATGCGTGATAAGGTAGGCATCTACATGTAGGACCCTGAATCCGAGCACGATCTCCATCTTCACGGCTTGTATTTGTGAATGAAAACAAAATTCGCCGCATTACCCTCGAGACTCATGACCATTCAGAGCTATGGGCATGTAGGGAAATATATCAGCGAACACTTCAAGTCCCGCGTGCTGACCAACAGATTGTCACGTGTACAAGTTGCTGCGACGAACGAACCACACATCTCGAGGGCCCGGCAAAAGCAGGATAGCGCTGAAAAGGACTACTGGACGATGTCAGGAGTGCAGGTGTACAAGCGACCTGCCAAAAACAGTCGTGACATTAAGATGAACACCACGTCCAGAGCAATAGTGCAGAGAGGTACCGCTCGCGGAACCGGCTGAAAGCATCCATGGTTTGCTTTTTTCGAGCACATGTCCATGGACGCCTCGTTGCGACCCCAGCGAGGCGAGACGGCAACACAGCGAGACGGAAGTCCATACTCGGCGGATAGAGGCACCGATCCCGTGGTACCCAGCAAGGACGTGTGTAAGGCATGACGATTCCGAGATTGATGCGTCTGGACAGTGAACCTCGCGTCAGCTTCCTGTCGGCATCATGTACACGCTGGTACTCCGCGAATTATCTACGGCAAGGAGAGCGTGCTTGATGCAGATTGAGCCGGAGTCGCGTCCTGCGTGCAAGAGCGATCTCGTTGACCGCTTATCCAGAGACGTGTTTCACGCGCCAGTAAGGCGTTCGCTGGCCTTCGCACATGGCTCAGGTTTACGGCTCGAGACGTTGCTCGACCTGGCTGGCCTGAGACATGTCTTGCAAGACAGAAGGTCCTCATCGATTTCACTTCAATCCCCGGGGGCAAAGCAGCGCAGCCAAATCGTCAACAGCGAAAGTCCTCGCTCGGCGAATCCTAGATTTGGGGTCCGACAATCAGTACTTATTCGTCGCGTCGTGGCGCCTTTCCGATATCAGCGGAAAGCAGAGGTGCTACGTATGTGTCGTGGTAAGGCGCAATCGTCGTTGAGAGACACATACAGTGATCGGTGGTCGACAATGGCCATGAAATCCAGGCACTCTCTACGGCATAGTCTGTTTAGCGATTTCTACAGTCGCCGGAAAGTCAGCTTCAGTGGAGCACCTCGCACTGTTGTTGTGTGCAAAATGCGTCCATCTCGACAGTTATCTCTCAGATTGGAAAAGGAAGTCTGGATGATCCTTGTCAGTAGATTCCCACGGGAAGACCCTGCCATGCATTGCGCTCTATCTCTCCCAACCACTTCTCTGGGTCAGATCTCACGAGATTTTGTAAAGCGCATCTGCACATGCACATTGATGCACATGTCGATTGCGCTGTAAGGGTATATCCGGAGTTCCAACGTTCGACTTCAGGTCCTGCTAATAACAGTTTCGACGTGGACGTTGTGAGCTCGCCGACCCTTCGTCCCTTGCGACGGGCTGTGAGCTTGTACGCAGGCGATAACATAGAGGCTTTGCGATCTGTTGTAAGGGTTGGAGGTTCAACAGATACAGATGACTCAGAATAGAGACTTTGGTGATGTTGGAATGTGCTTCACGAGTTCGCTGGAAGTAAAGAGCCTGGAGGCTAGATCCCCAGAAATGCGTATCAGAACTCCAATGTGCTGGATAGAATGCTCATTTCGGGTGGAGTGCTCGGTCCGCAGAACAGCGTCGATGCAAGAGCCTGTGCTGTAGAAGGGTAAATTGCATCCGTCGAGCGAAGCGAGGCCCATTCACTCACGGCAGCACCGCGGAGGCACGCTGAGCGCAGATCTTGCCAAAGGGGGAAGCTGCGACAATGAGGTTTCTCGACGAGATGCAAGGCCGGCGCTGCTGCGATAATTCGACTTGCTCCCGCCTTGGAGAGTTGTGGTCGCGTTGCTTGCAGCAAGGAAAGGATCTGCCAGGTGCATCCATGGATGCTACGGTCGCTTAGGCACAGCAGAGGAGATGGTTCCGCAAACGATGCCGAACAAGTAGACAGTTGGAAGTCCCGCAAGGTTGAGGGCAACGTACGAAGCCAAGATGGATAGCACGGCTGGTCGGCGACGGGCGCAAGAGGCGGTCGCTGGCGAAGTGAACATTTCCCCACTGTCTAGCATGCATGTGAAACCTACTTCCACGTTCTAAGCAGGGGCCTCGGATCACGTCGTGGCACAAGCTGCGTGCTCTCGAAGCGCACGACAGTATGTGGTACAGTAGTGGTGAAGGTGTGGGTGGGTGGTAGAGTGGAGACAGCTCATCGCACATCGCGCGCCGCAGAGAACCCTGGCCTGGCAGGCGAGAAGAAATCTGCCGTTATACGCACCAATGCACACAGCGCCGGGATGAGGAATGACAAGCACTCCCCAAGCACAAAGCGCAGTGGAGCCCTGGCTGAGCGGCCGAATGACAGCGTCGGAGGGAGCAGTGTTGTGGTGTGGAGGTGAGGCGCTGCAGCTGGCTGAATCAGGGGAACCCGAGCCGCGTCCTGCGCCGCATCGCTGGGAGATCCGGTAGAATGGCTGATGGCGATCGAATGGTTGCAGCCGCGATATTGTCACATGTCCAAGCCGCAAGGCGTGGATTCGGAGGACGGCGACGGCGGCAGAGAGGCATACAGTACTCATTTTGACAGCGCTCGCCGTCCGTGACAGCGTCGGCCGGGGCGAAGCACGGATTGCACAGCATCGCGGTGCGCTGGCGGAGGGTGGTTGGCCCTTGTCGCGGAGAAGATTGAGCGGACCCGACTGGCCAGCGGGGGACGGAGCATGCATCTATCTGCATGCGCGTTGCCTGTAGGTGCAGATAGGTGATCCGTAGCACCGGATCGCAGGCGCAAAGCAGGCAGGAGGAGGAGGAGAGGGTCGAGTGGTCTGCCATCGTCTTTATTGCTGGCCGCCGACGGACGGACGAGATTGCGTGGTGCGTGGTGCGTGGTGCGTGGTGAATGGGGAATGGGAGTGCATGTAGTAGGCGGCATCGATCGGTGGAAGGAAGTCAGTCCAAGGTTAGTTAAAAAGAGGACCGAGCCTGGAGACTGGAGCTTCTCTCATGCCGCTGACACTAGCGCCGTCGACCACCTCCACCTCCCAACTCCAACTCCAACTCCCTTACTGGACCTCTGCACCTCTGTGTGCTGGGTCGTCTGGTCGGCACGGTGCGCCATAGCGGTACTCTCCACCTTGTTGAACGTCTCTGCCCCCTTCCTGTAAGACCCAGCGCGCATGGCTTGTCTCGCTTGCCTCGACTTGAATGGCTGATCTTTGCGCGCAGCACGCCGCTGTGTAACGCGCCAGGCGCACCCTCGCAGACACTCATCGGTGCACTTTACTCGTCATATTCTCCGGGCTGGGCTCCACCCTCACAGCGCCGCACGCAGCATTTGTGACGGCTTTCCGCGACGCAGATTGAGAGCAGGAGGATGAGCGTGGAAGAGCAAGGGTGGCAGACATTGAGATTCGAGGCCTGACACCTGCATCGAGGCCACACACGGTCCCGGTCTCGACCGTACGGCGTGGGTAGAGGTGACATTGGAGAAGGAATCATCACCTTGTGTTACCTTCCATTCGACCTACACCCGGGTCGCTGGGTCGATAAGGTATTACGGTATCGTGGGCCTTGGAGAAAGTCAAACGTCCACCTCCACCACACACATCTCCGCCATATCAGCTTGCTCCCGCCCGCACCACGCATCACGCCTCACGCCTCACGCCTCACGCCTCACGCCTCACGCCTCACGCCCAATTCCAATCCTCTCCGCCTGTCGCTCCCTACTGCTCTGCCCTCCCACTCTCTCCGCGCACCATACCGACTGCCTCGCCGCCCTGCCTGTCTGTCTGCGCCTTCCCGTCTCCCACGATCACGAGCACTCCTCCCTCGCTGCCCAACCCAACCCAACCCAACCCAACCGCACCGCAACCGTACCTGCTGCCACTTCAGCACCCATCATGCAAGCGCAGTTGCCGCCCTCCCAGCAAAACTTCCATTACAACGGGCAGCCGCCTTCTTCTCAGTCACAATACTCCGCCAACGGTATACAGTACGACGCTCGGTCCCAGCCCCAGCAGCAGGACTATACCAACGGCTACGCCCACGAGACAAACATGAACCCATACCAGCAATATGCTGGAGGCTACGGACAGCCGCCTCAGCAGCCACCCCAGATGCCGCAGATGCCGCCCGGCCAGCGCACATTCATGCCCAATCAGAATCAGCTTCCGCCGTTGACCCCAGGAGCGCCTCCGGGCGTGCAAATGCCACCAGTGCGAGAAGACTCTAACGCGTACACCACTGGCTCTGCTAACCATGCTCAGCCTATGGCCTACACCGCTGCTCCGCCCCAGCCTATGCCGCAACAGCCTCAGTCATTACTACCGCCTACCCGACCAACCACCAACCAGGCACAGGAGAAGAAGCTGTCGTCGAGTAGTTCGCGAGAAGGCTATCGATATTCTCTCGAAGTAGTACAGCAGCCCCAACGCGCCAGAATGTGCGGTTTCGGCGATAAAGACCGCCGGCCCATCACGCCGCCTCCCTGCGTGCGACTGGTCATTGTGGACGATGCTACGGGACGAGAAATCGACGTCAGCGACATCGCATCCGATCCCTCCTTCTTTGTGCTCCAAGTCGACCTCTGGGCGGAGAATGCTGACCGGGAAGCCAACGTCGTAAGAGCTTCCTCAAGCTCGCCCGCCGTCAGTATCAGTAGCGCAACTACCACATCATATCCGCCTCCTGCAGAGCACCGCCCGATGCACGAACAACCAGTCATGTACCTCCATCCAGAAACAGGCCAACCTGTCTACGGAATGCCGTATGCCATGCAGCTCAGTAGGCCGGGCATGATGGCCCCTCAGTACCCCGGTCTCTACTATCCTCACCCCTCGGGACAGATGACCTATATGCCACAGACGCAGGCTTCGAGCAGTGCTATGTATACGCGCAACCTGATCGGGAGCCTGACCGTCAACGCGGCACGTCTTACCGATCCAGCTGGGAAAGCTGGCTACTGGTTCGTCCTGCAGGATCTGAGTGTTCGGACAGAAGGTCACTTTCGGTGCGTCAATTGAAGTTCGTCCATTGCTTGGAGTGTGTGCTTACGATTTCTAGGCTACGGATGAGTTTCATCGATATCAGCAATCACGGTGCTCCTGGTGTCAATCGTGGCAAGGCGCCCGTTCTGGCTTGGACATTCTCGGACAGATTTCAGGTCTATTCCGCGAAGAAATTCCCTGGTGTCATCGAGAGCACCCCGCTCAGCAAGTGTTTCGCGGGCCAGGGCATCAAGATCCCCATCAGGAAGGACAACAAAAACGACGCCAACGACGACGACGATGGTGATTAGATGGGGGAACTTCAATGCGCCGCAGAAACACTCATCTTTCATAACAGTCGTTTCCTTTCACGCCGCTGCCTATGCACTTTGGTCCATGGCGTCGCCAGATGTGCGTATTTGCAGACTGCGCGTCAGCTCGGACGTCAGTTGATCGGCAGTCAATGGTCGGGTGGAATCGAGGATATCGACGTCCGAACTTGCCCAGAGACATTCACCCGATGGATCCAGGGCCACCACGATTTGTCGTTGGTGAGCAAGCGACAGAAGGAACTCATCGAGCTGGTCAATCGTCTTTCGCTCCACACCATTGGCGTTGAAGATTGGGAGGATGCGTAGCAGAGAAGCGTCGAATCCCTGCAAATTTTCGCTGCTGAGAGTTGGGTTTGAGTCGAGAATTATGGCGACGGCTTGCAGATTTGGAGCGATGGCATACAGGGACGGCAGCGCTTGACTTTGGTTTGGAGAAGCGCAATTTCTCAGCTCATCGGTTGTTCGATATCATGTGTTTAACGCGTTGATGAAAAGGGGACAAAAGGGGGCAAAGCAAGCATATCGGCGTTTGGGAATGGGACTTGATCGGGAGGGAAAGGGGGAGATGATTACCACAGTGCACGATGCAGGCCACCATCGTGTCGAGAGAGTACAGCTAGAATGACCGGAGAGGTCCTTGGGTCATAGCGTGAGAAATTTGACGTTACGAAGAGATGTGTGTATGCCAGGTCTTGTAGCAAGGTCTGCGCGTTGTAGTGAGGTTTCTTGCGGGTGATCGCATCGCCTTGGGGATTGCGTAGGCGTTTGGTTGGTGATGGTGTAGATGGTATCGGAGTTGGGTAGTGCGTTTCGTTGTCGTCATCTGGTTCTTGATATTCGGTGCGGGTACGTTTTCGGGATGATGATGAGGTTGTGGGTGTTGAGGGACACATGTTGTCTTGCATGGCATGGTCCATACTGAAGCCCTGTAGTCGCGATTGCATGGTGCAGGAGGAGGAAGACATGGTCTAAGGTACTGTGATCGGGCCGCCGTTGACGTGATCTGTGCAAGCGAATCCGAGATGCCCCACATTTTCCCGGGCTGCGCTAGGTTGACATGGATTACTCCCACGTCCATCTTCCGTACCACACATCTTCGCTGTCACGAGACAACCAGACGGTACGACACCTCCCGCCGCGAGTCAGTCAGACAGACGCCAGGCAACTGCTTCGCATTCGATGCTTCGTTGAAGAGAAGACCAACTGGAGAGAACGAGCAGCAACATGCTGGGTTCAGACATACGATCCAGAGGGCTTTGCGCATACAATCGGAGGGAGCTTAGCTGGACGATACCGAACACACACACATAGCGTGACCGATTGTCAAGATGTTCGAGAAGGACATCTACCAGCTCATCCGCGGCTTGCGAGCCCACAAGGGCAACGAGCGGGAATACATCCAAGAAAGCCTGCGAGAATGTCGCAAGGAAATCCGAAGCCAGGATATGGACCAGAAAGCCACGGCGCTGCTGAAATTGGTGTACCTGGAAATGTTTGGGCACGACATGTCGTGGGCGTCGTTCAATGTGTTGGAGGTCATGTCTTCGCCGAAGTACCTGCAGAAGAGAGTGGGATATCTGGGTGCGGTGCAGAGTTTCCGGCCGGATACGGAGGTGTTGATGTTGGCGGAGAATTTGTTGAAGAAGGATTTGGGGTCGCCGGATAAGATCATGATTGGGTTGCCTCTGGTTGCGATACCGCACGTCATCAATCCTTCCATGGCGAATTCCTTGCTTGCGGATTTGTTGATGCGGCTGTCGCATTCGAATGCTGCGATTCGCAAGAAGACGATTGTTACGTTGTATCGCTTGGCCCTGGTGTACCCAGAGACGCTGCGGCCTGCCTGGCCAAAGATCAAGGAGCGGCTTCTGGATGAGGATGAGGATCCTACTGTTACGGCCGCGATTGTGAATGTGGTTTGCGAGCTGGGATGGAGGAGGCCACACGACTTTTTGCCGCTTGCGCCGCGGCTGTTCGAGCTTCTTACTGCTGGAGGAAACAACTGGATGGCTATCAAGATCATCAAATTGTTCTCCGTCTTGACACCGCTGGAGCCACGATTGGTCAGGAAGCTCCTCCCTCCGTTGACATCGATTATCAAGGAGACTCCCGCGATGAGCTTGCTCTACGAATGCATCAATGGTATCGTTCAAGGAGGTATCATGGAAGCAGCGGAAGGCACAACCGAGGGCGACGAGATTGCTCGTCTTTGTGTCAACAAGCTGAGAGCAATGCTGGTGGTTGAAGGCGATCCTAACCTGCGATACGTCGCTCTCTTGGCTTTTGGCAAGATCACAAGCTCGCACGCGGACTTGGTCGCGCAACATCAGGACGTCATTCTGGAATGTATTGATGATGCCGACATCTCGATCAGGACCCGAGCACTTGACCTCGTGGTTGGGATGGTGAATGCGAACAACCTGCAGTCGGTTGTGGAGAGGTTGTTGAGACAACTACAAACAGCCGGGAAGGCATCTGCTGTAGACGCGCCGTACAACGACAGATCTATGGACGACGGCGTGATCCCAATGGCGGATGAAGACGAGGATGAAGCTCACGCGAAGATCAAGTCTCGTGAGGCCAGGTCGCCACAATCTCCGCCACTGCCTGACGACTACCGTACATCGGTCATCGAACGAATACTTGACATGTGCTCCCGCGAGACATATGCCAACATGAACGATTTCGAATGGTACATTGGAGTGCTGACAGAGCTTGTCAAGCAGTGTCCTTCATCTGCTTCTCCTGGCGGCTTCGGTGCAAGACAGGTTGGGACTGCGGATGCTATTGGATCGGAGCTGCTCAATGTCGCTGTGAGAGTGAAAGCCGTCCGACCTGAAGCTGCGGCGGCTGCGCAGTCGCTTCTGATGATTGATAGGCGAGAAGAGCTCTTCCCGTGGGGCAGCAACAGTGGCCTAGGTGTTCTATCAGCCGCTGCCTTTGTCGCTGGGGAATATGCAAGCATGTTACCTGATCCGGAAGGCGTCCTGACTTCATTGCTGCATCCTTCAAGCTCGCAGCTGCCTGCGGAGGTACTGAAAAGCTACATTCAAGCGATACCCAAGGTTTTTGCGACCTTGACTAGCAGCCAGCAAATATCTTGGAGTTCCACCCGACGAGGCACAGTGACGCTTCTGGTCGCCCGCATCATCCACTTCTTGGAACCACTAACGCTACATCCCAATCTGGAAGTCCAGGAGCGTGCTGTTGAGTACTTGGATCTTACGCGTCTTGCATCTGAAGCTGCCACCAGTCAGGAAGCAAATAGCGATGGATATGCTGAGCCGCCACTCCTGTTGACACAAGCGATACCGGCACTCTTCTCTGGTATGGATCTCAATCCTGTCGCCGCAACCGCCATCCGAAAGGTACCACAGCCGGAGGATCTCGACTTGGACATGCCGATCAACAGCAGCCTGCAAATGCTGCTCAGCCAAGCAGAGTACGACACTGAATATGAAGATAGCAGCAACGAGGTATACAGATTCTATCACGAAAAGCCGGCGGCGGTATCAGTGGATTACCAGAAGCCTGCCGCGGAGCTACTCGAAGCACCTCGCTCGAGTGAAACATCATCCTACCAAGAAGCTGACGTGGACGTCGATCGCGAGAGCCTGCTCCGAAAGAAAGCTGAGCGCAGGGAGCGATATAAAGATGACCCATATTATATTGACTCGGAACGCAACTCCGGCACTTCTACGCCAATGCATCAGATTCTGAAGAATTCAAACGGAGAAGAATTGGACGTCGACTCAATACCAGTAATGGAGCTCAATCTTGACAGTCAAGCCTCTGCACCTATCCAACGTCAGCCCATACCCTCGCAGCCGACACGAAAGCCTAAGAAGCATTTCGAGATCGCCGCCGATGAGACTCTGGGCGGCGATGACATACCCAGTTACTCGAGCAGTCCCGCAAAGGCGTCTACCATTTCGCGAGGGAAGAAGTCCCTCCTCCAGCTGGACAGCAGCGGCCTTTCATCTCTGTCTCTCACCGAGCCTTCCGCGTCGCTGAATGGTGGGAGCAAACTGGACGCTGAACGCCGCGCAGCGGAAGAAGAAGAAATGCAGAAGGCCATCAAAGAAGTCGAAAGATTGCGATTGGAAATGCAACGGGCTCAAGAACGCATTCAACCGCGCGACATGCCCGAGGAAGGGACTGTTGTCAAGCGGAAGAAGAAGAAGACGAAGTCGAAGGTTGAATTCAAGGAGGATGAGGGGATGCCTTCTGTGGAGGGGAATGGGGAGGATGCGGACGCCGTTGTTAAGAAGAAGAAGAAAAAGAAGAAGCGGAAGGATGGGGATGGGGAGGGCGAGGGGAAGGAAGATGGAGAGGAAGATGCGCCTTCGGTGAAGGTTAAGAAGAAAAAGAAGAGGCAGGTTACGTTTGGGGATGATGATGATGATGATGATGATGATGATGATAAGAATGGTGCTGAGGGTTGAGGGGTGAGAGAGCGGGGCGAATATCTAGCTTTTTCATCGACAGGATTCCAAAGCCTTCTCGAATCCCAAAATGTGGAAATATAGAATACCCCTTCTCGCCTCGTGTCTACTGGGTGCTTGACAGGTACTGTTTCTTCTGTGTGTTCCTCTTTCTTCACTTGTCGAAAACTATCCCGCGGTCTGGATCAAGACTATGGGCCATCTCTGTCTGCTCTTCCAATTGGAATTGCTGGACAGATTATATCAAGAAATACAGATTCCACCGAACGCCATATGCTTTACATGCAGGGGCAAAGTTCTCTACATCGCTAAACTATCCCAACGAAATTCCTCGGAACCACAGTCCTACACACGCTTTTTTTTTCCCGCCGAAAGTGCAAGATCTCCCCGTGCCAAATGCGCAAGGGACTTTATGCTTATTATTTATTCTGGGTTTGTTGTGGGCATGGCGAGATTATTATTCTGTCACGGGCTTAGCAACGAATTTTTCGAAGACAATGCTGGTGAGGATGTGGTGTGGTAGGTACTTGGCTTATGGCGCTCCTTCGACGGAGAGGAGAGAGAGAGAGAGAGGGAGGGGAGGTGAGCGAGGTGGACATGGACGGTTTTTTTAGGACGTGGTGTGGAAGTGATGAAGGAGATTATATTTTCGCGGGGAAAGGTGCTCAGTAGTAGTAGTGAGCGGGGATGACTCCTGAGCTGATCAGTAACTGCGGATGGGTTCCAGATTGAAGCGGTGGCTTGAAGAGCAGTTTGCCATTTCCAAACTGATGGCCGCTCGCGAGCTGGCTTGCTCACCTCATCGCTCGCTTGACAGAAGCCGCGGGACCGGCGGAAACTTTTATCCGAATCGCCTAGTTTGATCTTGGGAGGAGGGTGGAAACTCATGGTAGTCTGGCTTTCTCAGAAAATGTAGGATTTCCTATGCCACCGGGCAAACTTGTTTGGCTGTTTTCCTTGATTAGCTATGCGGAGATGGAAAGCTGTTCTGAAAGAATGCGTTTGGCTCCGGATTGCAATTGCAACCTGGCCTCCGTAACATTTCGTCTTAGCTCCGATGGAGAGAGCTCTCCCGTTCTGCGAACAAGACATCAAGGTAAGCAGGAGCTCTGCAAAGCCTCGAAAGACGGTCGTTCCACGGGGATGAAACTGCGACGCTACCGGCGAACCTTCAACGTCTCAATTGTGTCGGCTCGCTCATCTGCTGTCCAGCACTTTCCTCGTCCCTTCCACAATCAACGTATGCTCAACCTTATGCAACCTCTCCTGCAAATCCTCCAACTTCCCACACCCTTCAATACTAACTTCCTCTTGCACAATCGGTTCCCCCAAATCGACCTCCGCAATCACATGATGTATCATGATTCCCGTCTTTTTCCGCTTGCCCGCTTGGAATTCTTCCCATGCCCGCTCAATACAATGTGCTCCGATCAGATCTCCGTGTAGAGAGGGGTGTACGTTTATGATCGGGACTTTTGCGTCTTGCAGCGGGTTGAGGAGGGAGGGTGTTACTATCCGCATGAATCCCGCACAGACTACGATGTCCGGTTTTGAGGAGAGGATGTGTTTGGATAGATCGGCATCGTATGCTTTTCGTCGTTCGGAGCTGAAGGGATCGGATGGGTTGTCGGGGAGGTGTTTGTAGGGTACTATATTGTGTACCAGTCTCGGGATCCGCGCTTTCTCCGCTCGTTGTAGACCGAACGCATCTTTGCGGTCCGATATGACTTTTACGATTTCCACGTTCGGTAAGGGGGAGGTGTTTGAGGCGTCGATGAGGGCTTGGAGATTGGAGCCATTGCCGGATATGAGGACGGTGATGCGTCGTGGGGAGGACATGGTGCGAGGAGCAGCGGGGAGGTGGCTTTTTGTGACGGGCTGTCGTGTCCAAGCAATTTTTCGCGGCGGACGAAGAGGTGACGTCGGTAATTGGCGGGGCTGGCGGGGTATGGGGCGTCCATTTGAAATGCAGGAACCTGGCTAGCGTTACCGCGTTGCCGTGTTTAGCGCGAATACCCGAGATCTGATCGATGACGCTACCTGCAAGGCGGAATGTTTCGAGGCGCTTGAAGGGACTTTCTTTCCCTTCTGAAAAATGAAAACGAATTCGAGCCATTCATCTGATCTATTCAACGACGACCTATCCAATCTCACACAATCTTCACTACCGATTGCTGCGACACGACGCGACCCGAGACGACCATGTCCAAGTTCCTCACCCCACGAAACGCAGCGATCTTCGCAGGGGTTGCCGGCGCCGCCGTCTTCTTCTTGCCCAGCGCGAAGAACGCCAAACCGTATGCGTCGAACAACGGTGTGAACTGAGCTCTTGCGGACTAATCAGTGATGACAGTATCGAGACCTTTGGCACCCAGAACATCGCAAATGCCTATTCAAGAGGTGGTGGCAGCCACACACATCTCCCCGGAGTAGCAACGCCAAGAGGTACGTCGCGCACTTTCACGAGCAGCGACCGTCTCCACGCCGTTTCTCGCTCGCACCAAACCAATCTTGCATTCCAAAGTCCCCAAGTCTAACAGTGTCTGCGTCCAGGTAACGCTGAGCAAACCGCTTCTTCCCAAATAAACCCCAAAGGCATCGATACACCGCACTTCATCGAAAACGTCGCCGACCAGAAAGCCCACGACCAAGCCGGTGTGAAGAAAATGCTCAATAAGTCTGTGTATGGACAGGAGAAGGGCAAGTAAGAATCTTCCACTTCCTCGTCCAACGATTCCTGGTCTTCGGTGGGAAGGCAGAGTGCGGAACCTGGACGGAGGTATAGGCGGCACAAAAAGGAGAGGAGGAGAGAAGCCGCGAGGAAAAGGGCTGCCGCGGCTGCATCTTCTTCCACTGAGGCATATGATCTGTTCGACGAGACGGATTGATGTGGAATAACAGTACCTTCACCTACGGAAAAGAATATGCTGCATTTTGGTAATGCCGGTTCAGCGGATACAGCGGATACAGCGGATAGAGAGCATTGGGTGCGCAGTTTGGGCGTGTACATACGGTACCTTCCTACGAGAGGGTGAATTCGGCAGTATCTCCATTTTTCGGAGCTTTTCTCGAAAATTTCAAGGTACGTGGCTGCTCACTTCTCTAACTGACAGCGCATTGTATCCTCAATCATCGCATCGTTCGCGTATCATGTACTCTGCAACGGCTCTGCGGTCTTCCGCTGACTGGCAGTAACATTCATGAGTCTCCGAGCATCCTCAATAACCCCAAGAAGATATCACTCAATGCTGGCCTACATGCTCCGTCTGGACCGCCTTCTCGTCCAGCTTCGCAAGAGCCTTGAAGCGAGCCTCCTCGTCGTAAGGACTGGATCACTCTGATATGATTCTTACTCAGCCCATGCAAGCTCTCGGCTCGTCAAAGAACATCGAATCAATTTGCCCGAGCGTACGGCCAAGAACTTCGACGCAGAAGCAATACGTCAAAGGAACGAAGACAGCGCACACAATGGCCCAGATCCAGGAGTAATTACTACGAAGAGGACGTCAGTCACCGCGAGAATCAAGGGGGGCTTTCAGGGACTAGGGCTTTACCCTCCAATCCTATTCAACCCAGTGGGAGCAACCATAACCGCAGCGAAGTTGCTCATCCGGTGCTTGAGGACTCCACGGCCGTGGCCTTGTTGCAGACTCGCAGGGGCTGCATTTCTGCACTATATGACCGAGATACCGGGAGGTTTCCGAGGCTGAAGCAGTCGAGCTACAGGAACATAAAGGCTACAGCTGCGGCGGCAGAAGTGTAGGATTGATTGATGAGACAGCCTGCTACTACGGCCATGCAGGCGGCACAGCCGATGGAGGAGAAGATGACGGTCCAGCGACGGCTGATCTGTGAAGGGGAGCAATCCGTCTTTGGGAGATGAAAGTGCGGTGCGATTTTACTGCTGACGTTATCGATGTAGAAGTATGATGGCCCGGAGAAAATGGCATATTGCGTGAACGCCACCGCAGCCAGGAAGAGAGGAGCACATGGAGGTCCGAGAAGTCGAGGTATGGTTGGTAAACCCAATTCCCGTCGGGTCGCCTACCCCACACCCACACACACCCACATGCGGAGAGAAACGGGGGGGGGGTACCTTATCACAAGTCCAGCACGTCGTTTGTCCGGTATCCCAAGCCCGACGGCAAGACCCAGTCAGTAAGTACCTCAAAGTATCTCGGGGATGCAGATTCAAGTCCATGAGGCGGTTTCTTTGTCACTGAAACATTTCTGGATTTGTGTGTCGGCAGGTTATTGGGGGAGGGAGAGCAATGCTCGAATTGTTATGGGGGAGAGATTTTTGGGATTGGGGATTGCGAATGACGACGACGACGATTGCGAATGACGACGACGACGACGACGACGACGATGGGAACGACGAGAGGGTGCATTGGTATTGGCCGGGTGGTGAGGTCTTCCGACTATGGTCTGCTTCTGGGTGCGTCGTGAAATGATAAATCTGTGGACTCGGGCTGGCCACTGGACGTTTAGGATTGCTCATGTCCGATTCAAAGCCTTGAAGCATTTCACTCCGCATGCCATGGCATCATCGAGTTTCGATCGCGTTGAGAGGGACCCGCACATCTCGCCCGTCAAGCTCGCTCTTCGCCAAACGCTTCACCCTTCCGATCCTGTCTCCGGACGAGAAACCAACTCGCCGCGATGGCCACAATGGCACCCACCAGCAACCCGATCGAAGCGGCGAAACTCACCCGATACGTCGGTCCATACTTGCTCTCGTAGACTCTCGGGCCGAGAATTCCCGAGAACTGCGCGGCTGCATTCGTCAGGCCGATCGTCAAGCCGGCGCTCGTGGTGCCATGCGCGGCGCGAATCCTCTCCGGCCATAAGATCGGATAGATACAGATCGAGCAGGCCGTGGCGATGGAGACGAGGATGTATTTGCCCACGGGGCTCTGGATGAGGATGAGGGCGATGTAGCATGCACAGGCGATGATTTCGAGGGCGATGGCGGCGGTCCAGGGGATGAGGAGGCGTTGTTGGATGATGTAGCCGATGAGGATGAGGGAGAGGCAGCCGAAGGCGTAGGTTGGCATGGTCATCAACTGAGCGACTGCGGAGTCTGTGAGGCCGAGGTCGTAAATGACGGTTGGGAGGACGGTGGAGACGCCCCAGCCGCCTATGGCGTGGCAGATCCAGACGAGGGTGAAGCTCAGCGTTGTGGGATCCTTGAAGACGGATTTGAATTGTTCCGGATTCCAGGTCTTCGCTTGGGCGGAAGGTTGTGTTGCGGGGAGGTTGGAGAGGATTGCTTGTTGTTCTTGCGGCGTGAGGAAGTGTGAGGTTTCGGGGTAGTTGGGGAGGAAGAAGAAGGTGTAGATGCCGCAGAGGATGGCTGGGATGCCTTCGATGAGGAAGACCCATCTGGGATGACATGAGGGTGAGTGTCTCTTGCGATGAGTTTTTTATGGATCGTTGCTGCTTACCTCCAGCCAGCCAGGCCTCCAGCGCCGTTGATGAAGGAGATGCCGTAGGCCAGAAGGCCACTGATGGTGCCCGAGAATTGGCCGCAGGCGTAGAAGAAAGCGATTCGAAGTGCCATGCTCTTGGCAGGATACCAGAAGCTGAGGTGATACAGGACTAAATGCCATGGATTAGGGAACGAACCGCTTCTCCAAGACGTCTCGGGGAGACTGACCTCCTGGGTAATATCCCGCCTCCGCGAGCCCGAGAAGGAATCTGACCGCCAACATACTGCCATAGTTCTGCGTGGCACCCTGGCACATCGAAATGATTCCTAGCGGCATCGTGTCAGCACGCCCTGTACCAGGCCGACGTGTGGCGGAAAGTACCCCAGGTGATCATGATCCTGGACATCCAAACCCGGGGCGAGAGTCTCTTCAGCAGCAGGGTCGAAGCCGGCTCTGCGAACATGTATGGATAGTAAAAGATGGAAATCACCCACGCCCACTGGGAACTGGAAAGGTCGCCGAGCTGATGCTTGATGCCGTCGCCCTCTTCGACATTGATGATGGCCGTGTTAGTGATGTTGGAGACGTGAATCCTCATGATCAGGTAGACGAAAGAGTACCACAGGAGCACCCGTCGATCGGCTTTCCGGTAGGCTGATTTTGAAGTCTCGGGATCAATCTCTGAGACGGAGGAGTGTGAAGAGGGCGTCTTGGCGACCTCGACGGCTTGAAGGTGTTTCTCCATGTTGAGTTGGGTTGTGATGGGTGGGAGGAGCTGGGGACTGAGAGGAGTCCGCGAGACTTCTGGCCGCTCGGGAGGAGTGCAAGTCTCCATCTGTTGGTCTGGCCGGCCGGAGGAGGTGATGCCTTTGCTCCAGATGACGGCGTGACAATCCTGAAGATGCACTTCCGAGCGTGGCACCTCCAGCAGGATTCGTGTTGGGCCAGCTCTCCAAGGGCGGCTTGAAAGGAGGATGCAGACGCATGGCCAGTATATGGATGTCCCGACCCGTCGCAGTACCAATTGGAACGAGCTCTGGGAGGACTGTGATCCATCTCCGTCGCCCTCTGGATAAGTCGAGCGGATGCCATACGTCGGTGATCTGATGCAGCCCACGAAGGGATCCATTTATCCAAGCACGCCATCTGCAATTGAGAGACGTGCTCTAGCACCGTGGAAGTGCACCGCCACAGCGTGCTGCTTCCATGCGCCGACGCCACAGATGTCGTGATGGCGGATGGAGATACGTAGAGATACGTACCTTAGCTGCAATATCTCCTTCTGTGTATATCATCCATCCTGTGAGGGGTATGCGGGTATTCGGCCTGCCACTGTGGAGTTTATCGATAATATTCTACTGATAAAGAGACAATTCATTCATTTCATTCATCCCTTTTCCCACACAGACCGACCATCGTCAATTGGTATAGAGAATGGCTACAGAAACACAGACTGTGCCAGGCGTGCCCTTCCAAGAGCTTCCCGAGTACCAGCAAGCCGAAGAGTCCAAGCACGAACGTGAGCCACTCAATCCAAGCGTCTTCACTCTCGACTCGAACGGAGAGGAGAATTGACTCGACATAGTGGACTGGGCTGATCTCATCACCCTCGATCTCTCCCAATTCGACGCCCCCAACGGCAAGCAGAAGCTAGCCAACCAGCTGCGTGATGCCGTCCACAATGTCGGCTTCTTCTACGTGAGCACCACACAACACCCTGCACCATCTTCGCAACCTTCCCATATGCAGAGACAGACTGCAGTAACAACCAAGTGAATATCAGCACTCACACACTCCCCTCAAAACAGATAACAAACTTCGGCCTCACCCAGACCCAAATCAACCGCCAGTTCGCCATCGGAAAACAACTCTTCGCCCTGCCGGAAGCCGAGAAACTAAAGTATCGCGCCGACCTCGAGAATGGGCACTACAGCGGCTACCGCCCCCAGGGCACCATCGAACTCTTCCCGGGCCTCCGCGACAACGTGGAAATGTACAACGTCTTCAAATTCCTCCCCGCCCTGCAGCGCTCCCACCCGGCCATCATCACCGCCCACCGCGCCGAGATCGAACGCTTCCAGCGCGCCATCGCCCAGGACATCATCCCCAAACTCCTCACCCTCATCTCCCTCATCCTCGAACTCCCCGACGAAGCCCACCTCTCCCGCGGCCACGAATATTCCGACCCCAGCGATTGCCACCTCCGCTACATGATCTACCGCGCCCGCTCGGCGCAGGAGAACGCGCGCTTCCAGAACATCTACTCGCGCGGCCATACGGATTTCGGCAGTCTGACGCTGCTTTTCCGCCAGCCTATTGCCGCGCTGCAGATCCGCACCAGGGAAGGGGAGTGGAAGTGGGTGCGGCCTCATCCGGAGAGCATCACGGTGAATATTGCGGATGTGCTGCAGTTCTGGACGAATGGGTATTTGAAGTCTTCGGTGCATCGGGTTGTGGCGCCGCCGGACGATCAGGCGCATTTGGATCGCTTGGGGTTGTTGTATTTCTTACGGTGAGTGGAAACCGTCCCGCTGATTGCCTTCTCTTCGCACATTAAAATTTGATCTCGACGGGGCACATGGCTGCCGTTATCTTGACCCTCTCCCCAAATTCCGGGAGAGAGAGAGAGAGAGAGACAGAGAGCACCACCCCACAACCACAAACCCACTCTCCATGCTGACTCTTCCCCAACCACCTAGCCCAACACACGACCTCGATCTCAAAACGGTAGACAGCCCCCTACTGAAACGTCTCGGCCTCAAGAAGGATTCCGACGACGACGAGGAGGCGGCGGGGATCAAAGCCGGGGATTGGGTGCGGATGCGAGTGAAGCAGAACCAAGATCGGGCCGTCGACGATAGTAGTAGCCAGAAGGAAAGGGAGAAGGAAGTCCTCGGCGGCGTCAAAGTGAAATATTACGATTGATTGATTGATTTCGCGGAGGCTAGGTGTAGGAGAGCAGGGATTCGATTGCTCGTCGGATTCGTCTTTCACTCAGGTCCTACTCCCTTGTACCCCTTCCATGCAAAGTACCCCAAAAGTTGACACAGAATCATTCCTCGCAAGGAATAGGGCCCCTGGGATCAGGACTCAGCGATACCGACATTACGCTATCAGTGTGGTCTGCGATGTCAGTGATTTCTATCCTGCGCGAAGCCTGTAGTCGTGCTAGTGAGCATTAAGAGAACGAGGGAAGACAAGATGAAAGCAAGAAGGCGCAGGTCGGCAAAGGGGTACATGTAGCAACAGATCGCACACCATCATCACCTTCCCTTCTCTCGCCTTCTCAGCAGCCACGAGGCAGCAATGATTGCACCCTCCCTCTCAATCATAAAATTGAGGGTGTAGTAACGATCATGAAATTCTCCAATTTCCAGTTCAATTCGGTTCTCAAATGCCTAAGGGTATCCGCGATACAGCAGTAATCGTAATCTCCTGCCCAAGCTGGTGCTCGTCCTGTAAGTCTTTTCATCATTAAATCGTCCGTGAAGAATCATGTCATCTTCCATAACTCCCGTCCACCTGTAGATCCGGTTCTCTCTTGCAGGAGCCACTGCGCTCTCCTTGTTTTTTCTTCCATCCTCCTTCTCTTGTTCACATAAACGCCTTGGCGATCTGCATCAAGCCACTCGCGTTGTTCATCCAACCTCCTCCACCGCCGCCGCCGCCTCTCCCACCATATCCAGAACTACCATAATAGCCTCCAGAATGCCTACTAGCTCCCCCATCCAACCCGGGAACCCTAATCCCAAACTGCCTTAGAAGCCCATGGATAGCACCCCCGGCGCTCAGCAACGGCACGACAACCGCGAAGAAAGCCTTCACCGGGTGTCTCCGCGCGTAATACCACAGCTCCTTGATCATGCGCTGCAGTCTGTGCATCAGATAGGAAATATACCCATCCCTCGGTCGTCTCTTATAGTACGACGAGCTCCCCGACGAGCCGAAAACCCCTCGGGAAGAACCGTAGTAGTTGTTGTTGTTGTTCCCGCCGAACCACGAACTGGATGTGGATCGCGTCGCGCTGGGGCGGACGTAGTAATTGCCTCCTGCTGCCCCGGTGCCGCTGCTTTTGGCGCTGCGGGTGCTTCGTGCTGGGGAGACGCCGCGGGAGTGGCTTCCTCCCCCTCCTCCCCCTTGGTACGAATGCGAGCGCGGGACTCCGAGATATCCTGCATCGCTTGCGGAATAGGAACGTCCGTCGAAGAGACCCATGGCGTGTGGTTGGTGGGTGGTTTGTGTTTTATCGATCTACCGTACCGGGTTACCGATGCCTGGGAGTGATGTGGTCGGATGGGATTGGTTGGGAAACGAGTCACTCGGTGTCTGTGGTGTGATTGGAATTTCGCTCGTGCGCTCGCCAGAATGCCGGTCGGCTTGCTGTGATCGGCCGTCGTAAATCAGAGGAGGAGGATATAAGAAGTTCTCGTGCCTGATGCCCATTCAGCTCCCGACCTCTTGGTAGCACTAGATCAAGCAAGGTTTCACCGCGAGAGAGTCGGTAGAATGGTGGGTGGCAGGAAACTTCTCGCTTTCGGATCACGAGATTCGCAGCACACCAGGGTCCAGAAGTTGCATTGACTTTCGGGAAGGTCCGTCGCATTCGCCGGAGATCGGTCCGGCTTTCCAACGACTTCGGCTTCAACACGCGGGTAAGACTTCACCCCCACCAAAGAACGGACTTCACCTCGTACCTGGCGAAATGTAGATACGTACAATCCACCTGCTTGTCCTTCTCGTACAGTGGTATATGTTTCAGGCTCTCTTTCGGAAACCAAACCCACCATCTCCCTGTTGTAAAAGGTCCTTCTCTACCACCGTAAGCGGCAGGATGAAGCACCATCTGATGATTGGGACTTGGTAAGTAGAGCCTTCGTCTACTTCTTGCATCTGATTTCTTTGAACAACACATCATGCATGCGCGTTTACATGTGTGTATTCTGAACCCTTTGAGAAAGAAAGCACACAAGCCAAAAAAAAAAAGCCCCTCCCGACGTCAAATCTCCCAATATACCATTTGCGCCTCCCAATTCAACCCATCCATCCACTCACAAGCCCAATCCACAGGACCCCTCCAGGCGCAATCTTCACAGTCTCCTTCGACGACCAAACCCACGCCCTCGAACTCGTCAAGAAGACCGAAATCCCCCACGAGCAACCAATCTCATGGATGACTTTTGACGTAAAAAATAAACAAGCCCAACCCACCACTCGCCACCTTACTCACGTTTGTCGTCTGTTCAGCATGCCCGGAAGAACATCTACGGCGCCGGGATGAAAAAATGGGGCTCCTACGCCGTCCAGACCCCTTCGGAAATTCAACACCAGGCTTCCTTACCTATGGGTGAACATCGTGAGCTTCACCATCGGTAACTTCTCACGACAGCGCATGCGGCTGATGTTCTTAGCTCTCGCGAACTCCACGGAAACCAAAACCCGAGCAATCTTCGTCTTGGCGGCCAAGAAGCCCCCTTACAACGTCTACGGAAATCCCTTCTACGACCATGCAGGTCACCTTAATGTCTTTAGCGTGAATGAATCCACTGGAGCTCTGGAGAAGAATGTTCAAAATGCAGAACTGGATGAGAGGTCCGCGATACACGGGATGGTATTCGATCCGGAAGAGGAATTTTTGTATTCGGCCGATATGTGGGCGAATAAGATCTGGTGTCATAAGAAGGTCCGTCTCGTGTCCCAGAAGATTACAGAGAACAAAAAAAGGGAGAAAAGAACCGTACCAAACGCTTTCTTCTTTTGATAGGGATCAATCTCCCACCGCTGACTTTGAGAATGTTGTACTACAGGACAGCCAAACCGGCGAGCTCACGCTTGTCGGCTTCGTCGAGGCCCCCTCGGCAGGCGATCATCCCCGATGGGTGGAAATCCACCCTTCCGGCGCATACCTCTACGTCCTCATGGAAGCCGGCAATCGCGTGTGCGTGTACGTCATCGACGAGAAGACGCACCTGCCCGTCTACACACGCACGCACTACCCCCTGATCCCACCCGGTTTCGACACCTTCCACCCGAAAATGTATCGCTCCGACGTCGTCTTCTGCTCGCAGAGCGGCGACTATCTCTTCGCCACGGCGCGGTCCAATAGCCCCCGGTTGACGGGTTACATTGCCGCGTTCAAGCTGGGGCCGCAGGGCCAGGTGCAGCGGCAGATTTGTCTGAATCCGACGCCGACGAGTGGCGGGCATAGTAATGCCGTGAGTCCCTGTCCGTGGACGGACGAGTGGTTGGCGCTGTGCGATGATGAACAGGGCTGGGTGGAAGTGTACCGATGGCAGGATGAGTTCCTGGGCCGCGTCGCACATCTGGACATCAAGGAGCCGGGGTTCGGCATGAACGCTATTTGGTATGATTGATAGAAGAGAGTCGGAATAGAAATTTGATGTGTTGCTCTGGAGGGGGATTCCAGGTTTCGCCGGCGGCGGTCTCGTACGAAGGTCATCACAAATTCGCTCGGTAGCCTCTGACCAATTGCTGAACTCCCGGGATCCTTCAAGGTTGCATCCTCCGTCAATCGTGTCTCACGAGACTCTAATTCAGCTACGTCCCGCACGCATGAAAGCGATTCACAATCCACTTCGCGTCTCGAGTGTTGCCTTGCCCTCTCTCTACATGCTTTCCACGTCCGGGTAACAAATCCTGGAGAAGAGAAGGAGACTTCTCAAAGACTTTCCGTTTCTGCACGCCCTCTGCGTCCTTTCTATATGGCTCAAGTCGCAATCTTTCCCCCTCGTAGACATGCTGAGATATACAAGCGCAAAACTTCAATAGCTGGCTGTTCATCCGGTGATACGGGGTGGTGCAGACGGAGTAAATGTACAGGAGTTGTCGTAGACTTCAGGGCTGAGTACCCCGAGATGCGCTGGCGTCGCTAGTACTCACTCCCTCTCTTTATGTAGTCTACGAACTCGGCCTTCTTGGCGCGATCTGTCCACCGTTTTCAGAAGGTAGACTGCTGCAGTGTCTATACCGAATGTAGGCTCCACCATGAGATGACATTCTGCCTTACGAGCTCGTGCAACAGTCTCAGGCGCTATATATGGCAGCTACCTCGGGGAATGACCAGGACTGTCGAGATGAAGCCACGCCATTACACGCTCCCGGTGACCTTGACGGATCGCGGACGGTAAGGAATGCCTTCGCCGTTCTCCCCCTCCGGATTGGGTTTTCGTGAAGATCCACCTTCTCATCCGTGAGATTCAAGACCAAGCCGGCGATACCTTTCTTCTTCTGAGACTCCTAGAGGGGGGCCGAAGCTCTGGATATCTGACTTATGAGCCAGGCATTATCTGATGATACGATAGAACAAGGCGGCATCATCTTCGGGCTTGCACCGTCTCAGCAAGTCCGCTGCCGGCACGATCCTTTCTTCAGCCATCTTGTAGATTTCCTGCTGGCGCTGCGATAGCTGCTCCTGATCTAGTAGGCTGAGTGCACGGTGGCTTTGCGTGGACGCGCATTGTTTCCATGTCTTGCCTGACGAGCTCCTAGTGAAGACCGAGAACGTTGGACTCAGCCAGATAGAATCGAAGATGGCGAAGCTGACCGTCGTGCCAGTCATGTTATATGGTGCGAGAGAATGATATGAAGGTGTTTCGCGGGAGACCAAGCTGTGAAGCTGGGCGCCGACCAACAATGCACGCCTACGGCGGTTAAGTCAGGGTTATGCTACGAGTAATAACTTAACAATAACAGGCTAACAGCCCACTTGCTCTTCCCGGCAACGGTGGTGCCTTAGCTAAACTCTGACCGGCATTGGAGTGAATTTTGCCGGTGTCATCAGACTTCGTACCCTCTGACTTCGCATCCTCCCCCCATCGTCACCTGCCACAAGTCTCCCGACTCCAGCCTCAAGCGTCGAGGGAGGAAGACGTCGACACGTGGCCCAGAGAATGTCCGCCTGACCGCTTCCCACCCTGCAGCACGTGCACGCCGTCTTTATCTCTGCTTTCCTGACGCCCAGGCCGGGAGATAAGCCAGACCTCGCCCAACAAGCTCCGCTCCGCTCAGCCCAGCTCTCCCGCCGAGCATTGGGACTCGGGAGCCTGTGAGCAGCGGAACTGCTAACTCATTTGGCGGAACATGTCTTTCAAAGACAGCCCTTCCTCCAGCCCGTCCAAGGCGCGGCCCATTCCCTCGGGCAGCTTCTCGACTGCCTCTCAGGCCGATGCCAGCTGGGCAGGATCTCCCTCGAGGGCCTCGACCACCGCTCGGCTCGCTGCTACGCCTGCAGCCGTAGGCTCGCCGAGCGGGCGGTCGGCGCAGAATGTCCCAGCACCGCAGGAAACGCGACAGAGTCAGGAGCCGCTCGCAGGTGCATCCGGAAGCTCTGTGCCTGGCCCGGGGCCTTCTTCGCTTTCCCAGGCACTGCGAGGGTCGATGGGACAGTCTCCCTCCAGAGCTGGGGCTCAGCCGCCAGCGAGACAGTCACAGGGCACAAAGCGTTACGAGAGTCCAGCAAGGGGAGAGGGCGATGGCTCGGGCTCATGTACACCGGCGTCGTATGCCACACAGCTTGGACGTAGCCCGACACCGAAAGAGGACATCGAGGTGCTGAAGAGACATCTCGTGGGAGGAGGGAATGGGTCAGAGCCCGGATCGTTCAAGAAAGGGTCGCCATTCCAGGCTCAGCAAAGTCAGGCCGGTGAAGAGGGAGAGTTTTCAAGTCTACAATTACAAGGCGGAGACACGCATCGGCACATCTACCGCTATGCGGAGAAGAAAGGGCGAGAGCAAGAAGATGCGGGAAAGCTACGACGGAGCATGAGCTATAGTGCTCCCAAGAAGGACGATGACGACGACGACATCTCCTTCATCCAGAAGCCGGGCGGGTTCCGCAGAGATCATCTGCGTCGGGCTGCTGGCTCTCCTGCTCCTTCGAGCACAAACCAGAGGCGCGGCTATGGTACTGTGAGCCGTAGCCAAGGCCGGAATGCGTACACCGAGCCTACGAAACCGCAGTTCGTCACGAGCAATTTTATCGAATTCCTGACGCTTTACGGCCATTTTGCTGGTGAAGAGCTGGAAGAGGATGATGAGGTCCTCGAGCGAGACGAGTACTTTTCTTCCGACGCATACGACGACGCCACGACCGAAGCAGACGACGATAGGTCTGATCGTGACTGGGGTGAGGATTCTGCACTTCTCACTCCCGGCAAGCGAAAACGAAAGCGAAAGGCTCGCGCAGAGGGCAAAGGCACGCCGTTTGGTGCTGCCATGCTTCTTCTCAAGTCGTTTGTCGGGACTGGGGTGCTCTTCCTGCCGCGCGCGTACCTCAACGGGGGCATGCTGTTCTCCAACCTGGTCCTCCTTTTCATCGCCATCTTGTCCTACTACTGTTTCATTCTACTGGTCAGCGTCCGCCTAAAGGTCCACGCCTCTTTTGGTGACATGGGAGGCAAGATCTTTGGACCTTGGTTCCGCAATCTCGTCAACTTCTCGCTTGTCATCTCGCAGATTGGCTTTAGCTCGGCGTACATTGTCTTCGTTGCTGAGAATTTGCGAGCGTTCGTACTTGCTGTCACTCGGTGCAAATCGGATGTCGACATTGGACTCATGATCCTGGCACAGATGATCATCTTTCTGCCCATGAGCCTGTACCGCAACATCAACCACATCCAAAAGATGGCTCTTTTGGCGGACGTCTTCATTCTTCTGGGCCTGGTCTACGTCTACTACTACGATGTGCGCACGATTGTGCATCACGGAGGGATCGCCGATATTGAGAACTTCAATGCTCAGTACTGGACACTGCTCATTGGTACGGCAATCTTCACCTTTGAGGGGGTTGGTCTTGTTATACCCATCCAATCTGGTATGGCCGAGCCGCACAAATTCCCTCGCGTCATGGGAACGGTCATGATTATCATCTCCGTCATCTTCATTTCTGCCGGAGCGCTCTCGTATGCTGCATATGGAAGCAAGACGAAGACGGTCATCCTGCTCAATATGCCTCAGGAGAACAAGATGGTCAATGCCGTGCAGTTCATCTATAGCTTGGCCATTCTGCTCAGCACGCCATTGCAGATCTACCCTGCGATTGAGATCACTAGTCAACAGCTGTTCTCCCGGACTGGAAAATACAATCCCTTCATCAAGTGGAAGAAGAATGTCTTTCGATTCTTCATGGTGGCGCTGTGTGCCTCGATTGCATGGGCGGGTGCGGGTGACCTCGACAAGTTTGTCTCTCTTGTCGGGTCGTTCGCGTGTATCCCGCTGGTGTACATCTACCCGGTAAGTGCAAGCCCTTTCGTTTTTTCTATCTGAAATTCGCGCTGACTGCTCCGTATAGCCCCTCATGCATTACCGTGCAGTTGCCACCACCACGTGGCAGCGCGTCACGGACATCGTCCTCGTCATCTTCGGCTTTGCTTCGATGAGCTATACCACGGCCCTCACCATCATCGCCTGGGCTTCTGGGCAACAAGACAAGACCCCGGGATACTGCGATAGCCTGCACGGCGGTGCTTTCTGAGAAGATGGAGAGCTATTACCTGACGTGACAAAACATGGTAAAATTGAGAATGTACATTGCGGGGATCTAGCGAGGCGTTTGTAGAAAGGCCCTTCTTCCATCGAGGCCATGTAGCGCGCGAAGAGATTGAATAGGGGTTCGCTAGATGTGCAATGGTGTGGTGCGGTCGACGGTATAAAATCTAATCCGATCACGCAAGTTTCACTTCTTTTTTTTTTGTATCATTCATTTCTCGTCTCTACCTACCTACCTTATCATCTTTCCTCTCCTCTCCGCTTATGTAAGCGCAGCTCGTACAGATGCAGGTACCTATATTGATTTGCTCCCGTCTTCGATGTTTAATTAAGCTATGAAATCCGTCTTACTTTTCAACTCGACATACACTTCCCCCAAATAGGAGATGCTCCCCCAATCCTCCCTCGAATCGGCTTTCCAGACTTTCTACACGAACTGGCAGCGCCTCGATCCTGATCATCCTGAGGCGGAAGAAGTGGGGCAAAGTTCGGATCGGGATTGGCAGAGAGTGAAGCTTATAGAAGAGAAGGTGAGCTTTTTTTTTTTAGACGTTACGTGTGAATTTTAGAACTGATCTGTAGGGTTCGTTCGTTTTGGAAAGTATGGCGGGAAGGTTTTTTTGAGGATTGAAAGGCGCGTGGAGTGCCCGACGACGACGACGAGTGTGTCGACTACGACGGAGCGGGATTCTGGGGCTGAGATGGGACTGGGAGACGACGAGGATGACGATGACGATGACGAAGAGATTGTTCGACTTCCCTTGCCTCACACGAGAGGCTCCTCGGCGGCGGCGGCGGCGGCGGTGGTGGTGATCTACGACATCATCTATTCTCCTTCTTACCAAGTCCCGGTCCTCTACATTCAATGCCCGACAAGCAACTTCTCCCCGGACTGCCTCGTCCCTTCGGCGTATAAACGACAAATCAATTCCGTCGGAGTCATGGGCGCGCTGAGTATGACCGAACACCCTGTTACGGGGTTGCCGGTGTACTTCGTGCATCCATGTCGGACGCAGGAGATGATGGCTGCGAGGGGACAGCTGGGCCCGGAGGAGTATTTGATGGTTTGGTTTGGGGTGATTGGGGCTGGAGTGGGGTTGAATGTACCGGTGGCATTGGCGAGGTCGATGGTGGGCGGAGGGAGAGGACCCGCATTCGAGGGTCAGGCGGCTTGATGAAGTTAGAGTGGGACTTTTGAAGATTCACGCATGTGTCGAATTCGGGGTGGGTACCTACTGCACTTGCTAGCATAGGCTGATGTTGTCCGCCGCAGAACAAGGCAAAGGAAGCGGTTACTGAATGCAAGTCAGACAATGTAAACATGACATTCGCGGTGGTCCCTTGATACCCACTCTGCTTCTATCCTGAGCCATTCGCCTTTGAATGTGCGCCTTGGGTGAGGGTACGCGCAAGGACTTTCATCGATTCGCCGCTTCGGACTGGAGCTGTTCTCTGGGACCGCCCTCTTCCTTCGTGCTCAATCGTCATCACTCATTTCCATCTCTCCACCATCGTCACTTTCCTCCATCGGCGCTTCACCATCGTCCTCCTCGCCATCGCTATCGTCTCTGGTTCTCTTCGTGCCGGCTGATACCGCTGGACTCGCGGCGTTCTCGGCGCCAGGTTGCACGGGCTGTAGGCCGGGCTGTACTGGGCCGTTTGACATGCCGGGTGGTGGAGGGAGGCTGGCAGGCGGCGCAGGTAGCGAAGAGGGGGTAGTTCCGGGTGGTGCAGGAAGACCACTTGATGGTTGCTGTGACGCATTCGTCTTTGCCTCTTCAGCACCAGGTTCGGTGAAAGTGCCTGTCAGCTTCGCGAGCATGTTGGAACGCGATTTGGCGTAGCTGATTTTCTGTGAAAGGAGCTGGTTAGCAAATGTTCTTGTAATAGCGGGCATCCACCGAAGTATCCTTTCATCCTCGATTTTCAATTCAATCTAGGCTCCAACACACGCCTGCCATGCATCCTAATTGCAAGTACTTTTTCGGGGAGAGGTCCAAAAGTGTACAACGCTGTCCCTCGCTGGATGCACAAGCACATGGTGACTTCCAAGTGCCCCATGCCCATGTATTGCGAAGATCCGATGCGTCATGCTCGATTTCGCTGTTCATTTTACTCTCGTGGCTCATGCCACACGTTGACTTACCATCTCCTTGCCAAAGAACTCGAACCCTTGACAGCCGCGCATGGCTTGCGTCGCGCTCTGCACGTCCCTGAACAAAATATGCGCCTGTCCCCTCATCTTCGCCGTCTTGAGAGTCGTGATATCGAGAATCGGGCCATAGCTCGAGAACAGCATGTAGAGATTGCGCTTGAGATCGTGCTTTTGCAGTTTGTCGGGCAGGTTCTGGATGTAGATGCTCTGATTCGGTTTTGGACCACTCGGTGCACTGGGTTGGACGGGTAGTTTTGGTCGAGTGGGCTGTTGCGGCTGTATTGGAGCTTTCGGCTGCGTTGGTAAGGCTGTTGTAGCCATGTTGAACAGTTGCGAGTGTAGTCTAGTGAAGTTGGTCTTTTCGCGAAATCGACGTTTGGAGCTCGCGACGCAGGAACGTTAGGGTCTCGGTTTCGGACCGCGTCGTCAATATTCGATTGACAGTTTTATTGTGCTCCCCGCAGTCCCGTCATCTCCAGTACAAGGCAGCCGCGTTCGCTATCGAGCTCGCAGATTGCAGCTTCAACCTCACCGCAAACCTCGAGATCGATACGCAAGCGACAGTAGAGAGACCTCCCCTCCTATCGCATCACTCAATCTTACATCTGCATTCCACCTTCTCGAATCATTTCACGACAATGGCAGCCCCACAAGTGCATCACCTCTTCCACGCACCAATCAGCGACCACTCCTTCTCCTCCGACCGCAGCACTCTTGCTGTCACGCGCGACAACAACGTCGAGCTCTACGGCTCTTCCGGCTCCGGATTCCGTCTTCAAGACGAGTTGCGCGGCCACGACAAGCTTGTGACCGGTGTCGATATCGCTCCCAATAGCGGCCGCATCGTCACATGCTCTCAGGACCGCAATGCCTACGTCTGGGAACCTTCTCCGCAAGGTGGATGGAAGCCTACTCTGGTTCTGCTGAGAATAAACAGGGCAGCTACTTGTGTGAGATGGAGTCCTACGGAGAACAAATTTGCTGTGGGAAGCGGTGCGAGAATCATTGCGGTCTGCTACTTTGAAGAGGAAAACGATTGGTGGATCAGCAAGCACCTGAAGAAGCCTCTCCGTTCTACTGTCACGACTGTGGCTTGGCATCCAAACGGCGTGCTGCTGGCAGCTGGGTCGACGGATGGACATGCACGAGTCTTGTCAAGTTTCATCAAGGGCACTGATGAGCGGCCAGAGCCAAGTGCTTGGGGCGAGAGGCTGCCATTCAACACCGTCTGCGGCGAGTTCCTGAATTCTACCGCTGGTTGGATCCACAGCGTGGCTTTCTCTCCATCTGGAGATGCGCTTGCGTTTACGGCCCATGACAGCAGCATTACGGTCGTCTATCCTTCTGCACCAGAGCAGCCACCTCAAGCCGTCATTTCCGTCTCGACCCAGCTCCTTCCTTTCGCGGACCTTCTCTGGATCAGCGAGAGCGAGATTGTCTGTGCAGGCTACGACTGCGAAGTGTACCGGTTCTCTGGCTCTGCTTCCGGATGGCAGCTGGCCGGTTCGCTCGAGAAGGCTGGCCCAGGTGCTGGAGCTGGTGCTGCACGAGAGGAAAGCGCACTGAATATGTTCAGAAGCATGGACCTCAAGGGTCGCACCGGTAATGTCGAAGATACCAAGCTGAGGACAGTGCATCAGAACACCATTCAAAAGGTTCGTGCTTACCAGGGAGGTGGCACAGCTCAGGTTAGCAAGGTCAGCACCAGTGGTGTCGATGGACGCGTCGTGGTATGGAATCTCTAACGATGAGATGATGGAATGATATCCGAGTAACAACGGCGAGAGGTGCAATGTGCCTTCGATCGCCAGCATAGGTAGAGCGTGAAAGCAATTCGTCGATATCTTACGATTCGGATTTCACAGTTGCTTCGATCTTCCAACAACTCTGCAGCTCCAGCCTGTGGACTGCTACGTCCTACTGCACGCCAAGAAAGCAGACAGCGAGAACCTTGGACAGTCTCTCAAGGTGCCTCGCAATGAAAACATCCACAGCTTGGGGCCGAGAGATTTTGCGCTGGGTCAGACGTGACGCTCCCTCGGATCTTCACATGATTCAGGCGATCCCGCCGCGGCAATGTTCCTCGGTCGGGAACCATGCACCGGTTCAATCGACACATCTTCAAACGTTAGCCACTTGAAAATTGAAGCCAGAGCATGCTTATCAGGTTTCGAAGAAGGTAATCGCGAAGAGACAGCTACGAGACCACCCAACACCCAAAAGGGACACCAAGATAGCGCGGGTCAGGTGAAAGAAGCTGCTTAGCGTGGACGAGTAAAATCCGAATCCTCGCACATAAGCCGGCCGAGCTACGATAAGCTCGCCTCAGGATCAGGGACGATCACAACCACAGTCACAATGTGTTCAGCAAACTCAGCCCACAGCGGGTGCCAGTCAATGGGTGTGGGACGAGCATTCCCGACGGTACAGGCGCTTGGCAAATGCCAATTGGGTATGGCGGTAGTACTGCATGGGTTGAGGGGATACCTTGGTCTCGATGATACGTTCGAATGTTGACAGCTCGGTAAACGGTATTTAGGCCGTGATGCCTTTGTCGGTGTTCGCGTGCTTGTCGGTATTTCATCCAGTTGATAGCGACATCTGTTTCTGTCCAACCACATTCACTTACCAGAAGAGATCAGTATGAATCAACTTCAAGATTCCTGCTTCTGTGGGCCGTGCCTCGATGAAGTCCTCAAATCTGCATGGCCAATCGTCTTCCCATCGAAAACCTACAAAGGCAGATGAGTACTCCCAATGGTCCGGATACCATCCCGCAAATTCCCAATCCACGATGGCGGTGCGCGAAGAGCTGAGGTGTGGCTGTATGAAGGCAGCCGTGTGATCGATCAAGATGATGTTCTTCCTCTGCAAGTCGGCGTGTGTGAGCGTTTGGCGTTGACCCTGTAGAATTCTTCCCAGGTGCTTAGCGTACCAATTGCCTTTGTAGGGTACGCGTTGGTTCATCTCCTGCAGCTGAATGTATTGCTTTACCAAGGCCGCGTTCAGGGCCACTTAGTCCTTGAAGGGACCAGTGATACCGGTGTCTCCCTCGTGGGAAGTGAAGAGGAAATATGGCATAGGCCCTCCATCGAGAGCTCCGAAATGGTCCGTCCAAGGACATGGCTGGTGGCGCATCTCATCGAACACGACCTTGAGTTCTGCTGTGATTCCATCCTTTTCGGCCTCCGAGAGACCTTCCCATGCTTCGTCGAGAGTCTGACCAGGGATGCGATCCATAACAATAAAGGTCTCATCCGAGTCCTGGAACATTGCGTTCAAACGTGGTGCCGGAACATTGTGCACACAGGCCTCGAGATACAGCAGAGCTTGCCCTTCTCTGGTGTTTGTTGACGTTCCATATTTCACCAAGTAGTACGGGAATGCGACGATGCGGGTGCCGCTGCGGCTGTGTATTTCGGCAGGGCATGCTCGGATTTCACTTGCGTTTGGGATGTCAGATGCGGCTGGGCGTGAGAATGGCAACGGAACTGGCGTCCACGTGGCCGGCGACACATGGCTCGGCATGTCGTGGTTTGTAGAGTAGAAGACCGTCGGCATATGATGGATGCGTACAAATGTATGCCTCAGGCATCTGTATCTCCACAAGCCTCACCAACTTCAACCTCACCTCTTCCCTCGCCTCTTTTTCTCTCCCAAACCCAACATACCATGTCTCACCCCCAAGTCCGTGTCGGAGTAGGCGTCTTCATCCTCCAATCGCCCACCCCGGAAAACAACAAGAACAATCCAACCTTCCTCCTCGGCACCCGCAGAGGTTCCCACGGCCACGGAACCCTCCAACTCCCCGGCGGCCATCTGGAATATTCCGAGTCCTTCCAAGAATGCGCAGTTCGCGAAGTGCTCGAAGAGGCTGGTCTTCAGGTCACTTTGCCGGAATTTCTGACCTGTACCAATGATTTCATGGAGATGGAAGGGAAACATTACGTTACGATCTTCATGGTCTGTAGGCGGTTGGATGAGAGTCAAGAAGCAAGGGTTCTGGAGCCGGAGAAATGTGGAGGCTGGCGATGGTGTAGTTGGGAGGAACTAACGAGGCTGGCGGAAGAGAAAGATGGGATGAAATTGTTCTTGCCGCTGATGAACCTACTAAAGCAGAGGTCGGGGATTGTACCCAGTCCACCATCGACAAGTTGATTCCAATGACAGGGCATAGATAGCATTGCTTCATTTCATATTGTTCTCATTGCAAGGGGATATCAAACATTCGACAGCATTAGAGAACGCCACTGAGACCATCAATCAGATCATCCTCATCACTCCCTTCCGCCGACTCTCTTGGACCAGTCATCGCCTACTCTCATCGCATCAACAACGTCGACCTCCTTGCCCAAACCGACAAAGTTCGAGTGCTCCCACCACCTTCGTCGTTCCCTCTTCCCATCTCTTTCGTCTTCCGTTTCCGTCTCCGTATCGGCAAGACCACCATGTCCTTCGTCACCAACCACAAGCACCGTGTGTCCGACCCAGCCCTTGAGCTGGGCAACTAATTCGCCTTCCCGGCCACTCAGAGTGTCACTCATATAGACGAGCTGAGGTGCAAGGTGACGCAGCATGTGGACATAGCCGTCGGGTGTTGTGAATGGTAGAATCTGGGTAGGATGCGATACCAGAGACAACGCTTGGTTGTAGAGGGCTTCGAAGTGCTTGGTGTTCAAGTCCGTAGCGTCAATGCGGGGAGAAATAGACTGCAACTCAGACCCGGGAGTTTGGGCTGGAGTGTTGATCTCGGAGTAGGATGAGCTCAGTGTAGAAGGTGCCTTGCCAGGTTGAAAATTGACGGGAGGAAGCGACTTGAGGCCGGGAGCGTAGATGAGGACGTAGAGGTCGGTACGCGAGGGGTCATGCTGGGTTGGTAGATGAGAGAGGATGGACTGCCGCACGTTAGCTCGAGGCCCCAAATCGTAGAGTGTAGAGACTTACGCCATGTTCAGTGTGGAAATCTTCTTCGTCGTGGCTGTCATCCCCGCCAACGTCTGCGCTCACGACCACAGCTACAGCCTTCTTCGACCTGCCCTTAGACTTTTCTTCGCGGACACCGGCGCGCTTATCGCTCTCCGTCTTGATCTCGGATATTCTTTGCCTTTCCTCAGCCTCCTCGCTCCACCGCTCATGATCACTAAAACCTTCACGCTCTTCATGCCTCGATCTGCTCCTTTCGCGCCGGTCTTCATATGCATGACCATCATTACTATCCACCTCCATTATGCTGCCAAGCGCTGAGCCCGCAGCGGCCAATCCAGCAGTTACTTGTTTCGATGCATGATCGAAGAATTGTTGTGGGCTGGGTGTCCTCCGTACGACCCCACTCATTCTGCCGAAGAATGTCTGCTCATCGTGAACGTCTCTTGTCTGCGAAGAAGATTGATTGTAGTAGCTCGATGCTTCACCCTGGTACGATGCTTGAGCTCCCACAGGAGGAGGTATTCCTTGGGTTGTCTGGTCTTGCAGTGGAATTACACCTGGCGGAGGTGGACCTGGGTAGGGCTGTGCGCCTTGAGTTGGGTACGGGCCCCCCATACCAGTAGATGGCCTTGGTGGCTTCTCGTGAGGATAATCGCCATCGCCGTTGCTCTCTCTTTCTGACCAGACCCATGCTGCCAGTCCTCCAACCGCGATCGTCCCTATCGTAACCAAAGGCACCCAGTAGCCGAGTACCGAGTGTTGGCGACTGTGTGAGCCAGGCGGAGGAGGTGGAGGTAGATATCCTGTCGCCTTGTCAGTTTCGATGCGTCGAGTCAATCAAGTGCAATGCCACACAATAGTCACCGGGGACTGGATGTTTACAGCCCGCCGGAGACAGTACAGCTTGGTGGAGGCACTGCATGCTTCGTACCTCGTCCTCCGCGATTGCGGGTTGTGGTGGTTGTGCGGTACGTTCGTTCGTACGACATACTGGGCAAGAGCGACTACATCGGCAATCGAGAATATACTATCACCCAGCAGTGGGAAATGTCAGGTTGAACAGTGACAGCGATGTTGTTGTTGACGACCTCGGGACGAGCTGGCTGGGAGATGTGGCAGATGTGGCTGGTACGCGCGCAGGGGTCCCACGTTGGCGCCAACCTAAATTGCGGAGACAGACGAACAACATCTCACACTTCGACATACCATTTGTCAACGTACAATCGTGAGTCTTCCGTGGACACGGCTCGACTGGAGTGACAAAGTGGGTTGAGCGGGTGTTCTATCTACTATTGACACTGTGCAGATTTGAAACCGCGTCCTATCATAGGTTTGAAAAGGCTTGGCACATATGACTGATGCTCTACACTTTTCTGGAACCGCATAACTCCGGTCGCTCAAGCACAATACCGCGGCGGTAAAACACAGGAGAATTTTTCGATACTCGGTCTCAACAAGGTAGATTGAAGGGACTTCCACGATTCGAAGACGCACATCAGTCAAGGCCCTCTCAAATAGCAGCACCAAAGGGACCTGACGATGCCTCACGCAACGATGCCCTCTCCAGGGCTACAAGCCTTCATTCTCTGTGGGCCTGGCGAGTCTCTGAGCACCTTCACATCGACACCTAAGGACTTCTCGAAAGCTCTCATCCCGATTGCCAACCGACCCATGGTCTGGTATCCCCTAGACTGGTGCTATCGGATGGGCATCCATGGTAAGTAATTTCTTTCTTCTGACACATCATGCATTGCCGCTGAAATCTACTAGATATTACGCTGGTTACGCCTCCCGAATCGAAACACGGCCTAGAATCAGCTCTGGCAACGAACCCAGCACTTACAAGTCTCCCGAGTCCCAGGCCTGAGATCTTGGCACCCTCCGATCTTACACAGACAAGTGGTACTGGCGAGCTTCTCCGGTTACCCGAAGTACAGAAAGCAGTTACTACGGACTTTGTCATCTTACCTTGCGACCTCATCTCGGAGCTGGAAGGCAGCAAGATTATTCAGCAATGGATCACGCTCAACTCATTGTCCGTCACAGAGCGAGGCAAAAAGCGTAAAGGAGGTCTTGGAGTATTCTATCCCACATATGGCCTTGAAGGTATCAGCCAGAAGAAAGACGAGACGGACTTCATCGCGACGACTCCGTTAGCGAAAGCATCAGTGCCTCCACCACATGGCTCATTGAGATCAGATATCGAGACGCTGGTAATGAGCATGCCTACAGACACTCTCAACGATAGGATTGAAGACGACAAAGACACTTTCAAGATTCGGGCTTCATTATCGCACAAGTACGGCCGAGTCAAGTTCAGGAGGATGCATCGAGACGCGCACGTTTACATCTTTCCAAAGTGGGTGAAAGACTTTGCAGCCCGGAACGCAAAATTCGACGCGATCAGCGAGGACGTAATGGGCTGGTGGGCGAAAGCACAATGGCAGACAGTCTTGGCAGAGAAACTTGGCATGCACGAAGCCCTTAGCCAGAAGCCCTTTTCCTCAGACGACATGACCGAGTCTGGCATTCTCGAAGACGAGTCGGTAGACGCAGCGCAACTCTCCAGTACAAAGGTCGCCATACCCGTTCAACGAGCATCAACGGCATCCTTCGCCAGCAGAGTCCGCACCCCAGCACCGACCATCCCGGACGCTTTAGAGGTCCCGCCTCTACTCGCATACATTCAACCCAACCCTAAATCTACCACTCCAACAGCCGACCAACCTCTAATCCGCCGCGTCGACACTTCCCTCGCACTCCTCAGCATCTCCCTCTACCTCGCCAAACAACCCCCAACGCACACCCTAGCACACGAACACAAAATCCACCCAACAGCAAACTTAGGCCAACAATCCCGCATTTCCCAAGAAGATAGCCTCGTGGCCGAAAACGTCAAAATCGGTTTCCGCAGCGTCATCAAGGAATCCGTCATCGGCGCGAATTGCGAAATCGGAAACAATGTCCGCCTTACTCGCTGTCTATTAATGGATGGAGTCACGGTTGGCGATGGGGTACAGTTGACGGGTTGTATTGTCGGTAGGAGAGCCAGATTGGAGGGGATGAAACCTGCCGCGGTGCCAGCTGAAGGCTCGTCGGATGCTCAAGGGGAGAAGAAGAAGGGCAAGAAGGCTGTGGGGGCGGATGATGAGGATGACCGGACGAGGCTTACGGATTGCGAGGTTGCGCCGAATTTCCATGTGGAAGCCGGGACGGAGGCGAAGGGGGAGAAGATGATGGCTTTTGATACGGAGGATTTGGAGGATTTGGGGGAGGACGAAGACGAGGATGAAGAGGACGAGTAGAAGGATTCTTCTGGGTCTCTTCACTTCTCTGTGGCCTTGTCTGGCAGATTGTACTCGACTCATGGTGGCGTGAGCATTGCAGAGTCACGAGTCTCACGAACGGAGCCTCTTGTCGACACACATGCAGAGCAATGTAGCTTGGATCATCACGAGTCACCTCGACTAGTTGGCTCGGACGAGGACTTGAAGATCACGTCGAGCAAGAAGTTCGAGGAAATGGAAGAAGAAGTTAAGAAGAGGGCATCGTTTCCATCCTGCAGTTCTCTAGCCAACACTCTTAGCAGCCTCTACAGGTACATGCCCCCCGAAATCCAAACCGCAAGTAGACCCAGTCGCCGTTCGTTGTGAATCTATCAGTATCATTGTGCTGTAGACTATACAGGCGGTCGAGTCGTGTCTTCGTGAAGTCATAAGAAAGTGGTTTGTGCGTTGTGTGTGCGAAAAACGAGAGTATGTGTAGAGGTGAAGAAGGAATATTCAGGTTCAAGGGCGAGGCTCTGAAAGTCATTGTGTGTGCGGGATGGAAATTAAAGACAACCCGCATAAAGTCACTGCTTCCATTAGGTTCCATGGTCGGCGCAGCCAGGCACACGTGACTGGCTGTCTTTCTACCTGATCTATTATTCATTGGGACTCGGTCAGAATACGCCGTCAATATCCGCGGGTAGATGAACATGTGCGGCAATGTCAAGGTTGACGCTAGCGTCCAATTTCACGTGCCGAAGGTCGAAGGAGAGCTGGTACCGTATGCCGAGTCTGAACAATACTGCAATAAAGGTTAGCGCTTTCTCTGTCAGATGATAATCGTTCAAAGCTTCAGAAGGACATACTCGAACTTGATGTCCCGATCGCTAAAAGGTCTTCCACTACCATCTACCTCGTGATCATATTTCTGGGTCAATATGCATCTTGAACTTCTTATTCGCCCGATCAGCCGGCCTCAGCTCAAATTGGCTCCCCAAAATCTCGAACACCAACGGCCTCCTCTCAACACCACTACCATCACCACCACCATCGTTCTCGAAGGGCACCTCAAACCGAAATATTGTATGCTCCTTCGGCACAATCTTCAACTCATCCTTGACCGTAACAATCTCAAACGTAAATTTCGTATCCTTAACCACAATCCCTTTCAACCCAACTCGACTCCCACACCGACTCCTCACCACTTCCATTTTGGCCCCATGGTAGTCTGCGGAGGCAAGGAATTGTCCGGCGCTGTTGGCATCCACATATGTCTTTTCGTCATTCAAGCCTAGGATCTCACGCATGTATCCGCACCAGAGTCTGTGGAGAGGCTCGTAGATTGCGTATTTCCTCTGCTCCTTGGGGATTTCGTGTACGCACAGCGCTCTCTTCTGCTTTGCCGAAAGCGGTTTCGGTTTCTTGGACTTTCGGTTTGCTTTCTCCTTTTGCAGTCGCTCGTACTGGCGCTTGGAGCGGGCGTTCAATTTCGGATCCGGAGAGGTAGGTCGCAAGAGGAGTGGTCGTAGCTTGACTTTTTCGCGGAAGATCGTGTTGGCCGTGTCTTCGGGGTGCGCTCTTTCGAGCAGGTCATCTGCGATATGTTCTGTCGGCTCTTCCGCCATTTTGGGGGTGTGTTGTCACATTGTCGATTCATGTGAGAGGAGAAAATGATTTTGGAGTGGAAAGGTGAGGTCAAAAGCCATGTCCGCTGAGTCATGTATCTGATGGATCCTACAGGTAGTCGATAACTTCATCGACATCATCACGAGATATGTCACAAGACAACCATCACAAATCGCCTAGGACTCGAAAGAGAAAAAGACAGATATATGTTCCGAACCATCAGGGCCTCCCATAACCTTCTTTCCGGCGCCCGACCTGCTACAGGACCTTCTCCATCCCCAAGACTACTCCAACCACGCCGGCCATTCACATCCTCAATGTCCACGCAAAAACACATCTTCGCCCCAGGCGGCACGAACGACTCCCTCCAAGCAGAACAATACACCAAAGGCTCCCTCTCCGAATCCCAACTCGACCCCAACCCCCTCACCCAATTCGACATCTGGTTCAAACACGCCGTGGCAGAAAAAGTCCATCAACCAGAAACCGTGACCCTCTCCACCGCCGAACTGCCCTCCGGGCGAGTCTCGGCACGAATGGTCTACCTCAAAGAAATGGACGATCAAGGCTTCACCGTCTACTCCAACTTCCTCACCTCGCGCAAATCCCACGATATAGCAACAAACCCTCACGCGGCGCTGACGTTCTGGTGGCATGAACTCGAACGGCAAGTCCGAGTCGAAGGACCCTGTGAACGTTTATCGTCCCAGGAATCCCAGATCTATTACGATACCCGAATTCGAGGCTCCAGGATAGGCGCCTGGGCTTCTCAGCAATCGTCGGTACTGAAGTCGAAGGAGGAATTGGAGGAGCAGGTAGCTGAGGTGGAAAAACGTTTCGAAGGCGAAGAGAAAATTCCCGTACCGGAATTCTGGGGCGGGTTGCGGGTGAAGCCGGAGATGGTGGAATTCTGGCAGGGAAGGCCGAGTAGATTGCATGATAGATTTCGATATACGCCTGATGCGAGTGTGGAAGGGAAATGGAAACTAGAGAGGCTGAGCCCGTAGGGTAGACACTTCTCCGAATTTTTAAATATGTTCTTCTCATGCCGCAAGTCCCTAGCGTTACATCGCTTTTCCCCATTATGAACAGTCAGCTCGAAGGTCCTGTAGGCCTCGACCATACTTTTCCCGAACGCCCGGCGCCTCTTGGCTCCAGTTCCTCTCTTGCTGTGCGAAAACGCCGTTATATCATCAAAAAGTCCGTCATATACATGTCCTGTGCTCATTCCTCCCCGTCTTGGGGAGCGCCTGCTTTCATCGTCTCATCCGGATAGCGACTCTCGCCTGCGGTGTCATCATACAGAATCTGATCGCCCTTGCCACCCATTTCAATGAATTCTAATAAATATCAACAAAAGCTTCAAGTCGCACTTCTGTCAACGCACGTACCTTTGGGATCTCTGGCTCCATCCGGAGCAGGCTCCACCGTCTTCTCCACGTGCCCAAGAGCCTCCTTCTTCTTTTGTTGCTCCTTCGCCATCCTTGCAGCCTGCTGCTGACTTGCCGGACGCTGCGTGTAGAACATAGGCTGGTTGTTCTTCTCAAAAACCTTGACAGGCGGGCCATCATGCTGCGTCTCAATGACCCGCTCCACTTTAACGTCGTTGATAGTCGAAAGCATGGTCCGCTCGCGCTGAGGCTTACGCCTGGAGAAATCTAGATCTGCCAGCGCGCCAGTCAAGCCATCGGTGCTATCGGTGACACTGATAGGGCGCGCTGTGGTCCAGGGATGTTCTAGGCATTCGTCGATGGTGATGCGCTTCTCCACTTCAACCGTGAGCATGCGGTCGATGAGATCGAGTGCTGGATCCCCGACGGAGTCCCAGTATGGAGATGGGTAGTCAAATCGACCCATCTTGATCTGTTGGCTGAGGGTGTATGGATTCTCGGGCGAATAGAGCTCGTCCGAGAACGGCGGGAAGCCACAAAGACAGATGTACAGCACAACGCCCAAGCTCCACACATCGACTGCTCTTGTGTAGCGTCTGCGATTCGACTGTTCCAATATCTCGGGTGCCACGTAGGAAGGCGTGCCACAGAGTGTCGTTGTGAATGACTCTTCTCCAATGATCTTAGCAAGTCCAAAGTCCGCGATCTTTACGTTCAGCTGCTTGTCGATGAGCAAGATGTTCTCCGGCTTGATATCGCGGTGGACGATATTGCGCTCGTGCTGCAGTCAAATTGTCAACGTCTCGATCCGAATGCTTGCGTCGGAACACTTACGAGATACTTGATTCCTTGGAATAGCTGAATGAACACCTTGCGCGTCTCGGCCTCCGTGAGCTTTTGCTTCATGACGATCCAGTTGAAAAGCTCGCCTTCCGACGCCAATTCTAAGACCAGATACACGCCGTCTGCCTCATCATACGTATCCTTCAAACACAGCACATTCGGGTGGCTGACTCCCATGAGAACTGCAATCTCTTGCTGCAGACCATCGACTTTGCTTCTTTCCCCAGGCCCACTGCGCTTCTCAAACTTCTTCACAGCATATCTGATGCCGGTAGCCTTCTCCAGCGCAAGATAGACAGTCGCAAAGTGACCCTTGCCCAGTTTTCCCAGGATCGTGTACTGTTGCTTGAATCCAGTACCTTCCACCTTGCGCGGATATCTGAAGATGAAGCGCGCCTCGTTCACAACAGAAATCTCATCGCCATCTTGGAGTTCTCGTCTCTTGTTGCGCCCGACAAAGCCTTCGTTGACATACGTCCCATTTCCGCTCAGATCTTCCAGAACAGCAATCGTCTCGCCGCCCTTGTTTTCTGAAAACACCAGGCAATGCCTGTTGCTCACAGTGGGCTGATTGATGATGCGATCGCATTCTGGATGTCTCCCTATCAAATAGCCTCCAGCGGGAACACCCTGCGTGCTCTTGACTTCTTCATACTTCTCTTCTTCCTCCACATACTTCTTCTTGGGCGCCTTCTTGTTGCCATTGGGTCGTGCATACTTGTCGAACGGTACAGGGCAAGCGGCTCTCTTCTTCAACACCAGCGGTTCGTCGAAACCAGACGCCGGAACCAAGTATCCCCATACGCCCTCGGCCTCCTCATTCTCCACCTCGTACGACACAGGCGGCGGCGGCAAGAATTGCGAATACGGCTGTGTATCGTTCGGCGGAGATGAAAGAACCCCATTTAGCTGCGACGGTGGAGGAGGATCTGAAGGCGGCGTAGCCCGGTCTTGGTACTTCGTTTCACGAGAACTCGGACTTCCAGGCTCAGCGCCTTGTTCGTCTGTTGTAGCGCTGCCTTGATGCGTGATGGGCGACGGAAAGGGGCCTTGCTTCACTTGCTCCGCGACATCTTGTCCTTCTGCTCCTCCGCCAACCGACAGTCTCGCAGATCGTCTAGGTTTCTTGGACTCGGCGTCGTTGCTGCTTGACATCTGTATGCGGTCTCAGCATACAAGCGAATGATGATTGCTGAGAGAAAACTCACCCGCGCGCGCTTCAGCGAGCTCTTCTCCTCTGCCTTGGGCGCCATGATGGCGGTAGTGATATATTGTTATATTGTAAGCCGACGGAGCGGACAGTGAGTGGATGTCTTCTCCTCTACGACTCCCGTTCTTTGTGTCGCGAAGATCACTCCTGCATCGCACGTTGTAAGAATTGTCGATGAAAAGTACCTCAGGTCCCGGCCGATTGACTTGGTCGTTGCAACAGAGCTCACATGGAATTCAAGTTCAGGTTGTTACATATCGGAGACAGCTGCCCTAGATTCTAGATTTCGACGGTCGACCTCATCGAGTACGGCGATCGGTTCTCCAGGGGCCGATATCTCCGTGCCAACCCGGACCAATGGACCTCTTCCCCATTGACAGCCTTCAAACATCCACAAGATCCAAGCCAGACACCATGAAACAATAAAAGCAGCATCTCACATCTAACAAAGTGCTTCGCATCCTCACACTCGCCCAAGAGAGCAAGAGACCAAAAATGCCCTGGTCCCACCACTCGCACTCCGGCCAATTCTGCGGCCACGCATCCAACACCCTCGAACAGGTCGTTCAAAAAGCCATAGAAAAGAACCTGTCAACATTCTGCCTAACCGAACACATCCCCCGCAAAAAGATAGATTTCTACCCCGAGGAAGCAGAAACGCACACCGAACAAAGCCTGCTCCAACTGTTCGACGATTATTACCACGAAGCGAGAAGGTTACAACTCAAATATGCCGGACAGATTCAGATCCTGATTGGGTTCGAGGGCGAGTGGATACGGGAGTACTCGTTGGAAGTCATACAGGACTTGTTGAACAAGTATGAGTTCGATTTGTTTGTGGGGAGTGTACACCATGTCCACACGATTCCAATCGACTACGATACCGACATGTATCGTCAAGCCAGGGAGATCGCGGGCGGGACGGATGAGCAAATTTTTGAGGATTACTTTGATTCGCAGTACGAGATGCTCAAAGCTCTGAAGCCGCCATTGGTAGGGCACTTCGATCTGATCCGGCTGAAGAGTGATGAGCCGGATAGGAGCTTCAAGACATGGCCCGGTGTCTGGGAGAAGATTGAGAGGAATCTGAAATTCATCGCGGAGTATGGAGGTCTGTTAGAGTTGAATTCGAGTGCCGTGCGGAAAGGTTTGGCGGAGGCGTATCCTCAGAGTGAGATCTGTAAGGTGAGTCACGCCATCACTGCTAAGATAGGCGTGTAATTGACAGCATCACAGGTCTTCAAAAATATGGGAGGTCGCTTCACCCTGTCAGATGACAGCCATGGCGTGGAACAGGTCGGGTTGAACTTCGGCAGAACCTGTGACAATGTTGAGCGTGCGGGTCTGTCAGAGCTATATTATCTAGCGCCTACCGCGGACAAATCGAAGGCGCACGACAAAAGGTTCCCCGGCGTTTGCTGGGAGCGAATTTCTGTCGCCGCTGTGAAGGAGCATGCTTTCTTCCAATCGTAAGTGGCGAAACCCACCTCTGAGCGGACGACGTGTCATGTCGGTTCAAGCTGCAAAGCGCAAGCTGCGTGGCCAAGTAGGTCCGAGGGGGGTGTATTCAATCGGTCGAGACACTGGTGAGCCTCACTCCGAGAGCAGAACAAGGGACGGTGATCTCTTAGAGCGAGAAGCGTGTCCTGGAAATAACTTGATCACTGCAATGACAGGTCGTATTTTCACCACTGCGACCTTGGTATTCCTACCCAAATGTCTGAATGATTCAATCTCTGACTAACAATACACAGGAATCATTAGATTCATTCATGTCGCCCGCCACTTTCACGAAGATTCTCATGGGCTGGACGAATGCTAGGCCAAGCTCCACCTGTCGGGACGCCTGGCATGAGAGCCAGCCATGCCAGCTCTGAACGTTATCTGACATCCGCATGTGTCTCAATGACTCAGCATCTGGACTGGTGGCTTTTCGTTCACTTCAGCCGTCAGGCATGCTTGGAATATCTTACTCTTCCCGCGACCAAGATTTGCCAGCGATGCCAGACGCTGTCATCCTTTTGGACCTTTGTCATCTGGAGGAGGATCATCATACCCAACTTCTCGATTTGTAGACGATAGCTCGATCCTGCTGTTGTTGGATGAGGACTGCCAGTTTATGCCTGGCTGAGATGGAGAATCCCAGCGCACCTCGCTTCTGTGAGAAACGGAAACGAATGTTCGGTATGTTGCACAACAGACCCAGTCAGCACCTGTTTCTTTGACATTTCCAATGCCATGAGACTGGGCTCCGCATCCCGCGCTTTCACCCGTAGCTCAGTGAAGTCTAACTCCATGTGGTCGTATGGTCATAATCGAGCACACTTCTGATCGCCTACGGCGGCAGCCTGAAAGATTCTGTCATGTGTGCTATCCCATCTATTCATGATAGTCCGACATCAGCTGTTCAGCCAGGAGTCGTTCAGTAGCTCTTTCGCTGTCTTCCTGTCTTCTGGTCTCCATTGTAGCATTCCTCGTACGAAGTCGAGGAATTGGGACTTGTTTGAACCTTCCAGACGAGTCTCGGCTTCCTCCAGGCTTCTTTGTGCTACTGGCACATCGGCAATAAAGTTACCTACTTCGCAATTAGCAAGTGTTCATGCAAAGATGTTTTGTCTCAAAGATCCTAGCGGAGATCGCAAGAGCTCGAGTAGCATCAGAGCATGCTGACCTTGTTCATCGAAGAACTCGTGACTTCTTTTGCCACGTCTGAGGAACTCCTTCGGTGGAGGCCCTAATGTGCCTATCAACTCGGCAAGGTGTGCTCGGGTAGAATACCCCTCTCCGTCGGGATCCTGACCGTGGAATAGATGCTGGCCTTCAAAAAGGTCCCATACCATAGCTCCTACGTTCCAGATATCAATCGGATATTTCCAGTCAGTCTTTATCATAACTTCTGGTGACCGGTAGATGTTGGGCTGGGCATCATGGTTTCTCTTCTCATCGCCGCGAACAGCTGCACCAAAATCGCTTAGAACGGCGCGCCCGTAGCGCTTAGGTTGACTGAAGGACCTGCTAGCCAGTCAGAAGGTTAAATGAGTCGTATGTTATTATAGTACTGAAGTCCAGAGGCATGGATCAGCCCGTGGTCCAAAACCAAGCAGCTTAACTGCAACGGCTTTTCCTCTCTTGTATCGTACCTTCGAGCATATATTGTCTCTCCATCAACAAATTTGCGAGGGCATGGGTGCTCAAGCTCTTTTTCGACGAATTCTGTTAATATCGACTCGTCTTCGATCTCCTGAAGGATATTGTCGCCTTTGATATCTAGACATTTGATCAGATCTGAGAAGTGTTTAGTAAGCATGCGAGTTTGGCACTGCCTTACCGGTATGGACTATCTTGCACTCCGAGTGCAGGTAGTCGAGAGCTAAGAAGATTTGTTGAAGACCGGCCTTAAGAAGTTCCTCTGTAAAACGATGGCTGGGATTCCGATTGAGAAGAGCCGAGAAGCTGTCCCACATCGGACGTTGGACGAGACAGCGATGAGCGTAGCCCCCTTCTCGCTGTATCATGAAGGTGTCAAGGGCAGACGCTACGTAAGGGTACCCAGGATGGCTTGGGTTGGTTTGGCGGATCGTTCTGTAGAGCTCAAACTCTTCCTCGTGAGCTTGACCACGTGTATAGACCTTGAGTACGACATGACGCTGGGCTTGCATGTCTCGAGCCAACCATACTGTTGAAGTTGATCCAAAGCCGAGCTTGCCAACAACCTGATATCGTGAGGCAAGTGTATCGCCTAGCTGCATCGGATAGAAGAGACCTTGGCGAAATTCTTCTAATCCCTCTTCTTCGAAAAACACGTCGTCGCCGTATACTTTGAAGCCGCTAGTGGGAAAACGTAGTGGAGAGAAGGTCGTCGACGTGCGCTTGACTGACCTGCTCAACCATCTGAAGAGAGACATGTTTCGATGACGGCGGCAGTCCGCGCAGTCATTGTAGATACAAAGATACCTTGACGACTTGAAGTAGGCAAGCACAATAGGGGAGTGGTAATGCGTGGGCGCTTCGAGGCCAGCGTGCTGCCGAAGTTGTCCCGAGCTTGCCTTGCCCACATCACCACACCTCGTACGCTCTGCTCTCAATACTCCAAAATTGCAGATGCGCAAAATCTTTTCTGCGGGCGCCCGCCCATCGTTCGCAATCACTGCAGCCATGCCGTCTTCTGGGTTCTTTTTCGGGGAGATTCCCACCTTCCCACGTACTCCAACCACTGCCAATGGGCAAAGGCGCTCTATCAGGGCTGAAGTAAGGTAGCTGTGCCACGAACGCATCTTCCTAGATTCTGATATGGCGACTCGAAGCTTGACCGTGCGGTCACACGGGTCCCAACAGCCACGGTTTTGGATAATCAAGGCCCAGATTTCATGGAATCTGCGCGTGTGCCAGTGGCTTAGCAATGATCTTCAGGCGCTGCTCCTGGGGATCAATTCTGGACGAATCAAACGTGTCTTCTGGGACAGCTGAGGCGTGCATGTTTGGTGCTCGTTCCCTCTGCTCGACGGCGTCTTCCGCAGGGTACTCGAGACTACACTGTGAAGCGCATACCGAGGCGAAGCCCAAGATTTCTTGAGGGCCCAACATGTGTTCACCAAGATACGGACTCATTGGATGCGATGTAGAAAGCAGGGCTCACAACCGCGTGGCGTGACACATTTGCCCTCGCCTTGAACACAGAATCTTCAAGCTCTGCAGCTCTACCCGGCATGTCTTGTTTCTTCAGCACCGCTATCAGGAAGCTTCTTCAATGGGCCGGCTTCGACACGCATAGATTGTCAAAGGATTGGCAAGAAGCTGTGGAAAGTTTACTCGACATGGAGACTGTGCAGAGCAAGTTGGTATCTCTCGAGGACGCAGTTGTTGACTTGGAGCTAACGAGCCATTGTCTCGAAATTGAGAAAGGTCAAAGGAGTCTCCATCAAGTTCGGCCAGGCAATGATCTGTCGAGGAATCAGTGGTGCTAATATTGAGCTTCCTACCTCAGGTCAAGGAATAACAAACCTGTTCATCAACCTTCCTCCAATCCTGCGAACAAAGAGTGGATTAACAGCGCAAGAATCAAGGCTCAAAAGGATACGAGAACCTGACATGTTTACAAAGATGGCAGAGGGACGACCAAGAAAGGAGAAAGAAGTCGTTGAATCCTTCGTGGTACCAAAAAGTCCTGGGCTGGTGTCATGTTGGAAGCTGCCTTTGTGAACTCTGCAGCTGCGCTGCAAGCACTCATTTTGCTGGCCGACACGAGGAGAGACTGTTCCGTTCTGACCGTTTGCTTGCGTTCAGGCGTTCAGTATGTAATATTGTCAATCGGTTGTGCTTTGCTGAACATCGACCTGTGTGTTTCAATGCCGGTCCTAGTTCCCCGAACTGTCGTATCGTGTCGAATCTGGCTCGGCAGCGGCGCTGGTATACTCGTCGAACGGTGAAGCTAGCCATCAGAGTGAACCGGGGTTTTCCGAGTGCGAACCGAAATATTCTCTTGTCTCCTGTCTGGCTCGTTCGACGCACCACAAACCGGGGGAGGGCGGAAGAAAACCCAGAATTGATGAAGGTGTCGTTCGGCTCGGCATAATAACAACAGGCTCAGCAGGCAATTGTGGACCACCGGCTGCACGCACAAGACTAGGTGCGTTCTGTGTACGTTGGTCAGCCCACGATATTATTGTACGCCGACTGTTGTGACGGATAGTGGGGGATATTAGCAAGGGCATGCATGCGTAGCGGGGAAAAGACGATCACGTGCCGATGCTGAATTCTGCAGGGCAAGAGAGTCACGTGGGCATGGTGGGATGAGCAGGTTGGCTCCCTGTCGTGCCTGCCCAATGGAGACCGGTCCCTTGCTCGGCAGAACTTGGTAGAACCTCACTCCAAGGTTTAAAAGACTCTCCCGTCATCTCAGCTTTCTCCGTTCAACAATCACAACGAGCATACCAACTCAAACCCGATCAAAACCGCCATTTCCAACCACATCAACACAACCAGCAACATGGGTGTCACAAAGCAGGTCATCACTCCCGGCGACGGCCAGACCAAGCCAAAGGACGGAGACAACATCACCATGGAGTACACTGGATGGCTCCAGGACACCAACTCGCCCACTGGCAAGGGAAAGCAGTATGTCTTTAGGTGGGAGCATCCACATAACGAGAGGCGCTGACCATGCTTTAGGTTTGACTCCTCCGTCGGTCGCGGCGACTTTGACGTAAGGATCGGAGTCGGCCAGGTCATCAAGGGTTAGTCGCGCATATCTCGATGGCTACAAGTCGCTAACACGCATTGCAAGGCTGGGACGAGGGCGTTGTCAAGGCAGACGGCGGCATGTCTCTCGGAGAGAAAGCAACTCTTACTATCACCGGGTACGCCCCGCCCGCGCTTGATGTCTGTCAGACACTGACATGACACAGCGATTATGCCTACGGATCCCAAGGATTCCCAGGTCTTATTCCACCAAACGCCACTCTGATCTTGTAAGCCATCGCTTCGCCATACGAAATGAACGAAGACTGACCGAGACGTCTATCCAGTGATGTCCAGCTCAAGGCCATCAACGGCAAGCGTGCCTAAGCATTGTCAACCAGGCGACAATGCTACGACGATCAGCATACACGGATGAGTTCTCGTTCCAAGTGAAGGGTCATCGATATGTGTCTCTGAATCCTTGAGAAGAGATGTTACGAATCGACAGGTAGTCCTATCTTCTGAAACTAGATGGTCTCAAATGAAGTACACGGCTCACTGCCAAAACAAAAATTCCCTCCACTCCTCTCCTGCACCATTAGTCGTTTACTCATCTCAACTATGCTTCGTCGACACATCTGGTACACCAGCGGCTGTCCTCCGAAAGCGACAAGGGTGGCAGGGAAGCTTTCGTACAGAACCAGAAGGAATCGGCAATATCCCAGCCACCTTCAACCGTCCGGAAAGCGTGGTACGCCAACGGCTGTCCTCGCAGGTACATCTTCACACCCTGACACCCTCATCACCACACACTGAATATTGGGCATCCCGGTCGGCACGCTAACGGCTGTCCTCCGATACATCTCACTCCTCCAACCGATATTGACCACCGAGATCGGTACCCCAGCCACTCTCGTATCCCGACCTCCCATATCGCACACACAACAGGGTACACTAGCGGCTGTTCCAAGATTCCGCTGCTGACAGTCGAAACTGGCACACTAACGGATGTCTTCCCCCGCAAGCAATGCTACATTCTCTGTGTATCCGCCTTTCGAATCTCTCCGACTCTTCTCTCTTTATTATACCTTGTGAAAGTATCCACCCTAAAAGCTGTCCTCCACCGTAATAATAATTAAGCACCCACAGCGAGATGAATGATACATACATACATGTTCATCAACTCGCCCATCAAGAAGCGCCTCACTTTTTACTCCAAGCAAGCCCCATCCCCAAAAGAACCACATTAAAAAAAGAATGAAAGCCTTTGAATTCCCCTCATCTTAACTGCCTATCTATCTATATTCGTCTCCTCTTAAGACACTTCCCACAGTTATCCAAACAAATCCATCGACAAGGCCCAACACGCTAACGGGTGTTCGACGGGCAAAGACGTGCGATTGCCTATCTCGCAGGAAGAGGAGGAGTTAGTGGTCGGGGTCACTTACGATTGCCATTTCTGGAAATCGCACAAGTCTCTTCAGTTGCCTTTCGCAAGCATGGCCCCGTAAATACTTGGGGATGCTGACGTGATATTCGGATCAAAAACTCAGGGCGAGAAAGCTTGACAGAACAGATGATGATCTATATCCAGCGGTGAATAGAAAAGAGGTTTTACTTTCGAAGTAGATACTACCTACGACCACTTTTCCTCTTCCTTGCCTCATTGCCACTCCCCTTCGAAGTCGAAGGTCCAGCAGGAATAGGCGCAGGCGGGTTGGGATTCGGTATGCTCCTGACCTGATATCCACCGTTGTCATCCGGGACTATATCGACCTGAACCCCCTGATCTTCGCTGCTGCTGCTGCTACTGCTCGTCTCCACTCTCCGCAAAGCACTACCCGCAGGCTGACTTCTCGTAGCTAGAGGCGAAGAAGAGGGCGGCGCACGACGCAAATTGGCGTATCGGACATCAGGTGGACCACTGGCGTGTCTTCGCCCTTGCGCTGCAGGCCCGGGCGGAGCCATGTCGTAATCTTCCGGGTGTCGGTAGCCTGTGTACTGCGCGTTCGAAGCAGAGCGAGTTCGCGAGGGTGGTGGGGGGTACCAATCGACATCATCAGGGTATGGGCGACTTGAGCCTTCTCTCGACTCCGGTCGAGGAGCGGCTGGATAGTAGCGGTGCGGCAACGCCTGGTACAGCTCTGGAGGCGTCGACTCTCGTCGGCTTTGCTTCGAGGATGATCTTGATCCGGCTCCTCCAGAGGGCGACCTGCGCGCGAACTCCGGACTTGGTGGTCCATAATATGCAAGCGGAGCATACACGGGAACGCCATTAGGTCCTGGCACCATGATCCCCGGCGCAGGTGATCCAGGTGGATATTGAATGGCCTGCTCGGCTGAGGTTGTCCTCGTCATCTTCGCCTTGGAATTCGACTTGGCTGGAGAGCCGAAGAAGCCCGAGGAATTCTTCTTACGTGATTTCTGTGCAGGCAGATTGCTCGAGCTACTGTTGCGGCTTGTAGTCCTCGCTCTTGACTTGGGCGTGGGAGGCGGCGACGCAAGAGCGGATGCAGGCTCCAGCTGCGGGCTATTCCTGCGCTGCAAAGCGTCCATCTCTTCCGGCGTCAAGTTGACGTTCGTTTTGCCCTTCTCCCTTGCCCGCGCAATGCGATCCAAGGCTGACTGAACCAGCGGCTCTCCCCTCGCTCGCCCTGCGTTCTGATATGCCGCGCTTCGCTGTTGGTCTCGGTAGTATGCTTCTTCCTCTTCCGAAATGTAATCATCATATGCTTCATCGTACACTCCCCGTCTAGGTCCTCTATCCTGTCCCAGGTCATGACCATCAAAATACAATTGGTCGCCCGCGTAACCTCGCAGACGTCGCTCCCGTGTTGCAAACCTGTTCGGCTCCAAAATAACGCCTTGTCCATCGTCTTCATCGCTTTTCAGCTCTTGTAAGCGCTCGCCATAGCGCACTGGATCACGAAGCTCCCAATCTTGCGGATATCCTCTTCGCCTATTCCCGCCGAGAGCTCCGGGTGGTCTTCCCATTTCGTAGGGCGAAGAGTGCGCGGCCGACCACCTAGACCGCCTCCTCGGAGAAACTAGCTGCTACATCTTTCTCCATCAACGCTGCGTGTCCGAGAATGGTCACTCCAGAAGCACCGATCAACCAGAGGATCGAAGTGATCGGAGACGCCCAGAAGAACAGAGGCTACTACGCGGTTAGACACGTCAAGATGCGAGCGCGCGGAAAACACCTACCACTGCGATGACGAAGAGACCCGTGTAGAGCTGCGACACGCTGGCACGCGCGAAACCCACGTCGAGATCCCGACCCTCAAGCTTGCCAATTCCGTACATTCCAGCAATTATCAGCACCAGCGCAAAGAAAAGTGTCAGGTTCGTGAGCAAGCTGTAGATGCTGAGCATGACAAACACCGCCGCGTAGTTGGAGGAGAAGTAGGAGAGGTTGTAGTTGACACGGTTCTGCACCTGGCCGAAGTCTGCGGGTTTGGAGATGCGCTTTACATCGAGGAATTCGCTAATGGGGCGGAGGTTCGCGAATCGCGACGAGACGGAGGCATTTCGCACAGCATCGAAGCGGCCCTGGAGGCTGCACAGTCGAGTAGTTAGCACGTGTTCGACGCTCTGAGCTGTCCCTGCTCGAGATGGGAATACTCACTTGAGGCGGCTGGTGAGCGCGTCGAGGGGAATGTTGATGCGCGACATGATGGCGGTAGTGCGAGGGAGACTGTCGATGTGGAAAGGACTTGCAGAGGGTGGAAAAGCTGAGAGAGAGTTTCATCAGAATCGTGTGCAGTGTGAACTCTGTCCACGCGTGCAGACTGCCGAGTAGTTGAACGCCGCTGTTGACACGGCGCACAAGACGGCGTGCAGGAGAAGAACGCGAAGGAACTCACATGGTTGGTGCAATAGAAGGGCGAGCGAGCGACTTCAATAGAGTAGCAAGAAGCGATGGACTTGAAACGGGAACAAGGCGTGATGACTTTTTGGGGTGGAGGAAGGAGAGGCGCCGAAGTTTCAACAACTTTCAGTGTGGAGGACCGGCTACTATTCCCGATCAGAGCACGGCCCCTTTCACGTGTAATGAGCTCCTCCGCCTCTACTGGGCTGTGCTCCCGGCGCCAAGAAAGGTAAGTGAAGTCGAGGAGAGAGGAGAGGAGAGGAGAGGAGAGGAGAGGAAAGGAGAGGAGAGGTGAGTGATTCCTTCCCACCCAGGCGGCTACGAGGTACATGTATCTATCGCTTTGCAGCACTTCGTGAGGCATTTAAGCTCCAGGGCAGGTCGCAGAAAGCGGGAAGCTTCTCCACGCCGCACCTAAACCGAATCCGGCGCCTTGAAGCCCAATTTCTTCTCCGTCGGGTCTTTTAAGCTGCACACATCTCCATTCAGCGGCACAGAATTCTACTCGTCCGCCATGAGGGACATTGTTCGGGCAGCAACGCTGCTGCTCGTCTGCCTCGTCACCTTTACGATAGCATGGTCCAAAGAGGATCACGAAATCTTCCGGCTGCGGGACGAAGTGCTCGCCGGCGAAGGCCATAATGCCACGTTCTACTCCTTCCTCGGTGTCGGCCCCACTGCCAGCAACGAAGAAATCAACAAGGCCTATCGCGCCCTATCGCGCAGGCTGCATCCGGACAAGGCCCGAAGCACCTGGCTGGCGAATTACAACAAGCCCCAGAAGCCGAATTCAAAGCCAGGCGCAAAGCCGACTGTGCATGTCCAGAAGGACAAGAAGCCGTCGCAGAGCGAGATCACCAAGTTCAATAAAGAGGCGTCGGCGAGATTTGAGCGATTGAGCTTGGTTACCAACGTCCTGCGTGGACCGGAAAGAGAGAGGTACGATCACTTCTTGAGAAATGGCTTCCCCGTTTGGAGAGGTACTGGATACTACTACGAACGATTCCGACCGGGTCTTGGAACGGTACTACTCGGCCTTTTCGTCTTTGTTGGTGGAGCAGTGCACTATGGAGCCATGTACCTGAGCTGGAAGAGGAAGCGTGAGTTTGTCGAGCGATACATCAAACACGCCAGGAAGATGGCTTGGGGCGACGAAGCAGCATACAACTCCATTTCGGGTATAGGAGAAGCGACTGGAGCTTCCACGTCCACACAGCGACCGCAGGAAAGCGAAGAGAGCATGCAATGGAACAGGAAGCAAAAGCGCGCCATGGAGAGGGAGAAGAGAAAGGAAGGCAAAAACCCCGTGAAGAGCGCGAGGGCGGCCGAGAAAGCAAAGACCTCTGGCATCTCTACCCCCGTCGAGGCTGAAGTGACTTCGGGGCCAGTTGGAGCGAAGAAGCGCACTGTTGCAGAGAACGGCAAGGTCTTGATCGTAGACAGCGTTGGGAATGTCTTTCTGGAAGAAGAGACAGAGGAGGGTGAACGACAGGAATTCCTTCTCGATGTAAGTGATCCAGGCGGTCTGTACTGGTGTCGAGATGGAAGCTAATTAACATATCACAGCCCGACGAAGTGCCCGTTCCTTCCATCAACGACACCTTCCTAATCCGTCTTCCAGTGTTCTTGTACAACCAATCGCTGGGAAAGGTGCTCAATAAGCAAACCGCAGACCACATCGAATGGGAAGCAGAAGGCGGCGAGCAAGAACAAGTCGACGAGGTCGAAGCTTCACTCCGCTCTGCAATTCCAGCCAATGCGAACGGCGAATCGCGGAAAAGGAAATCAAAAGCAAAGTGATAGAGCCAGGAGTCTTGTGCTCCCACTTGGGGAATAGAGTACATGCATTTGTAGTACATATCTCCCTCTCGAAAGGCTGAGGGTCTAGTCTTGAACCCGCTCCGCTAGCTCGCTCGTTCTTCGCACGCAAACCACTCGCTGATTGCATCTGAATTGTTGTGCCGTCTGCGAGTTTTATCATCGTTTTGAATCTGACTTGCCTGCCGTATCCACTCCACTGGCCGCAATGCAATGCTTTCCCTCTAGCATAACTCCTTAAGAACGCCCGCTTATTCCCAAGCACAAGTCAAGTCAAATCGCTCCTCCTTCTCTAGAACCAGCCCGAAGCACCCGAAACCATCATCCGTACCACCTCGAATATGATTCCACCGCATACCACGAAGATCAGCATATCTGTATCCAAATCAGTTGACCGCATCCAACTTCCTGCCCAACGATACTACTCACAGACCCAGAAGGGACTGATCGGAGCTTTCTCTTTCTTTTCTTTCTTCTGGACTATCGTTTGGGGTCTGCCCATCTTCTTCTCTTCGGAGCGGGCGAAAGCGGCGTTTGCGCGGCGTTGTTGGGGAGTTTGAGCCTGTAATCCAAGGACGTTAGTTGGTAAAGGAGAGAAGCGTGCTTTGTAGGTTGTACCATTTTGGGAGCCGTGAGCTGCGCTGACTGGAGATTTGTGGTGAGTTGAGAGGTCGCCGGTGGTGGGGAATTGGTGTTTGTTATAGAAAGTTGTGGATGCGGAAACGGTATACCTGGCCTCGGAGTTTAGGAAAGGAAGGAGCTCCCACGCCCGCGCCAAGAGTTCGGTCACAGGCTGGAAGTAGCGCCAGCTCGTGCGGCTCTGCGTGGATCCCGAGCCTCCACTTTCTCGACTATTTGGCTCGCTAGGTTGCCAACTTCATGTACATTACAAACATCTTCGCTTTTGCTATGGAGGTCATGGAAACTCGATGATTGCAGCTCGAGCACTGTACGCGGAACATTAGCGTTGACTCTCGGCGGACTACTGGACTAAGACAAAATGGCACGCTATCCCACTTTCGAGGACTATGCTAAGAAGGGAAACTTCCAAGATGGCATCAAGAGATGCGATGACCTCTTGAAACGGAACCCGAAAGACACACAGCTCCTGATCGTCAAGCTGCGACTGCTCTCGGCTTCTGGGCAGAATGGATTGGAAATCCTCGATCAACTCGCTGCCACTCAACCGCCTATCCAACACCTAGCCGAGCTGACGGATATCGAAACTGCTGTCGTCGAGTCAAATAAGGACGTGTTCCCGCCTCCGTCAACTGCAGGGCCCATTGTATCGAAACTTTGGGACGCTGCCTTCAAGACATCCAACTCGACGGAATACAAGCTGGAATTGGTCTCTCTCCGCTTCTCAAGAGCCGTCTACGACAATCGATTACAGGATGCTCAACAGACGCTCATAGCCATCAAGGCTTTCCAGCCGAGGAATAGGGCCGTATACATGGCTCACGCTGCTTACACGCAACTGCTCTCGAGTTCCAAGGATGATTTGCAGTCCCGCTTGGCGCTTTCACTGGCTCGCAAGGCTGTCAGTGAGAATTTTGACGAGGATAAGGCCCTTGATGTACGAGTTCCTGGTCAAATATTTGCTTTTCAGGAAAGTGAAAAGGATCTTGAAAGTATCAGGGACAGGCCTTTTCGGGAGAGTCAACAGGTCTACAAGGCCTTGAAGTTGAGCGAGCCGGTTCAGCTCAATAGTGCTCCGGCACATCAACGTGTGGATCCAGCAAAGGCGACACCGAGAGAATGGTTGACGGCAGAGGTGGAAAGTCTCAAAGAAGAGTTCTCAAAGCTGATAGAGGCGAACGCAGCGGCAGGAGTGCTGAAGGCATTCGTCGCCAACGCGATTCGCTTGTTTCATACCGCAATCACCTCGCTAGATCTGGGTGGTCGAGATCGAGGTGCAGCGGATGCATGCTTCCTTGCCGTATCCGGTCTTGTCAAGCTATATGTCAACACCAGGGATTGGAACCATCTGCTGCAAGCTGCATATCTCAGCGAGCGACTCTTGAAACACAATGAGAATATTCACGAAGCGCGCCTCGTTCTGGTATACATCTACATGCGCCTCGGCCTAGGGAAACTTGCGGCGCATATCTTCGATTCCCTCCGAGTGAAGGAAGTACAGCACGACACCGTTGGACATACCCTCTTCACGCGCCTATCCATCACACACCCCTTCCAAACATCAGAGCCCCGAGATTGGTTCGATCCTCACGAGCGCACATACAAAGCTCTGGGTATCTATGCTCGACACGAAGACAAACTCGCCGACTGCGAAGCGGGAGTCCTGGATCACAGTCAGACAGGCATGGTCTTCGACCTTCACGAATTGAGAGATAGCTTACGTCTCAGCCTGGCTCGGAGAATCACTGCCCTAGAACATCGTAGAGTCGCTCGGCTTACTGGCAAAGCTGTCGCCAAGAACACTCTGAATACCGGACCGCGGGTCGTGGCCAATTGGACCACCACGAAAGACAACCGCGATTTCAATGGTGCTTTTGATTATGGCTTCAACGTTGAGAAGGCTCTATACGGCTCCGTCGAGAGCTCAAAGACGCTTTTACACGATCTTGCCGCAGATACCGCTTGGGCATTGTCTACCAACCATACTCCCCTCGTCAGAGACTCCGACAAACTGGCGGAAGCGATACAGTCCGCGCCCTCAGAAGAACCCGCCACTGCGCAACTCCTCGCAGGCGACGTAGCTCTAAAACTACTCGCCATTCTCCCTACCCCATCATCCAAGGAAGCCTTCGAAGCTCTCGCCAAGGCAATCAAAACCCTTCCCATCGAGAGCCTTCTCCAGACGAAAGACGATCTGGCCGAGACCCTCACGGATCACTACACATACGTTGATATTCTGAGGATTGCGATGTATACCTGTCGACACATTCCCGCCGCAACGGAACAAGAAGCGGTCAAGAACCTGCAAGACCTATCCAAGAGTCTCATCTCTTCTGTACAGAACCATGCGAAAGCGCAGGCTACTTCCACAGCGACGAAAACTATCCGAGAGCGGATGCTCAGAGACGAAGATTTGAGAGGATCAATCGAGAAGTTTGGGGAGGAGGATTTGGAAAGGTTCTGTGAGGCTGTTGTGGGAGCTGCGAAGGAGGGATGGGACGGTGTTCTGAAGATCAAGATGCCTCCTGTTGCTGCTGCTGCTTCATGACTTGGAACTTGCAAGATGTTGTACAGGTACGACGTTACATGTACTGTTGCAGTTGGCTTGTTGGTGGTACTGATACGCTACTGCTTGCTACTGCCGATAAATAATAAGTGAAAGGCTCGACGCTTGCCTTTCGCAACGCCGACGCTTTGAATGCTTAGAAATACGAGTGCATGCATGCATGCATGCGTCATGATGCTTTATGGGGTATCTTCTTCTTCTTCTTCTCCTCCTTGATTCTTTTTCTCGTGTTGCTCTTCTGGACTCTGTTGTTTCGTCTGTGGGGTATTCTCGTCTTCATCATCGGTGGGTACGGGTGTAGGAAGCTGACTAGGCTCCCTGCTCGCCTGCGGGGTGGCCTCTTTGCTGGAGAGGATAGCTTCTTCCGTCAGCCCTCGTTCGGCTGCCAGACGTTGCGCTTCCCCCCTCTTGCGCGAAATGGAAGCTTCTTCTTCCTCTTCGATCCTCCTTTCTTCCTGTTTCAATTCCGACAGCGAAGGAAATACCTGCTCTTCCACTTCTTCCTCTTCCTCCTCATGCTCCTCCGGTGTCTGCTGCGCTGTGCCCCTGGCTCGACTTCGCGTTTTCTTCTTCCCTGAACTCTGCACACTTCGCGAAGAAGCGGTCCGGCGCGTGGAAGTCCTCGAACCCGTGCTGGGCCGTTTACTTTTCCTTCGCGTTTGGCTTTCGGTTTTCTGCGAACTGCTTTCTGTATCGCCCATGATGGAAGGTGTGGCGCGGCGTTCGAGAACCATGGCGAATTCGTCGTCGAGGGGAATGGCGTCGTCTTCTTCGTCTGAGGGGAAGATGTCGCCTCTACTGCTGTAGGAATCGGAGGTCTCGTGGGAACCCACCGTTCCGCTTCGCGCGCGGGCGTGACCTCTTCTTCGTCTGGAGCCGTCGCCTTCGTCTTCTCCAATGTCGTGAAGAAGTGCTTCGCCCTCGGTCAGATCACGACTTGTCCTTCTCGCGCCCGGATGTTCTTGTAAATCCGCCGCGCCGGGTTTATAGCGGACTCCCTTCCCACTGCCACCGAATAGCTTTCCCCAGAAACCACTGCTACCGGGTTTGACTGTCGGGTCGCTTTCAATCACACTCTTCTTCCGCCCTCCCTTGGCGCCGTAGCTCATCCCTCTCTTCCTGCCCGGTTGAGCAGTCTGAGGCGCGACAGTCCCATAGCCACCACCACCACTCCCCACCAACCGATCGAATTCCTCATTCCCCCAGCCCCCCAACAACCCATCATTCTCGTCCTCATCCCAATCATCGTAGAAATCAAAGCTCAGCTCCGCTCGCCCTCTGCTCCGTCCCCGATTGCGCCGTAATCTGTCACGTTGGGAGATATGCAGCGAGGGACAACTGGCGTCTACGCATGTCGTGAGGCATTGTCCCACGGAGGAAAAGCAGGGTTTTATGTAATTTTCGCCGAAGATGTACAGGGACGACTGGGCGGATTCGTTTGCGTTCTCGAGCGTCTGGCCGATTTCGTTGAGGCGGCGGCGGAAGCGAGGATCGTTGGTTCTGTACATTGTGAAGGGGAGTGGGAGGGCTGCATCAGGAAGAGCGTGGAGTGGACGTGCGAATGTTCCGCTCTGTTGTCTGCGCGATGGTGGAGATGTTCAACGCGAACTGCTGGGGCTGTGGTTGAAGGTGGAGTAAGGAAGGGTTAAGCTGGGGAGAGCTCGCTCGTTCCGCGGTAGCAATTCTGTTGGGTGATTTGGAGCGGGAACTAACGGATGTCCGGAATGCAAGGCATACCTTAGGCAGGTCAAAAGGCGGGTCGCCCGGCAGAACAACTGCACTGCATCACACACGGCAATCTGCACCCACTCCACACTTCCATTGTGCATGCCGACCACGTCTGCTTCAACGTGCGCCTCGAGATGGACCAGCACCTCACTGCCGACTGTACTCGCTAAGAAGCATATGGGTGATTTGTAGTCGGAACGCTCGTTGGGGAATAGCGGCGTGATGGAGGTGCGTAATGGTTTCCGCGAGCGACGTGCACATGCTTTGATACTGTATTTGATTGCACCAGGTCTTACAGACATGGTATGGTCGACTAGTGCGTGTCGGAACGCGAAACTACCAGGTTGACGCGTCCGCGCGCGTTCTATTGGATTTTCCTTCGGTCGCCTGTTGCCTGTCCTCTCTCCCCTCATCATCATTCTGCCACCCATCAACGTCGACGAAGGCGCAACACCATCCCCAGCCAGCAGAGAGAAGCAAGCATGGCATCCGTGGAAGACTTCCATACCTACCTCAGGGTCAAAGTGGATGTACCCGTCGGCGACGACACGAGCCAGCTGACTTTCGAGGTGGACCCGAGCGTCTACAATGGGGCCATGAGAGACTCCGCCGAATTCATCCAGAAAATGATGGAAACCGCGCACGATTCATCGGCAGCTCGCAACGAACGGGCAAACAAGAGACGGCGGATCGAAGCCCCGCGGCGCACGCAAGGCAATATCACCTTCACACTCCAAGGCAGAGAAGCCGCCGTTACCTACACCGTACCTGCTTCGAGGGCTTTCGAATCTGCCCTGCGGGATTTTGCGGCGCAGGAAGGTCGCGAACTTACTCCTTTGAGGCTGTGCTACAAGGACTGGATTGTTTCGTCTGAGGATTCGCCGGCACAGGTAGGTGTTTGCCTTCCTTGATAGACAGACGGAGATGTGCTGATGGCCTGGACAGATTGGGCTGGAGGATGATGCCGATATCCTCGTCTTACAACTTGCTAGATGAGCGCTCGGGTCCGTGCTGTGGCTGGACGGTCGCCGCATCAAACGGCGCATCTTGTGTATGTTTTGACATTGGGATCTGGAAAGCAGTCCGTCAGGCTTGCCAGCTACCTTCAATTTACGCCGTCTCCGTACGAGAAGAATCTAAGGACGATCGCGGTGTACTCATGGCATTGTGCGTCGACTTTGATGGTAGCAATCCATCATCACCTTGATGCCATATCGTTGCCGCAAGTCATGAGCCTCGCAAGGTAATAGACATTGTTCAAATGCCCAACGAGAGCGCCTTGGCTGGCAGAGTACGGAGCTTGTACATGTCAAGTTTGATCACTGATATGAAGTTTTGACCATGACATAGACACGCACAGAAATTTCCCACACACACACAAGAAACGCCAAATCATGACCTCACGTGTCCTTCTTCCCCAAATTCCATGACCCTGATTAACCCGAAGACAGAAAAGCAACAAGATCACATGAGCAGACTGCTCCCCAACCCCTCGCACACTACTACTCGGGAGAAATCGCGGTAGTTGGAACATGGCGTCTTGGCAGGGTCAAACTACTCATTCCACACCTGTTGCACCTCCCGATACACATCACCTCTCCAAGCGCGCGGATATCGCGACCACTGCGACCCGTTCGATCTCCGGAGCCACGCCCGCTTCATGCAGGGCAACAGCAGGGCCTCACGTTCCAGATCCCTGCCGAGACCACGTGCGAGTCATTCACACACAACGGCGCTGAGTCCGCCACGACCAATCAGATTTCCGGAATCTCGGGAAAGGCTTCCCCCGGCACCAATCAGCATGCCGTGATTTCTGTGATTTCTGGGGAGGAGTCGAAGTTTGACGTTGATGTTCACCAGGGAAACCGTTCGGAGTCTGTGTCGCGAGTTTCTTTGAAAGACCCTGTGGTTCATGCGGGACGTTTCGATGAGCATCAGCATCAGAGGAGGGAAAAGATGGAGGGGATATATATTATCAAGTCCGAACCCACTGACAGCGTCCGAATGTTTCGGACAAACTTCCAAATCTTTGAAGAGGTATACTTACTTCATCCATCATCTACATGTATTGTCTCTGCCCATCCTCCTATTCGTGGGAAAAAATCACCTACGAGGACGAAAAGCCCAAGGATAAACGCGACCTCGCAACTCCGCGAAAGCAAGGCATCGTCGTGAAGACGAAACAGATCGACGAAAATAGGCCTTCGCCGCCATTGTCGTCGCCTCGCCCTCAGACGAATATGACAGAGAAACCGAATTCGTTTGAGAGGGAATCGAGAGAGAAGCAGAGGCGGCGGAAGGGAGTGTGTATAGGCGGGACGTTGGAGTGTAAGAACGCCCCAGTTCTCTCTCTCAATACAGCCTCCGGGTACTGACTGCCGTACTACAGGTTTCGGTCTCGACCACATCCGACACCATCCCACAAAACAACACTCCCCACTGATCGACTACACTCCACGCACAAAACCCGAATGCCGGAGCGAAGTCATCCAATTATATGTCGCTGGCTCGGATTCGAGATTCCTCGTTAAGATGCGGAGAGGGACGAGTTTACAGCGGGCGCTGAGGTGTTATGCTGAGAGGCAGATGGTGGAGGTGGAGAGGTTGAGGTTAATCTTCGATGGGCGGATAGTGGATGAGCGGGAGACGCCTGGGGAGCTGGGGCTGGTTGATGGCGATGAGGTGTGGGTTTTCGCGTTGGCGCCTTGATTTCGTCAGGAAGAGGAGAAGTTTTTTAATTCGAGAAGATGATTGATGAAGGGAATAATGATAATGATAATGAGACATGATGGAAATTCTGCTTCCCGTGGATGTCAGTGGTTATGGTTGTGAACTTTTGTCGTATGTCATGTCACAGACGGAGAGAAGTTGATTCCTCAGGCACCACGGCACCCCACCTTGAGCTGTCGGATGACAACCTGGAAGCTTCGGCCAGAGCTTCTGCTGATGATGTCTGTCGCATTCACAGCAGTAGTACTAGTACTCCAGTTCATATCGACATTGTGCTTCTTCTCGATCGCATATTCTACTTCTGAAGTAGCTCGCCGGCTCAGCATTCACCGGTCAGACGCATCTCGCGCATTTGCGTGTCAGTATTCTGCTTCTCCTCACTCCGAGAGCTCCTTTCGGACATTCGGGGCGTCGCTTCGCACAGAGGTGCGACTCCGTCATGGGCGTCTTGGGAAAAGCAAGTCTGCCGTCTTATCAACAAGCCAAGCCAAGCATGAAAATACCGTACCTTAGCTGGCGCAGTGCGTATTCTACAAATCTGGATGCCTGAGGATGACTGCAGACGTGTTTCTGTGCGAGCTGCATGTGGTCCATTCGGAGGAGGTTCGGGGAAGAGTTGCTCGTTCTCCTCCGCCAGCGGGCAACGTCAGACCATCTCATCTCTCTGGCGGCGGTCTTGCTATGACTATGACTGATACGATGGAGGGCGCGGATGTTGCTGATTGAGCCAAGCGGTCTGTCGTCCAGCACAAGGGCTCACTGCGGCGTCTTGGCCATGCATTGGAGTCACCAGTGTGGGATGCGGGATGCTAGGTTTCCCCCTGAGACGTGAGGCTGCACCTGCGGGCTGCACACGGCCAGAAGAGTCTTGCTCTCGCGGTCTCGGCGTCCAGCGCAGCAAGTCTTGTGTGTGACAGAGGTGTCGGCTCGGCTCTCTGTGAATGTGCTGTGTCAGTGACCGACATGTGCGAGAGTACGAGGATGCGGGTCGAGGATGCGGGTCGAGGATGCGGGTCGAGGATGCGGGTCGAGGATGTGTGGGCGGGTTGTGCGGTGGTTCCTGCGGCGGTTGCGCGGGATCGCTATCTTATCCCGCGCACTGACGCTGCCATCTGTCTTACCCGATCGATGCCTTCGGTCCTTCGTTCAACGACGCTCTGTGCTCCTTGACACCGTGCAGGAGAAGAAGATTGTTGGCGGGTGCGGCTGGCTCGACCTGATGGAAGAAGCCCCCACTTCCAAGTACGGACCGTTGTTTTTTCTGCGCGCCAAGAACCGGAATTGCATCCGTTCCCCTGCACGACGCCGGAGAGACGAGGCAGCAGTGCAGCACACAGCACACAGCACACAGCACACAGCACACGGCGCTGTGCTGGGCGGTGGACGGGCGGACGAGCTGGAGTTTCCGAGCAAAGAGGCGCCCGTCCTCTCCAGACTCCTCCGCACTTCCCCAGTTCAGCCCTGCGACCGAGATGAGATACAGTAGACGCATGGTACGTACAGTAGAAGAAACGGAAGGACGAGGAGAAACCGGGTGGTGAGCGTCGCCGCCGTACAGTAGTCACAAATCGTCGTCGTCGCCGTCCCAATTCGTTGCGTGCCGTTATCACCCACCCCAGCGACCGCGCACCCTCGGCCGATCTGCGCTCTAGCTTCCACGTAGCTCGACGGTGGGGCTGGGAATCGCCAGCTCGGGGAGAGCTTCGCGGGAGCTTCCAAAATCACCACTACTGCAATCCATCATATCAACCTTTCCGCCCAGTCACGAGAGTCGTCCTCACCTCTTCGTCCCCTATATTAATCCCTCTCTTGTCGCCAGCCGGGGCACTGGACAAGCACCCTCACAGCTTCGCCCACAATGGCACAGAATGGAGGCAACGATGACTACGGCACGCCCCACGCCGACGGGGACACGCACCAGCACGCCAACACCGTCCACACCCGTCTGCGCGCCAACAGCTCCATCATGCAGCTGAACAAGATCCTCGTCGCCAACAGAGGTGAAATCCCAATCCGTATCTTCCGTACTGCCCACGAATTGTCCCTGCAGACCGTCGCAGTCTACAGTCATGAGGACCGTCTCTCCATGCACAGGCAGAAGGCCGACGAGGCCTATGTCATTGGCAAGAGGGGAGAGTACTCACCTGTACAAGCCTACCTCGCGCAGAAGGAGATCATCAAGATCGCCAAGGACCATGGTGCGTACAAGTCCTTCCGCTGTCCACATCCCTCAGCCCGAGCATTTCGAGCGGTCTGCCCAGTGGCATTGTTCAACAAGGCATTGCGGCGAGTTCACTCGAGTTGCTGGCAAAGACAAACTGTGCAGCTCCCGCAATGCGTACTAGTTGCTAACGATAGACAGACGTTCAAATGATTCATCCAGGCTACGGCTTTCTTAGTGAAAATTACGAATTCGCAAAGGCCGTTGAGGAGGCCGGCATCATCTGGGTTGGACCACGACCAGAGACGATCAACGACCTCGGAGACAAGGTTTCCGCGAGACAACTGGCTCAAAAGGCAGATGTCCCAACTGTGCCAGGAACACCTGGCCCGGTAGCCCAGTTCGAGGCTGCAAAGGAGTTCACAGACGAGTACGGATTCCCCATCATTATCAAGGCTGCCTTTGGTGGTGGTGGCCGTGGTATGCGTGTAGTCTGGAAGCAAGAGGAGCTCAAGGACTCCTTCGAGCGAGCCACGTCTGAGGCGTTGAACGCTTTCGGCAACGGGACGGTCTTCATTGAGCGATTCCTCTACAGGCCCAAGCATATCGAAGTCCAGATTCTCGGTGACAGCTACGGAAATGTCGTCCACCTGTACGAGCGTGACTGCTCTGTGCAGCGACGACACCAGAAGGTCGTCGAATTGGCACCAGCACCAAACCTCCCCGTCGAGACTCGAGACGCCATTCTCAACGATGCCGTGAGACTTGCAAAATCTGCCAACTACCGCAATGCCGGTACCGCTGAGTTCTTGGTTGACCAAGAGGGTCGTCACTACTTTATTGAAATCAACCCACGCATTCAGGTCGAGCATACGATCACGGAAGAGATCACCGGTATCGATATTGTGGCTGCTCAAATCCAGATTGCGGCAGGTGCTTCGCTGGAGCAGCTTGGTTTGACCCAGGACCGTATTTCTACCCGCGGATTTGCTATTCAGTGCCGTATCACGACCGAGGACCCAGCAGATGGCTTCCGACCGGATACTGGCAAGATCGAAGTTTACCGATCTGCTGGTGGTACGTATTGTCTTGAGTAGGACGCTTGTGATCTGTAGTGCTAACCAGCGTTGTAGGTAATGGAGTCAGATTGGACGGAGGAAACGGCTTTTCAGGAGCTGTCATCACACCGTACTACGACAGCATGTTGGTCAAGTGTACTTGCCACGGCTCTACCTACGAGATCGCCCGCAGAAAGGTGCTCCGTGCCCTTGTCGAGTTCCGCATTCGCGGCCTGAAGACCAACATTCCTTTCCTCGCATCGCTCTTGACCCACCCGCAGTTCATCGACGGTCAATGCTGGACAACCTTTATCGACGATACACCCGAGCTGTTCAAGCTCATTGGCAGCCAGAACCGTGCTCAGAAGCTCTTGAGCTACCTCGGAGAACTCATTGTCAACGGTCCTCAAGTTGTTGGCCAGATTGGCGAATCGAAACTCAAGAGCGAGGCGGTCATTCCAGAGCTGGTCGATGGCAAGGGTAACAAGATCGATACCTCCAAGCCATGCCAGACGGGATGGCGTAATATCATCGTGGACCAAGGTCCAGAGGCATTTGCAAAGGCCGTCAGGAAGAACAAGGGCTGCTTGATCATGGATACCACATGGCGTGACGCGCATCAGTCTCTGTTGGCGACGAGAATGCGTACCATCGATATGCTCAACATCGCCAACGAGACCAGCCACGCTCTCAGCAATGCTTGGGCTTTGGAGTGCTGGGGTGGTGCAACCTTTGATGTGGCCATGCGCTTCTTGTACGAGGACCCGTGGGACCGTCTGAGGAGGATGAGGAAGGCGGTGCCCAACATTCCCTTCCAGATGCTGCTACGTGGTGCCAACGGCGTGGCCTACTCTTCTCTGCCCGACAACGCCATTTTCCACTTCTGCGAGCAGGCGAAGAAGAATGGCATGGACATCTTCCGAGTCTTCGACGCATTGAACGATATGGAGCAGCTTGAGGTCGGTATCAAGGCCGTCTTGAAGGCTGGAGGTGTTGCCGAGGGAACCGTCTGCTACAGGTAAGTTTGTCTTAAGCATCACGAACGGTGCAATTGACGCAGCTAACGTTTCGCAGCGGTGACATGTTGAACCCGGAGAAGAAGTACAACCTGGAGTACTACCTGAAGTGCGTTGACCGCATCGTCAACATGGGCGCTCATATCCTCGGCATCAAGGATATGGCTGGTGTTCTCAAGCCAAAGGCTGCCACGTTACTTGTCGGCTCCATCCGCAAGAAGTACCCCGATCTTCCCATCCACGTGCACACTCACGACTCTGCTGGAACTGGTGTTGCGTCCATGGTTGCTTGCGCCCAAGCTGGCGCCGATGCGGTTGACGCTGCTACCGATAGCATGTCCGGTACTACCTCGCAGCCCAGCATTGGAGCTCTGGTAGCCTCGCTGGAAGGCAGCGACTTCGAATCTGGTCTCGACGCACACTTCTTGCGCCAGATCGACGCCTACTGGGCTCAGATCCGTCTGGTCTACTCGCCCTTCGAGGCTTGGCTCACCGGACCAGATCCAGAGGTCTACGAGCACGAGATCCCTGGTGGTCAGCTCACCAACTTGATCTTCCAAGCTTCGCAACAAGGCCTTGGCTCGCAGTGGGCTCAAACGAAGAAGGCTTACGAGCAAGCCAATGACTTGCTTGGCGACATCGTCAAGGTCACTCCCACCTCCAAGGTCGTGGGTGACTTGGCCCAGTTCATGGTCGCCAACAGTTTGACTCCGAAGGATGTCCACGAGAAAGCTGAACAGCTCGACTTCCCTTCGTCGGTGCTTGAGTTCTTTGAGGGTCTCATGGGTCAGCCCTACGGTGGCTTCCCTGAACCACTCCGCTCGAAGGCTCTGCGCGACCGCAGAAAGATGGACAAGCGACCCGGCCACTATCTCAAGGCCGTCAATTTCGACGAAGTCCGCAACAAGCTCAGAGAAGAGTACGGTGGATGCTCCGAGACAGACGTCGCCAGCTACGTCATGTACGCGAAGGTGTTTGAGGACTACAAGAAGTGGACCAACAGGTTTGGCGATCTCTCAGTCCTACCGACCCGGTACTTCCTCAACAAGCCTGACGTTGGCGAGGAATTCCACGTTGAGCTGGAGAAGGGTAAGGTGCTTATCCTCAAGCTCCTGGCCACTGGACCACTCAGCGAGCAGACCGGTCAGCGTGAGGTCTTCTTCGAAGTCAACGGCGAGATGAGACAGGTTACCGTGCAAGACCAGCACGCTTCGGTCGAGAACAAGAGCCGCGCCAAGGCCGACGCCGGCGATAGCAGCCAAGTCGGAGCACCGATGCAAGGTATGGTCGTCGAAGTCCGTCTCGAAGAGGGCCACGAAGTCAACAAGGGAGACCCAATCGCCATTCTCTCTGCCATGAAGATGGAAATGGTCATCTCCGCACCACACTCTGGCAAGGTGGAAAACCTGAGCGTCAAAGCCGGCGACTCTGTCGACTCGCAAGACTTGATTTGCAGAATCGCAAAGTAACGTGGAATGGGATCATGGGGTGCTTCTTGGACTACTTACTTCTTGTACGGGATGACTGGGGATGTAAATGCGCATGTGTTTTCTCTTCTGCGGGCACGGCTGACGGCTGACGGCTGACGGCTGACGGCTGAGGCACCACCACGCTGTTGTTGTTGTTGACCCAGGTAACGCTTTGAACGAATTCATTTACTTTTTTCTAAAACTATTCAGTATCGAGGTTTTTTTTTTCCTTGGACAATTCGTGGCCATCTCCCCACCCCTTTGCCCTTATGCATCACAGGCCTGCCTGCTGTCACATGAGAATCCACGCTACCGCCGGAAACACGCATCATCCGGGCGGCTTCTGTTGGGCCCGAGCTAGGGCGCTTGCCATTGACTGTCTTCGACGACCCGACTCGTTCGCAATCCCTCACGATGATTTTCACCGAAAACGGCACAATCTTTACATTTACATATCGTCAGATCGCTTCCGTGATGGGACCGGGATTGTCCGGAAGTGCATGGAATGGAGAGACAGAAAGAAACGAAAAAGTCTGCGATTCCCGAAAAGTTCTCTATTCCTCGATGATAGTATTATTCAACACAATCACGGGCAAAGGATCTAGGATATCTAGGTTCTGCTGGCTCCCAGAGGAATGTTCCCTAAAATGTAAGGGCGTGTCTTGTGTGCTTTACTTCTTCTGTTATAAACACCACCACAAATCAAGACTCCCTCAAGTCTCATTGTTGCTTTTTTTCAACCCCATTGGAACATGATGTTCTTCTTTCCCTTATTGCCTTTCTTCCTCCCGGCATGCTCCGACCCGTCTTCGAGCGCAGGGGCGGCCGGCGTCGAAGCACCACTGCCGCTTCCCCAGGCCGTCACCGGAGTGCGACTGGCGTTATTTCTAATGACACCCGCGCCGGTGTAGCCGGGAGAGAAGACGGTCGATGTGGGCTTCTTCGCTGCTGGGAGAGCAGGGAAAGCATCGGCTTTGGAGAGATTCGCCGACGACTGCGCTCTGCTGGGCATCGGAGACGGGCGAGCAGATCCGGTCGCTGGAGTTCCGGTTCTTGTGGCACCAGCCGAACCTGCAGGCCGCATTGACAGCCACCCAGGTGTAGGGGCCGGAGGTGCTCGTCCGCCTGATGGCAACGATGGGAACGGGTTGGAAGAGCTGGATGCACCGGCGCTCCCCCAGGATGCTTGCTTTCCGACCGCAGAGCGAGAGCTTTGCGCCGTCGAGCTCTTGAGTTTCAGAACACGCGAGCTTCCAACGCCCTGGCCCAAAATACCTGCAGCCGTGGTGTTGGCGCCTGCTGGCCCTGGAAGTGATGGATAGTCTTCGTTGATCGCTTTCCAGTCGGACCACGCTTTCAACAGAGCATCGCGCTTTGCAGCCGCTTCGAAGATGTCTGCCAGCTCTTTGATGAGCTTACCAAGTTGATCTGAGGTCGTGTCGAATAGTGCGAAGAATGCATCAATGAGGTCGCCAGCACTGATGGCGCCTTTGCGATAAGTGGATATGCGCTCCCGGAACTCGTCCAGCTTGACTTTGTCGTTCCTGCAGAGGTTTGCAGCCCGCTCACTCACCGCAGCATGACGGAGCTGTCTTGCTTGTTCCTGGGGTGTGAGAGCTTGTGCTGGTCGAGGAGATGTTGGGGCAGAGGTAGGGACAGGTTGCACATTGTTGGCTCGTGGACTCTGAGGTGCACGTTGCGCAGACTGTGCAGGTGGCGCATCCGGCTGGCTGAGCTGACCTCCAAAGGAGCGAGTCGAGACAGACTGAGCACTCTGAATCTCCCGCTGCCGTTGATAGGCAAGCTCAGCACGGCTCATTTGTCCAGCAGAGGATGCTGGCATGGGCTCCGCGTTAGGATCGCGCCCTCTACCGCCTCTTCGGCCTCCGCGTCGTGGCTCTTGGTATTGCGGTCGGTAATCGAAAGAAGACAGGTCCACTCTCCGCGCATCTCGTCGCGCATCCTTGGATAAACCATTGGGATGCGACTCCAGCTGATGCGCCTTCAGGTCCATCTCCGAGTCGAAGACCACAAACTTCCTCTCCAAGCATTCAGAGTCTATGCATGGGAAATGCTCCTTATTAAAGTGTTGCTCGAGTGCTTCGTAGTTCTGGAAGTATTGCGGGTTCTGTCCCCCCGTTCGTCGATCGCACAAATGGCATCTCTCGTGCCTATCTCTGCAATGAGCGTACAGCTCATCGTCGCCGTAGAAGCGCTGTCTGCAGAAGCCACACTCTGGATGTCCCTTGAAGCCGCTCTGATCCACTGCTCCTGGAGTGTCGTCTCCGTACTTCTCATGACGCTTCAACTCTTGATGCGTGAACAACTCGTGTTCGTGCGTGAAGACCTTCTTGTTCCGTGTGCACAAGTCGCACATCACCTTTTGATGTACACTCCGCACATGTCGATGCAGATCAGGCCATCCCATACAAGCCACATCGCAGCTCTCGTCCGGACAATTATATCGCAGCAGTAGCACGGTGTCCTCAAAAATCTCAGGCCTCTCGTAGCTGATACCGAGGTTGTTATCGATCTGGTGGAAATCACTCGTCTGGAATTCCTCAAATCGCTTCTCGGCATCGTCGGTAAAAATCACATTCGGTGCTTCTGTTCTGCAATGCGCACAAGCTTTGGTCTTGTACAGCGCTCGCAGGCGAAGGGCGCAAATGTGACAGGTGCGGTGATTGCAGGGAGCAACGCTGTTGTGCGAGACGGGGGATGCGCAAATGAAGCACACCTCCACGTCCGCGTCGTCTCCTGCACCCGCTTTCTCGCCTTGAGCATTCTCCTCGGCGTCTTTGGTAAGGCGAGCACCAAAGACGCCGTTTCCACCGGGTTGAGGAGGCGGTGGTACCGTCGTTTGATCCTGGTTGTTGGTTGCTGCCGCGCCTTGTCCATGACTGCTTGCTCCGTCTCTGTTGCCGCGTCCTCGACCTCCGGCCCCTCTGCCTCGTCCTCTTCCGCGAGATCTGCCTCCACCTCCGCCGTCTCCTCGGAATCGATCCTCGCCTCTCTCGCTGGGAAGTCCTGTGGATCCTTCTGCGCCGCCTCCTCTGCCACCGCCTCTGCCGCCTCTTCCCCTACCTCTTCCACCACCTCTGTGTCCGCTTGCCGAGTCCGCTACACCCTCTGAGGTGGGAGTAGGAGCTGCTGCCGCCGCCATGGTGTTGTTTGCGATTCGCTGATCTCTTGCGTACCTTGATGGATACCTTGCGAACACACGCCTTGAGCCCACAAATTCTGCTTTTCGAGGTCCTGACAGAATGCGAATTGCAAACGCGGAGTTGCGAGCGAATAGAAAAGAAGTTGAGGTAGATGTTCACGAGCGAGCGATCACTTTTAGCGGGGCACTTCTTTCTCATGAGCGGCCGGGATGACCACGCCAAGAATTTGTCAGCCTGAGGCATCAAGATACCATGATCCACCAAATTGCTAAGCCTCGAATCAGGCGCGAAGTGAGAATACACAACGTGCAAAACGAGGACAACGTGCAAAATTAGGACAACGGAATCTTGAAGCGACATCATGGCTCATCTAAAGCCCAGCGCCGACAACGCAGTGCAAGAATCAACGCTAAGAAAAGACCATTTGAGAAGATCTAATTACGCTGCAGAAAGGGGGAGATGTCGCATGTAACCTGCATGCCAGCCATCTCAAAAAACATACGCATTAGCTGTTCTGTGTTCCAACCGATCCAATTACTCAAGAACAACACCGTCGACCCCGAAAGATGTCCGTGTAGGATGCCAGTTCGTGACCGTATCATCAACATCATCAATCACGGACGTCAGTCGTCCACTTCAATGGCCTCATCGACGGTCGATCCCCTACCAGTATCTCTGCCCGCCTCATCGTCACCTGGAAGAGGAAAATTTGTTGCACGATTCTTGTACCGGAGCTTTCTAGAACCTGGCATCTCGCTTATCTTGCGCTTGTGAGATGCCGATCTCTGCTCGTGACTGCCATTGGGAGCTGGAAAGAGCTGGTTCTGGAGATGCAAGACTCTCTGCTTGGCGATTGAAGCAGCATGAGAGGCTTCGATCAGACGCCCTTGCAGGATGTACGCAGCCCGCCTGGCTTCCTCGTACTCTGCCCTCAACTGCAAATGCACACCATATCCGGAGCCCGGCGTTGGGTAGCGTGGTCGACCAAATCCATTGGCCGGGGCGTTTGGTTGAAAGCTTGGATGCTCCATGGAAACGAATGTCTTCTGAGCATTCTCCTCCAGGCCAGTAGGGTATGGATGGAGCCCAAGATCATGCGAGAGGATTGAATTGACCTTCTCACTCAGCGGCTCCTGCTTGAACATAATCTCATCCCTCTGGAAATCGAAGGCTGGCTCCTTGGTATGCTCCTTCATTTCCGGGAACATCTCTTTCAAGCGCTTCTTCCCGTATCCAGCCTTCTTAGCCGCTTCGAAGTCGCCTTCCTGCGCGCGGATTCTCAGCTTCTCGGCACGCTCACGCTGATGGTCGCGATTCTTCTTCTGGCGCTCCTGAATCTGCGTGATGATCTCGGGGTCGTCGATGGGCTCTCCTTCGTACACTTGCTCTCCACGAGCTACTTTCTCCTCGTTAAAGAGCTTTGTGATCCGCTCTACCGACCAGCCAAGACGTATCGCCGCTTGAATGTCGCCAGCTTCGGCGCTCGCTCTCATGGCTTTGACGGCTCTGCAGCTGTTATCGCCGAAGCTGCGGCCTTTACTGGGCTTGGCCTCTGACACCTGGCTGTCTGAGAGGGAAGGCACCTCCGACATGCGAACCTCGCTTTGATCATTGGCACGAATGGAAGGTGGCAAGGCTGGAGCTTTTGCAGATGGATGGGGATTCGGACTGGCTTGCTTTGGCGACTGGCTCTGCTGATGAAATGCCGCCTCCAATGTGTGAGATCGCTGGTGACCGCGACCTTGTGTAACCGAGGTAGTGCCCGGAGGATGGGAAAAGTTGGCAGCGTTCGTGTAAGTGTACGCTTGCGGCTGATCCTCCGGATAGCCTGGTGGCTCCGACATACGGACGAAACTATTGTTATCGCCGTTGTAGTGCATGATCGGGACCATCTGTCGGCCGTTTGGTGCGTTGTAACTGGTCGCATACGGGATGGTCATCTCGCTGAAAAGCTTCTTGGCTTCAGTGATGTGTTTGTTGTCGAAGGCTTCAGCCGCATGCTGGTAGTCCGCCTTCGGGAAGCTGGCCACGTGCGAATATGGAGGCCTGTCGATGGTCTGCTGGTCGTCTGACGCGTCCGAAGCCTCCGCGTGGCTCAACAGCGCGTTGACGCTCATGATGTGCGATATGTCCATCTCGCCTTGTTGTTGTTGTAGCTTGACCACAGTTCCGCGGCGAGAAAGGAAGCTGTCGCTGCCGCTGTGGGTAGTGTGGGGATGTGGACGATTGAGAGTTGTGAAAGTTGTTGTTGTTGTTGTGAGCAGCAATTAGGAAAGTCAGGAAGAGTCAAGAGGAGGCTTCGCATGACTGTTGCCTTGACGATAGATTTGGAAGTCGCGGTCAGCATGTGAAAGCGCAGCCCGCAGCCCGCATCATAAGGCAGCTACGTCTTTGGCCTCCAGTATCGAGAGAGACCCTTCTGCTTACAACGCATAATCGTGAGTGTATCCGTAGCATGTGAAAGATGAGGTTTCGGAACGGCCCGCGAAGTGAATCCGTCTCACATTTCACATATACAAAGACAAGACGAAATGTAGGGCGACGGTTGTCATCGTGCCTGCCACGCGAGCATACCACGTGGTAAGTGCGGGGCAACTCTGTATAGCCTTGTTATAGCGCCACGACGACTTACTAATCACATGTGAAAGGTATTAGCGGCCGGAACGTCCCGCGCAAGTGAATCTTAAGTAAGTGAATCCCTTTCGCTATGTATATATAGTAGTACGATCCAACCGGTACGGCGTATTTACTTTAATTACTAAACACTAAGCACGTGAAAGTAAGGTATATACTACGAGTGAATGTTGCTATTCTAAATGTCTCTTAAATTAATAGTAAAGGTACGCCTTAGGCAGATCCAAATCTTGCTACTAAAATGAAAAAGTGCATTACCGTGTGTCTATATTTGGAAATCATATACTGAATTGGACCCGCTGGCTTCGAATGACTAGGTATTCTTATTTATAATACAATTCTTCACAATACCTAGAAGCCCCTCCGATCCATACTTCCGCACAATGTCCCCGAGGAGGTATATTGCTACACATCACACCTTTCCCGACCGTGTCCACTCTTCCCCCGACCTCTAGAATCGTACCAAAGTCCAGAATATCAAGAGTCGTCCAAGAAATTCTCACTCGCGGTCCTCCTTCTGGCACCGGAGGAGTTGCATCTGCAGGCTGATCTCCTCTTGCTTGAGCCGATTCTGCTGGAGCTTGAGCTGTATTATTTTCTCGTTGCTGAGATCAGAGTTCGAGGTGTTCGCTTTGATGTCGAAGCTTGGGATGGTCGCAGCGGTATCGACAGACTTGGTAGAGGGAGAAGCCGCCGTGGAGCGGTTATCGGTAGCGCTCTCACTTGAATCGGTCTCTATTCCAAGGTGGATGTCTGCTATTTCAGCATTGGGACCATTTCCGGTAGAACAGGATGGGGCCGCAGTTGGAAGGTCGTCCTCCGTCTTGTTCGGGTTTGTTTCGCTGAGATCAATTATCTCCTTGTCGGTAGGATCGACACTCGGCTTTGGCTTTCCCTCGGGAGCGTTGGAGCGAGATGCAGCGGTGGCCATGGGAAGGCCGGCCTCCTTCTCTTCCTTGTCGGTCTCGCTGAGATCAATCATCTCCCTGTCGGTAGGGTCGGTATTCGGCTTTGGCTTTCCCTCGGGAGCGTTGGAGCGAGATGCAGCGGTGGTCATGGGAAGGTCGGCCTCCTTCTCTTCCTTGTCGGTCTCGCTGCGCTCAGTCACCTCCTCGTCGGTAGGATTGACACTCGGCTTGGTCATATGTTCAGGAGCGCCCCACGGCTCGTCAAGTCCGAATTGCTGCTCCTCTTGAGAATGCTCAAACTCTTTCCCCTCGTCACCATGGCCATGTTCTTCTTCCTCGTCTTCCTCGTCTTCCACACCCCCACTCTCCATCTCGGCAGATGCGGCTTCCGTAGTCCCCGGCTGAGGCTTGGACGACTCCGCAATCTTTTCCTTAGCAGCAGCCCTCCTTGCTCTGACCCTGTCGCGAATCTTCTCCATCTGGCTGAGCTTGCTCTGCAAGACCTCGCCCGCGATAACATTTCCAGATTCCCTCATCTGCTTCAACTGTTGACGCCCTGCAGCATCTTTGGCAAGATGTCTCAGCTCGGTCCTATGCTTCTTGTCTTCACGGGCCTTCTCCCCGGTCTCGTAGCCCTCGAAGATATTATTCACAAGCGTACCACCGAGACCGATATAGGGTTTCGGCTTCTTGGAGCTTTCCTCGCTTTGGCGGAGATGGTCGTGCTCGGGTTTCCGCTTTCTGTTCAGCTTGGCAATGGCTTCGTAGTCACCCATTGCAGCTCGGACTTGAAGGTCACGTTCCTTACCAGGACCAGGCGTACCAGGACCAGGCGATGGCGCCGCAGCGGCCGGCTTCGTCACTTCATGTCTATCATTCTGCTCGTGGTTCCTCTCCCTGAGCTTTGCGAGTTTCTTCTCCGCGGCAGTGATACCTTCTTGGGCCAGAAGCTCCAGGGCTTTGATGGTGTCGGGGAGACTAGACTCATCCGGCTCATCCTCTTCTTTGCTCTTATCGGTAGACTCAGCCATCGGTGGTTCGGAAGTGCTGGGACTTTCGTCTTTTATCACCTCGTCCTGAGGCTCTAGAGTAGCTGGAAGTTTTTCTTCCAAGGCGGCCTCCTTGGTAGCCTCACGATCGCGTGTGATTGTGTTGAAAGCGCCTTCAATCGTGCTCTGCTCGAAGAACTTCTTCTCGCTGGCGTGACACCTTGGGCACGTCATGATGTCGATAGTGCTGGTTTGTCAATTGGGAAGTGTGGGTCGTTGATGTTTGGTGCCGTGTCGGTGGGCTTGGTACTTCTCAAGTGAGTGTCGTTGTTCCTGCTTGGTGTGGTGGGAAGGGGTGGGATTTATGAAGCCTGTGGGACAGCCACGTGTGAGCGTTCTTTATGTGTGCTTACTCTTCTTCATGTGATACTGATACTATCTTTCACTACTTGCTGCAAGATGCGAAGAAGTCCCGAAATGGGTTTTCCGTACGCTATATAGGAAGCGCATTCAAGTCTCTGGTCCCCCTTTCCTGGGCAAAACCTACGCTCACGCTTTCAGCGTACTCTTTTCCGCTCCGTGAAATACCGGATAGCTTGTGTCTGTGCTAGTATTTGAATAAGCAGTGAAAATCGAACAAGTTTATAGTTCTTTCCCTCACTCCATTGATGCGCCAGCGCAGAATTCTGCTTCCTGCTTCAGCTCATGAGTTCTTGCTCAAACTCGCGAGTTACTTACCTCCGCTATGTGGCTTCGCTTTCCCATCGCGATGTCGAGCCTTCTGTACTCGAACGTGGCAGTGCCTGTCAACAAAGTAAGTGCTCTTGACGGCACTCTTCAAATACTGACATTGTCCCATCCCAATCTGCTTTTCTGTCTCCTCAACTATCACCAAGTCTTCTGCTCTCCCACTTCAACTTGTTCATACCCTTTGCAATCATCTCTCTTCTCCAGCAATGCCAGCCAACTTGCGGTCTCAGCTTCACGACACGACGGAAACCAGTCTCCCAGCCGCCGTCTTTCGCCTTCGTTGTCATCACCGACCGCAAGGAGACGAGCAAATGTACTCCACGACGATCACGCCAACACCAAGATCAGAGCCCAACGTTCCACCACGGCCAGCTCCCAACATCTGCCTTCACACAGGTTTCCCATGGACTATTGTCAGGTAGGTGACAATGTCATGAAAAAACCCGATGATGGCGGGCCGGATTCTCGCGAGAATGCCGGCAGTTACGACTTTCTGAGGCTAGGGGTGACTCCCTTCGACCCAATATGATGATACCTCTTTGGCCAGATAATGTGGTGAACCCCCTATTAGGCTCCGGCTGAGGTGGTTACAGGTTTTCACTCCTAACACGACAGTCACCGGAGCCAGATTCGGCGGGTGTCGGAGGCAGATGTGGTTGCTGATGTGGTGGTGGTGTGGATTTTGGATTTTGGGGTTGGCGGTGCTCGCAGATAAGATTGCAATGAAGTTTGACATTCCTGCTGCCGTCGTTCTTCCGTCTCTTGAATCTGTTCTCCTCTCCTGTGTTGTGGAGCCTTGAGAGTTGGGTATAGGTAGAGCCTTGGACACGCCTACAACCCTGATGGCAGGCTGTATTCCCACGGGAATGCCGGCACTGTTACGACTGCAAAAGCCAACGACCACGATTGATTTCGAAGTGCGACATCGCGATCTTATATCTTGCTAAGGATGAGCAGAGCTAGTCAGCATCAATTCCGCGGTCCTGGGCGAAGATGCTGTACGACAGCCAATAATAAGATTTGTAAAGCCGGAGTCATGCTACGACAAGCGACCTGAGCCTCTTCCGGAAAGCTGAATAAGCGAATGGCGGGACTCTCAGCGGCGATCCATCGTCGTCGTCGTCGTCGTCCGGCTGAGGTCTGATAAGATGGTTCCAATCTGCGCTACCGTGTGTATTTGAGACATGTTGGATCTCGTCATCCACGCGATGTGCGGCTGTGATGGCTGGAGGAGCCTTCTGTATGCCGAGTTGTCGCCGTGAATTGGAGAAGCTGTTGCTCGTTCCTCGACCAATCGTGATGAAGAGAAGAGATAGTAACTGTCGTACAGTAGCGCGAACTTGGTCTCATGTCAGTGCGGCGGGGATAAGCCTTCTTCTGATCAACTGATGCACAGAAGTGCCCGAAATCAAGGAAGTGCTCCCGCCATCTTCCATTGCGGCGCCGACCCGAACATTCTTCCCTCGCGGTGCATTCCCATCCCAATTCCTGTTCGCTGCCCTCTCGTGGGAGTAATACATATCTACGGGCGTTGCTTGCGAGGACGCTCCGACAGCACAACGACCGCGGCTTGGCTCGACCAGCCGGAGACCCATCGCCATGTCGACAACCGAACACGCGGTCATTGGCTCGGCTCCGGCGCCCGCACAGGCCGCATTGAGTGAGAAGGCCCAGCAACACGACGCGGACACGGCCGAGACCAACGGCAAGCCAGCGGAAGCCGGGAAACAGGAAGAGCAACACCAGAAGAGCGAGGAGAAACAAGACAACGGGAAGGAGGAGAAGAAACCGTCGGGTGGCTTTGATGCCACACCGATCCCCTCGCGGCCTGCCGGGTACACGATCAAGATCAAATTCCACCGCGCAGAGAATCTCCCCGTCGCCGACATCAACGGCTTCTCTTCCGACCCGTACTGCCTCGCCCAGCTCAATTGCGACACACCGAAGCGGCACAAGGAGGACCCGCCCTTGCGATGGAGAAGCGCAACTGCCCGCAAGAACTTGGAGCCGGAGTGGAACGAGGAATGGATAGTTGCCAACGTGCCTTCTTCAGGCTTCAAGCTGAAGATCCGCGTCTACGACGAGGATCCGGCGGACCATGATGATATGCTTGGCAAGGTGCATATCACCGTACCATCAATCCATGATGGTTGGCATGGTATCGAAGAAGAGGGCTACAGGCTACAGGCACGCGAAGGCAGCAGGAGAGCTTATCTGATCCAGGCTTTGACCACCTGCTTCAGGGCGAACAAGGCCTTCCACGGCCATCTGTTCGTGAGCATTGAGGTGCTGGGTCGAACTCAAGAGGATGGCCAGAACGGCCGAGTCTACACCGTCGGTCCGTGCAGATGGGTCCGCCATTTCAGTCCAATGCTGGGCCGCCTTGTTAATATCAAGGAGCCTGACAGCGAGGAATCACGGCAACAACCAGCCGCAAACGGCCGCAATAACGGACAAAGTGGAAGTGAGCAGAAGAAGGCTGAAAAATATAATTTCCAGGCAAATCAGTTTCAGCTCGAAGGTCCTGTTCCGGCGGAGCTCTATCACCGCTACGTAGAATTCAAGCCCTGGGTCTCGCGCATGTTCACCAAGAGGGGGCTCACAGGTATGGTCATAGGCAGTGCTCTCCACCACCAGCACGCTCGTGTGTACAACTTCGGCCGCTCGACAGAATGGGGCCACTTCCCCGAGGGACCAAGCGAGAAAATGACCAGGCAGTTTCTCGATCTCGTCCACTACGACCAAGGGGGCCGCATCTTCACCTACATCATCTCCCTCGACGCCCTCTGGCGCTTCACGGAAACCGGAAAGGAATTCGGAATCGACATGTTGAGCAAACACACCATGCACAGCGACGTGAGCATCTACATTGCTTTCTCCGGCGAATTCTTCATCCGACGTCTCAAGCACCCTCGTCGACCCCCACCCCCAGAACCCGTTGAGGAATCCAGCCAATCTCATCCACCAGAGCACCAGCAGAACGAAGAACACCCGCCCAAGGACCTCTCCAACGGCCCACCAGAAGACGACCCCCCACGAGACCCCTCCCACTACGAACTCGTCATCGACAACGACTCCGGCACCTACCGCCCCAACGCCGACCTCCTGCCCCTCCTCAAACAGTTCCTCGCCCACAACCTCCCCGGCATCCACATCCTCACTCTCGACTGCGGCAAAGACGCCGAGCGCCAGCAACAGATGAAGAAGGAACAGCGCGAACGCAAGCAGAAAGAAGGCGATCACATCGTCTACATGCAGGGTTCCCGATCGAGTTCGATCTCCTCTTCGGACGAGGAAGATCTGGATCGCATCCAGGCCGGGTTGATTGACGAGGGGGCCGTGGAGAGGGAACATGGGGTTCTCAGTCACGCTGCGAAGGATGCCAAGTTGACGAATCGGAGTCGGATGGATAAGGCCAAGCGGGATTACATGATCAAGAGGGGAGGGAGGGGGGAGGATGCGAATTTGCCCGCTACTAGTAGTAGTTAGGCCTGATGAGCAGACGACCTCGGGGTGAGGAGAGAGAGATGCAACGGGTTGGACGGCGCGCCTGTTTTTGGTGAGCGTTGGCGTTTGTTTGGTTGGGAATTGAGGCTATATGGGGAAGGGATTGGGGATGTATTCTGGACGATTGCGATTGTTCTTGATTGATTGATTGATTGATTGATTGATTGATTGATTGATTGATTGATTGATTGATTGATTGATTGATTGATTGATTGATTCGATACCCGCGTGTTTGGAATGGTTTTCCTTTCACGGCCGGACATTACTTGCAGCTGCTGGATGTTTGACTTGTTGTGTGTATGAGTGCCATAGCGTTGTACATGTTGTTCGGGTACGATTTCCCAGAGAGAGAGAGAGAGAGAGAGAGAGAGAGAGAGAGAGAGAGAGAGAGAGAGCAATGATGTTGCAGACATTCATCGCCATCATCACTTCGGCGGTACCAAAGATCAGTATAAGTCTTGTCGAGTTGAAATTGTGTGTATGCCCTTCCCTGTCCTTCCTGTCCGAGAGTGAAGCGAGATCTTCCGCAGAGACGGATAGAAAGTGCGAGGCGGCCAGTTTCACGAAGCCTCAGTACTGTGGATTACGACTGTCCTCTACCGACTTGGTTGGGTCGGAGGTTTTGATTGCAGGTTTCCCGTTACGATGGGGGAACTGAGGACTCCCGGCGAGAAAGACACTCGATCCCGCGAACTGGGTGTGGGACTGATCGATCGGAGCTGAGACCCTATATGACCCCTTTACCTGGTGAGGATTGACAGTCGCGTGTCTGGGACAGGGACGGGGAGATGCACGGCCGTGGGATGTTATGGGTTGTGAAAAGTTGGACGAAGGCACACGGACGTGTCATGACCTGTTCCGTAGAGATCGATCGAAGTGGTGATGAAGGTGAGGCGACGGCGGCGGCTTCTACTGACTGCTTGATGAAGAAGGTTACGACGGCAGTCGAATGCTGTGGACAAGATCCGATGCATGATATTCTTGATGATGCGCGTCATGGGCCGTACACGTGTCGTCGGTGAGTTTTGGACAATGCGGGTGATGGAGGATGGGATCTCTCATATCAACGGGACCTGGGCCTGGTTCTTCTCAGAGACAGCGCAGAGGTTCTTGGGGAAAGGCGACGGGTGTATTCTCCGGCCGGGGCAGGTACGTCATGTTGCTTGTGTTCGCCTTGAAATGATGCCGTGTTCGCGATTAGTTGGCGGTGCGCAAATGAAGGCGGTCGCGATGACGGCATATCCATTCCCGGATGTGCTGAGGTGATATGATGACTATTCTGGTCAGCAGAGAGCTCGAAGAACCGCCCTCGATATGGCGGAGATGGAGTGCAGCTGTCGCCATCGGAGGTGTGTGCTCAGCGTGCAGGTCCGAGCAGCAACGTTCGTCGTTATGAAGTGTCAAATCGGAAGGGCGGTATAGGCGGATAAATTTCCAAGTCGTCGTTGCTGAAACCGGGCAGATTGGCAGAAGGAGGTAGGGTGATGCTTGGAGACGCGATGGAGGGCGTTCGGCACTCCACACTATGCGAACCCTGTCTCTGCGCGTGCGCGTGTCACCTCAATGAGCATTGGAGATGTTGAGGTGTCGCGCGCTCTGATATGTGATGCATTGTGAGAGCATTGGGTTAGTAGTGGTGGTGGTGGTAGAGAAATGGAGGAAAGAGGGCAAGCGGCAAGCTGGTGCCATGGCAACGGTCGATATCGCGCGATACCGTGAATAAAGTATTGCGGCTTTCAACGTTTGCCTCTCTGGGCGATATGCCGATGGCGGGGTGAGCGAGAGGCGCGTGTACGTGCATCTCTGCCACTGCCACTGCCAGCCTTCTCGGACACGCACTGCAGGCAGCACTCCGTCCACGGCATGGCATCGAATGTGGTCGGCAGGATCGACGCCCAGCCACCGTGAGAGAGCGGCGATGCAGAGGTCGGTATCTAAATTGGTTCGCTCGCCACGGCAGTGGTCGTCTGGGGGACTCTGCGGGGCTTGCAAATGGCCATGCGGGTCCTGCGGGACGTGAAACAGCTCCGCTCTGATAAACACAGCTGCGGGCAAGGACCGGGTCAAAAGTTGGAAGGCCCCAACCTGCCGCCTGTCGCCCAGAGTTATTATCAAGCAGGTCGCGGCCGCTTCTTGGGTCGACACTCTCCACTCGTTTCATAATCTAATCTTCTCCCATACCTAATCCTCTCCATCTTCTCTCCAGCAGGAGACGTGGTGCTGTGCCGTGCGCCGTGAGTGCTTGGAAGTGGCTTGCCGTGCTTGCGGGTCGTCCGGTTGTCGCTAGGCCGAATATCAAGCTTTCCACCTTTGTCGCCTGGACGTCTGGAAAAGGCAAGAACGACTGCACGTGTGAAACTGCAATCCCCCGACTTCAGTCTGAACTTCAGTCTGGACCATCATCGGCTTCAGCATCAGCATCGGCATCACCATCAGCATCACCATCAGCATCAGCATCACCATCACTCTGGACGACTGGCTATCCGGACCTTGGTGAAAAGACCACTTGCACAGGCCCTTCTGCCCATATTCCAGCCGCACCCACTGGGCCATGAGCGGCTCTCGAAACTAATTCACGACCGACTTGCACATTCGCTTTTCCTCTAAGAGACAACCCATTTTCGCGAGACCAGTCCTTGCCCGGCTGTCGCCCTGCAGTTACAACGCCGTCACCTGAATCTTGCCTCTGTGACCGGCTGCCGCTATGGTTTTCCGGAGCAACAAGCCTGCCCGGCCAGCGAAGGCACGAACTAATCTTAATGTCAACACCGAAACTGACGGACACGACAAAGCTAACCTCAAGACCTCACCGCGAGGATCTATCCAAGTCCTTTCCCACCAGCAGCTCGTCACGAGACAACACCGCAAGTGGACCGACTACTCTTCACATACCTCTGCAAATGTCGATTTTTGCACACGCCAGAAGAGCACACACACCAGAGCAGCTTCCGCCTCGGCGCTCAGTCAGAATGCCGCCGCCATGAAATCCTCTCTCTCGGTCAACAAGATGGTCAGCAACCTTGAGAGCAGGATCGACATGGGCCAAGCTATCAGCTTGCTGCAGGAGTTAAAGAAGACCGCTTCGCCCGAGGAGTTGGTCGCTCTGCACAGAGCTCTACTGCCCGTCAAGGAGGATACACCACCGCTCAGTCCCACCTGTCCTCAGCTGCCTCCCATCGGCGAACATGCCTACACATCTGCACCCAGCACCAGAGCAAAGTCTACCATGCTCCCTGGTCTAGCGACTCGTAGCAGCATGTTCGATGACGCGCTGAGAAAGCCGTCTGATCCATCTGCTCCGGAGGTGCAGCCCAAGGAAACGTGGAGACTCGATTGGCCTGATCGAATCTCGGACGGCAAATCTTCTCCTACTCGAGCTGGCACCCCGAATGATCATGACTGGCACGCAGGCGCTTTCCAGGCGGGCACCTTACGCATCACTAATGACGCAGCCTCGCCTGAGCCAAGCATGATCACCAAATCAGCAGAGCCCCAATGTCCGGAAGTTGTAAAGGAAGAAGATTTAATGGACGGGGCTTCGAAGAGCGTCAGCACTCTAGCAAGCACCGTGATCGATGACGATCGGCCGGATAGATCTTCTGATACGCAGATCTCAGATCCTACAGCGAATAGGGAAAATGGGCAGCCAGAGACGCCGTGTCCGCAAAGAGAGCGCCCGGAATCCGACGGTGGAATTCTATCTTCAGATTCAGCAATGAGAGAGCAGCTTTTGCTCGACAGGCCACTCCAGCGACACAGCTTTCATACGCCTCAAACCGCGACAACGCTGGAAAGAGCCCCTCGTTTTCAGCAGAGATGGGATCACCGTGCAAGCCACCTCAGTCAGGAATACATAATAGATTGCGAACTGACTGCCAGCCCGCCGGAAGAGAGAAACGGGCTGTTCGACTTCGCGTCACGCCTGAGCACTGTGATGGACGACGAGAACGAAGACGATGAGAACGCCGCGGAGAAAGAAAACCGCGGCATCGCTCACGCAAGGACTCTCTCCAAGCTGACCGGTGAGCGTGACGGCGCGGAAGTTGGAGATGGTCAAGAACATGGTGCGGCGCGCACCAGTGGCGACCAACTCCCTCCTCCGGCAATGCAGATCGCCACTCGAGCTCACGTAGTCCGCAAGATGGACAGCGGATACTGCTCCGATGATCTTGGCCATGTGCTGCAACATCAAGATTCCGCCGAAACAGCTTGCAACAGACGCCCAACTATCGCGCCAGACGAAGCGCCGACGTTCAGTGCTCAGGATCAAAGCCGAACCCGCAGAAGAGAAGTCGGCGGTCAGTCCACATACGATGGATTGATCAACACATCTCCGACTTCCGACTCAGGTCCGGGTTCCTCGCCAGCTAACGGTACCAAAAAGACCACCCCTCTCTCGCTGTTCAAGTCCAAACCAAGGCGACAGAGTTTCAAAGTGCTGAACGTCGATCCTGGTACCGACCGGGCCGCAAATGCTCCCGCGCGAATGCAGTATTTCGAAAGCTCAACAGATACTGACACCGCTCGCGTCGAAGTACGAAAGAAGAAGCTGCGTAAACCAATGCCCGAGTCCGTACGATATAAGCGTAAAAAGACTGTCGGCAACCTGCGAGACTTGGCCGAATCGCAAGAAGCAGACACTGGGCTTCAGTCATCCGACACTACACCAGAGAATCTTTCGCCCTCTTGCATGCCCGAGGAGCAGAGCAGGCCGTCTACAGCAACTATCCGGTCGCAAGCGGGCTCGATTCCGCAGACTGGCGATGACGATGTGTCCAAATCGAGTTCATCTGCAGCGCCGAGCAATGGTTGGCTGAGAAAGCGAGGCAAGAGCTTTGGTAGGAAGCGCAGTAAGACTTTGGACGAGTCCTGTTCGGAAGCTTCGCCACCGATGCAAGACCAATCTGCGCCAGTGCGCAAACGCAGCAAGAGTTTGAAGGACGTCACCTCCAACGAGGAAGCATCAAAGACCGCGAACGTGAGCGACGCCCAGGCACCAAGTGATGAGGGAGCCCCAACGATGCAACACCATAGCCAAGGATCACCACGCACGCCTGAACATAGCAGCTTCGCCTCGGTTGCGCGTGCGTTGAACTCGCATCCTCCCAGCCCGCAAAAGCCCTCCCACAGCCTGACGGAGCCCATCCGTAGCTCAACGGAGCCACAATCGAGACCCAAGGACCTCCTTAAGCGGTACTACTCTGTCCACCGCTTGCATGACGAGGAGCCGCATACAGACCGCTCGGACGGTAGACCTGAAAATTCCTCACCAGAGCCAGGAGCAAAACCACCCCCTCCGCCGGCGCACGCGAAGCAGAAACGATCACAGCCGACGACGTCACTTACATCGGTCGCTGTTGGCTCTTCATGCTCAGTTGAGGAACGCTTTCCGGGCTGGCAGGGCAAGCCCGCTTTACAAACGACCGTATCAGATTTGCCTTGGTTGTCGCGCAGTACGCAGAATTCACAACCTAGTAGGTCTCGAACATTTGCAGAAGGTGTACCGCCACTTCCCGAGCTGCCCCCGGACATCGCGACGAAGGTATCTAGAGCAGACGAAGTTGTTGCAAAGAAGCTCAGGACCAGCCCGAGATCGTCTCCTTTGACATCAGCACGCAGCAGCATTGACTCTGGCGACACCCGCAAGGCTACGGTCATCAGAAACGCGGCACGTAGAGAGCAGGAGGCTCGCGTGGCCAAGGAGAATCGGATGGCTACCCTTGAGCGCCTCAGTAGTCCCCGCACTGACGGCCTCGAAGCCCCTCTGTCGCAGCCAGGCCATGTCCAGCGGTGGAGCATAGATGGCACTATTCAAATGCCTCATCCTGAAGACCAGGCGGTACCGGCGTCTCCCACCCACGACTCTCAGCATCCTGGTTGGCCATCTTGGGACAAGCAATCCAACCTCTGGCGCCAGCGTAGACAGGCTCTAGTCGAGCCATGTAGTGAAAGCACACGAAAGACATCCTCCGCCTCAGGGGAGGAGGACTCTCCGGCATCTCCAGCGATTGTAGTCTCGAGATACATAACACCCCTAGGTGCCGAGAATGTCTACCTTGCTAATAAGGTCGGCCAGACCAACAGCCAGGCCAACTCGGCCGAGAAACTTGCGCAGTCTTACGGCGAGCTCATTATCTCCGAGAAGGAGAACTGTCCCATCCAGGCAGATTCCCGTCGCGCAGACAGCGTCGTGTCTGCTGCTACCTTCGTCACAGTGTCGTCCGCTGACGAACGGCCGGCCCAGTACGACGTCCCGCGGACTGGCAGTGCTGTTTCGACTTATACCACAACGACCACGACTACGGTGTCTACGTCTCGGCCTTCCGATAAGGGTTCCGCACCACCACCATATGGAAGGAGCAAGTCATTCTATGCAGCTTATCGACCTGCGGATTCGGCCCGTGCTGAGCGGTCTCGTGCTCTGAGTCTAGCACGCCGGTCTTATCATGCGTCCAAGGAGTCTTTGAATCCGCCCGAGCGTCCCGAGCTCAAGCAGCGCACTTCAGAAGACCTGTTCGATCGCTACAGCGGTGGATTGAACTTTGGATGGGATCGCGACACCGGGTTCGGTGGCAGCGCCGGCATGCGTTCCTTTACGAGCTTGGACATGGAGAGTGTGAAGCGCAAGAGTGTCAAGATGAGTGAGGAGTTCGGATTGGATTTGAGCGACGTTCCTGTTTTCCTTCGGAAGGTGTAGGTTGGCGATGGGGAGGGCAACACACTTGCGGACGAAAAGATGGAACGCAATATCAATGTGTCACATGCGCTACAGAATAGGACACGGAGGTAAATTGATAGACAGGCACGTAGATGGATGAATGGAATATAATATATAATGAAACAAGAATTTCCCTTGTAGTCGGTGAACTGACAAGATGAGGTTGATGCCTGAGGTATGTCACGTGTCCGCGGGAGGAGCCGCAATTGGTGGCCCAAGCTCCAAGCTCGCCTTCAAGTTCACTTCTCGCGTTGTTGCTCTTCCTCTTCCTTTCTTCAACCCACACTCGACTTCCTCCAACAAGTCATCACGACACACGACACGACTCTTCATCACACATTACGGTACGCCAACACATCCGTCATCGCGGCGTCATCATACATTCGAATTGCGACCACACGTCACGTTCTCGAACGGCGTCACGACTTCAAACGGCAGACCACGATTTCATCCAACGCGACACCACAAGCGTCTGGGCACTTTCGGACCTTTTTTTTTGTATTTTTTTTTTTTTTTGCAACGGCGGGCTTGGCTACTGCACTCGACCATGTCGAGTTGCTAAGATTGAAGTACGCTTTCGCGCGTTGTTTCTTGGCAACGCCGAGATTCGACGTCAATAGCGCGTCTGAGAAGAACACGTGGCATTATATGCCGACTATGGTGATGCAGTCCCCCCTCGATTCCGGCCAGCGCTGCACAGACTTTTGAGATTTTAAGTGGCCATGCTGCGAGAAACAGAACATACTGCGCGATCTGCTCGATCAGATCGACTTTCGTGGGTGTCGTGAACGATCATGATGGGGCAATGACCGATAATGCGTCAAAAGATGCTGATGAACTGATAAAGGCTGCTCGACTTTGACTGGCTTGAATAGACGGCTTCCGAGGCAAGACATCGGATCTTGATGCCTCACTATGCGATGATGGGAGCTTCCTCTTGGCCAGAGAAAGTATCCCACTCCAAGCGGAATTGGCAAATAAAAAGTGGGCTACACAGCGTGACATTCAAAGTTCTGTGAGGATGCTTGAGGACCCATTCGAAGAACCCAAGCCCGGTTGTCAATGATTTGGGGGCTTCTCAGCCAGAACATTCAAACCAGTGCCCCTTTCTGCGAGGATGGAGAGTCGTATCTACTCACAGTGGATCGGGTGTCACTACTCCCATTCCAGCGTCTATCGCGGAAAACTTTTTCGTTGCAGCGCGAACGCGCAAAGAATCAGACCCGTCCCGTCCAGCCCGTTGTATGCTCATCTTCGGAGAGGCATACTGATACTGGCTGGTCGCCGCCGTGTTTCTTCACCCTTTCACTGTCGATACAGACGCACCGGCGCCATGACGACTTGGGAGGATTTAAGAAACCGATGCGAGATCCTTTATCGTTGCCCTCTGAGGACTCAGGCGAGCAAGCCCCATTGAAAAGCCTTGCCGGGACATACCAGGAATCACGTGCATACACTACGGATGTATCATGCATTCATCCACTTCAAGTCCCCTCACGTGTTGGAACGCGTTGAGCACAAATTTTTTCATTTTTTGGTTCGTTGGGTTCTACCGAGGGTTTTTTTTTTCATTTTCTATTGCATGCTTGCATGCATTTACGTTACGGGGAGGCTTTATGTCCCTTGATGCTGCTGTTCTTCTTTTTGGAGCGTTTCACGCTCGACCCTGAGAAAGGGTCTTCTTTACAGTTTGCTTGCTGCCATCTTTTTGGAGCTTCTGTTTTTTCTGAAGCTCGGTCCTGAGAAAGGATCCTCTGCAGCACCTTTTTTTCACCGGCTTCTTCGATCTTGATCGGAGGTGTCGGAGAAGAAAGGACGTGGCATGCATGCATGCATGGGACTGCTTCATGGTCAGTTGATTCGAGGCTATGTATGTGAGCGTGGTGAGAGTGGTCTGAGCTTGCGGTGTGTGAGGCGGATGGACGTGACATGGGTTTGTGTCATTCCTATCAACTTGATTGTCTGTGCCAGGAGAGACGGTCTGATCTTGGCCCGAAGCGGTGATGGCTGCCGCGTCCGTGATGTCTCGTGCAAGCTGGTCTTTTCCTTTCGTTTCGGTTGCCACGGTCTCTTCTGCCTGAAGGTATATATACCTGATCTTGGTATTTTGGCGCTCGTGGCGTCTTCCATTGCTGGATTGCTCACTTTCTCTCTCCCTCTCGAGCTGTGCATGTTCGTCCCCGTGGACGTGCGTCCAGTTGCCTGATGAGTCTATGCTGCTCAGGCGGGGAAGCGGGCGTATGCCTTCTGCGTCGATGACGCATTGTTGCTGGCTAGGTAGGAAAGTCGTGGTCTGCTCCTAGGGCCCCTGCATTCCCATGGGCAATGCTAGACCGTCCATATCCGGCGTGTATTCCGCATCAGCGTCGGCGACATCACCCGGGGCGCCGTTGGCCGTGTCTTCTACCCATCCATGCTTGATGCGCAGGCTCCAGAAAGTGGAAACGAGTCGATTGACGGCTGCTGGGGGGAGTTGATTCCGCTTGAGGATGTGCACGAAGCTGTGCGGAGACCAGTTGCGCTCGAGCGAGTCGCCTGCCGGGGAGATGGCGAGGCTGATGATGCAGAGTTCCGCGAGGTCGGGCTGCTCTTCGAGCCAGAAGTTCTGCCACCACTGGATGGGAGAGAGCTGGTTGGCGGCCATCCAGATCATCTCGTTGTGGAAGGGGCCTTGCCTGACGCGGAGGAGCGAGAGGAGGCCGAGGAGAGTGGATGTCTTGGCGGCGTTGTTGTCGCAGTACTTGAGCAAGAAGGCTTGCAACGATCGCGATTGCGTCTCCTCGTTGCTATCCAAGATGGCCGGGCGTGGATGGCGTTCTTGCGGATCCGCGAGGAAGGCGATGAACATTAAAGGGGCGTCGACCAGGGAGTGCGTCAGTTGGTGCCTGGTGGGCGCCTTGAACGCGGGACGTAATGTGCGGACGAAAGCTCTGAAGGCCGGGTGCTCGATGACGTTTGGATTCAAGTCGGCGGCGTGGATCCATTGGGCACAGGCTGCGGTCGCTATGTCTTGTTCATTTGCGGACATGGACCCTATTCCGCGCGTGCGAGCGCGTTGCTGTTGCTGGAGCTCGGCGGCGGAGGGCAGAGTCGGGTCGAGACGGTGAGGTTGGTAAGTCCGCCATAGCGCCTCGGGAAGCTCGTTGCAGCGCTGGAGATGCTCGATGACTCTGGCCTTTTCATTCGATGTCCACTCGGTCAGGCAGTGCTTGCATGTGACGCGAGGATGGCGCTTGCCCGAGTCTTCGTCGAGATTGCGGGTGACTTCCAGCCAGCATTCGTCGCGGCCGCGGGGCATGGCGGTGCAGGTGGTGCAGGTGGTGCAGGTGGTGCAGGTGGTGCAGGTGGTGCAGGTGGGCGGGCAGGGAGCGGCAGGACGATCACGAGATGGCGCTTTTTAGCTCCGGGCGTTGTCATTCACTTGCATCCAAGGGACGTGTGGATATTGATGAGCCCGCTGTGTAGATGGTGGACGAGTCTGCCACAGAAAGCGTGTGCCTGCGGTGGTCTGTGGTCACTCGGCCCGCGCGGACGAGGCCGAGCAGTCCGTTCAGCGCGCCGGGTTTCCGGTCGTATAATGGCTTCTATTTCATTACATTTCATTTCATTTCAATTTCCACATTGCATTCCCCAGGAGAAAGCTACGCAGGCTTGTTAAAGAGAAAAGAACAAGACGCTGGCCGCTATGCCATCATGACCAAAACCTCGAGGCTCAAACACCTCACCCATACTTCTCTCCCTCACCGCCCATACTCCAAGCTCGGAATAATCACCGGCCCATACTTCATCGGCTGTCCAAACGCCCCCTCATTCTGCACCAAGAAATCCGCCGCCAGAGATAGCCTGCCTCCTCCTCCGCCCGACCCAAACCCAGGAGTCTGCGGCGATGCAAAAGCCCCCTGGACCAGTTCCGGATCATAAGCCACACAAGCCAAATAATTCCTCCTGCCCATCAGTCTCCTCAATTCCCTCGCTCGCCCATCAACATCCGCGGCAAATATCTCCATCATATCTTCTTTAGTCTCACTCGTTAAGTGGGGTGAGGAGCGATGGCCGTTCTGAGGGAGGAAGATCTGTTTGTTGGAATGAAGGAGTTTGATGACATATGAGGGTGTAGGGGCGTTGACGATGGAGGAGGTGATGAGTTGGTACATGGTCTTATGATCGGAAGGCTTGGAAGGGTCGTGCATGAGACCGGCGCCGCAGACGTTGACGCTACCGGAAAGGAAGGTCATGCGGAGGGATTTGTTGTGAGAGATTCCTTGGAGGGTGCGGATGATGTAGGTTCGTTCGAGGTCCTAGAAGACTGTTAGTTTGTCTTTGCTTGTGTGATCGTGCCGGCTAATCTTTACCTTTGATTCATGTGTCCATAAATCTCGAAGCTCATCAAGCATGTCGATATTTCCAAACGGACTTAGGACTCCCTGCATCAGACCGGATTTTCCAACGGCTTTCTTAATTCCGTCGAAACCAGAATTGACGGCTCCTTTGGCTCCGACGACACCTGCCATGCCTCCGGCGACTTTGCCGAGCATATTAAACCCGCCCGTGACGGCCTTTTTGCCTGTGGCGACGGTACTCGCTACTTGCTCCACGGCCTCCAATCGAGGGTAGATGATAGGGACGGGGAGTAGCCATATGCAATGCTGCACGCTCGGCGGCAGAGTAGCGACCTTAGGGAATAGCCCTTGGTAGGTAGGACCAGCCATGACTTGTCTCTCGCCTCGTTCACTCCTCGTATCGGGTCCCACGATAACCACGCTCGGACCAAGATATTTCACAAAATGCCATCCCTTGCCAGTAATCGTGAACAAATCAATATCGTTCGAGACATTCCGCAAAATCTCATGCGTCGTGTGATGCTGGAACAGCAGGTACATTTCGATTCCAATCCGGCCGAGGTTCTTGAAAACATGGCTCTCCTGCATGTATTCCGGATACGACCCATAGCCATCGAAAATATCATGGTCGTCCAAGCAGCATACGTGCGGAATCTGTGCAAAGGCCTCTTTGACGGCCGGCTGGTCAAAATGCGAGGTATAGTAATGGAAGTAGGCGTGCGTAACATCCTCTTCCATCTTAGCGGTCCACTGAGCCGTTTTGCGGTTCTCCTTGCCGCTGATCTGTGTCCACTGCTTGAGAGCCCCGATGTCCTTCCACAAGCGATCCGCATAAATCTGTCCGCCAAGACCAATCTGAGCATGGAAACCACCGCACTCTTGGTGCTTCAGAAGGACATCTTTCCACATGAGCGGTACGCCACCTAGCTTCGACCGCTCATTGGCTGACACATTGATGGCAAAATCATTACCCGAATGAGCAACAAATCTCCAGCTCGTCTCATGTCGTCCCGCGACAAGAAATTCATACCTCGTGCAACCGAGATGTGAAGTAATCGCGTATGTCCACTTTGCTGGGCCTGTCTCGTCCATCTTCAGATCCACATCATATCTATAGAAGATCCATCTCTGATGAGAGTGAATAGGGTGTGCTTTCAGTTGCCGGGGGTTCGGGCTCAGATCTGTGGACTGGTGGATGTGAATCGTGGGAGGCTGAGTGGCCGCATCTGTGATGACAAGAATACTTCCAAGCCACAATCCCCGTTCCAAGTCCATGTTGGTATATCGCAGATAGGGACCGAAATAGACGCCATTCGAGGGCTGGATCTTGTACATGTCCACTCCTGCACTAGGTGGTGGACCAGTGAATCCTGATGCTGTCGGGCTTGCCAAGGAATTCATAGAGAACATACTCTGCCGATCGTAGTTGGCCATCTGCTGCACAGGAAAGCCGGGCGATTGGAGCGGTTGCTTGAAGACGGAGCCGACGGGACTGGCAACTCCAGCAATGGGGCTGGTTGGCTCTTGTAGGTTCAGCGGCGTTGGGCCCTTCGGGAATTCCCATTGTGTGGACTGTGTGGGTAGGTGGATGTAGTAGTACTGCCCCGAGTTGTTGTCCAAATGCGCGATCCATCCTTCTGGCAGCGGAGGCGGGCTTGCGGGGCCTGGTTGATTTGATGTGTTTTGCTGATATTGCTGATTCGCTTGAGCCACATTAATAGGTGCCATGCCGGATGATGGCCCAGCGGCACCATTCTGTTGTGATGCTCCAGGTTGCGGCGATGGAGTCGCAGCGTGCGGATCGTTGGCGAAGGCTGGATGGCCTCTGGCATTCGGATCCGTGGGTCTCCGCCCACCTTCCCCACCAGCTGCAGTATTTGGGCTTGCGGTATTGGCATACCTGCCCTTTTCATTGGGATAGGGAGAGTGTACGGAACCCGCCGCAGGTGGCGAGTAGGCTGGAGGCGGCTCCTCGTTGATATTGAGACTGTTCACGCCTGCCTCCAAGTTTGGACTTGTCGATGGCTGTGGTGGTCTTGGATAGCTTGGCTGTCTATTCTGACTGTGAGTTGGCACAGCGTCTCCCCTCGACGCAACTTCTTCGGTCCCCTGGAACGCAATCGGTGGTCCATGCGGCGCTGATCCTGGCTGCTCCGTTGGACTCCAGCTTCCGCTTCCCTGAAATTGCTGTGCTTGAGGCTGTGGTGTCCCTCTCTGAGGCTGTGGTGACGCATAATGAGCTCTCCTAGCTGCCGCTGCCGCACTTTGCGCTTGCATCTCATTGAGTGTATTTGTGCCTGGAATACCGGAAGCTGCATATCGCGCTTCAATTCCACTCAGTCCTCCTCCTGCTACTGGCGTATCTATGGGTGTTTCCGGCGGAGGCGGTGATCCTCTCGAAGCTCTGGTGGTCGCATTTGACGCCGTACTGCTCAGGCGGTTGATCCCAGCGGGATCCGGAATATGCAACCTATTCTGTACTTGAGCTGCTGCTGCTGCTGCCGCACTGGCCGAGGGAGCAGCACCCAAGGGCGGAGGGTAGAATTGCTGATAATCCTCCGTCGTGGCCGGCGCAGGAGCAGGAACGGCGGCCTTCGCCTTCCTCTCACGCTGTGGCTTCAACTGAAACAATTCATCGTCTTCATCGCTCTTATGTGGCGGCTCCGGTCCTCCAGGCGAGTCCGGAGGCACGATGTTCTTCGCAGGTGTTCCCCTCCTCTCCGCGAGCTTCGACATGTTTACAGGAGGCAGAGAGCGACCGAACTCTGCTGTAGGTCTATGCGGATCAGTCGGCGCAAAGCGCGCTCTTCCAGTATGTCCGCTCCCGTCCGAAGACATACTGCCTGCACGGAGTCTGGGTGGTCCAAACCCTCGTCCCTCTTCTGCGATGTGGAGCTCCTGCGGCGTGCCCGTCCGAGTTGGTATTCTTCCACCCGGAGCAGAAGCTCCCGGCGTCGCCTGTCGTCTCGCTCTCTCGTCTGGATATGGTAGGGGCCCGGTAGGGGGAGGTGAGGTCGGAGCGCCGTAAGCCGCGGCGCTGCTGGGAGGGACCCTATAGCTGGCCCATTGCTGTGTTGGGTCGGGCTGGGCGGTCTGACTCTGGTGCGGCGGTGAGTGTGGTTTGTTAATGCGCAAGGGCTTGGGGGTTTCCGACTGTGGCATGGAAGTCTCGGGTTGGAGGAAGAGCTCCTCGTGGTCGGCCATGTTGTTCGTCGCGACCGCTGGTCGGGAAATGCGAGGTCTGCTGCTGCTGGGTGCTGCTGCACGTTTCCGTCGTCAACCTGGTGTCTCTCTTACGCTCGCGCTGGCGAGGCTCGGTCTGATCGCACTGTGTAGCAAGGATAGCTGTGCGATATCACAGCTCATACGTAACCACGCATCAAGCCCGTATGCAGCGGCTGGTGGTGGGTGTCGTGTTATTAGTAGGAGACGTTGTGTAGAGGGAGACGGGGAAGATGAGAATATCTTGTCGCGGTCGAGTCACTTACGCTTCGCCCACCACATCGCGCGTACGAGGCCAATACTTCCACAGCCTATCCGCCTCACCTGCGAGTTGACGTTTCCCTTCCAAGGTGCTTCCTGGTCTGTGATTGGCCAACCCCCATCAGTGGAAGCGCCCAACTTCACTCGCAAGGCTTGGCTATTTGTCGCAGCCGGATTCTCGCTGTGATGAACGTGGCTCTCGTTCGGCGGCCACTGTCTGGCGGCCCAGCAGTGGTGAGTGGTGGCCAAGACGTCGTCGCAGAGGAGCGCAGAAACGCAGGACTGGAGATCTCGAGATCAGGATGTGGGATGATGCCCGGGACTCGGCGGGTGTGTCCGTTCTCGATGCCTGAGACATCAGGTTGTCCATTAGTCACCCCACGTCACACCCGAGATCCGGCTTGGCACAACAGCACTTCTTCCCTCCTCGCTTGCACTTTCTTTCCTCCTTCTCTCTTCAACACACTTCGTAACTTCGAACGCATAATCAACCACTCATCCTGATTCTCCGTGGAACTGATGGTCATATTGGCGTACAACAGCGATTCCGAGGCGCTTTTAGGCTCCTCCGCCGAACCCGTGATCAACGTGCCCATGGCGGAGGCAGTCACCTGCGTTTTGCCTTACAGACCACATCTTTGAGGTGGCTTGCCATTGAACGCGCGGACTACGAGGCTTTGCAATGCGATATTATCGAGAGGCACTTTCTTGGCTGGTCCGATGCCTCAGAGTTGTCGCCTCAGTCTACGCGTGGCAGTGAATATGCTGGTTGAAAAATCTTGCTTCTCGTGTGCAACGACGCCGGTCCTGCCGGTCAACTGGTCATACCCATTCTCAACCAATGTCTACAATCGTGCAGCATACCAGCATACACGGCTCTGGCTCAATTTCAAGCACTACGCAAGAGCCCGCCCTTTGACAGCCCTGTTGAGCTGGTGGAGAAAGCGAAGAATGTCTCCCATCGACCTGAGCAATACCTGCTCTCATAGCGTTACAAGTTGTCGTGACGTCAGCAACTCCACTTTGGTCGAGCTTCAGAATCGTCAAGCAAATGCATCCCTGCAATTCTCAGAAAATGAAGACAGTGAGCCTTGCTTCGAAGCCCAGAACGTACTAACGGATGACTCCTCCGACCATTCAAATCCAAAGGTCGACATGCTGGAACGCTTCTTCTCGCCTAGTGGGTTCTCATTTGAATGCACGTACTGGTGCGAAAATGAAGTTCCATAACCTGGCTGGCATTGCGAAAATGGCCTAAGACGGATATGTCCACACCAAGGGTGTGCCTTGTGCGGATTTTGCGTGGCAGAAGGATTTTCCGGCGTCACGAGTTATACGTGTGGGCAAGTAGGTAACAGGAAGCGGAGGCAAAAGCGCTCAAGACGCTTGCTTACAGTTTTCACAGGACTGCCACGAGCGGCACGTAAATGAATATGCCCAACACTTCGCCGAGGTCAAAGAACTACGCCGCAGACTACTTTACGGACCTCTTCCCAACGAAATTATGTCACATGGACCGCACGGAGACTATCATGATTCAGAGCGAAGCAGAATCTCGCCGCAGAATCTCGCCGCAGAATCTCGCCGCAGAATCTCGCCGCAGAATCGAAACTTGCACTGAGCTCAGCGATTGGAAGTGCACCTGGCGTCTTATTACATCAATGCTGGGAATTGGGGTTCAGAAGGCGAGTATCTCATCTGCCAGGAAGGTGTCCATGACACGGAAAGGCTTGCCATGCTGCCATGCCGACATCTCCTGCACGCGGAATGCATCACGACCTGGTTCGCAACTAGTCGACGCAATGGATGTCCATACCGATGTTTGGGTCTCCCATACGCGGTTGGTTGTACTGCACGAGACCTTTACTGTTTTGCTGGCTACCATGGGACCACCGTGCGTGGTCAGGCTAAATTGTTTGCTTCCTTGCGAATCAATATTCCACAAGTCTGTCTCCTTTATTGTACAGACTCCACAAGAAAACCTCACCTTATCAGAATTCTTTGCGATCATTGCCCTGACGAACGTGCACGAGTCTTGCTGACAAAACGCCACTGTGTTGACGAACATAAACTACTAATTTATGGCGGACAGGAACAGCGACATGCCACCATATCCAGCCAGTCAGGTGCCGCAATCTTTGACCATGGAACAATACACAGCAGTCTACGATTCCCACGTCGGCGATTTCATCCTGGTCGGACGTAGCACCGGCTACTGGTACCTCCTTCTTGTCGCCGGTTTCATCGTGGCAACACCACCACTTCCAGGCCGCCTACTTGTGAAGGCAATCCACAATCGCAATAAGGAAATAGCTTTCGAGTACCAGAGATTTGGTGGAAGCTGGCATGCCAAATGTTCGCTCGCGAGAATGGAAGCGTCTGAGATTGGGTTGTGTTGCACGAGAGGTGACAAGTTGACTTTGCGGTGCGTTGACGCTTTCCGAACTGATACGTGCACTGGCGCTGATGTGAATTAGGCCCTCTGCTGAACTGCTTCGGGATCGCTTGGGAGGTGGATGTTTATACCATCGTTGTCGAAATGGTCTGGTTCGAATTTGTAGTGATGTTGCGGTGGATGTGCCCTGCCGCTGGTCCATCGGGAGAAAGAATGCTATTGAAGCTGGAAGAAGGCCGAAGACGCTTTGTCCTTTTTGCATGGGTAATGAGTTGTTCGAGAAGCACGAATATCTGGCATTGGTAAGTTCCCTGTAGTTCTGTTGGAGGTGCCATGTGCTGACTCTCTGAGGCTTGGGAGCGAGGGCAGTTTGCTCAAAGTGTCCTTGCTGAGCATTTCCGGGGTGTCAATGAAAAGCGCAGTCAGCTCGATTACGCTCCCCTGTCAGCGGACATCGACGTCAATACCTTATTGCCTCCGGTACAAGCCTTGGAAGATGCCATGACAATGCCGGCCACCGACCACGGAGCCGACGTGGACGCAGCCGCAGGCCAAGCTGTGATAAGCGCCCGAGGAGCACTCACATCCTTCGAGAACAATCTCAATCGGCTCGACTCCCCACATTTGGACACATCACAGACTCTCTTCATCCGTACACATACCTACGACTGGTTCCAAACTGCTCGGGAAAGGATTTTCCAGGACGTGTGTGGAATCTGCCAGGAGGGATATCGGGATGCCGACAGCATTGCTTACCTTCCGTGCGATCATTTCTTTCACGAGACGTGCGTGAAGACTTGTTTGGGGTATCAGCGTGGAGCGAGCAGGTGTCCGCTTTGCTGCCGGGCTATTAATCGAGCGGCAGGGCTATGATAGCCACTTCAACAGACACTCATCGAGTATGGCATTTTCTGGACAACTTCTCCCGCTGGCAAAACACAACCAGGTGACTGGCAAAATACAACCAGGTGAGGTGGGAAGGCAGATGACGCTATCCCGGTCCCAGGTGCCACGTATGAGTACGCGGAGGCATACGGTGGCGGCCCGTAGCTGTCGAATCTGCTTTGACTGGTTTTCTATTGGTGCTTCTCAACTACGAATCCCGGAATGCACAGTCATTCGGTGTTTTGAGGGCGCGCTAAGATCGCCATGCGCCAGCTGCCATACAACTCCTGCAGGGTCTGATCTCAAGACCTATGCCTTCTCAACCTGCTGTGGGAACGCCCAAGGATTTGAAGTTCTTCCGAATTCGAGTTGAGAGAGTCAACTTTCTTGCCTTAGAGGCTCACAAGCAACCTGCTAAGTCGACTGCTTCCTTTCTACTTTCGCGGTTTCACGGATCGTGACCGCTTTTCAGATGGCGTCTGCACAGCACAAACAGCTTGTTGAAATAAGATGTGGCAATTTGGATCTGCTCGCTGTGTGCGAGTATCCAAAGACTGCTTCTGATCCACTTTCACGTTGCCCGAGATAAGCTGCAGCATTCCAGCCGTGGCGCGTTGTGACTCTTCCCGATGCGGATAGCCTCTTGTGGAGACTCGCAGAAGAAACAAAACTTGAGCGAACCATCTTCTCAGGCCAGAACGCCACACATACAAGGACAGACGAGATGGTGTGCGAGCGTGCCGCAGTGGATTCCATTTGCCTGCAGTGCGAAGGGCAGTACGGGGAGGTCATATAGGCTCCAGCTGCCGCTCTGCGAAAGCTGTTCCTTTCTTCCTTCTTCTTTCCATTGGCAGCCCCGTTGTTCGGCAAATGCCCATTGCTCATACCATCTGCTGCAGCATGCTCGCTGGATCAGACACACATGCCGCGCCCACAGGCTTATTATGCTACTCCATGCAACGCCCACGTGGCTGCCTCCGTACAGCACATACACCGAGTTGAAACTACACCAACGCCCCTCGTATTCCTTCACCTGGCGGCGATTGGGCACTAGCGGGTGGCCTCCCTATACCATAACGCACCGCCACACCTGCCGCCATACGTCTGCTACCGAGCATCTTTCGTGATGGATGCAATGCGAACCACGCAGAAGGCGTCCCCACTATACCACGACAGTCCACTGCCACCGTGGGAGCCTGGCGGGTCGGATGGATGACATAATAGTTCAACATACCATAGGCCATAACGTGGTCCAAGGACTGCATCATCATGGTAGCAGGGAGCACGCCGTTTTGGTCTGTGGGACGTCTTTAGTCAAAGACAAGCCAGGCATCCTCGCAGACCAAAAGCGCTGACGCTACCAGAATGTGCCAATCGTAGGTGTTGAGCTACCAGATTTGCGCCGCCTCCTCCGTAGACCACAGGGAACACATCCCCAGGACTACAGTTCTGAACAACAGGAGCGACCTTCACAACGAGTACAACCCAGACCAAGTATCGTCGTCGGTGTGGTCTACCCAACTGTTCCCATCGAATCCCCCTGCGCCTCATTGTCGTTGTGTCTCGCTCGGAAGCAGAGTTTCAGTTGGGGGCCCTCCGCCCTCTTAGCGAGTCCAACCACGACCTCCCTTACTTCACCGCTTCGTTGCGATACAAGTGATGACGGGGAAGCATCGCCGCCAGGACTTCAGGCATCTACCCACGCTCATATAAAGCTGGATCACGATTCTCCCTGGAGTGATCCCTTCCTACCCAGCGAGCAGCGTCTGACCTCTGTTAGAACCCTTACAGTCAACACCATTAGCAACCCCATCAACACGACGCCTTGCCTCCGATTCCATTCGACAACCCCCTGAGCCGACCACCCTCGAACTCGATCACCATGTCTTGCCCGCCCATCCCCTGTCCACACCATCGACCAGGCGGACGCCCTGTCTGCCAGAGCTGCTCGACTCCAAAATCCCTCAACGACGACCGCGGCCTGTTCCCAGACAACAGCGCTGCTCTCGCCCAGTACCTCCAACACCCAGCCGTGCGCAAGCAAGGTAGGACGCACGCACGCACGCAGTGAATCCATGCCGAGAAACTGACAAGAGAGACTTAGCCACCATCGACACCCAAACGCTCTATCGCCAACGACCCATCCCCGCAACCGTGTACGGAGAAGACCCCACCGTCGCGTCTAACATCGTCAATGGCGCGCGGCCCCGCCAGTTGCCGGAAATCTACCCTTATGCGAGGGAGATAGCCGACGGTGATCTTCTCTTCGGACAAGCGCTTCCAGCTCCAAACAGACAACAGCCGCTGTCTCAACCCCAGCCGCTGCCGCTGCCGATGGCACAGCGAGCTCAGGTTAGGAGTGCAGCACAGAGCCAACCTGATGGAACCCTCAGCGAGCCGCGGAATGCCACCCTACCTCAGCTCAGAGGCACGCATCCCAGACCCCCTACTCAGCCACCCGAAGCCCCTTATACGAATGGAGAGTCACGCAGGACATCGGCTCGTCAACAAAGAACAGACTCATCGATGCTTGATCTTAACGTAACGGCCGAACGCGGACAGCAAAGGTCTCGAAGATGAAGCGGAATCCCTTGACGACGACGACGACGACGACGACGACGGATAGATGGCGCCTAGGTTTCCCGCTCGAGTCCGTTGAGGCTGACTGAGGGAGTCGATGCTGTTCTTGAGGATTTGATCGAGAGATGGAATTCTTAGCGACCGATTGCATTCATGCGCGATGGCCATGATACTTCACGACTGGCATGCTACTACAAGCCGCCGACACTTTCGCGTGGTCGACCAGACTGGCACACCACTTCAGTCCCTACTAAGAAGCCGCCGCATGCCACATTACCTGTTCCGGCAGACGGACGTGCCTTTGGCAGCAGAGGCAACGACAGGAGCGCAGGATTTCCACGCATAATATGAGTGTCAACATACACACCCACCGGAAAAATCGATCTGATCTCACTCGCGGAGAAAACTTCGACACAGTGCCAAGTTTCACACGCACGTCTTTCATAGCTTGGTATGCAAACACCTCACGCATCCCTCACCGCCTCAACAAGCTTCCCCTGCGACCCCATCGCCTGCTGGGCAAGATCTTCCAACTCATATGCCTTCCCCTTCCCATCCGGCCCGCCATCGAAAATCTCATACGAGAACCAGCCCCGGAACCCGGTATCCAGTACCGCCCTGGTGAAATCCACCACGGGCAGATATCCCTCATCGAAAGGCAAAGGCCGGAAATCATGACTCCACCGCGCTCGCGGCCTCATGCCATCGATTTCCCTCGCCTCTAGCGGCTCTTTCAATCGATACGCGTCGGAGATCTGCAGCAGGAAGATCTTCTCCTTCGGTATCGTGTTCGAGAGCTCCGCACACGAACGCTTCCAATCCCTCGTGACTTCCTCACGGGATCGTCCGTCTTCCACAATGCCACTACGAGTCCTCGGATCCCCCCATTCCCCACCCGCAGATTGGAAAGTATCCAAGCATAACCCAAAATTGCCCCGGTCGACGTCTTTACAAATCTCCCATACATCCTTCCAATCCGGTGCGTGTGTGCTCCAACACCAATTCTCATATGCAATCCTCATGCCCTTCTTGTCCAGAACATCCGCAAGCTGCCTCAGATCCTCCACAAAACGCCCACGATCCGTTCCGATGTTTTCCGGAGGCGAATCGGAAGAACCCACTTGTAACATGTCACAACCCAAGACTTGCATGATGTTGGTCCAATTCTCTACTCGTTCCCAGGCATCTTTGCGTTCGGGAGAGTTTTCGGCCCAACCTTCGAAATTGGCAAAAGGTTGCAGCATCAAGACTTTGAGATTTTTGGCGGAGAGGATGGGTTTCAAGGCGCGAGCGGCAGCAGTTAGATCTTCCCAGGCGTGATCGGTAATTTTGTCTGTTTTGAAGTGAAGGTTTGCGAAAGAGACGAGGTCGGGCATGCCGAGTTCGATGGCTTGGAAACCTGCAGAGGCAATGGCATCGAGTTTGAGGGGGAGTGTGTGTGCTGGTTTGTAGCCGATGGAGACAGAAGCGTAGGACAGTGGGAGGCTGGAGAGGTCGTCCATGTTGGAGATATTGGCGTTCAGCAGATTCCAAGTTCCACCTGCTCTTTTTCGGGTTTGGATTTTTTTCTCTCTCTCTCATGGATCGTGTCAAAGTTGTGTATTTGTACGAGTGGACGCAATCTAAACACATCGTGATGCAAGTATAGCATCGGGCCGCTTAATATGACGTCGATCTTCGTCAGTGAGAGACGTCCATCAGAGAGCACTGCAGACACATCTTCTCTCGAGAAAAGCGGGATGCGACTGAAATTGTGCAGCAACGACTGCCGACCTGAGCAGAGATGCTTTGACTGCATAATACTGTGGAGAGCATGCTGCAAATGCCGCTGAAGCAGAACGAAGCCAGACTCGACGCCTATTTGGCATGTAGCAACGCTACGGGATGAGATTCGTAGACTTCCCTAGTCAGCGACGCTGAACAGTACCTTCAACCACAGGCTACAACCTTTGCAGCCAGTGATCAGCTCGCCATACTCGATGTTTTTCTCCAGCTCGCCCTCAGTGATTACAAATGCCGGTTTGCTGCCACATCGACATGGCCTGATCCAGGTTCCCTCGTCCTCGTCCATTGCGAGTTCGTCAAGATCTACCGTCTCCATACCAGTGTGGCGTGTATGGACTTTACCGGCGCTATCGCCATCTGCCGCATTGGCAGTTCTCCGACCGCGATCATATTCCACTCTCAACTTGGGATGTAGAAGCGTCTTGTAGGCTTCTGTGATGTCGTCCACTGAAGGCACTCCCTTGTCGGCCTTGCCTGATGGCAGGTTCTGCTTGTCCGGATGGTGCAGTAGCAGCGCGTGCTTGTAAGCTTGCCTCAGGTCAGCGGGTGATATGACGTCCCCAGGGCTCGTATCCTGCAGGCCAAGGATCCGATAGTAGTCCTTGGTGCTTTCCATGCTCGTAGCCGTGGCTCATTGTTGTGCGAAAGTCTCTCGGGCCGTTTTCCCGGACTCGTATTCTCTCTCTATTCTTCGCAGAGAATCACGGTAGCGTTCCTTGGCAAGGCTGCATCGCATGAGCGGAGGGACTTGTGCACATGTGACTTATGCGGAGATCGGCAAAGATTTCAATGGGATGTGCTTTGTGAAGAGGTGCAGCAGCAGAAATCGAATCGATATTTTGATGCGCGGACAGGGAATCTCCTCCGTCTGTGCGTCCGTCGCCGACGCGCGTCCGTGCGCTGTGCCCGTGGCAAAGCTCGGCGACAAGTTCTTCCGTCATCCCGTCCACATCCCTTTGTGCTTGACCACTTCACACTTCACCAATCTCTTCATCCACCCAAACAATACACCACCAAATTCATCATCATTTCCAACATACCCCATCAAATGCATCATCAAATCTCACGACACACCATCAACAGGACCGCCGGAACACGCGGTATGGAGTGTCATCAGAGCTTTCACATGACGAGCGGCGGCGATGTGAGTTGGGATGAGAAACAAAACCCATGGCGTTGGGCGAGCTCAACCAGCCGCGAAGGAAGGATTGTGTTCCTGCAGCTATTTATGCCATGTCCGCACGCGATGATTGGGTCGCCGGCTGTTGGCGCCACGGCTGGTGAGATGGCTTGAACACTGTACTCCATCCGACATGCGCGTGGCGCCTCTCCAGCGGCCTCTTGCCACATTCGGCCGTCGTCTCTTCCCGCTTTCTCCAAAGCTTGACACAGTATACGAGTCGGTGCTGACGGGTCCGCGGGAGCTTCTGCCAGTCCTTCGTAAGACATTGGATCACGGGCAAGCTTTTCATTTCCTGAGCCGGCCCAAGCCTAACACGCCGTCATCTGTCTCTCGCGACTCGTACAAACACCTCCTCATCCGCCCTGCGCCCTTCGTGTTTCTCTCTTCTCCTCTTATCCCTACTGTCGTTTCTTTTACGCAGCCTTCCTATCAACAGTCTTTCTTCAACATGCATTTTCTAGCTCTGTCGGCGCTCGTCGGCGCAGCCTTCGCTCAGAAGAGAGGCTTCAATTATGGTGCTACGACAAGTGCTGGTGCTGCCCGTGTGCAGCAGGACTTTGAGAATGAGTTCAACCGCGCCAAGAACCTCCAGGGCCAGTCGGGCTTCACCTCTGCCCGCCTGTACACCATGATCCAGGGTGGCACCGTAAATACCGCCACCGAGGCCATCCCAGCTGCCATCGACACTCAGACGACTTTGCTGCTCGGTCTGTGGGGCAGCGCTGGTCAGGCCGCCTTCGACCAGGAGCTTACTGCTCTGAGCAACGCCATCAAGCAGTACGGCTCTGCCTTTACCAACCTGATCGACGGTATCTCGATCGGCTCGGAAGATCTCTACCGCATCACGCCAACCGGCATTGAGAACAACAGCGGCGTCGGCGCTGGTCCGGACGTGTTGGTCAGCTACATCAGCCAGGTCCGCGATCTCATCAAGGGAACTGCTGCGAGCGGCGCAAAGATTGGACACGTCGACACATGGACCGCGTGGGTGAATGGCAGCAACACCGCCGTCATCAACGCTGTCGATTGGCTGGGAATGGACGGCTACCCCTACTACCAGACTACTCTGGCTAACGGTATCGAGAACGCCGCAGAGCTGTTCTTCGACAGCTACAATGCCACCGTCAACGTTGCTGGAGGCAAGCCAGTCTGGATCACTGAGACCGGCTGGCCATACCAAGGCCCACAAGCCGGCCAAGCCGTCGCATCCGTCCAGAACGCCGAGACCTACTGGCAGGCTGTTGCTTGCAGGATTCTTGGAAACATCAACACTTGGTGGTTCACTCTCAACGACCCAGAGGCGTCTGGAGACGTCTCCTTCTCTGTCGTTGGACCAAACTTGAACGACGCCCCCCTGTACAACTTGGCCTGCAGCGGCAGCAGCAGCAGCAGCCGGTCTTCTACGTCCAGCAGCTCGGCCAAGCCGTCCAGCACTGCCGCCGCTCCTACGATGCCAGCGGTCTCTTCCGGCGCCGAGTCTTTCACCATCAACACTAAGCCAAACTCCGAGTCTGCACCAGCCACTGTAACCGGCGTCAGTGCGCAGCCCACTGGCGCCCAGTCTCAGCCAGCCGGATCCAGCACCGCCGCCCCCTCTAGCTCTGCTCCCGCTGGTTATAGTGGATCTGCTTCGGCTGGTGTCCAAGGTGGTGAGACTCACACCGTCTACCAAACCACCATGATCACTGTCTCTGCTTGCTCAGCTTCATACCCTCCAAGCAGCTCTGCACCAGCTCCAAGCAGCTCCGCGCCAGCCCCTAGCAGCTCCGCACCAGCACCTAGCAGCTCCGCCCCGGCTTCCAGCAAGTCAGCGCCAGCTCCATCGTCCTCTAGCAGCGGCTCCAAGTCCTGCCCAACCACTCTCACCGGCGACTACCAGTACCCTCATCTGATCGTACCCGTCTCTTCCAGCTCTCCTGACAAGGCATACGGAACCTCCTACAACGGCACAATCACTCCCACCGAGTCCACCATCTTCAACTTCGATATACCAGCTTCCTACGCCGGCAAGACCTGCAGCCTCGTCTTCCTCTTCCCCAACCAGAAGGATCTGCAGACCAGCGCATACTCTTTCAACGGCAAGGGTGGATTGAAGATCGAGGAGCTCTCTGGACCCGCCGATGCCGGCACGACTTACGCCAACGCGCCAAAGGCCGCTGGTGTCACCGCCTCCATCACGAGCTTGGTGCCCGGTAACAGCTACACTGTCTTCAGCCACGCCTGCGGAGCCGGACAGCGCGTCGCGTTTGAGTTTGAGAGCACGGGTGGTCTGGAATTGAACTTTTTCGAGGACTACAACCCGAGCCCTCTCGGTGCCTACATTACTGCCTGCTAGAGGAGCACAGCAAAAGAGAGGGGGACAAAAACACACACATTACGATTCATGTAGATATTTTAACGATGATAGAATATGGGAAAGGGAGAAGGGGGATATCAAAAAAGCCGTTCGCTATTGACTTGCTGCTCTTCAGGATCTTTGTCTAATTAAGATGAAACGACAGGAGGAATATCATCTAGAGAAAATCAAAATGTAATGTCATTGTCTACTGAAGTACTACCTACCCGCTTCTCTGCTCTACTCTGCTCTGCTCTCCTTTTCAACGTTGCTCAATCTGTCCTCGCTTAATCTCCAAGAGAGAGAGAGCATCGCAGAGCTCCCACCGTTCTCGCCACAATCCAAAGTCCCTCTCCAAAACTTCCACATGCAGGTTAGGTAGGTAGGTGATGTCATTCGACCCAAAGACCTGACCTGACGACTGGAGTGAGCAGTCTATCGGTACATGCACCTTGCAGACAACAACCTGGAAAACCCAGGTCTTGATTATTCTTCGCATCTTCCATTGATTGCAAAGAAAACTTTCCATTACCACTGGTAGCTGATTCCATTCCTATCAGTCAGTCAGTAACAAAACGAAAACCAACCGACTGGGAAGAAGCAACAAAATGTCAGGACACGGACACGGACACATCACCTGGCCACCGCGGCTCCGGCGCACCGATGTCTTGGGGGAAGTCAGAGATGGTAAATCGAAACCCTTTTCCTCCCTCCCCTCCCCTCCCCTCCCCTCCACCACCATATACATCATCAAAAAGACCAAAAAAAAAATCGAAAAAGAAAGCAAGAAAGCAAGAACTAACACCCACCATTTTCCCCCAAAGTCTCCAACCGCAAAATCCACCGCGACGTGGGAAACCCCATCTACCTGCGCGCAAACTGCTACTACATCTTCGGCGACACCTTCTGCCACGACGCCGCGGGGGAATTCCACGGCGTGAGCAACAACACGTACGCCCTCGTGCCGGATCCGAGAAAAGAGCCGACGAGGTCCGAGTACTTGGATGGGCAGTTGAAGGTGCGCGAGTATATTCCGTTTACGAGGAGTGAGGTGCGTTATTTATCCCCCCTAATCTTTCTCTCTCAAAATCTCACGCTAATGCAATTCCTTTTTCTTTGGGCCCAAACAGTATGAATACGATTCCGGGCCCGAACAGAAGCAAAAGAACGACCGCATGACGCTCTGGTCGTTCGGTGGCGTCGTGGAGAATCCGCCGGATGCCGGGACGGGATGGGTTTTCTTCACCAAGATGATCACGCATGGTGCGATGCCGGGGCATGGGTATGGAGTTGGGGTCGCGAGGGCGACGGCGCAGCCCGATAAGAAGATCAGGATGGAGAGGATCATGGGCGATGAGATGATATTTGGCGTAAGTACTAGCAGTGGTAGTAGGAGTAGTAGTAGATCTTTGTCGATCGTTTGGGGATACAGAGAAACTGATGAGGAAAATCTAGGAAGGAGAGCCTTCGTTCGGTAGTGTGACGAACCTTTGCGATGATGATGGATGGGTGTATACACTGGGTATGGCAGTAGACACGTACCGGTTCGATGGATGAGATTCTTACTGATGCTCCCAAATCTAGGAACGTACGATCCGAATCCCTCGCAACTCGACCTCCGTACTCACATCGCCCGCATCAGGCGCGACGCAGACTTCACCCAGCGTGCCAATTACGAATTCTTCATCAACACCCTCGATGGGAAGGGAATGTGGTCCAAGACGTATAACTCCATCGACGATCTCAAGCGACTCGGTGACATGGACGTCCAAAGCCAGGGTGAAATGATCAAAGTACCCTCTTTCGCGCCAGAAGGCCGTCCATACATGTGGATAGGCAACAACAAGTTCGGCGCCGGTATAATGTACGTCGGATGCGCACCTCGGCCAGAAGGGCCATGGGAGGTTGTCGAGATGGGCGACATCCCGAATGACCCTGCGCCATGGGATGGGAAGAGCAGTGGTCCGAAGTATTCGTTCTTCCCCAATCCACGAGCGAGCGACTTGGACAGGGGAGAGATTATCTGCACTTGGACGGATGCCGCGCAAATGGGCGGTAAGGTGATCGCAGCCAGGTTCTGGTTTGAAGGGGACTACGAGAGGGGACCTCCGCCGCCTGCGCAGGGAGCTCATGTACAGCAGCCTGGCTCAGACGGAAAGGGCAGTGCTGGATCTCATCACAGTGGGTTGGGAGACAGGCTGAAGGGCAAGATTGAGGGGTTCCTGCACAAGTAGATTAAGTCAGTTCGCGGTCGAGGGGAATTCATCGACATTGATAGGTTCCGAGGCTCTGTATGGCAGCATGGCGAGAGAAACATTGCCGATGGACAGATCAGCTGATACCTCGACACCAAGACGATCTCAGAACTGTGAGCTCGGGTGCTGAGGCCGCGACCAGGTCTCCACCAGGTCTATAGAACGCGTCAAATGCTGACTTGTTCAAAGGTAAAGAGGGTGGTAGAGCGGTGAACCCCTCTGAGGTACCTGCACGAGGATAACACCGTTGAGTCCCTTCGTGTGTTTGCTAGATGAGTACTCCCCCGCCAACCATACTGACGACCACGAGCGGACATATGGTTGCCCGGGCATGATTGGGTCGGTTGCCATCCGGTCGACCCCCACCAAGAGTCTGATGGAAGGAACCTCAACGCTGTGAGTGCTTGAGGAGGCTTGGTATTGCTTGTGTGAGCGGTTTTTGGACTGGTGGCATGGCGAGCCAGAGTTGGCATGCGCGATTTCTGGGAAAGCGATGATTCTGAGTGTAGTCCCCATGGGAATGCGCGTTCATGGAAGAACACGCTTACATCTCAGCGGAGTTGTCGTGGACGAGCGGTGAGAATTTTCGCCATTGAACTCAAAGTCGAAGCAGTGTGGGCAATTCGTTGCGATGTAGATGAGCCTCGCTAGTTGTACAAAGTTGAAGAGACCTATCAGATGGCAAGATCAACGTCATGCGGACGATCTGGTGTCGTCGAAGCATGCCATTCTGGTGTTTTCGGTTAGTCAGGGCTGCATATAGAGGATAGAATGGAGTGTCGGCAGAGCTCGGATCGGCCAAGAAGGCGCAATAAGCTTATTGAGCCATTTTCAGAGGGGTTTGATGGTGGAGTCGTCATTGGGCCCTGTATGCTGCACCTACGGCGGAGCATTTCGCCGCTACCTCAGCGTGTGTATGGAGGTTCGATCGTCACATGAGGGGGAAGCGGTCATGCAAATGGCTCTTGCCAAATGACTCCGATGGCTTGCTTGCTTGAGGCGTGTCTGGGTGGCCAGGGCTGCGGCCGTGAGTGCTGCGGTCCCGGAGTGTCGTGTGCGGCGATGAGGGATATTGTATTGTTGTGGGTGTGGAGAGAGTGAAGGTCGCGTGGAGTGTATGTGCCCCGGTGCATGGGAGCCAATGAGAAGGGAGTGTTGTTATTTCTGCGCTGCAAGGAACAGGAAGTGACGTTGCGGCTCTGCTGTCACAGAGTCCGACGGGGCCGTTCCGCGCACCAATCAGAGCGCGGGCACATGTCGAGAAAAATGCCGCAGCTGCCCCCGATTCCCACGATTCACTCACTCGTGGACAGGCAGGCACGACCAGACACGCCCGAGCACTCGATGACTGCGTCTGTCTATATATTGACTAACACCGCCTCGCCCCCAACACCCAACTCTGACCGGCACAGCCCCGTTCCATTGCCGAGACCCTGTCGCGTAGTTGTTTGGTAACAAGGTAAGTTACACCCGCCCCGCCCCGCCCCGCCCCGCCCCGACTCGACGTCAGCCAGCCCTCAAAAACTTCTCGGCCGCCTTCACCACCGCATTTTCTTCCACCTCCAAAATTCCACACAACCTCCACATCCTGCGCCGCCACTAACAAATCGCCCTGAGAACAGCCTCCGAGCAGCGGCACATCGCTCCACCAGACTCGCCTTTGGTCTCGACAAAGGCGCCCGCAACAACACGGCCCTGCCGGCCTGCGACCGAGTCACCTGCAAAAGTGCCCTGCGCCGAGCACACCGCGACATCCTCAACTCGAAGCCGCCTCCTGCAACCCGCTCGTTTGGAGTCGCTAGAAGCGTCTGACCATCTGCTGTTCGACTTGTTCCAACAAGCACCGCACCTCCTCCTCGACCCCCAGCTGCCGCATAAGAGTTTCTCTGGAGCTCTTCCCTCTCTGCCGGGGGAAGACTCTGGGCTTCGGCACCCAGGAGTTCACCGTCTGGCCTTTGCGCCCTTCAAACCGCCCTAACGAACTCCACCAATCCTCAGAACTCATTCTAATCTACCTTGATGAAGGGTATGGCACCTATCGCAACCCATCTCCTCAACGACCACTATGATTCCCTGTCTTTGAAAGACAAGTGGGATTCCGTGGACGCAACGGCTTCCTACTACGAGTATGGAGTTCACAATGGCAAGAAGTTGGCCAAGGAGATGATTGGAGCCGCTTTGCAGAAGCACGTCGAGGGCGTGGATCCACACGACTGCGAGGCCGGCGCGGAGGATGCTTTCTTCGTGGCCGACCTGGGAGAGGTCTACCGTCAGCACATGCGCTGGAAGAAGAACCTGCCGCGCGTCACTCCGCACTACGCCGTCAAGTGCAACCCAGACCCGGCTGTTCTCAACCTCCTGGCCAGACTTGGAGCCGGGTTTGACTGCGCCAGCAAGGGCGAGATTGAACAGGTGTTGGGGATGGGCGTCGATCCGTCGCGATTGATCTACGCTCAGCCATGCAAGACCAAGAGCTACATCCGCTACACCGCCAAGGTCAATGTCAGGCAGATGACCTTCGACAACACCGATGAGTTGTACAAGGTCAAACAGTTGTTCCCAGAGGCCGAGCTGTACCTGCGCATCTTCACCGACGATTCTGGCAGCCTGTGCCGCTTGAGCCAGAAGTTTGGCGCCAGTATGGACAACACCGAGGAGCTGTTGGCCCTGGCTAAGGATCTGAACCTGAACGTTGTTGGTGTTGCTTTCCACGTCGGCTCCGGCGCATCCGACCCAGCTGCCTTCCGTCGCGCCGTCAGCGATGCCCGCACCGTCTTCGACCAGGCTGACAAGCTGGGCTTCAAGATGCACACCCTCGACTGTGGCGGTGGCTTCATCCCGGACACGTTCGACGAGATGTCCAGTGTGCTCTCCGCATCTCTCGAGGAGCACTTTCCCCCCCACATTCGCATCATCGCCGAGCCAGGCCGCTACTACACCAGCTCCGCCTTCACGCTTGCCTGTAATGTCATTGCCCGTCGCACGGTAGAGGACAAGCAGCCGGGTGGCGACACCCGCTACATGCTCTACATGAATGATGGTGTCTACGGCAACTTCTCCAGCATCATCTTCGACCACCAACACCCGATCCCGCGCGTCCTGCGCACTGAGGGTCGCCAAGACGGATTCGAATACACTGTTAGGCGCAGCAGCGAATCTCTCGTCGACTCGGGATATACCTCCGCCGAAGATGATACGTACGCCAACTACCGCGCTGGCAAGAAGCTCATCACCTACTCCGTCTGGGGACCGACCTGCGACGGTATCGACTGCATCGCCGAGAAGTGGCAGGATACCGATACTGTCGATGTTGGCGACTGGCTCTACTTCGAGGACATGGGCGCCTATACCAAGTGCTCTGCTACACGTTTCAACGGCTTCACCAATGGTCACGAGACCATCTACGTCTGCAGCGAGCCAGGCGCTGCTGAACTTGTTTCATTGTAGATGCAGAAGGAAGCGATAGATGGATGGGCGGTGTTGAGTGTGCGCTTTGATTGCTGGGACGACATGCTCGCCAGAGCGAAATCGGAAAAGCTGGGTGCTTGCTTGTGCATACTTTTACCTGCGATAGAGAGAGCGATAGCAAGCCTGTAATGTTTGCTTTTCTTATGATGTCACACGATCTCTGCCTCAGTCCATTCAAGGAGGTCGTCCCTCGTCTCCTCAAAGACTTGCCCTCAGGAATCAATTTGTGGTCCTGAATCTACCCACCAATTCACCTACACCCTCTTCAAGCTTGGGGAGGTGAAGTTGTGAGCTTGGCGTAGGTCTAAGGCAGCAATAGAATGCGCCTTACTGATTAGTCATCGGAGACGTCAGGGTTGGCATCACATTCCTCTACATGTACTCTCCCTCTTTCTTGTGGTGCTACAACATCGCGTGGCTTGGGAGCAGCCATCTCATCGGCACGACGTTACGAGGCCGTACTACCACAATTTCTCTCCCGTCTCACGCTGCCAACATAAGCTCATCGGATTAGGTATACTAAGCCGCCTTCGCGAACACCTACCTACTTCTGCGACGTCTCTCCACGACCCCATTTGTGGGTACGAAGAAGCTGAATCTCTCGGCTCTTCTGCACTAGATCTGGATGGGAATCAGTATGGGACGTCCAGCTAAGCTACGAATCCAGAGCAAGGGAGCTTTTCTGCACCAAGGAGTCGGGTTCGAGTTGTACGACTTTGCCATGGCTAGGAAAGACAAGACTCGCCGACCAGATTAGATGTTGGGCGATTTCCTGAACGCCTTTCGTAGGACATTGCTGTGTTCCCATCTCTGCTTTGTTTGGCGACGGCGGAAAGGAGTTGCTCTGAGAGTACAGGAACGCCCTCCCCCCCCAATGCATCCACGGGCGTACCGGTAGGATTCTTTCGATTGCAGCACGAGCTTTGCGACGATTTCGGCCAGGACGAACGCTCACGATACCGATCAACTAGTGATAGAGATATCGGTGCAATACCCATGGAGCAGTCTGATTGTCTTTGCTATATGGCTCTGTCGAGAGAGCTGGTGCGAGCTGAGAAAGATCATGCAGGTCGACTGTGGAAATTGACGATGGCAAATCGTGTGATTAGCACAGTCAGCCGTCTCACATATCAGCCCTCCACCTATGGGGACAAAGCGACATTGACGTGGACGGCTTATTAGAGAGATGCAGCACTCCAGGCATGTTTTCTTTTCTGTTCGCAACAACTACCACCTCACAAACAGCGGCTCTTTCTCCATTTTCGACAGAGTCTGGTCATCGAAAGGCCATCGTTCTACAGACAATCAATTGCTAACGACATTGGGCGTGATTCCGACCTCTTGGATCCTTGCGTTCATCACGATAGCTGAACAAAACGATGGCGATACGAGGCCCCAGGCCTCCATGGAACTACCTCCTAGCAGCCTGCGTCGCCATAATCCTGCTATTCGTCCTCGTGAGAAACCACGACACCGTCGGCAAGCAATTTCGGCAACATCAAGATTGGAGCCTCATCCCTCCACTACAGAAAACAACTGCCAAGAATGCCTACGCTACTTTCCTCGCCAACTGGCCCGAGGAACACCTCGACGACGAGATGAACGACGACGCATACTTTGTCGCCGCGAGACTCCTGGCGTACCAACTCCTCCACGCGCCCGAGACGCGATCGGTCGGCGGATACCCCCTCGTGGTCCTCGTCAACGCGCACGTGTCCGCGGAAAAGAGAGAGCGTCTTGCGAAAGACGGTGCCGTCGTCTGGGAGCCCGAGCCGGTCGATGGGAAATGGTGAGAAAAGCATCCATTCCACACAAACAAAAATCTTCATTCGCCAGCTAAGAAATTTCATGTTGCTCGCTCGCCCAGGATCCACAACGCTCACGTCGGCACCTGGGAATACGTAATGACCAAACTCCGCATCTGGGAACTCACGCAATTCGACAAAATCTGCTTCCTCGACGCCGATACCATCCTCTTCCAACCCCTCGACGGCGTCTTCGACGACCCGGCCGCGCAATTCCAGACCCCTACCGTGGGAAACGACACTCTCCTCCCTCCCTCGTACATCATGGCCGGCACACCCGAGCTGAAATCCCCCCACCACCACTGGCCGCCCCTCCCCAACGAAACACACGCGCACTACATGAACGCAGGCTTCTTCGTCACGCAGCCCTCCCTCCAACTCCTGCAGCACTACCTCAGCTTCACGGCCACCCCGCACGTCTTCTCCCCGGACATGCCGGAGCAAAACCTCCTCAACCACGTTCATGGCCAAGAAGGACGCATGCCCTGGAAGGCGCTCGACGCGCGTTGGAATACGCATAGTGCTTCTGTCGCGGATTGGAGGGGTGGGGTGGTGAGTATGCATACGCATTATTGGGATGGGATGATGACGATGACGGAGGATGGGGATGGGGAGGATGGGGATGGTGGTGGGTGGGAGATGAAGAGGGTCTTTTGGAGTTGGAGAGGGAGGATGGAGGGGTTTTGGGAGGGGATGGAGGGGACGGGGGGATGGAGGTGATGGGATGGGATGGGTGGTTGTGCTTTTTTGCGGAGGTTCCGATTCGGGAGGGGTAGGGGGGATTTCTTCCATTGAGAGAGAGATAGAGAGAGTACACGCCGTAGTGGTAGGCAAGAGAACGGGTGCAGGCTAGAGATTTAATAGACATATAGGTATAGGCATGTGTGTTTCGCTCTCTCTATCTTCTCCCTCAAGCCAGGCCCGTGGCGTTTGCGTTTGCGTTTGCGTTTGCGTTTGCCTTTCAGTCGCCATTATGAACACGTGCGAGGTCTGAGCCAAAAAAATTCTCTCACAATCATCATTATTTGGGAATATCTACCCAAAAGCAGTAGATAGTACACGAGCTCGCCGTGAGATTCACGATATATAGGCAGGCAAGTGGGGAACATGTCCTTGTCTTGACTTGTGGAATCACATTGAACAATCGCCTGCAGTTGCCGACTCGAGGAGTGAGTACAGTACGTAATGGTGTCTGTTGACATGGTCTTTCCATGAATGAAGCCAAGCTTACTGTGCCACGAAAAGGCACACCAGGTCCCAGGAACAATTGGTGATGGCAGTTTGCGAGGGGATTTCTCATCTGTCTTACGACAATGATCAGACTCCCATGCTTGCGTGCGGCGATGGAGGTTTTGTTTGTGATTTGGCTGGCAGGTCTCGATCTCGCAGAGGCATCGAGGTACAACGATCAAGATCAGATCGAGGGCGCGGCGGCGTGCAAATGCATACGTCACCTTGACGGAGAACTTGACGACTGCATGCACCTGATCAAGGGATGTGTCGAACGTGGCGGCAGACATCTGCCTGAAATGCTGTTGGACTTGCTGTTGCATGCTCAACTTTTCGACCATGACGACGAATCTGGCAGATTCCACTCGATGGAAATACCTCCGCGCAAATAAGACAGCGACATGCGTATTGGGAAAGGCGGCCTTTCCGCAATCGTCGTCGTCCCGGCCAGATTGGGCCGCGCCAAAGGACGGCAGCAAAAGAATCAGACGAGAAGTTCCAAACTAACGGGTAGAGTTCGCGCCTTCTTCTTCGGTCCCAAGATGTTCTGATGTCACACGGCGACGCGGCTCTTTAGTCGTGGACTAGATCGACATCCGAACACTTTGTTCCAACTGCAGAGTACTGCAGAGGGCATAGAATTGTCGCGGCGAGAAATGTCCGAAGAATGACAAAATCGGCAGCTGCCATCTAAGGCGCGCGTGTGAGTAGGTGTTGAAACGTGAAGCGTCAGTGGTGCATCGCCAAGAGGCGAGTGCGAGGGAGCAGAAACAAGAGCTCTTGTGTGGAAACGAGAGCTCTGCAGCGCTGCAGCGCTGGTGTGGAGGAAGATATCACAGAGATCAAGGCAGATGGGTGCCAATGGGCAGAGGGTGGAGGGCGAGAAGAGGATGCTGGAACCTGTTTCTGTACATCATGACGAGGATGTCCACGCGAGCTAGCAGCGAACATGCCTGGCGCCTCTCTGCAGTGGTGCAGCTCAACCGGTCGATCGATGCGATGAGAAGCCTCACACCTGCCAGCTTGTGCCACACGAGTCCATCAGGCAGGTACGGTGACGGTGACGTAGGGTCGGGTGGAGTTGGTAAGGCTGGACGCCACAGATCTGTGGTCCGTCCAGCGCAACGAATGTCATGTCATGTCATGTGAAGGAAGGAGGTGTGAGGGAGGGAGGGAGGGAGGGCGAATCGCGATGGTGATGATGGATGACGTGAAGTCGGACGGGTGTACTACTGCTGCAAGGCTGCCGAGAGGCTCTGGGCGTGCGCCTCCCTGTCGCACCGACTGGTGTGTGGCACGGGGAGGGCTGAGACGCTGAGACGGACGTGAATGTGGCGAGCGTATTATTATGTGTGATGATGATGGGTCGGCAGGCGCAGGCCGATCCACAATCTGCAGCGCCCAGTGCACCTCCCGAGTAGTAGTAAAAGGTGGTAGTGTGGCAGCAGTAGTAATAATGTAGTAGCTCATGACTTGGCGGACGACCACTGAGGCGCAGTACTCGCTCGATTGCCCACTTTTGCCGTCGACCCGTGTGCTGCGTCCTGCATCAAGTTCTGGCCGCCTCCTAACTCTTCCACACTACTACTGTCCATTCGAGGCTACACACTCTAACCACTCCCTTGCTCTCCCATCCATACTCCTCTCTCACGACCACCAGGAACGCATCGCAACGCATCGCATCGCATCGCATCGCATCGCATCGCATCGTATCGCCTCGCTGCGCCTCGCATACTGCTGGGCCACCTCGGCAGTCCGCAGGCAGATTGACTTGCAGGGAACGGCGGTACACGCCGGCTGGCCACGAGCGCCACGGTGACGGGCTGAAGCTGCGCGCTTTTGCCGGCTGGGAGTGCGCAGACGTCTGGCGCGCTTTTCGCTGACTGTCCCTCTCATATACATATCCGCCTCGCAGGCTGCTGCCGCCTGCGCAGCGCGAACGCATTCCACGAGGAGCGGCCTGTCACCATCCCTGCGCACGCATCGCATCGCACTCGTCGCATCGCACGCTCGCATCGCGCCTGCCGAGTCGGTTGGGACGTTGGGAGGCTCCGATCTAGACCGTCGCATTGCCCGAGACCAGACGCCCACTCGACCACGACGCCCACACCGGGACCACGAGTATCTGGAGCGAGCCGGGCGTGAAATGCCCTCTCGCATTGCGGAGCAGCATTGGAGAACAGCGTCGCGGCGCGTCTGGGAGGAAAGGCGGATTGCAAATCAACACGCTTCTGGTGCGTAGCTCTTGAGCCCTCATGTGAGCGAGGCAAGGCTCTTCCACGTGCAGACATGCGTCATGAGAGCAAGAAGCCCCGTCGGCACTGCCTTCGCTTGTGCTCGACTGCGAGGTGTGCATAGTATTCGTCGCAGACACTAATCGATCGCGCAGAGACAATCCGACCCATAGATTAATCAGAGAGTGCCCATGACGAGATAGCCACACATGGCCATGACAACGCGCGCAACTACCCCATCGCATCCCGAACAGTTCGCCGCGCTCGAGGGAGCGCCCCGCACACCGACGTCCATATCGTCTGGCTCCGTGCCGCCGACCACCACCAGCGGCGCAGTGGGGAAGTCGGGTCTCCTGCGACCGACTCCGTCGCAGAGGGCGGGCATTGCAGGTGCTGAGCTACCGCTCTCGCCCAAGTCGAAACAGGCGCGTTTGTCGCCCGGAAGGGCAGCGACGCTAACGGGCGCTGCCGCGATGGCGGAGCTGAAGAGGAGGAAACAGCAGCAGCAGCAGTCGCAGAAGAACTCGGGCGGTGAATCTGGCGACCGGCAGACGAGCCCCAACCCAGCTGTGGCGGCGATGCAGTCACTGATGGGCCCGGGCGGCATGAGCAGAGTGGCAGACGCGCCGGCTCCGGATAAATTGAGCGAGCCGCTGCGCGAGGCGGCCGAGAAAATCTCGGTGCCTGACAACAACTCGCAGCAGGACTCGGACGAGGTCAGTCCTGCCAGTCTCGGGAGCTTTGGCACGCTCGAGAGCACGGGCGGGGCCAGCGCCATGACAGCCACAGCCACAGCCAACGACCACACTTCTGCCCCAGGCCAACAATTTGTGGCTGAGCCCTCCGACATGGCTGACGGAGAGACATATCCGCAGAACACCGGCAACGGGAACCTCGCCGTGCCCGACCAAAACGGCAACAAAGCAATCTCCTACTCCTACCCCGGGCCGCCACCTCAGCCCGACCCGAATGAGGAGGGCAGCGGTCCGTCACGCGGCATGAGCCTGCCGCGGTACGGCCGGGGCAGCAGTCCCAAATCACCAGCCTCCAATAAGCGACACAGATGCCCCTACTGCGCGACCGACTTCACCCGCCACCACAACCTCAAGAGCCACCTGCTTACTCACACTCAAGAGAAGCCCTATGTGTGTCAAACCTGCCAAGCCCGCTTCCGCCGCCTGCACGATCTCAAACGCCACACCAAGCTGCACACCGGCGAACGCCCACACACCTGTGACAGGTGCGGCAGAAAATTCGCACGTGGTGACGCACTCGCACGGCATAACAAAGGGCCGGGAGGCTGTGCAGGTCGTCGCTCGAGCTTTGGCGGCGACGACGACGACGCTGAAGGCCAGGGCGAGAGCATGGATGGAGTCGAGTACGACGACGGCAACGACGAACAGGGACGACGGATCAGCGAACCCAACCGGAAACGCCAGCAGCTCGAGACTCCCGAAGACCCCAACAGACAAGTCTACCGGCAGCCCTCGAGCACTTATCCTCCTGCTCCCACTCGAAGCATGGGTGGGAGCGTGGGTGGGAGCATGGGGCCGCCACAGGTCATTCACCCCGGATCGAGCAGCGTAACCTCGCCGCGAGAGATGTCTGGACAGCGCAGTCCGGCAGGTGGGTCCTCCGTCGGCTCTACGTACTATGGGTCAGGACAGGTCTTCGCTGAGCCAGGTGTCATGATGACATCGTCGCCGAAGCCCCTCTCGCCTGGCCAGCCGCCTGATCAACACCGGCTCAGTGTTGGTGATGGTAGCAACATGAACCGCAATCGGTCCACGAGCTTGACAACACAGTTCCAGCAACAGCACTTTGGCCGACAGCCTGGAAGCGTGGGTGGAGGAAGTGTTGGTGGCAGTGGCGGTGCCAGGACGCCTCCGCCACCCAATGTGCAAAATGTTCAGTTTCCTCAGAACCAAGGTGTGCAGCCCAACATACTGCCCCCACTGGGCTCGGGCAATCAGGTCGGCTCCCGCGGACCACCCCAGATGACTGGAGGAGCTGCACCGAACATGCACCAACACCCGCCACAGCAACACCACCCCAATCAAGGCTCGAATCCAGGCAGCCTGTCGAGCCATGGTCGATCATCGGGAAGCAGTCTCCGCGACATGACCCAAGATCCGAATGACATCTGGGGATATGTTCGACAACTCGAGTCGCGCTTCAGTAGAATGCAAGACGAATACGAGTTGCGCATCAGCCGCCTGCAGGAGGAGCTAATATCACTCCGCGGACAGGTCGGCCAGATCTCCAACGCGGCGAGTTATAGCAGCGAGATGGGCCAGCCGCGGGCCTATTGACTAGATGGTTCCAAGCAACCGACTACCACTGTACATTACTCTCAGCACCATCTGCCGCTCAGACAGCCTGGCAACATGACTCAAGTAACATCTACGGAGTCGGCCAGGGCTGCGTGAGGAGGCGTGGCGGCTTGCATTGCAAAGCACATCGATGACACGACCGGAGTATGCTCTTGTTTAGAAGAAGCGAAATGATGGAGGGGATACCTGTGATTCGATGTACTACTACTACTACCATTACCCTGGGAAAAGATGCTGCTGGGCTCACAGCGCGGAGCAAGGAGAAAATGTGTTTCAAAGGCGAATAGACTCTGAAAATAACGCTTCCCAGTCCACTGTCTCCTGGGATACCCGTCCTTCGAAGTAAGACGTTGTCAGCCCTAAGGTGCGTACGTCTTACGAGTTCACAGAGGCTTAGTCGTGCGTGACGAGGTCACCAGATCCGTATTTCGAGTCTCGTGTTTGGTATTGTTCTGAGCGGACAAAGCATCTCTCTCTCGCGGGAGGCGAGCTGAGTAGCGGCTAATGCGAGGCCATCAGTTTGAGTCGAACATCTCCTTTCTCGCTTACTCTTTGTTCCGTGAAGGTATGTGAACGTCTTGAGGTGCTGCCATAGAAAGGACCCCATGCACGATGACATGGGCTAACCAGACGGAATCGACCCATGTGGCTGAGTTTACCCCAGATCTACAGGAACTTAATTCGTGAGATCAGACCATTTTTGAGGCCAGGACAATTCAGGAGCAAGTTACAAAAACCAATTAATACAAGACCTTAACATCACGCCCTCCCTCGCCCATGATACTGACTCCTAAGACACGTTCGCTGGAGGAATCACTGGAATTGAAAGAGCGCTTGGCGATAGTTGGGAGGGAAAGCGGAAGCTGAAAGTTGAACCCGGGTGGTTTGATTCCATGCGCGCGCCGAGATGCACAGCAACGGCGTGCATATGAACGGTGTCAATGGCACTTCGAACCGACACCATGGCGACACGAATGGCCTTTCGAGATTGCGCACACAGGATCAAACAATTCGGACCGATAACAACGACTCATCATCACCTACAACCAACGGCCATTCGAGACCCGCGAGATCGCCGCGACGACCGTCGAACCCTCTCGCACCGCCTTTCATAGTGTCTGCTCCAGGAAAGACGATCGTGTACGGCGAACATGCGGTTGTTCACGGCAAAGCTGCAATCGCAGCGGCCATCTCTCTCCGCTCCTACCTCCTCGTCACCACCCTCACCAAGTCGCAGCGGACGGTAGCGTTGAAATTCACGGACATCGGCTTGGATCACACTTGGAGCATCGCGGACTTGCCATGGCGAGAATTTGCGCATCCGAGTCGGAAGAAGAGGTACTATGATCTCGTGACGACATTGGATCAGGAGCTGGTCGCGGCGATGCAGCCACACATAACGCCTGTGAGCGCGCACGAGACGCCGGAGAAGAGGAAGATACACCAGAACGCGGCCAGTGCGTTCTTATACCTGTTCTTGAGCTTGGGGAGTAAGGACAGTCCTGGATGTGTATATGCGATGCGTTCCGCCATACCGATCGCAGCAGGCCTTGGCAGCAGTGCCAGTGTGAGCGTATGCATCGCAGCCGCACTTCTCGTACAAAGCCGGGCGTTGTCCGGACCACATCCAGATCAACAGACAAACGAAGCAGAAGAGCAATTGGAACGTATCAATCGCTGGTCGTTCGTGGGAGAAATGCTTATCCACGGCAACCCGAGTGGAGTGGACAACACAGTCGCAACCAACGGTCACGCAGTGCTGTTCCAACGGAAAGACTACACCAAACCACCCGCTGTCACCGTGCTCCGAGATTTTCCGGAATTGCCCTTACTCCTTGTCGATACATGCCAGCCCAAATCGACCGCGGCAGAAGTCGCAAAGGTAGCCAACCTCAAATCCCTACACCCTGCCGTTGTCGAGAATACCCTGAACGCTATCGACTCCATCACCCGCTCCGTCTACGACCGAATCACGTCTGACGACTTTGACCCCGCGGCGCAGGAGAGCATCGTCCATCTAGGGGAGCTCATGTCCATCAACCACGGTCTGCTGACCAGTCTGGGCGTCTCGCATCCTCGACTGGAAAGGTTACGCTACCTCGTCGACCAGGCCGGCGTCGGGTGGACGAAACTCACGGGCGCCGGCGGAGGAGGTTGTGCCATCACACTACTGAAACCCGAAAGCCTCTCGAGCGCGGACAGCCAGCTCAACGGACACGCAGCGCACGAGACGCAGAGCCCCCTGCAACACTTGGAAAAGCAGCTGGACGCGGAAGGCTTCAAGAAGTATCAGACCACCTTGGGAGGCGATGGCGTGGGCGTGTGTTATCCCGCGATTATCAATCGGGAAGAAATCGACATGGAGATGTTCTTGACTGCTGATGGGAGGGAAGGGGTGGAGCGGTTGGTCGATGGGAGGGATGATCGGGACGCTTGGAAGTATTGGAGACCTTGATGATGATGAGGATCGCAGGACTCTTTTTTTTGGGGGAGGGGGTATCGTTGTATCGATATCTCGAAGAGGGCGCTTTGTTTATTTTGTTTGTTTGTTTCGTTTCTTGAGATGTTACTAGTAGTACATTACTCTCTCCACACACACACAGAGAGGAAAGCAGAACGAAGCCCTGCCTGCGCTGCGCGAGCAGACCAACCAACCTACCATCATCATCCCAATAAATAATCACTCTTTGCGAATTTCCCTTTTTTTTTCGATCGATTGATTCGAAGGACTTCGCAACATCAACACGACGGGTCTTCCGACAATGATACCTTTCCGACGATGGGTTGAAGGAAGCTCATGGGCTAAGAATGGGGCAATGGCAACAGCTCGAGCTGGAGGAGCTACGGCGGGACGCCCGCCTAGCATCGGCTCTAGACGGAGTACGGCGTCCCGCAAATTCACACCGGAAACAGGCAAAGCTCGCATTTGGCTAGGTAGGTCATGCTGCGCCCATTCGCCAATGCGTGTCTCTGAGACGATTTTTCTTCGCTTGGTGGAACGGTAGGGCGCTCCAGTTGCTGTTCCTTGGGGGATGACTATTGCGGAGCGGAAGAAAATGGCGAGATAACGAAACCAGACATTGCATGCATGGGGAGGACGGAACCTTGTTCCATTTTCTGCGCAAGGAAAAGCTGAGGTATCTACCTCATCAGGACATGGAGAGGCAGAGATCGGAAGGAAAGAAGGAAGGGATAGGGATAGGGATAGGAATACTTAGGTTGTACAGTCACAGTCAGTCAGTCACCTTTTCATCATCATTATCTATCTATCTTCTTCTTCTTCTTCTTCTTCTTCTTCTTCTTCTGTTCGTTTCTTCCTTCCTCATCTCTCGCTGACTCCTTGGGACAGAGATAGATATAAGCACCACCCGCCCGACGTTTGTCCCCAGGGACAGATTAGACTCGCTCACACACACACACACACATAAAACAACCGCATTCTGGACTTCTGGACGAAATCTCTTCACCTAACAACACCTGTCATCTGTCTGCATTCTTACTTTTATTCTGTTTGGATTCTTCGATTCCAAAAGGGCGTTATTGTACGTGGAATCTCGTCCGTACCTCGCCAACGCCATCCGACCACCACCTCTCTTTCAACAACAACAACAACAACAACATGTGCGCCGCTAGGAATCGTCATCGTCACGATAGCGGGACTTCCACCTCCACCTCCACCTCCACCTCCCCTCCTTCCTCACGCTCTCAATCGCCCAAACAAAAGCGACCGTGGCGATTGACGCCCCTGGTGGAATCCGCAAAGCTTTCCAAAGCAGCAGGGTGGTACGTACTCAGACCCGTGTTTTCCCAACCCACTGCGGCCCTTTCTTTTATTGATAGGAGGGGGCCGCTCTCCGTTATCAACCTTCCCGATCGTTAAGTCGTAGAAGCAGAATCTTTCTCAAGCTCGAGAACCTCCAGCCCTCGGGCTCTTTCAAATCCCGCGGGCTCGGGAATCTGGTCCTCCGATCGATGCAACGCGCTCAGGATCCGAGCAAGGTGCATTTCTATTCCAGCAGTGCGGGTAATGCTGGGTTGGGGTGTGTTTTTAGTGCGAAGTTTGTGGGGAGGCCGAGTACGGTATGATATGTCCTTCTTTTCCCCCTCTGATCTGTATCAATTGGGGGTCTCAGAGTTTGACTTCTCGCGTTAGGTCGTCGTGCCCATGACGACGAAACCCTACATGATCGCCAAGATCCAAGCCGCCGGCGCCACGGAGGTGGTGCAACATGGGGAGTCTCTGAAAGACGCCGACGCGTACCTCAAGTCTGTCGTCATGCCTCGAGCAGAAGCTCGCGGCGAGGAACCCGTCTACGTCTCGCCCTTCGACCACCCGGATACGTGGGAGGGGCATTCCACCATGGTCGACGAGATGCGCGAGCAGTTCGAAGACATGGACGAGGACGCGCCCGATCTCATCGTCTGCAGCTGCGGCGGGGGCGGTCTCTTCAATGGTCTCTTGCAAGGCGTCGAAGCTCAAGGCTGCGAGTGGGAGAAGACGAAATTCCTCTTGACCGAGACTGCCGGCGCAGATTCGCTCGCGAGGTCCTTGGCGCAGCAGCAGAACACGACCATGTCCAAGATCACCTCCATCGCCACGTCGCTCGGCTGTGCCCGCGTGAGCGAGCGAACGTTCGAACTCGCCACGCAAGGCATCCGCACCGGCAAGGTGAGGAATGTCGTCCTCAGCGACGCCGAGGCGATGATGGGCTGCTGGCGCTTCGCGGAAGACGAGCGCATCCTCGTCGAGCCCGCCTGCGGCGTCAATCTCGCGTTGTGCTACTCTCGTCGCCTCGAAGAGGCACTGGGAAGACGGGTGCGGCCCGACGAGAAGGTGGTCATGATCGTCTGCGGCGGCTCCAACGTCTCCACCAGTATGATTGAGCAGTGGAAGCAGGAGTCTGGGCACTTGGACGACGATGTGGCCGAATGTCATTGACTCGTGCAATACGGGATGGTCTTTTGCTTTGAATCGAAATTGAATCTTCTTTTACTTCAAAGGAGAGTCAAAGCAATGTTGTTTTGGGTTTCCTGCGAACAGCAACGGTTCAGTGAAGTCGTTGCATGGTCTACGAGGGCAGAGTGCCCGTCTCCATCACTATCAATACCATATCGGTCCACCTGAGCTGGTTTCTAGCCGCGCATACATGGCTAGCTGATACCATCAAAGGATAGACCTCGGGTCCAGGTCAGTTTGCGGGCTTTCAATCAAGTCCAGCTACGCCAAATCTCCCGTCTCGGTCCTGTCGCTCGTAGTTTCGTAGCCGTAGACCGCATATCCGGATAGTGTCTTCGGCTTCTCGATTCACTCCGCATCCTCTTCTTGCCCTGCTTCTTGTGCCACTGCCAAGCTTGTCTTTCTGTGCCCAAGATCTTAGTCGACTCTTTGAATGTTTGAGACTGACACCGATCTCATATCCCTGTAGCCATGCTATTGCCATTGCCGGCCGATGCGTCGGTTTGGTCCGGACGGACAGCCAGATGTCGGCCCTACCTGTGCCTCCTTCCGATTGGTGCTAGATTCTCAATGAATGTTTGATAGGTATTTTCATTGGAATCCTGCTTACCAATCTGAGCACTTCGCCGAAGTCAACTCCACCAAGCTTTGAATATGGAGTCGCTAAATCTTGATTGCGACTATACCACCACACACATACACACTGCTTCAGTGAGCGCCTGATCTGCGAGGTAGATCCAGCCTACCATACGACTCCCTTCTAGACTTTAAGCCAGCAAAACATTCGAGAGGACGATCAGAGAGCTTGGAATTCCCGAGGCTTTGTGCCGGTGCAGGCCCAGCTCGCAAGCACAAGGCAAGGTAGGCAAGACCGGAAGGAATCAGCAGCTTTCTCTCTCGTGGAATGGCTCCAGCACCGGTTGTTCCGCCATATCAACGAATCAAAGAATAGTTTCGCGGCCAAGTCGAAGTCTCGGGTTTGTTAGATGTGAGCGTTCAGGATGCTGAGGATGAGATTCTTACGCCGGATATCAGACTTCGCGTTTCCTGGCTAGGATGGCTCACCCAGTCCATTATCAAAGTCTCAATACCCTCTTCAACAGCGAAGGTACACAGACAAGATAAAAGATACAATTCGGTGGAGACTATGGCAGACACTAATTGCTCGTCTCTTCAGGCATGGTTCACGACGAGTGATGCAATCCACGACTAGTCCTCTTGCGCCTTATGAAAGACGCAGACCCGCACCACATTCACACTGGCCTGTCCGTTTGCTTTCTTTCCGTAGAGCATCTTTGATGGAACAACCATCATCACGTGCGCCTGGAATTTGGCGGACCCACAGGACGCATCAGGTCGTCCCTTGCGCCGCCAGGAGGGTGTCGCTCGTCCAACCATCTAACCCAATTTCCTAATGAGCGGCTCGCTGAGCCGTTCACAGAATGCTTGGCGAGCGGCAATGACCCTGCTATATGGGTCAGGTCACAACAGCGGAACAGCAAGATATGCAAGCTCTCCTGGCAGCACGTCCCTCTCAAATCTGTTCCACGAAGACCGATGTTCGCCTCTTTTACTCCTACTGTCCCGCACTGCCGCGATGAGGCTCCTCGATGCTCTGGTCATTTGTCATCGCATACTATGCTCGGCGCAGTCTGTCTCACACCGTACGGAATCTTATGGTCACGATGAACTTGGGCAATCGTCGGGTGCGTTGCGCGTCTTTACCAAGACCGTTCATCGATGCACAACTTCTACGGTGTATGTACCCGACACATTGCCGTCGTTTGGATGGATATCGACAGGTGGAACTACAATGCCTTTCGCATTTTCCCCTTCAGAATCACCATCTTCGAGCGAGGAGATCGCCGCAGAGTCTTCTCCTATGACCTCAGCATCAACACTGCGCTCAAGTCCGGCTCCGCTACATAGCTCTGCGATACTCCCTAGCTCGACCTCGCCATGCGAATCAAGTTCGCCCGCAACACCTGCAGCATCGATATGGTCGGAGCTATCGTCGAATCCAGAGACTCGTTCACAACAGACATCATCAAGGGAAGCAGTACAGTTGTCTGCGTCGTCGTCCTCCACAACAACTTCATCGGCACGAATACCAGACGAGGGCATCATTGGATTTTCACCCTCCCCAGCGTATCCGCAACCAACGTCGTGGGCTTCAGATTCTTCATCAATGCATACGTCCAGCGCCGAAATGCTCTACAGCTCTGCAACGAAATCTCAGCAGAATGTGGCAACCAGCCGCGGCGTGGGAACTTCACCCTCGCATCCCCCTTCCCCCATTACTGACAGCAGTAGAACAGCATCTGGCGGTCGAGCTTCGACTTCGGTGCTGTCAGTACCAGGTACCATTCCATTTTCAGCGCAAAGTTCGTCCACTCGCCCGACTTCTTCTCGGGACATGGACAGCTCGGTTGAAACACGCTCTGCGTCATCTCTGGCTGCCTTGAGCTCTTCTTCTATACCTGTTGCGCCAGGTTACTCAAGCCCGGCCGGCTTTCCAATCTCGCCAGTCTCTCCTACTGTACAGAGCAGTTCGTCGGCAGATGCGAGCGCTGAGCAGGCAAGCGGTCTTCCATTCCCATCATCGCCAGCGTCTAGCAGCACCGGTGAGTTTGAACCATGGGCTCTGATACTCTCGAGAAGTCACGCGAATGATGCTTGAGCTTCTAGAGGATCTGATCGATCTTTCAACGATCTGGCTCCGTCAATGCTGACATACGGCAGGGGCTCCCACTTTGTACATCACCAGTTCACCTTCTACCAATACACATCTACCAACCTCCCGCATTCTCGGCTCTACGCCAAGCTCGGCTGCGGATCTCATCCGCACTGCAAGCATAACTTCGACGATCTCCCTGGTCACGAGGTACAGCATATATGGAGGGACAGTCGGTAGCACTGTTCTTGGAGGCTCTACGCGAATATTGACCCTGAACCACGTGGCGACAACATCCATATTTGGGGGTTTCACTACGACCTTCACCTCCGGGGGCATTACTCAGTCAGTTGTCGAGATCGCGAGGCCCACTCCTACTCCTCCAGCGGAGGCTGTAATTGGACCTTGTCCAGGTTATGACGGGAGATTCATTAGCAGCTCTGGAGGAAGCGCTCTTATTGCTTGTGGCGTGATCTATAATGGTTCAGTCATCAGCACGATCTCTCGCCGCGACAAGAAGTTAGCAAGACGAGCTACTGAGTATGACTGTTCGGCGCAGTGCGACGCAATGTCAGATTGCGTTGGCTACTCTTACACGCAAGATGAATGCATATTCTATAGCTCGGTGGATGGACAGCAGGACTGGCCTTACCCTGCACTGTCCGTGGTACGAGCCAACAGTGCAGGCAATTCGAGCGACTCATCGGCGTCGTTCGGCGTCGACACCATGGAAGTCTCGCAGACAACAGCTGCTCCAGGCACAAGCGAGCCAGCAGAGAGCGGACCCTTGGTCATTACTGTCACAACGACGGAACCCGGCTCTACTTTCACAACCACGCTGGATAGAACGTTCCCTGCGTCCACAATCACAGCGCCTGGAAACACAATCACGGTTATATCCGCGTATACGACGACTTTGATAAGTATAAGCACGGTACCGGCTTCAGTTCATCTGGTTACCCTTACTTACACGCAGCCAACGACTGTGGTCTCGACCGAGCTGGTGCCTACCACAGCAATCTCTAGTGAGTTATCTGTAAGCACCTTGACTACCTATCTACCTGGTAGCACCTTCGTGAGTCAGCCAGCCCTCTCACACACATGTGCATCCACTGAAACCAAGACAGACGACGACTTTTGAGACTGTGTACCCTGCTTCTACTCTGACCATCTCGATACCTGGTCCAACAACGACGGAACTTTCCTTTGTCACGCAGCCCGCATCTACTGATTACGTGACCAGTGTCTCCACGGCTCCGGGTACAACCAGCACGCTGGAAGTTACGTACACGCAGCCTGCGAGCACGAACAATGTGACGCAGATATTGATATCCACAATGTTCTCCGCGGTGCCGGCCAGTACGCTTACTCTGGGGGAAACCACCACGAGCTTTGGAGAGCTGGTGACTTTTACTGGCCTCAGCACCCTTCCGGGAACAACGGTGACCGACGAAGTCACATACACTTCGGTTTCCACCCCTGAAACGAGGAATCTGACTGAAAGTCTCGAAGTGACCCAGACGTCTCTTTCCATCAGTACAGGTACGTATACTCTGCGAATCTTTCGAGATCTGCAGCGCCTGGCAACAGCAGGCGACTCGTCTCGGCCCAAGATCTCGGGACCTCTCCTTCCTTTCACACGGCATAAACTCGTGGACGAGGAGCCTTCGTAAAGAGGCGTCTTATTTTCGCCAAGCTTGGCAGTTCGATGAGGGATCTCCTTCGAATGCTTGGCGGTCACTGGAAGGGTGGCTAATTCTTCTTCAGCCATTATCACAATGTCCGCGAGTACGATGACGCTCGAGTATACGACCTCCTTGGAGGGATCCCTATCCGTTTTCACGGAAACTACCTGGCTACCAGCCTCCACTGTTACGGAAACTATTACATATACGCTCTTTCAGCCCACGACGCTCTTCCAGCCGACCACAGTCCCGGAATCATTGACCACAACTCTTCAGCTGGTCTCGACAGTCGTTTCGAGCTACATTAGTCTGGTTCCAGTGACCTTTACTACAGTCTTGATATCTACAGCTCCAGGTATGCTTCACCCAGACATTTTGGACTGATTCGAAGTCTGCCCTCTCCAAGCTTTCCACCAAGATCTATATCGATAGCGAGACGCAGACAACGAAGAACCCACCTTGGAAAACGATTTTCTATGGCGAAATGCCGCTCGACGAGTTTGTGGAGAGGGAGCCTAATTCTGACGCTTTGTAGGGACTACCATCACTTCGACTTTAACCTACATCTCGATTTTAACCCTTCCTGGTCCGACGTTAGTTAGCACGCAGCTTGCTTCTACTGTGTATTCGGATCTTCCCGTTTCAACGCGCACTGAGACCCTGATAACGACCTTTTTGAGCTCCTTTCCGGTTACTTACATCCGCACGCTCGTCTCAACGGCTCCTGGTAAGCAGAGCTGCTCACGCGATTCTTTCGGCATCTGAAATCTCCTGCTGACTCCTCCAAGGAACCACCATCACGTCTTTGACCACTGAAGTCCGATACACTACTTCGTTGATCATTTCAACCGCCCCTCAAGAGACATATACCACTATTTCAGTCCAGCCAGCGAGCACATACCTTTCGACTCTGCTTAGTTCATATCCCGTTACAGAGATCAGTACTTTGACTATCACCGCTCCAGGTATGGTCTTTCTTCTTGCCGCTGAGCGATACATGAAGTTTGCTAATATTCGCCAGGAACTACCTTTACTTCGGAGACGACCTTGGTCCAATTCGAAACGCAGACCATCTTCATCACTTTGCCGCCATCTACCCTGCCGGCTGCCACAGTCACCTCGGTTTTTCCCGCATCAACTTTGCCGGCCAGCACATATTATTCTACAGTTCTCAGCTCCTATCCTGTGACCTTTACGACGGTCTTGATTTCCACGGCTCCTGGTAAGTCTAGAGCCATCAGTGCAAAGCAATCCGTACGCAGTTCAAAGTCTCATGTGCCTCCAAAAGCGCGTGGTGCACAAGCTTCTGGTGGTTGGCTTGCTTTGCTCGGAAGCGTCTCCTAGCCTGGAGAAGACCAAATGCCCCTGAACAGCTTTTCTGCGATGCAAGATGCCATTGAGCGGGGAAAATATTGGAGAGACCCTCGGATTTTCTTGTTGACTAACGATTTCCAGGCACAACGCTAACCTCCACTTCCACCTACGTATCCTATGTCACTCAAACCCTTACTCAACCGCCTTCGACATATATCACAACCGCCCTGAGTAGTTATCCGGTAATATATACGCAACTCGGGCCCACACAGACGTATCTTAGTAGTTACGCGGTCACCTACACGCAGCCTGCAAGCACGATCGTCACAACGGCGCCCGCACAAACCATCTTCTCCAATCTCCCGCCATCCACGGTTATCACTACGCAGCAGACCACCGTGGTGTCGCTACAGCCGACGACCGTCGTCCTCACGGTCACATCCAGTAACACTGTCACATACACGCAGCAAACCACCGCCATCTCGACTCAACCTACAACAATATTATCGACTGTGGTCAATAGCCGAACCGTTACCCAGACCCAGCCTGTGACAACCACATCCGTGTCCTATCAAACAGTTGTATCCACGCTGGTTCAAACACAGAGTGTCACATATACACAGCAGACTACTCAGGTATCTGTCCAGACAACCACCTACGTTACCACAGCCATATCAAGCGTACCGGTCACGTATACGGCCACAGCGACCGCTCAGCTTCCTGCGTCGACTGTGACGGTAGTAACGACAGTTCGAGACAACCCGGCACCGACGCTCTGCGGCAACCAAGGCATGCAGTTCGAGGCTGCCTACAACCCGCAAACCTACGGCAGCGCCGATGCATACACTGCTTACGACCCGGGGTATCTCAAAGCGCCGGCAGTAGGAGGCACCAACCAGCAGATATACGTAACTGGCGTCACAAACCAGGTCGGAATCTCTTCCGGATGCACCAGCGGAAATTTCACCCTGTATGGGTATTCCGTTCCTTGTCAGCAGTACTCTGTCAACCACCGCGGCTATTTCTACGTCTATTCCACCGGAACATGGACTTTCACCCTCTCCAGCGTGGACGACGCGGCGGACCTCTGGGCCGGGTCGTACGCGCAGCAAGGCTGGACGAAGGCCAACCTGAATCTGGCGGTGTATTTCGCATACAGCAAAGGCGTGCAGCAGGGCAGCGTGACGCTGAATCTCACGGCTGGCACCTATCTTCCCATCCGAGTCATCCATGGACAATCGGTCGGAGGCGCGTCGTTTGGCTTTTCGATCATCGACCCGGACGGGAACATCGCCATCAACTCCAATAGCGTCTCTTCGCCGTACGTGGTGCAGTATTCCTGCGATAAGAGTGCAGCGCCGACCTATGCGTACGCGTTTGGCGCGGAGCAGTAGAGTATAGCGTCTTTGCGCATCGGAGTGTTCTTCTCGGCGGCTACTACAGCTTCTGCACTGACACTCTCAGAAAGACAAACCCGTTCCGCTGTGGAAAGACGCTGTAGGAGAAATCAAGTTTGCACAGCACACAGACGGCAAAGAGTATGAGGTGCATACGCAGCAAGGCATCAGTACATCTCGATACATGGAGCAAGCGTTCTCATACGACGAGCCTAGGCGTGCAGAATGCAGTCAGCAAGTATCGATGGATAGAAGAGCACAGACAGTGTACGTTACGTTATGCATATCAGTGTCTTGAGCTACATCAGCACTCATATCCGCAGCTTCTACGATTCTCGCGGTCTCCGTCTGCGTTCCAAGAATATAGCAGCATCTCGTCATCATACATCGAGTAATTCCTTCCATCATAGAGCAAACCCTTCACACCCATCAATCTCGCTCCTCAAGCCATGACCAGCTCCTTGAAATCGCACTCCTCGGAGTCCCACTCGCCTCCATAAGTGCCCATTCGCAGGGCCGCAACCGCTTCATCTCCCGCATTGACCTTGAACCATTTCTCCAGGGAGTAGATGTCGTCGGTCACTTGATCCAACTCCGTCTTCATCACCTTCGCACCGCTCCGCTTGCGCTCAAGTTCAACCGGGTCGTTATCGCTGTAGCTCTCCAATTCCTTCTCCAGGGCCTTGAGATCCGCCTCGAGGACTGCTTTCTTCGCCGTCAGCTCATCGCGGCCCTCCCCGCCAGTGTCCATCATCTCTTCTTCTTCCTCCTTCTGCGCGGCAAGCTCGGCGAGCTTGTGGCGGAGATCGCGTACAGTGCTCTCGGCTTTGGCGTGCTCGGTCTGCGCGTTGGTGAGGGTGTCCTGCTTGTTCTTCTTGTCCTGGGAGGCGAAGGACCAGTACCAGTTTCCGGAGCCAATCTTCTCGACGCGGATCATGGACTCGTCTGTCAGCGTTTGGATGTAGTCTGGCGAGGAAGAGGTATTTGAATTAGCTGATGACGATGATGATGATGATGATGATGATGATGATGATGATGATGATGATTGAGGTGGAGCAAGAGGATGCTGTCTTGAGATACCTTTGACTTGCATGCTGTTAATGGATGCCACAGAAGGGAGGTGCTTCTCGAGATCTTTGATGTTGTAGCATGTACGGGATTTCTGCAGCCACGCGACCACGGCCGCGAGCTTTTGCGGGTTGCAGTTGACTTTTGGCGCCTATTCGAATGTTAGATGAACTGCGCTCACCGGCTTTGAGATCACGTCTCACCATGTTGGTGTGTAGCTTGCTTGCGGCAAATGGTAGCTGCACGGGCGCAAAAGAGTCGAGTTGGTGTAAGCAGAATGAACGAGATGCAGGGAAGGAATTGGAATTGCAGGAGTTAGAATGTAACCATGGAAGTGAGGTGAGGTTCGCTTAGGCTTTGTAGTGGTTTTCAAGGAAGGGGCGACTCGCTAGCCGCCCGGGCTTGGCACTCGCATGTGACAAAAAGGGAAGGGACCCAGCCCAGTCTCTCCTCAGTGGCCTCTCACGATTCTCACGATTCCCACCCCGAATCTCTTGATGCTTGCACGCTCAGCGATACTCAGTAGAGCCTTGTGTCTTGTCCAGATCAATGTACTGCCAGAATGGACATCGAAGCGCTCACAGAGACGGCGCAGCCAAGTCGCTGCCACCTGAACGCTATGTGTGCAACAGCGGACAGTGAAAGTGAGATTGCACAAGGCGAAAAATACATTTTCAAGACTGCATCAGCTGAATGGTGCTCGACGGAGCCAATGATGAATTTGACGCCTCCAAACAGACGCAAATGCCATCTCAGACACGCTAGTGGGGTGTAACCCCACTAGCGCGTCGCGTCTTGCCGAGCCAGCAGTCACTTTTCGCTTTGTCGATTGGGGCCGTGCTGCAGCTGCCTGTTGTTTGCGGAAACCAAGCCGGACGTCCTTAAAGCCCCAACCTCAGCGTGATCTTTACCAAGAATTCGACATAAAAACGGGTGCGGCGGCGGTGACTCCCTGGAAAGCCCCAATCATGAAGACATCTCAAGCCGTCGCCAAATGCGGCAATTGTGACAAGACAGATATCTCGCTGAAGAAGTGTGCCAAGTGCATGTCTGTGTCCTACTGCGACAGGGAATGTCAGAAATCCCACTGGAAGACTCATAAGAAAGTGTGCGCTATGCTTGCTGGTGCCACGAATCCCAAGAACAGTGCTCCAGGCGAGAAGATCCCAAAGAGGTCCAACTCCAAGCCTTTCACGGCCATCTACCACAACAATTTCCTGCATGACCGTCCAGAGGAAGAGACGTTCAAGATTCTGATCGATATCCTCCGGATGCGCCAAGAGGATACACACGCCTTCGAAGGTAAGGGCGAAGGTTCGAGCAGAGATTTCTTCTTGGCTAATTACACCCAGGCGACAACATGGACGGCTCGATCTACAACGGAGAGCGCACTTCAGAGAGAGCTTTTCGGCAGTTCCTGCGCAAGGCCAAGCAGGTAGAAGGCTTCCTGCCGCCATGGTGGAGTGATGAGAAGGTGGAAGAATGTGTCCGTTTTGGGCTGCAGAGCAACGACTTCTCGCTTGGCAGCGCACAAGAGAAGTCGGACATTCAAGAGGCCTGGGGAGACGACAAAATGCCGATGAAGTTGCGCATGCTTGGAGAGAAAGTGTACGGAAACACGCCAGGAACAGGATCTCAAGGCGGAAGTACCATGCTGCAGATGATGATGGGAATGGAAAGAGGCTCGGGCATGCATTCGTCCACATTAGATATGGCGCAGCTTTTTGGAGCTCGTTGATAAAGCAAGCACATCCGATAGCCGCTCGTAGCATCGGATATGCGGGACAGCAAGATGCTTGACAACATCCTCTCGTGTCATGGTGATGTTTCTGCGGACGAAAGCACTGGGTTTATGCTGTCCAACTGACTGTGATCTCCAGACTCACGAAAATGCTTGGGAGAACGATATCGTGTCGCTGTAGGAAGACGCTGAATGAGATCTGCCGCGGAGAGAAAGTTGCTCAGGTAAATTTGACGATGTTCTTTTCCCATACATATCTCCTGCATTGCGACAAACACCAGGTGGCGGACTCTATCCCCAGCTAGACATCTCGACCTGCCCGGAGGAGATCCATGTTGAAATCCCGTCCATTCGTGTGGAGCTTCTCTTTGGCCTCGTCACTCATCTCCGGTTTTCCAGACGGCGTGTCAAACCCGCCAGATTTCTTCTTATTCTTCTCCTCCTTCTCATCGCCGTCTTCAGCACAGCCACAGTCATAGAAATCGCCAATGTTGGCGCAATCAAATAGCTCCTTCTTCAGCCTCTCGTTGACTTTATTGTGCACATGGCACGCCCACGCAGCTGCTGCGGAACGGGATGAAACCTGGGGCGGGAACTTCTTCAAAAGCTGTCCAAAGTGCTCAGCACACTCGCCGCACGGGTAGAGTCTCTGGAAGAGATGGATGTAGCTTTTCAAAGCCGCACTCTCATCCTGGGTGGGCTTGTCCGGAAATCTCGCCATTATTGTGTGTAGCAGCTTCCATGCCGCTCGTCCCAATTCTTCTTTTGCTGTCTCGTTTCCCAGCTTTGGGGCAATGGCGTGACCGCTGAGTGTCGTCTGGTCGATGGTCGTATCGTCGTGCGGTGGAGATGCGGCGCCAGGCCCGTTCAGGGGGCTCAGAACATCGATCGGACTGTTGCGGGACGTGGAGAGAAAGATGACTCCAGCTATGACCACGAACAGGAGCAAGACTGTTGCGAGTCGCCGTGACGGTCCGGAGGATCGTGGCATGATGACGGTGTGCTGCTAGTGGTCAAGCTGTCATGTCGTTCGATGGGTTGCTGAGAGTATTTGGATGTTCCCCCATCAACCTGGCCACATGCCGTCGTCGTCGAGGAGGCCAGGAGCCAGCTTGCACATGCGGAGTGGAAATGCGCGGGTTCGAACAAAGGAACTGCTCGTCCATCAAAGCACATTCCGAACCCCAATAGGATCCCCGGTCACTGGAGATTCACTTCCAGGTGTGCGCTAGATAAAAATAGATTAGCGTGGACGGAAGCACGGGAGGCCTCTCCGCAAAGCTCCTGCGCAAGCTTCCGGCTTCTGACAGCGAGACCGGCGCACCGGCAAAGAATTGGCAGCGCTTCACTCTCAACTCATAAAAGGGAGAGACACTCTGACCATTGAAGTCGTACATCTCCAAGACTGAACAGCGAAGAGAATCATAATGACCACGAGCTTTCCCCCACCGCCCGTCAATACCATTGGTAAGACATCCGACAGGGACCGAAATGCGTCAAACATACTGACCGGGCTTGAGACTGGGACGACATTGGCTTCCGCGTCCGCGAAGGTACGTATCGAGATATAACACATGCTCCCCCTACCTATCTAATCTGCTGTTGTAGTTAATGGTCACATTGAATCCCAATACTCCGTTCACACTGGAAGATGGACGCCGCCCAAATTCGTCGAAGACCCGTTTCTGCGCCTCCATGGCATGGCACCGGGCCTCAACTACGGCATGCAATGCTACGAAGGACTGAAAGCATCTCGAGGTCCCGATGACAAGACCATTGGTATTTTCCGGCCGCAGCGGAACGCCGAGCGCATCCAGCACTCCGCGTCGTTTGTTAGCATGCCCGAAGTTCCCGTTGAGCATTTCAAGCAATGCGTCCACCTGGCCGTCAGTCTGAATGCTGAATTCGTGCCGCCCCACAGGACGGGAGCCAGCATGTACGTCCGGCCTCTCCTCTTCGGCTCCAGCGCCCAGCTTGGCCTCGACCCTCCGGAAGAATACACCTTCCTTGTGTACGTGATGCCTACTGGCGTGTACCATGGCGTCCACCCCGTGGCCGCTCTGATTCTGGAAGATTTCGACAGAGCCGCGCCAGAAGGTACTGGTAGCGCGAAGATTGGCGGCAACTACGCGCCTGTCTTGAGGCACAGCGGCAAGGCGAAGAAGGAAGGCTTTGGCATTACTCTCCACCTGGACAGTAGGACGAGGTCCGAGATCGATGAGTTCTCGACATCTGGCTTCATCGGCATTCACGGCAATCCAGACCAAGGCTGCACCATTGTCGTACCGGACAGCAAGAACGTCATCAAGTCAGTCACAAGCGACAGCATCTGCGAGATTGCAAAGAGCTGGGGCTGGAAGGTGGAGCAGCGACCGGTGAGGTCCTCCCTTTTCTCATGGAGATGAGACGAAGACTGACGCCGGGCCAGATCAAATACGACGAGCTCCCAACGTTCACCGAAGTCGCCGCCGCAGGCACCGCAGCGGCCCTCGTCCCGATCAAGAGCATCACCATGCGCTCCAAGAACGACGTCTTCAAATACCAAGGCGGAGGCGACGAGCCCGGTCCGGCCGTGGTGAAGCTCCTGGGCCAGCTGAAGGGTCTCCAGCAAGGCAGAGTCAAGGATGACTTCGGCTGGGTGGAACAGGTCCGCCAGTACAAGCCTGATGAGTACGCGACGGACGGCGCGAGTGAGAGGGCTCAGAACGGCATCAATGGGCGCACGCCGAATCAGCTGCCATAGGTCCACTTCCCCTTGAGAAGGACTATGTATGTACGAAAGAAACGAATTCGCACGTGCAATGGCAATCGCCCCTTCCTCACCACGTGTTAACATCCAAGTCCAGACCAGAAGTCAGCAGAGACTCCATCGGGGTTATGCGAGTATTTTCCAAGTTCTCGGATTGCTACACTAGCCAATGATTCTATCGTTATTGACGCTACTGATATCGAATCAACGCCACGCTCTGGGCATCCTACGCTGAGCTGACAGTCCCCGCAAACCCATTCAACGCTCCCCAAACTTCACTCTGTACCCCCAATCTAACCTCTAACATCTCGAGTCTCCCGCAAACCAGAATTCCTAAGCGACGCACTCGGCCCCACGACTCTCCCCACAGCAACCCAAACTTCCCACCTCTCCTCCCAAACCTTTCCCGTCGTCCTCGCCCTGAACCAACCCCCCTCATCACGAGCCCTCCGAAGCAAACCCTCTCGCCTCGCCCGCTTTTCCCCTTCAGACAAAAACTCGGAAGTCAGCTCCACCCAAAGCCTTATCGCAACTTCATTCGCCACGTCGAGATCCAAGCAGCAGGCTAGATCCAGATCCAGATCGCCTCTTCCCGACGAGTCGTGATCGTAGTCTTGAAAATCGGGGGGCGTGCAGCGCTGCCGTCGGACGAAAAAGGCTGGTATGCTCGTCCAATCGTCTTGCGTGTGCAAGAGTTCGAAATCACGTTCCACGCCCCGGAAGTTTTCTAGAACGGCGACTTCCACCACGCCCACGCCTTGGGCTTCCAGACAGAAGTATTTCGGGCCATCGGGGGAGGTTTCCTGGCGCACAGTGAAACCGCGCGAGGACGAGGACGCGGACGCGAGGAGGATGATGGGGTTGTCGGGCCGGGTGCGCCGGAGCTCTTTGACGGCCGCGGCGTTGGCCTCGTCGAGATCGTGAAAAGTGTCGTCGCCGCCGCCGCCGCCGCACCGTCGCCAGGGGATGTCCTGGAGCTGGAAGCCGAGCTGAGGGTCGTCGTCGTCGTCGTCGTGGGTCGCGTCGAGAAGGCAGTCACGCCGATAGACGGCGTATTCGATTTCGAAAATGCCGCTCTTCTGGGATTTCCCCCCGTCGTCTACTACGGGAAGCTTCTGGACGAGGCTGAAGATTTGGTGTTCGGCCATTTCGAAGAATGTGGAATTGTGGTCGTTTTCGTGCGTGGGCTGTAGGCTTTCGGTTTTGCTTTCGGTGATGGCTTGGATGATCTGGGCTTCCATCTTGCGCTGCAGCGAGGATTCGAGGGCTCTGTTGGCTTTCAGAAGCGCCGCGCTTTGTTCTCGACGGCTCACCGAAGCTAGAGTCTTTTCTCTTGATGGGACCTGGTCTGCATCCTCCTGCTCCATTTTCAACTCTCCTCGGCCGCTGTCCGCAATTGGCGAGCGCGTCGCTGGAAAACCGGGCGAGAGGGGCGTATTCGGGCTATGCGCCGGCTTCACTTCATATGGGGAAGCCTTGATCGCCCGAATGACGGACTCGGTCACATTCGAAATCAGATCGCGCAACTCGGAAAGGTCGCAGAGGTCGTGCAGCTTATTTTCCCTGACGGCCACCATGAGCTCGAATGGGATGGGCACCTCGACGGTGACCAGAGTGCTGAGAGACATTGTCGAGTTCCGTGTGGTGTTGTGGTGGCAAGATTCGGGTAGTCTAGCGAAGTTCTAGAAAGGGTTCCGGCGTGAAGAGCCCCGGTCGAGCACGGACCTCTTGGCAGACATGTGAAAGGGGTTCGAATTTCATATACGTCGTTTGCTTCCCAGGTATCCAGGCAGCAACAGTGGCAGCGGCTAGTCTGGTAGCAACGGAAAACTCATCATGTCTTGCGAGGTGATTTTCCTGTGCGATGAATGCTATCCGTGCTGTCAAACTCGCCGTTGGCACAGCAATTAGTCAGGAAATCCGATAGGCTCGACTCCTCGATATTCAAAGACACAATTTGAGATCGAGCTCTGCACGTACTTGACTCGCCAGTGGTCTTAGAGTGTGGATAGATGCTGGGTGGGAGCAGCCGCCGGGATGTCCTATCCACTCACAAAGATGCTTGATTAGGGTCTTTGTGGAATCTCTCGTCCCTCCATCCCCATGCCTACTGTCACCGTTCCCGGCTATGAGCCTCTGGCCTTCCTGTCATCGCTAGATTGCCAGAGACCTCTCAGTTACCACGCGTAACATGCAAAGTGACATTGAATTAGCCATTCCGCATCTCTGTGCTCTCCCCCTGGCCCCAGAACAATGAGCGCTCGTCCAACAGCTTGTCCCAAAGACGTGGCGTTTCGAGCGTCGGTGGTACATGCGGCCTTGATCTATTCGCCGCGATCCTTGTCATACTTCAAGAACGGCGTTGCTGTGGGCTCAATAGGGTCAAATATTTCGCTGTAGTCTCTCTGCTCGCTCCATGCATGCCTCCAGAGTACTGATCGGATCAGCTTGATAGAACCGAATTCGTCGCTGCAAAGCTTTCGCGGCTCACAATCAATCCACCGCTACGCTGGGATGGTGAAGTGCCCGAGCTGAGCTTACTTTCCCACGTTGAATTCTTGGAGACTGTATCTCCAACATTACTACGTCGACCTCACTCCAAAACTTCGTCACGAAAATCAGCGCTCGATAAGGACCGGGAGACGCTCCACAGGCAGTCGCAATACGGCAGTCGATGGTTGATGGTAAGCACAAGCTTTCCGTAGATATCGTTTGAAGCTTCGCTCCCGAATTCTACGTCGTCCTGAAGCTACGAAGTTTGTACTCCGGCCAAGGGCGCGCCAAGAAATTGGCCTTGTACCGAACTGGTGATCGAAAAGTGGTGAGTGTCGTTGACTAAGAGCGTAAGCTTAGAGGAGGTTGTCGCAAGTATAACTTGACATCACTCCCAGGCACTCATGAATCTCGCAATAATCGGTTGGTGTGGGCGGATTTCCTGCGCATCGGAGTCGAGACTGCATGGCTGAAAAAAAAAACGCGCTGGACGATTACATACACAGCAGGGGACCTGAGGAACCCGACCTTGCCACTGGAGACTATGTGCCGCAATTAAGCTTCGCAGATGCGCAATCTACGAAGAGACATGGTTGATACCTGGATCGTGGAGTCTGCGACGATTCATCTGGCGGGTCCAAGACCGCATTGCAAATTGATGGGCATGCGCCTCTGCACTTGTGGAATACTTGCAAGACCCACAGGAGATGCATTACTGGCGCTACAGCGTCACTCCCACCTTGAACCATTTTCTTCCCATAAATACGAGCGGACACAGGACCCGCAGTGAGTTGGACAGCAGCGATCGGCTCTGGTGTCTTCCGAGATGAAGGAGATGGTCGAGGAGATGCTGTGAAGCGCCTATGCGATTCGAAGTCTCGAGTGCTCAGCGGCAGAGCGGCCCTTCTTTGATCTCCAGGACATTGGCGGATGTAATACTCAGCTCCCGAAGATGTTGTGATTGCAACTTCCAGTGGCATACGAAACAGCAATGGACACGGCAGGGAAGGGCAACAGTGGCATGACGTTCAAGTAGATGCAAGCGCAGGTTCCCGTTGTCGATCGCAAATCTCCGGTCCATGCAAGAAATGCATCCGCTCGCGAGGCACGCTCTCACCGACAATTTCGAAGACCAAAAGCATCATCGGTGTACAGCAGCGCGGGGCAGCGCGTGCAGCAGTATGGGGACTTTGCGTCGTCAATGTCTCCTGCGCAGCAATGTGGAAATCAAGTCGGACGCGGTCTTTTTCGGGACCGAGAACAGGGACGGGAGGACAAGAGAAGATGCCAATAGAAGTAGATGGTTCGGGAGGATAGGCGGAAAGTCGCATTCGTCGGGTTCGAGGTACCCACCACCACGCGGACAAGCGGCGCGAAGCATCCACGATGGTCAAGGCGGCATCAGGTGCAGCACGTCTGATGTCGAAAGCCACGCGATGGACAGGCTCCAGCAGAGCAGGTTCGGGATGCAAGAGCATTTCGAAGGCCGCAGGAAGTCTTGCTTCATTCTGCGATGCTCTGTACGCGTGAAGGCGTTGAAATGGTGCAGGGCGTCTCAAGTCGCTCGATCCGGCCTTCCGCAGCCAAGTCACACGGCATTGGCGGATACGGTATGCATTACGATGTCTGCAGGACAGAGTGCTCGATCGGAGGGGACAGCTTGAAGGATTGTGGATGGCGAGGCTATGGTGCTGGAAGGAGCACGTGTTTGCGACGAAGGATTAGTTATGAATGGATCGGAGTTGGCGATAGCGAAAGGAAGGGCAGATAAGGTATGTGGTCGGGCCGTGAGTGGCTAAGGAACCGGAAGTAGTTAGGATGGAGAGCATGGATCACTCTGGGGATTGTGGATGCACGATGGATGAGGTGGTTGGCGCGCGGATGCTTGGCAGTGGCGCTTGTCGCATGGCCGGTGGTCTGTCTGGGCGGCGGGAGGATGCATGACGGGGATGTGGCGCGTATTGCGACATGGCAGACGCACATCTCACACCCCCCCCCACCGGCAAGACCGAGCGGCGGATTGGCTGGAATAGGCAGCTGTCTGCTCTGGCTGGTGAGTGGCGAGTGGCGAGTGGCGAGTGGTGAGTGGTGAGTGGTGAGTGGTGAGTGGTGAGTGGTGAGTGGTGAGTGGTGAGTGGTGAGTGGTGAGTGGTGCGAGGGGAAGGGATGATGAGATGCGATGTGATGGGCGGTGTTCAAGCGAAACGGGCTCCTCCACACGCTGCAAATCCTCCAGGAACTAGTCCCCGGTTGCCCGGATGCGCAAGTGGAGAGACCGACCGAGAGACCAATCAAGGCAGCTTGCGTCACTCTCGCCCTCCGCGCGAGGAAACGGCTCACGCGCTGCTGTTTCGCCGTAACTGCCTCACGATGCAGTGCGAGGGCAGTGAGATTATCATGGGGAACATCTCACGATGCCACCACGAACGGACTTTGCAACGCCGGCGCTACCCGGTCGCGCAGCGCAACGCATGCCAGTGGGCGTCGCGGCGTGGGAGAGCAGAGCGAGGCGAGCGGAGAATACATGTAATGAGATGATGATCATGGAGGGAATGGAATCTCACTATGTGTACTGTGATATGATCGAAGACGAGCAGTAGCGACGGCGGTAGAAGAGCGCCGACCGTCCAATCGGTGCGGGTCTGGGCTCTTATCTCGAGGTGGAGCCCATCGCGACTGCAGTCGGCTGCGTCTTTGTCTTTGTGCCACTACTGCCGCGAGGACAAGGGCAGGAGCGTCCAGTGTCTCAGCCACTCACAGCTCACGACCGCTTGCGACCTGCTCCTGCCTTATCCGCCGCCCATAACCTCACGCCGACTCATTGTCAGGGTACCTCGCTGGGAAATCTCACCTCTCTCTCTCTCTCTCCCGTCTCTCTCGGGCCTTGCATTTCTCCTCTTCTTCATATTATATACACTGCGACTCCCGGTCGTTCTTGCTGCTGCTGCTGCTGCTGCTGCCGCTGCCCTACGCGGTCGCACCTCCCGCCGGACCACGCGACACCACGGCAACCCCACGAGCATTCCTACCAGTGTATACTTAGACTATCTCGGCATCCACCCTCTGCGTCGGGGACATCAACATCAACACTCACACTCCCTCACCTGCCAACCTCCGCCGACACTGACATCCACACATCCACTCGGATAACGACATAACGTCATGGAGGACCCGGAGAAGAACATGAAGGCCGACTACTCGCCCCAGGCATCGCCGACCCTACCCGAGTATGGCGAGTCCGGCGCGCACAAAGCCTCCTGGCCCTCCCGTTTCGTCGACAGCTTCAAGCGCGACCCCAATGCCCATGCCACTCCCAAGGGCACCGTCGGCGCTGATGGCCGTGTCTTCGATGTCGAGGGCGCAGCCGCCGCCACCGCTTCTTCGCCTCTCCAGCGACACCTGAAAGGCCGTCACTTGCAAATGTACGCTCCGAGCCCATATTATATATACATGTATGTATATGTATATGCATGGATAGCTGACCATGCAATGCAGGATTGCAATCGGCGGTTCCATCGGGACTGGTCTCTTCGTCGGGTCCGGCTCTGCCCTCGCCAATGGTGGTCCGGCTTCCCTCCTCATCGCCTTCATGCTCATCGGTATAATGTTGTACTGTACCGTCCATGCCCTCGGTGAGATGGCTGTGCTCTTCCCCGTTGCCGGTTCCTTCTCCGCCTACTCGACTCGATTCCTCGACCCCGCATGGGGTTTCGCCATGGGTTGGAAGTGAGCTCCACTCACTCGCACTCTCCATCAAGACTGTCGGCTAATCTTCTTCAAAGTTACGCCATGCAGTGGCTCGTCGTCCTACCCCTGGAAATCGTCGCTGCTACCCTGACCATCACCTACTGGACTCATGACTCCATCAACAACGATGCCTTTGTCGCCATCTTCCTCGTCCTCATCATCGTCATCAACCTCTTCGGAGTCAGGGGATACGGAGAGGCCGAGTTCATCTTTTCCATCATCAAGGTCATCGCCGTCGTCGGCTTCATCCTCCTGGGAATCATCCTCAACTGCGGTGGTGGACCAAAGGGTGGATACATTGGTGGCAGATACTGGCACGATCCGGGCGCTTTCAACCATGGCTTCAAGGGTCTCTGCTCCGTCTTCGTCACTGCTGCCTTCGCCTTTGCCGGTACTGAGCTGGTCGGTCTGGCCGCTGCCGAGACTGCCAATCCAAGGAAATCCCTGCCGACTGCCGTCAAGCAAGTCTTCTGGCGCATCACCTTGTTCTACATCGTCTCTCTGACGCTTGTTGGTCTCCTCGTGCCCTACACCAACTCCCGTCTCCTCAATGGCTCGTCTTCTGTCGACGTTACCGCTTCGCCCTTTGTCATCTCCATCCAGAACGCCGGAATCGGTGGACTTCCATCCGTCTTCAACGCAGTCATCCTGATTGCGGTGCTGTCAGTCGGCAACTCATCCATCTATGGAAGCTCGCGTACCCTGGCGGCGCTTGCAGACCAGAACCAGGCACCCAAAATTCTCGGCTACATCGACCGCAATGGACGCCCTATTGTCGCGATTGGCCTTGCGTCTGCGCTCGGATTCCTTGCCTTCTTCGCCGGATCGTCTTTCCGGGCGCAAGCCTTCAATTGGATGGTAATTATCATGCTCCCCGTCATCTCCTAGAAACCTGCTAACTCATCGCTTTCAAGTTAGCGCTGTCCGGACTCTCCTCGATCTTCACCTGGGGCAGTATCTGCTTGGCCCACATTCGCTTCCGAACCGCTTGGAAAAAGCAGGGCCATTCGCTTGAAGAGCTCGCCTTCCGCAGCCAGCCTGGTGTTTGGGGCTCGTGGGTCGGCTTCATCTTCAACTGCCTCGTCCTCATTGCCCAGTTCTGGGTTGGCGTGTGGCCGATCGGCTACGCCAGCATGACCCCGAGTGACATCGCAGAGGGCTTCTTTCAGGCCTATCTTGCCGCGCCGATCGTCATCCTCTCGGTGAGTTTGCTCTCTGAAAACTGGTCCGTTCATCGGATTTGAGACTAACCACTTCTGCAGTACGTCGTTTACAAAGTTTGGAAGAAGACACCTTTTATCCGATCTCACAACATGGACCTCCACACGGGCATACGAGATCTCAACATTGCGGAGCTGATTGAGGAGGAGCGGGCGGAGCGGGCGACCTGGCCGGCTTGGAAGAGGGCGTACAAGTTCTTCTGCTAATGTATATGATGTTTTGAAATGCGTCGCCATGCTCATGACCATGCGTTTATGCCCTGATGAAAAGAAAAATGACGACGACACCAGACAGACGGGCCACTCTACGACTTTTACAGAGATAGAAAGCATGTTTAATATCAAGCAAAGTGTTTTTTTTTTTCAGATTCGACGTGCCGTGAAGACTCTTTCCCGACTTTGCATACCCTTTCCCGGAAGACGACTCACACGACGTTCGTGGAAAGACGGCGGTAGCGCAGGAGAAGTGTGCGCTCTCAACAGGTCGCTACCTTATTTCTCCAAGGGCCAGCCAAACTCCGTGGCGCTGGTGGGGAGCTGTGGCGGCTCTGCTCGGCGAAGCCCACTATTATACCTTACCTTACCGTCTTTGCATCTGCGCCGCAAGGTGGGTGGGCATCAATATCAGAAGAAATTCCTGGCCATATCCTGGCTCTTTGTAGCAGTCTTGCAAAAAAAGCGTCCATCTCCCTCAGTTTGCCTACCTTATCGATCCCGGAG